CCGAGCAATACAACGATTGTTCGAAAATTAAAAATATTTAGTAGAACGTTCGGATATAAAAGTAAATAATACGAGATAGCCTACGATCGAAGATACCGTCTTATTAAGACGAATGTAATAAGATAAATAATACTCCTATAAACTTAAACCTTGGTAGGAGGGGCTATATCGTTTATACTTAATCTCGAGAAATAGGAAGTTAGAGAAACTGATGGCCCTAGACTTAGATACTATTAAGGGGATATACCACCTCAATAATATTAAGATTTAGATCTAGAGGGAGGAGAGGCTAGACCCTTAGACTAGAGTGAATATTCCGAGAAATAACGATAAGATAGCTCGCCGCCTTAGGGCTATAGCTACGGAGTAGAAGTCCTTGTGGAAATAGGCTAAAGTTACTATAGATAGGGTTCTATAATGAAATCTAGGTATAAACGACCTAAACCTTACAGTTAGTGATGAGATCTAGACTTTATATAAAGTTTAATATCTAGGGGTATATGGAGATAAAGGATAGAATTTTTGGCGAGCCCGTAAAGTTAATTTGTAGAATTGGCTTTATAGCGGTAATGTAACTAACTGAGAGAAGGGAAGGAGTTTAGTGTTTAGGCGTTATGGTTGATATAGTAAGGATAGAGAAGCAATGGCTAGTGTACTATTGAGTCTCGTACTAATTAAGTCTTGTATCTATATAAAAGTAGGAGATTAAGGTATATCCCTGGAAGTTTAGAATTTTAGGCGATTTTATACGTCTCGTATCGGGACGAGTGTCGGAGTTAGCTAGTTTTAGATTATTAGGTCTCGTACTAAGATAAGTTACTAATAATAGGGGTATATAATTATAAAAAATAATATTAGGATAGTAATGATATAGATCGCGCGATATAGCTTATAAAAAAAAAAAAAAAAAAGATGGAAAGAGGACTATGATAAGGACGGTAATAGCAAAATATAAGGTCTCGTATTAGAGGGTATTTTGCGTTTAAAATATAACTTTTAACTAAGGATGTGATGGGATAGTGAGTGATTTAACTTTTATTTTACCGGCACTCTTACCTTATAGTTGCTTTGGGTGCGACTAGCGGGTCTATATCTACTACCCTCTCCTATCTATTACTTCTTTCTTTTCCTTACTATCTCGATATCTTTGGGGCCGATCTCTTTATAATAGGAGAAGGCGCTCTAAGCTTAGAGACTTAAAAGGTCGACGAACTTAATTAGACTTTAATGATTCCTTTGCGAAGACGGATCTAGCTGCTACGAGGAATCTTGCTATTATTTGATTTTGCTGTTTTATAAGGGAAGATAGGGATAGGGTAGCTAACTCGTATAACTAGAAGTAAGTATTATATATTATAGAAGGGAAGATACGGTCGATATTTACTAACGCTGCCTACGTGTTTTGATACCCTTAGCGATCCCTAATAAAGCGAGACGACTTTATTACTGGGCTATTTACAAAGGTCTATCTATAGGATAATTAGCGCTCCTTGGTCGATAGTTATATTACTATAGAGGAGAAGTGGACGATTTAAAAGCTAGAGATCCTAGTTTCTCGAAGAAAAATTGTTTATAAAAACTTGTAAGATATACTTAACGAGGGTAAGGATTATCCGCGAGAGGAGTATATCTATATAGATAATACTAGAACGATTGCTATGAACTTTAGATATATAGCGGCGTTACTAATTATCGACGATAAGAATACGATCTAGGAGAGTAAGATTAGGCGAATAATTAGGGAGAATAAGATTTTCCGCGTTTATCGTTCTGAATTGGGCCTAGAGACTATCTTCGGTATCGACTTAGGCGAAGAGGGAATCTAAATCAAGAATATAGATAAGCCCTCGATAGGTAATCCGTTACGGGCGACGGGGCGAGATCCGAAATCTATGGATACCTACGCTACATTATCGACTACTGTACAGGAACCGGCGTAGATCCTAATGGACTAGCGATCGAATGCTGAATAGCCGAAGTTAGTTACATCAGTCGAGAATACGAAGCGAAAAGCGATCGAATCTACCGAGTAATCTACGCTAAAGAAAGCGCGGAAAGCGATAAAACCTATAACGCTAGTACCGAAGACGGCGAAACTAATTTAAGCTAGTAATAAGGCACTAAAGAGCCGGGCGAAGAAACAGTATAAGAGATCTATAGCCTTTAAACTTACGAAATTTAATCTAAAGCGAGAACTAGGTATCTACCGTAAGGGAGAATTAGTAATCCTTAAGGTAGCTAGACTTAAGGAATCGGAGGTAGATACACCGACAATCCTATAGCGACAATAAGAAAATACACTTCGTACCGTAATTTTAACCGTAGAACTTAATTACCCGGACGATACTTAGTGGAAACCGATGGTATACAGTATTGAAATATACTTAGGTATAAGAGTAGATGAGAATGATAGAGAGATACCGATATTAGAGATACTTGTCGGTACAAGATTCGATAATGAAAAAAATATAATATCGAGCGACGATTCGGAATAAACTGCAAGTGATCTAGAAGATTTTGACTTTAGTAAGAAAGATCACGATAAGCCCTTAGAGATATCTAAGAAAAAGGTTAGAAATAACGTGGCTAAGGAGTTTCTACGCAAAATAAATTTATATAGGGAAGGGAGGAGACTATATACTCCTCGACGCGGAAACGCTAAGAGTAATCTTAATATAGTTATTAGCCAAGGAAAGTCAATCGAAGCGAAGAAATCTCGAAAGAAGAGCGTAGAACGATATTCGAAATTACTGAGCGATCACCTAAACCAATAGAAGAAGTTCACGAAAGATAAACTAAAGAGAGTAATTGAAAGATTCCCGATAAACAAATAAAGCCGATATATAGAAGCTCTCGAATACTTCTCGCCGCGTAGTTATCTCTATAATAAAGGTCTAGGAAAGAAACTAATTAAAGAGTAGGTTTAGAAATACGAACAACTTAATAACTAGGTCAAGGCTAGGAAGGATACTTAGCCAAAAGAGATATTTTCGGTTACTATTATAATTAACTACCTCGAGCGATATAATCGGACGGTTACTAAATATACTTTATATAGTATATTAACAAGTACTAGTAAAATTAGGGTAGCTCCTTTACCGAAGGTCGATAGTGTAAAAGATACATCTACGGGTAGATTCGCTAAGGGAATTAATGAATTAACTAGACGTAAAGAACAAGCATTAGTTACCTATACACTAGATATTACGGAAAAGCGTTTAGGCTAGAGAATAGACTCTACGTAAGATATATTAAACGAAGGAGTTAGAAAATATACTGAAGCTCGCGTAAAGACTAATAAGAAAATATAGGCGTTATTAAACGCACTTAAGGATTAAGGCTAGAACGATAGTCTTCGAGAAATTAACGGTGAACTTCGTACGCTACGTCGAAGATTCGAATACACTAATTATAGACTCTATACCCTCGATTTAGAATACAAATATCTTCTCGGAAAGTATTAGGCCCTTCGTAAAGAGATAAAGCGATATAGTACTATATTAATAGTCTACTACGAAATATTTTACTTTATAGATCGAACGAAGGAGACTAGGTAGGATTATAACGTAGTGCGAGATTCGAAGGGGGGTACACTAAATCAACGTCCGAACTTTAAAGAATGGATAGAAGATTTGTGTATAGGAGTTATAGATATATCGACATCACTTCCAGATAATCTTGAAGAGAGCAATGAATTTATAGCAATAAACGCGATAGATGCCGCTACGCTTAGTTTATTTAACTACTACCTAGTCGATGACGACTCCGTTGTGGCTTTAGACGATAAGATCGACGACGATAAGATCGGTAAGATATTTATATCTCGTGAGGAAGCTGTAGACTTAATATAGGACGAGGTAGAATATTAGCATAGCGTTCATAGCCTTATATATCGAGGCTGGAGGGTGAAATGGCCGTCGATAAAGGCACAGAAGAAGTAGGGTGATGACTAAGAGATTGAGAGACTAACGGGACAGACGCAACGAGACCCAGCCTCGATCATAAAGGAGTTTAAGAAAGGATGGTTATTTTGAGAAGCACGAGATTTGGTATGGTGCGAGAAGGTGGTATTGTATGTGCTGTTGAAAAGAGTACGCTCTTCTAAGCTTCTGGCTTTACGGGTGTCCGATGTTCTTTTGCGCAGAACCGAGGGATTTTTGACGCCTCTCGACATGATGGACCTACAGTCTTTACAACAATCCTCATGGTACGAGAATTGTGGTGTGAGCAGCTAGAGACTATTGAGCATCAACAGGGAGAGAGGGGGGCCATTGTTGGGCCATCGCCGCACCTTCCCTATTAGATAGCTTGGCGCAGGCCTACATCTGTCTGCCAGACGCTCCCTCAGATTTACACAATACCATGCTTACCCCCACGTTACATTGAGCGCTCTGAGTCATTCCAACAACGCCAGGAGGATCGTTAAAGAGCCTAAAGCAAGCTTGCCATGCGAGATGGCTCCTTTGAACCCTGTTAGTTAGCCCTACCAGAGTACGCCTCTTCTGGCCGTGGGATACGAGTGTTACGAAAGTCAAAGCCCCTTCGGGCCTCCCTCGTCAGCTCGCCTCCGTCGCCGAAACAGGGGAAGTGGAGTGGGAATAATACCGATGGATATTTTAAGAGGCCAAACAAAACCCCAGTCAACAATATTAATGTGATCTGTTCAGCAAAGCTGAGTTATCTGCGCCTTGAACTCCATGTGAAGTTGCTGCCCAAAGCAACATCAGTGAGTAACTTTGGCTTTCCTCCGGCTGCGATGGAGTATGTACATGAGCCCGCCCCCTAGGTGCCCGCAAGCTTTTAATGCAAAAGCTTGCATGCCCAGCTCGAGCCCAGGTGACGGGGGCGCCCCAGTTGGAGATTGTTTGCTTCTTTCCCACCACCATCCACCTACCATCCACCTTTGGGGTGTCACTGTCTGTCTATCACTCCGTCTTGTGACGCTTTTTGCCCCTCGTTGAGCGTTGACTTGGATCGGGATGACGACGCCTCGCATATGGGGACAAGTGACATTTAGTTCTCATGTGTCCACTCCGTGCCACTCATTATGGGTGGCATTGACGAATGATACGGAAGCTGAGTCTACCTCCTTCCCACCTACTAATAAAGGAAATCTTTCGCTAGACTTCAAAGCTCGATCAAGTGGACGTGCGATCGCCTCAGAGCGTGACCGCAGGCATTGGGGTACACCGCACCCATTCAACGCCGGACCGCGGCAAGACTGCCTCTTCGAGACTTACCGCAGGTATGAGGCCCGAGAAGGAAAGCGAACCAAGACCATATACACTGTTGTTTAAGAGATAAAAGGTCGAGAATATCCACGGGTTGGGCTCATAAATTGTCAAACCCAGACCACAAGCAAGTGCAAACGAAAGCTCCAATCCAAGTCGTGTACGATCAACACATTGATCGCGAACCGTTTGATAATGGCATCGGAATACCGCGAGATACATTTGAAGCACGCCATTCCCGACCTGAGTGGCGCCTTTGACATCACCTGTCCACCTGGAACAGACCTCTGGGACAAACCTCCTTGGACTCATTCCAAGAATGCCCCCATCATATACAGAAGCATAACCAAGGATGCCTTTAAATCAGCCAAGGTGACGGTCAGAGCGAGTTGGAAGGACCTGTATGATCAAGGCGGCCTCTGTCTTGTCATCAGATCGAGCGACAGTACGCGCTGGGTAAAGGCAGGGATTGAATTTGTCAATGGGAGTCCCAACGTCAGCGTGGTTGCCAAAGACAGATGGTCTGATTGGAGTCTAAGACCCCTTCTGTCTGAGTCAACAGACGGTGCCACCATTGAGATGGAAAACGCCAGCGATGGTAGCCTATGGGTCTGGCTCTTGGGAGATGGGCAGAGATATCCTTTGCGTGAAGTGACCTGGTGGGGGGATCTGGAGAAGACCACTGAATGCTGGATAGGTCCTTTCGCTGCAAAACCTGCACCGCATGGCGAGAAGAACGATCTGGTTGTACACTTTCAGGGACTATTGATTCAGACTTCATGACTCGAGATGAAGGAGCAGTGTCAGCATGCAGATCATACGTGTTAGCGAGTGGGTTGGCACTGGCTATGGTCGCAGCAAATATCATGATGGCTCTGCACAGGACTCGATCGAGTTGGCTTTACAGTCCTCTTCGCCGAGTTGTGCAGATGTATGCCGTCAGCAGTGACCACTCGAGTCCGGAGACCGAGCTTACTGTCGCAGTAAACTTGTAGTCTTCAAAATTGCGACGCGTTCCAAACGCGTTAACTCTCCCCCCACCAAAATTCTCTTGACACTGACCTCAAGTTCCCCGTCGACTGTTACTTTCTTGCAGCGCATCACCAGCTGCTGATTAGTTTCCTGCGCAAGATTACGGAGAGCGTTATTCATTTCACAACCAGATTACCCGCCCTGTATTCTCAGCTTGAATTGCCCGCCTCGAAGATGAATCCGCGTCCGTGACCCCAGCCCCAGAAATGCCCACACGGCTCCGAAATACCGCTGCTGCGGATTCGGCGCAGAAGGAAACTCGCTATGAAATCCCTGGCCTGCAGTTCGGCGATACTCTGACATGGCGCGCGGGCAAACCGATACCAGTCGCAGATCTTCTGGCACGGCTACAAAAGCTCGCTTCAGCATTGCGCAACTATGATCTTGATCAGGTCGACTCACGCGCCTTCACCACCCTGGCACATGATCTTGCCAATGCAAATCTCCTAGGACACAAAGACAAGGGCGTAAGAGCATGGACAGTTTCGTGTATTGTGGACGTCCTGAAAATTTGCGCCCCTGATGCTCCCTTCATTGAAGGCCAACTCAAAGTAAGCATCCGTCAAGTCGGACACTATGATGGAGAATGACTGACGCTATGCCAGGACATCTTCACAGTCGTGATCAATTCTATCCTGCCTGCTCTTGCCGATCCAACGAATGCGTATAATGCGCAGCACGTCTACGTTTTGAGTTCTCTGTCCGAGTCGCAGAGCATCCTGCTGGTCACGGACATTCCGAATCACGATAACCTGATTATCTCTCTTTTTACGGTCGCGTTCGATGTTGTGTCTGGCTCTGGGAAGAGTACCTCGGTTGTGGAAGTATCCAAGAGCGTGGAATACCACTTGAAGAATCTCCTGGTAGCAGTTGTCGACGAAGTTACTCTACCGCAGGAAGTTACAGATGTTATAATCTCCCAGTTCCTCCGCGTTGACGCGGGAGATGTTCAGGATGCTGGCCCCAAGGGCAAGAAGAAAGGCGCGCAGGATACGAAGCAGGCCACTTTGATACTCAAGGACTATCCTCCGGCTTACAACATGGCCAAATCGCTATGCACTAGCTGCCCCGAGAAAATGACTGCCCAAATCACACAATACTTCGGCACAGTCATTGTCGACGCTTCAGCTGCTACAATGACGAATGGCTTCTCCAAGTCGAAGGTGAGGCGGATGTCGGAGGTCGACGATTCCGACGATGAGCATGAGGGCCTGGCAGATTTGCGGAAAGCTCATCGTCTGTTAAGAGAGCTGTGGCGGGCTTGCCCTGATGTCCTCTTGAACGTCATTCCTCAAATCGAAGCCGAGTTCAATGCCGATTCCGCCGCTCTTCGCCAATTCGCCACAGAAACCGTCGGAGACATCACGTCTGGTATAGGCATCGCTGGTCTGGCTCCTTCTGCACCTCTTGATCCGGCGGCGTACCCTCTACCGTCGATTGAACAGACGCCACCAGCTCCACAAACCATCAACCCGGTTCTGACACCGGCATCTCCAAAACCATTCGCGACAGTGCATGCATCTGCATACCAGGCCTTCTATGGACGCCGCATAGACAGGTCACCCAAGGTTCGTGAGGCATGGGCTACCGCAGCTGCAAGGATTTTTATGACCTCAGCTGGTGGCATTGGTTTGAATGATGAGGAGCTGCAGTCATTGTTGTGGGCTTTTGCTCAAACACTCCATGACCAAGAAGAACACGTCCGTTTGGCTGCGATACGGGCGATCAATAATTTTCCCTATCACACCCTCATCAACACATTAGGTGCTGATGGTGGTCTCGCAAAACCAGGCACTGTCTTTACCACACTTGCAGAACGAGTGACGGACCGAAAGCATAATGTCAGGGAAGAGGCAATTGAACTTCTCGCGCGAATATGGGGAACGGCCTCGAGAGACATTGAACAAGGTGTGCCCTTCGTCAGAGAAGCGGTTGGTGATATCGCAAACCGTTTGCTGCGAGCCTTTTATACCAACGACCCACACGTCCATGCTGTTATCGACAGAGCTCTCTATGCAGGCCTTTTGCCGTTATCGTTTCCACCGATCAAAGGTCAAAAAGCCGACAGCCAGAAACACCGCACCAGTCTGAAGGAGGGAAGCTCCCAAGAACCTCCTCATACTGACCCTGATGCTGTCAGAGCGCGTCGCATTTTGACACTGGTTCAAACCCTGGAGGCAAAATCTCGTGCAGTCTTCTTCAACCTCCAGAACCGCCAAGTCCAGCTAAGCAAAGGAATGACTATTTTCGTACAATCATGTGAGGACTATAATGGTGGTGTCGTTGAAGACGACGGATCTGAAGCCCAGATCAAGGAGCGCCTCGGTAAGTATATCGAGGTAATATCCAAGTCATTCCCAGATCCTGGCGTTGTCTCCGCAGGCTTGTGGAAGTTTGCGAAGCAACATGATCGCCGTGCCTATCAGTTGATCCGGTTTGCCATTGGTGCCGAGAACGATTACCGCACAGTGACCAAAGCCATCAAGGAGCTTATAAAGCGGATTCGCGAAGGACCGGCTAATGCTCAATCGTTGATCGACACGATCCAACCCATTCTGTACCGCTGCGCGTTGATCACTTACAACCGTAGCCATGTACCGACTATCATGCAGATATCGAGAACAGACGAGGGTGGTCTCGGGGAAGTGGCTCATGAAATCCTGAAAGAGATCTCAGCACGGCATCCGGAGGTCCTCAAGTTTCACATCCAAGCACTCTGCAAGGAGCTCGAAGAGAATGCACCTTCCTCCACGAAACCCGAAGAAATGGGTGCTGCGGACACGCTCAAAGCCTGTGCTGTATTTGCTCGAAAATATCCAGCTGACGTTCCGAAAGACCGCCAATTCTTGACTGCTTTGACGAACTATGCTTTGTTTTCCAATTCACCGCGAGCCGCGAAGCACGCGGTGTCGATTATATTGATGGTGGCTGAAAAGAAGGAAATGTATGCGAAGGACCTTCTGTCAAAGACTCTCAAGGATTGCAAGCCTGACTCTCCCCATTTCCTATCTAAACTGGCAACTATTTCACAAATTTGTCTTCTGGCACCGGCTGCAGCTAGTGAGGAGAGCGATGCTATCCAGCAGCTCGCTGTCAAAGATATTCTGCGGACCAATCGTTCTCCCAGCTCGGAGGAGGATCCAAACGCCTGGATGGACTCGCCTGACGAGGAAAGCCAAGCTAAAAGTCTGGCATTGAAGATCCTTGTCAATCAATGTCGCTCCCACGATGAAAAAACTAATGAGTTCGACGAAGCTGCAAGAGAGGTCTTCAACATGCTCACGTCCTTGATCAAAAACGAGGGTGAAATAACACCGACCCGCGATACACCTCCTGCGCAAAAGAACTGTTTGCGGCTCACCGCGACCCACTTTATTCTGAAACTCTGCAGCCATCAGCGAAAGTGTGAGGATTTTATCAAGCCGGCTATGTTCATTACTATCCTGATGACCATGATCAATCCCCCCAACCCGGTGCGCGTTGGGTTTGTCAGCTACCTCAAAAAGTACCTTGGACAGAACCGTCTTGCGCATAGATGGTTCACTGCCATGTTCCTTCTCGCTTTCGAGCCGGACGTCGAGCTTCGCAACTCAGCGATGATCTGGATGAAAGCACGAGTTCAATACTTCTCGAATCAGCAACTCAAAAATTCTAGTGAAAAAAAGGCGCCTCAAAATGTCATGGAGTCGATATTTGCTCGCTTGCTCAGCTTGCTGGCACATCACCCTGATTATCCAACTGAGGAAAGTGATGACTTCAGTCGGGATTTATTGGACTTTTCCAAGTACATAATCTTCTATCTTTGCACAGTTGCGACCGAGGACAATTTGTCATTGATCTTCCACATTGCACAACGAGTGAAAGGAGCCCAGGACGGCATAACAGGCACGGCCGAGGCATCCGAGCGACTCTATGTGCTTTCCGATCTTTCTCAAGCTGTGATCCGAAACTATGCGGACCTCATGCCGGCACACGCAAAGGGCGTGAATCTCCTCCAGACGTGGCCTGGCAATGTCACACTGCCTCGATCTCTTTTCAGGGCACTACCGAGTCATGAGGCAGCACAGGAGATTGCTGAGAAGAACTATCTGCCTGAAGATGTGGCCAGTGGACTTGAAAAGTTGGTGCGAACGTACGCCAAATCCTTGAAGAATGCCGGCAAGGAAGGCAGAAAGGCTCTGGCTGGCAACAAGAAGCGCAAGAGCCATACTGTGGGCTTGGATGGTGAAGATGATGGCGGAGAGGAGAAGAAAGTGGTTAAGAAGCCTAAGAGGACGACGTTGGCCCTCCGAAAGACACCAAAGCCGCAACGGAAGAGCAGTGAGACAGTGAGCCCTGAAATGCCATCGCGAAAGAGTACGCGCGTGTCGACTACGAAGTCTTATGTCGAAGCAGATAGCGATGACGACGACGCTGAGATGGAGGAGGTGGAGAGACTTGCGAGCAGTCCCATGTCTAGTCGTCGGAAGAAGGCTCAGCCTCAGCCTCATGAGGATGAGGATGAGGACGAACATGAACATGATGAGGAATTGCCTGAAGAAGACGAAGAGAACGAGACAGCGGAGCCTGAGCAAGAGAAGACGGAGGACACGGATGCCCACGTCCACGAAGACGACGATGCGGATGTCGATGAAGGGGATACGGAAATGGTGGATCCCGAAGCAGAAGAGTCTCCGCCACCTCCGAAAGAAAAGGACAACTCTGGTTCACCGATGAAGGGCAAGGGGCGGAACCGTGGCGAGCGTGGAAAAAAGGGACCTCCCTCATCGCCTGCAGCAGCGAAGGCGAAGAAGACTGAGCAGCCCGCGCAGTCGACGAGACGGACTCGCAGTTCGAAGACGTGAGTCGAGGATGCAGCTGCTGGTCCAGGACTTGGTCAAGCGCGCAGCAGACATTGCTGTGTATGATCATGAGTTGTGCCATGCCTGAGTACGATTGAGCTTGATGCATAATGATTGAGTCTTCCAGCTCTTCTAAGTACAATATTATTTCTGCCACTTCTCCGTGAGATTGCAGATACATACACGAGGTAACATCACATTAGTACTGGTGGGCCTCGCGCTCCTTGGAGCCTTGGTGTACTCAGGCTGAAGCTCCCATAGGCTAGTGTGGCGTTGGATGTACTGTATGTGCTTCGGGCGGAGGAAAAGTCGGGGTCTGTTGCTTACGCTGCTGATCCTGATATTCCTCGCTTTCTTTTCGTCCTTTCATCATCTCACGTTCAACAATGGTTGGCGATTTCAGGCGCCCTATGCGGTTCATATGCTGACCGCCGATGTATATCTTGTCGATTCTTTGTCCTGCTTGTTTTCCTACTTATAAGGCGCGTATTGCAGTGAGTGAATCTGTCTTGTGATGCCTATCGACTTGCCCGTTTGATTTCATTTCTACGCGTTCAACGGCCCTGGTTATTTCATCCGTTCAACCACATTTTCGGCCGTCAATATTCCAGACTTGAGACTTCTCAAGAGAGTGAAGGCCAATCATGGCACCCCGGACAGATACATCGGTCATCATCGACGCTCCGCCCGCTCAGATTTGGGACATCCTGGCAGACTTCGACCACTGGAAAGATTGGAACACCTGGTTTACTGAGATTCATGCACATGACCCAGACGTGAACGTCGGCACACCAGTCACATTCACGAGCGCACCGTCCGAGACCGCGAAGCCGGGGACCTACACTGTGCGGATCTTCACATGGGAGCCAGAGAGGGAGATTTCTTGGAAGGGAGGACCAATGCCTGCGAGTCTGGGTTGGGTGATGCAGGGATATCACTGGTTCAGACTCGTGCCGCAGGATGGATGGAAGAAGACGATGTTCGAGCACGGAGAACAGATAGAGGGTATCTTGAACATTCTGGTGACGAAGGGGATTATGGATGGCTTGAAGGGACAGGCTGAGAAGTTCAATAAGGAGTTGAAGAAGAGAGTCGAGGGCGGAAAGAGTGCCTGAGGGAGGCACGACGAGGGTGAGACTGAGACTGAGCAGGTGCGTGGGCTCTGGAATGCTCACTTGATGGCTTCCATGTTGGGGCAAAGAAGCAGCTGCCTGACAAGGCAAAGCAGGTATGGCTTCCTTCATGGTGGACGTGCAAGCTGACTGACACACTAGAACTGCTCCTCCTCGCCAGCAATATGGTCATGCATGTTTGCCTACGATACAATCCTCCTTTCCAGGATATACCTATCGATTTAGATGGCAAATAACGGTTGGTGACTGGCCTCTTTGTTGTCTTGCTGCCTGCCTTTCATAAGATTCTAGGGAGTGTTTGTTTGACAATATTGCAATCAAACAGCCAGCAATGGACTCATTGGTTTGTGTTTTGCTCCTTGTTCAGGCAAACGGTGACGAGCGTGATGCACAAACACCAGTCGCAACGGATGGATCAGTATATCATACGTGTTGTTTCTCAGCAGAATGTTGCTCCCATTTTGAACCCTCCTGAATCTCTATCTTCACTGCGACGCCGTCAATATGTCGAAGCCTCCTGTTTCCTATGCGAAGGTTGCAGCTGGCTCTTCTTCTTCCGCACCACCTCGGCAGGCGGGCTCTGTACCCAGAAATGCGCAACCGCAGCAAGGTCCTCCTCCGCCCGGCGAGATGATACCTCCAACTGGTCCTCCCACCACCACAGCAGACTCTCGGTCAGGGCGTACGCTCAACCCTAGGGCGACTGAGTATCAGCCCGGATCCGCTCCTATTTCTGCAATGACTGGGACCGCCTCTACCAGCAGCACGTCGACACCTCAACAAAACCGCACTCAACCCCTGACGGCACCCCGGCAGGGCCGTGTTCTCAACCACAGGGAACCCCCGATTGGTAGTGCTATGGCAGCATCACAACAGCAGTCGAGCCTCAACATGCGGAGCATGTCGGATGCGCTTCCACAAATGCAACAACCTGCTGTGAAACCCTCACAGACCTTGTTAGCAAATCATTATGGGATCATCATTGGTGGATACAGAGATCTGTACAGATATGATCTGGAATTCAAGAGGATCCCGAAGCAGAATGACCCCGAAATGCAGGATTCAAAGAAAGCTAAGAAGAACAAGGCTGGTGACGGCATCGGCCGACCAAAGAAGAAAAGAATTGTCTGGCTTCTCATGAGGCAATTGAAGAATGCGAACCCCAAGATCCCGTTGGCAACAAATTACAGCACCCAGATCATAGCAGCAGGGACGTTCCCAAAACCAGATGGCATACCATGGACGATCCCAATCATATACTTCGACGAGTATCTGGAAGAGCCAGGTCCGGACCCAGAAACGTTTGAGGTTGTCATTACCGGTCCCAAGGTTCTCTCCATTACACGCTTGATGCAGTACCTCGACCAGGGAAATGCCTCTGTCAATCGGAACAACTACTTCGACGAAGAAGACACTGTCGCTGCGTTGAACCTTGTTTTCAGCTATCGGCCATATCAGAGATGCTTTCCGGGATTGAATTCTGAACCGACTCTCACAACTCAAACAGGAACCACGTTTTACGGAGTTACAAGATATATGCCAAAAAGCCAGGTGGTCACCTCGGACACAGGACCGCCTCAAGAACCCCCACAGCTCGGTGGTCTGGACAGCATGGTTGGCTTTGCCAGGAGTGTCCGTGCAATCAGCTGCCCACTAGGACGGCTCAATTTGAACATCAATACATCATCAGCAATCTTTTACGAGCGTGGCAACCCTGAGAACGTCCAAAGCCTGATATCAGCCTGGATATGGAAGCATGCCCGTCACGGTCAATGGAATGAAGGCCGCTCGAGAGAGCTCAGTCGATTCCTGCAAGGCCTCCGTGTCTGGACAAACTTCAAGGGAGAGCGGGCAGACCATTATGGAAGAATCACCAAATTGGCGAGGCCCGATCCTCCTGCTTGGAGAACCCCAACCGCAACCAGTTGCACAATGGTCACATCAGGCTCGCAGACGACTGAGAGCGTGAGCCAGCACTTTCGAAGAGTGTACAACTGGAACCTCAACCAGAATAGCTTTGTGGTTGTGCTTGGCGATGGAGAGCACGCCATAACGGTGCCTGCTGAGGGATTGTATGTCATACCGGGACAAATCAACAAAAATACAATCGAATTGCCCAGTGGCGCAATCAGAGAACCATGGGAAAACAGAAACCTCATCGAGGAGTATGGTCGCTCAGTGTTTCTGGGCGCAGACAGACGCGAAGGAGGAGCACTGGAGTTTGGTCTCCAGCTCGAGTACGAAATGTTGAAAGTGGCGGTCACCGGCCTTGATATACCCGGAATCGAATATGGAAACAGCCGTGTCAAGCCGTTTAAGTGCAGACAGGGTTCTTGGGATCTCATGGAGACTAAATACTTTCGACCCGCAATCCGCCAAGAGCGTACTTGGACATGTCTTGATCTGTATGCGGCAGATAGCGAAAGATCCCCAGTGCAGGCATTGGCAAGTTTCAAAGACGCTTTTGCGAGTGCACTCGTAAACCATGGCCTGACGAATTATTGGCATCGTGGTGACGAGCTCGGTGAGAGCCATTTGAGACTGCCACACAATCCCCTGCCAGGAATATTCGATGCGGCAAAGCTAGGTCACCAATACGACACAATTCACAAGAGACTAGCCAAAGAGAAGGCCGCTGGTTCGAATCTGGTGCTGGTACTTCTGCCGTCCAAGAACATTGAATTGTACAGCGCCATCAAAAAAGCTGCAGACCAAGAGGTTGGGATTGCCACAATCTGCCATGTGAAGGGTCGGGGTATCCCCAAAACTTCACCACAATTGCATTCAAATCTGACCATGAAAGCCAACTTGAAGTTGAGTAGAACCTCTGTGAACCAGAGATTGTACAGCAAGGGGAAGATCCTGACGAATCGGACAATGATCATTGGAATTGATGTCACTCATCCAGGCAGCAGCGCTCTGACCGATTCGCCCAGCATTGCAGCTGTGGTTGGCAGCGTGGACGATGAATTTGCGCAGTGGCCAGTGAGTTTCAATGTCAATTACCCTCTCCCAAAGGACGAGGACCGAAAAGATGGCAAGAGAAAACAGGCAAATGAACAAGTGCTTGATCTGAAGGAATTGGTCTACCAGCGACTGAAGGCTTACTACGACTACAAGGGACGTCGTCAGATACCTGACAAGCTCATTGTGTATCGGGACGGTCTTTCAGAAAGTCAATTCGAAATGTGCCGCACCCAAGAGCTGCCCAAGATCCAGGCGGCTTTGAGTCAGATAGTACAGCAGTATGGGGTTTCAGGTGCTGTGAACCCGCCCATCCTTCTCATTTGCGCCGTGAAGAGACATCATACCCGACTGTATCGACACCAACATACCCACTCAAACCTCTTGATCAATGGAAAAAATAACAACCAGAATCCTCTGCCAGGAACTCTTGTCACAAGTGGTATTACTTATGGGAGAGGTCAAGACTTCTTCCTCATCAGCCAGAATGCCATCAAAGGTACGGCAAGACCGACACATTATGTGGTTCTGTCCAATGAGAGCAATCATCACTTGCAAGATATTGCGCAGATGGTAAGTGAGACACTCCAGTGTGATTAGTATTGACTAACGGCCTCGGGCCTGATAGACTCACAATCTGTGCTTTCTCTTCGGTCGTGCAACTCGCTCGGTTGGTGTTTGTCCGGCAGCATACTATGCCGATCTTGCTGCCGACCGCGCGCGATGCTACGCCAGGCATATCTACAACCCAGCGGAGAAGAGACAATTCGATCGAGGATCGGATCGGCTCAATCTCGACATTGCGGCAGACTTGCAGGAGACAATGTTCTACATCTGAGCGTCAAGCAATATCGGCCTTGGCCTTTTGCCAACAGGTTGGCAACCACACTAACCAGTTCTTCTCTTTCTTCGCCATTTTAGGGATCTCGGAGTTTCTTCATGTCAGTCAGTTTCTCAATACCAGTGGTGTTCATGCTCTGGAGGATATTTCTTTCAAATTTTTTTGGGCGTGGCGTGGCGGTGCGGTGGAAGCAGGTCAGAACCGAAAAAGAGCCTTTGGACATTGCTCCATAGGCTCACCGAAAAAAAAAGGCTCTTTGGTCTTTGTAACTCTCATATCTTGTCTTGGAGTTGAAACGGGTGGAGGAAAGAATAGAAAATGATCATTGGACATCTCGTTCGTTGACACAGGAAGAAAAAGAAGGGTTGGCTGTTGTCTTGCGTTTAGTGTTGGGTTTGGACGGCACTGGTTTTCGGTGGAGAAGGCACACTCCAGTGGTGGATCGTTGGCAACGTCTTCTAAGTATGTAATTGACCATGGATCAGCAGAAACAGAAAGATCTAGGTGGTAATTCGATTTGATTTTGATTTTGCATCATTGACATATCCAAGGATGGATCCAGCAAGTACTACTCCTATGCACGTACAACCAGGTAAATACACAGGTAATCCAATTTCATCGGCTCGGAATGGTCAAATGCAACCTGACAAAATAAACAGTCTCTCCTTATGTCCCACGCAAAACCGAAGCCAAATTCAAGTCGAAGCCAAACTAAGGTACCCACGTAATTGCTCAATCAAACACCATGGCATATGGCATATTCACCCGCTGACAGTCCTGGCATCTGTAACGCCACCTCACTTCCCAATCCCACATCCCGTCGAAATGGACGGTTCAAGATCGGCCGGCATCTTGGACTTAATCGAGCTTGTGACTGCACTCGTCCCTGCAGCTCTGGTTCCCGCTCCATAGACATCGTCATTACCATCGCCTTCGACATCGCCATTGACATCCTTCGGGCGGCCTTGGGCAGGAGCAGCAGCGGTGGCGGCAGCAACAGGCTCTTTACAATGACACGGCATGCCAGGCGTATTGCAAATACACGCGAGGTCTGCGAACGAGCCTCCGACGTGGCTTGCACCTTGTGGTTGATAGAACGGCGGAGCTGCAAGAGCGTCGGGATCGATCTGAGGTTGGTGAAGGGCGCCGAAAGGTTTTCCATCTCGACTGTAATCTGACTTGCCGAAGCCGTCGAAGCGGATTTTCCAGGCTAAACAGAGCAGTTAGTTTATACGTGATAAGCAGAAGGTAGTTACTCCGGATCGGGAAGAAGGAGAAGGAGAGCTTACTATTGGGAAACGGAACCATTTCATCCCACTCTGCAGTGAGAAATGTGTCTGTGGCGGGTCGCAGGATCTTATCGGTGTAGATGTCATCGGTGTTCTCCTTGATCATGTCAACTTGCCGCGAGATTCTTGTCATGCGCATGGGCGCCATGAAGTTCGAGTAGCCTTCAGCCGACGCGTCGATGTTGACTTCCTTGAGACGGCCTTGCGCGTCGTGGGCGCGGCGCGGATTCTTCATCTGAGCAATAGTCTTGATCATACTTGTGACACTCATCGCGGCCAGGTGCTTCGCGTCGTAGTCTGCGAATTGGTCTGTGACACTCGATGTGTGGTTCAAGAAGTCTGCATCGCGTGGTGGGTTGCCTGCTGCTTTGGCAGATTTTATTGCCTCGACATTTGCCCGATACTGATGACATGCTGTTAGCCTTGCACGTAGTTGAACGAAGACCGTGCGGACTTACAAGGTCCAGGATGATCGTGTCCCCTTTCTTCACTGTCCAGACCTTCCCTTCCTTGTCCCGGAACTCGCGATCCTCAAGTGCTGTCCGGATCACTGGCAGCCGAATGCTGGTCCTCTCTGCGTCTGAGACGAGCTTCGTGAGCACTTCAAAGCTATCCTTGTCTTCACTAAATGCGAGATCTTGAATTTGCAGCCATGCTGGCCGGGCAGAAGACGCCGTCTGTAAGTTGGCCTGCTCATACATCTCTTTCAGGAAATGGTTGAGAACAGACGTAAACTGGCCTCAAGTGTCAGTGCATGACAGTAGTGTCCGCTTTGGACTATTTTTGGAGTACTTACAGCCAGCACGGAATTGTATGCAGCATGGAGTCCTACGAACACAAGGATTGCTGCACCCTTGCTGGTGCTTTGCTCATATTTGAGCACATGCTGAGCAACCTGGAATCCAAGCTCGGTCATGGAATTATCTCTTTTCCGTCCGAAAAGCTGCTGGGAGATCATCGATCTGCTTGCTTCGTAGATGTTGCCATTCAATGTCAGATTGTAAAGAAACTCCATGGATGATTTGAATGCTTTGCGCCTCTTCAGCAGCTTCGTTTCGTCGGCGTTGTACGACAAAAAGACTTGACAGTTCGTGATGTGTTGATAGATCTCGTTCTCCGAATGTGGCGCTTTAGAATTCTTTTCGCTGCGAATGAGGTGACCGAAACCCAGGAAATCAGCAACATATCGGGTAGTGACAGGGATCGCGAAACTGTTCAAGGTCAGCACTGGGTCGAGCCTGCGACAGGCGTCCTCCTCGAGCACAACTTACTCTCTTGTGGCATCGAGCTGATACGTTGTATTATTCATGGTGATGGACTCCCGCTTGATGATGTAACGCATGATGTCTGTAAAGTAGTCAATCATTGCTTCTGTGTCTTCACGGACCCGATTTGCTGGGTTGGCTGCTTTTGGTTTCTTCGTTCTGACTCCTTGTTCGAAGATTTCTTGCATCTGGTCTGGGAAATTTGCCAGCTCCTTCAGCGCAGGATGCAAGAAGTCCGCAGTCTCATCGTTTAAGATGGCAGAGATCCTATCAGCTTGTGTCAAATATACCGGCTTCCAGGGTCTCGCAGGCGCGGAGGCAGCCACATCGAAGATGGGGTTCTGTGTTTCTACGTCGATGCCCACAGGGTCCATCGACATCTTGAAGTCATGCGCATATCCCTGTTCTTTCGCGAATCTGGCGTTCTGCTGTGAGGTGTAGAATGGATGGAAGAACCGAACCGAGTTGTAGGGGAACCATCCGGGGAATGCGCGTTGCAGGAGGCGATGGAAGACAGAGCTCTTGCAGACGTCGTTGTCCTCGGTGACCTCCTTCATGCCCCAAGATGTCAAAGAGTTGGTGTTCCAGTCCACAGTGTAGAAGCGATCTGAGCGCACGAGAGTGATGGCGTCAGAGAAAATCGCGGCCCAGAGAGCTGCATCGACATCGCTGGGTCCCGGATCCAATCCCATGTTCTTGTCTGACTCACAAAACACTCCGGGGTATAGTTCAATCTTGTCTGGATGTTCGTACAAGTCCCGCAGCGCATTCTGAATCTCGAGGTTGCCCGTGACACTCTCGAATGTTTCGTGTCTGGACATGCCGAAGAACTCTCGGAAATCATTAAGGGTGCCCACTTCCCATTTGCGAGCCTGCATGATACCCAGGATTTCCACAGGTTTCAAGCACTTTGGGATATTTCGAGGCCCAAAGTTGGAAATGGGGTCGTCCATAGCGGCCGTGAGTGCATCCATCATTTGTTGGTCGTCGAAAAGTCCAGTAATCGGATTCCGCTGAAAGTTGAGTTTCTCATCGTGCTCAAGGCCGAATGTGATCTCCCAAGGCTCGACTGTGTGAGTTGCCTGAAGCTGGCCGACAATCTTCATTGTGTTGATGAATCTCTCTAGAGGTATGTCCTTTGGATTTTCGAAGCCCATCTTTTCTCTCATGAACTCTTCCGTGTATTTTTCGTCCTTTTGAGAGATGGCGCAATGGAAGCGATAGAGCAAATTAAACTCGACAGTCACTTGATTACCAATGCCTCGAGAGACGCTTCTGTGGTCGATATCCATTCGGGGATCCAGTGTGAAGTTGGTGTCGTACTGATGGAACCCCATCAAAGCTCTCAGATAGTCATGGACGGAGACTTGAACGTACAAACCGCATGTTATGAGACGAGCAGTGTTGAATAGATCGTCGTCGAGCTTGTCCCAGGCTGCGTCGTACCCTGCTTCAAACGCTTTGCGTTCTGCGTTAGTGTGGCGTTTGCCCTGAGCAATGTAGTCTTCGAGGACTCGTTGGCATTCTTGTAAGCGATGGCTCTCCGCAGAGTTCTTAAAGCTCTCAGCGGTCGCCTTAGCTCTCTTGTCGGCCTCTATACGTGCAGCTTCGCGCTTCTCCTCCTTTGCCTTAAAGTCGAGGTGCACATCTAGGTCAATCTGGCGCAATGCCTTGGCTAATTGGATCTTGTCAGCGTCAAGAGGAGGCTGCTTAGCATGATACTCTTTCCAAGCGTCGTTGTATCTCTTGCAAGCATCAACGAAACCCGCGCCTGTGGTGTCCTTGCCGAACTGTCTTGCCACTGCTTCAAGCTGCGTACCTTGATATTTGCCGGGCACACTGAATCTGCCATTTTCATTTATGCGTCGAAGCTGAGTTGCAGCGTAGTTGTGGTAACGGTTGTACATGACGAGCATGATACAAACACCAGGCGGCTGTCGCAAGAGTCGGTCTTCAGCAAATGTGTCGGGCTTCAACAGGCCAAGTTTGTACTTATCATCTCGGACCTTTCGCTGCATTTCCATCGTGTATCCATAAAGCGGAGAGAGGTCGAGATATGATGAACTGTCTGAGATGTTCTTGTCCTTGTCGTTGGTGCGAAATATGTCATGTATGATAAGAGTTGCGTGGTAGACCAACATGGCAGACAGTCCCGACTGGCTGTCCCGACCACCTTCCTGTCTTGCCATCAAGCGATCGAACAGATCACCCGGATCCGGAAGTGCTCCAAGTGGATGAGTCTTTGAAGGCACCGTCTTAGCGTATGGGGCACCGGCTTGACCGAGATGCGGATTCAAAACATTGTTGAACTTGCCATCTGCTTGGCGATACTGGAACGCATCCCCAAGGTAGGTGAGTGGAGGGTGGAGCATTTTGTCGTATTTAGTTTTGACTTGGCTCTCAATCAATTGTTGTCTTCTGTTGCTATCATTTGAGAGCGCAGCAACTAGCCCGGCGCCGGCTTTCATCTGAAATGACGGTCGTCAGTACGACAGAATGCTTCTTCAAGGCTGGCGTGCACTAGACTTACATCAACACCAAGTCCACCAAGAAGTTTGCTTGCAACCTTTCCAATTGCCGGTAGATTTTTGAAGCTGAGGATGCGGCGGAAATCGTCTGCAGAGTTCTCCCAGCCCGCAATGAATCCTTTCGGAGTAACCTTGTCCTGCAGCCTCGTCAGCCAAGCTCGACATGGACTCGAAAGGGCAAGCAGTGGTCATTTTCAACTTACGCCGATGAGTTTGTCACCGTGGAAGCCAGCATACTCATTGCCATATTTCAGATTCTTCATTTCAAGGTTGAGTTGAAGCAAGTCATCCTGCATTTTCCCAGTCGACACAGCCTGACCATTGATGTTTTGGCTGTATGAGCCATTCATCCCTGTGGCGGTCGACATGTCCAAGGAAGACTGGACTGACATGTTCGCAGTGAATGGTGGAGTGGTAGCTTCAGAATGGAATTGGAAGACTGTCTGGACCAGCTGGGGGATGCCTTCTAGAAATATGCTGTGGGAGATCCATGTCACTGAGCATGTTCCGCTTCCAGCGGGCCAATTCGTCCAAGCCGCAAGGCATCGTCATCTTAGTCCTGGAGGGCCTCCTCCAAAGAAACAGCAGGGTGACCAATCTCTTTGCGAGACGGTGGCTTGATACGAGATCAGCTCAAACGGCCAGCAGTTATGTCGACGTGTCACAGGTTTCGATCACTTCGAGGGGCTTCCAAATTGCATCCCCAGGACGGGAAGTTAGCATTCTCAAAGTCTCGCTTCTACCATATGCACTGCAAAGCTCGAGCACATGACTGGCACGAGCTCTCAAATGTGCATATGTGGTGTTGTAAACTCGACCAGAGTGACATAAAACAGCGATGAGTGGCGGGCTGAGGAATGCAGCCTGAAGCCTCTCCGCATTTCAGCTCCTGCAGGGTAGATCCGAATCAGGTCAAGTGTACCGAATACAACTGGTCGAGGGTCTCTGTTCAGCAGCTGCGGGCTGGGAAAGTGTCGGTTCGACCGATCTAGACGTGTCTTTCCTGTACGTGATGCTGAGATTGCGAATCAGGTGTCTCACAAATATTAGCAATCCTTTCTCCCTATGGCCAGAGACGTCCGAGGGCGAACGACGACTCCCAACCTCAGGGTGTTTGCGTTTTCTGTGATAGCAACCCCATGGCCAGTATATAGTCTTGCGCCAGGTGTTTTGTAGTATCCTCTTAAGACTCCTTTTGGTCTTACAGCTTCACTGTAGAGAATGGGGGACGCCGCCAATTCAACTGAGAGCACGCCTCTCCTCTCTTCGATGCTGTCGAAGGGGACGTACGCCCCGTCTGGGCCAAACGACAAAAGAAGTCCTTGTCCGCTAATCAATTGCCTCGCAAATCATGGCTACATCAACCGCGACGGCCGCAATGTCCAGGCTAGTCAGCTCAATGCAGCAATGAATGAAGTTGGCCTCTCCACGGCTCTTGGAACGGTCTTCGCCCAACCCATTTTCAACGAGCACCAGGAACCAAAGACGGTACAATTGCGGAAACAACCAGGGCTTTTAGCACGTCTTTGGGCCTTCATCCATAATCCTTGGATCGTTCTGGCAGTGTTCGGCATGCGCAGACGCGGTCAAGTCGACTCGAAGGGCAAGAAAGTCCTCGACCTTGATCAGCTCGGTTTGCCAGGAGTGGTCGAACATGATGTCTCTCTCACGCGCCGCGACCACCTGCAAAAACAAGGCAATATTACCCTTCAACAAGATCTAGTGGCAGATCTCCTAGCAAGCTCAAAGAATGGCAAGACCCTCACCATGGAAGATCTGGCGACTTTTAGAAAGCGCAGAATCCAACGACAACTTGATGACAATCCCGGGTTACAATACGGACACTTGCAGCACGAGATTGGGTGCGCGGAGATCGCCCTTGTTCTTGACGTGTTCGGAAATGGCAAGAGCGTCCCGTGTGATTATGCTCGAGCGTTCTTTGAGGAAGAGCGGCTGCCATCAAAGGAAGGCTGGAGGAAAAGATGGCTGTGGACCTTGGGGTTTTGGGAGCTGGCGAGCACTGTCAGCAAGGTGAAGGCGGCAATTGGACTCCGGATTTGATCTCAGGGTAGAGAGGAAGGAGTTGTCTGATGGTATTCCTGATTACCTGAGGACTGGAGCGGTTTCTCATAACACTGTCAATGTATTGTTTCAAAATATCAGGAGATTGACGAGATTGACACTCTTATTGCTTCAGAGAAAAGCACCTCTTGACAAGGCTGCACTGTTCAACACTCGGCCGTCAACTTCTCGCAAGGCTGTGATGGCTGTCTAATATCTTCCGCATTTAGTCAGATAGCAATCTCACACTGTAAATCGATGACACTCTGCGTGCATCATCCATCCCATCATGCCTATGCGCGATCTTGTTGTCACTGACTAGGCTTCGAAAACATCCTCCCCAACCATTTCCCTCACAACCTGCACCCACCGGCGTACTTCTTGTTCAACTTCCTCGTCATCGTCCTCGAGGCTCTCATTTACATATACCATAGTCTCACCACTTCCACCCACACCTTCAGTACTTGCGCCAACAACGACGTTATTGACCCATTCCTCGCCCACATTCTCATCCTGCGTGAGCGCGAGGTGAGTTCTTATCCCGCTCAACCTCACGCCAGCACTTTCATCGTGCCGCAATTGGCACAAATTGTGATTTATCGCATGGTGGTGCGAGGGCGTGTCCATCGTACTCGTTGCCAGGGCCACGATGGCAGGGATGACCAGTTCCGGAATGACGGCACGAAGGGCTTTGGATTTGATGGAAGAGAGAGTGAGTTGTGATACCAGCAGCTCCGACAGCGGAGAGAAGTGGCTGGGCGACGCGAAGAAGCCATCTGCATCATGTTCCATGACTGTCCGCAGCAATCTAAGGGTCGACTTGTACAGCGCAACATCATGATCCGAGAGAGCAGCATTAGAGGATGAGATTGTAGAACGAAGGATATCGTTCGCCGGTCCAAGGACATACCCTGCAAAGCTCGTCGCAATACTCTTCAGTGTGGCAAAGAAGTGGTTGACAAACCCAAAGAGACTCGATGTTCGTGCAGTCTTTGCGGCGTTGGTGAACTCGGCTTCAGACAGATCAGTGGGTTTGACTGCCCACTCGATCCAGGTCTCAAACAGCGGCCGGAAGGTCGTGTCGTTGAGTTTGTAGATGAATGGAATAGCTAGTAATTGAAGTTGCGATTCGATTGCGGTGATATCCTCTGGTGACAAGCTGTTTTGACCATTGTCGGAGACTGCCTGACGTCGGAGGTCCAACACTTGCAGCATGAACGTGGATATTGACTCTGCGTTGCGGACGACTGTGGACTTTGTACAACGTTTGATAGCTTGAGAGAGAAGATCGAGATATTCTGTCACCGTTTCGAGTTCGAGCTCTGGTGAGGTATCCTTCCACACCTGGTTCAGACTGGCCATTACCGTACTCAGATCGATCCTGTTGGCCACCAAGCTCAATGTTTCAACCCGGGATTCTTTGCAATATGCTCCCAAATTGGCGAAGCATGATTTGCGGCACACCTTCAGAATCTCAGACACATTCTCGTCAGACACCATGAACGACACGTGAGACAAGAACGATGACAGAAGTGTGAAAGCCGCATTGTGCAACTCGGCATTCCGGACATTGTCTGCGATGCTCGAATCCAACAAACTCAGCACCTTTGACATTGACTGTGGCACAATTGGGACAGCTGCCTCTCTTAAGACCTCCATTGCAGAAGCCAAGCAGAGAAGAGACATGACCTGCGTCCTGGAGTCTTGGGAGTTGAGACCATAGTCGGAATCGATCAAAACATTTGAAACGGCCATGATCGCTTCGGGACTCTTGCGGCCGTAAACCTCGATAATGCGATCCAAGCACGCGATAGCTGCGTGTCTGAGTGCTTCATCCTTGGTAGAGTCAATCACAGTCTCGATAGTAGGCAGGAGAGCCATCGCCTCAGACTGAGTCTTGCTATCTTTCGGTGCGTTATGTCGAAGTTGTGTAGCCAATACACGCAAGGCTAGAGGTTGCAGCTCCTTGTCATCCACTTGTTCCATCTCCTGTAGGAGATTAGGCATAACATGCAGCAGCTCTGCTAGTGAGGGCAACTCCAACAGTGCGCTCAGACATTTCCGTGTGGACGATGTCAAAGCTGGGTGATGCACTTTTTGATCCTTGAGCATGGACAGCAGCTGGGTGAGGCAATTTCTGTACTGGGTCCAGAATGCATCGGTAACGGACTCACCCAATCTGCCTATGCGCTTGACTTGCGCTTTGAAGCCTTTCGATGCAAGCAGTTTTGCAGAAGTTTGGAGCAGGACCTCGGCTTCTTGCTCTCGTTGTTCTTTCTTGCTGGTCTTTGTGATGTCAAGCAAGGGCTCTGCATTATGAGGATTTGTGGAGAAGACATCATTCACCAACCCGAGTATCTCTCTCTGCGTTGATATTTGTGTCGCAGCCGGCAATGCATCCATCAAATTCGAGAAGAAAGCTGACGTATCCTGCTGCCGTCTCCTCGAGGCAAGCATGGCGATGATTGCAAAGGCAAAGTCTTCAGTACCGAGTCTGTTCAGCAATCTCTGGTAGAATGCAACTCGCCGATGTGGCGGAATATGGTCGAATGCCGTGACAAAGCTCGAAAGCAGGCTAGATGTCGAATGGACCAGGTTATTGGCATCCTGTTTCTTCAAAGTTGCAACCAAAGGAGGAATTATTTGGTCGATTGCTTGGTTTGTGACGTAGATTGACCTTTCATCTTCTTTCGCGAATAGGTTGTGGCCCATGAAAGTAAATATCGGCATGATAGTATGCAATATCCTGTCAGGCACCAAAGATGCCAAAGACGCCGCGAGTAACAAGGCCGTGCTTTGAACCTGAGGGTTCTCCGAAGACCGAGCACAGTCGATGACCAAGTCGGCGCGAATCTTTGATACATCAATGTCGGGTTTTCGCGCTTCTCGTGCTTTGGCAACGATGGCCAATATACTGCTCAGGCACAAAGTGATCAAGTAAGGAGACTCTGGAACGCCGCTGCTTGCAGTGCGTCTCAGTGTGACCAGGACTTCAAATAAATCTCCCATCAATCGAGAATGATTTTCGGGTCCGGAGTTTTCGAGAAGCTCTAAGGCAAACGTTAGCCGCGATTCCATGTCATTCATCGCCACGAGCAATTCCCGAGGGAGACTGTCACGACCATGGCTGGTTCTCCGCTTCTTTTTAGGTGGTGCATCAATCTGCAGCTCAGCAACACTTGCGTATGATAATTCGAGGAAGGAAGAAAGTAAATCTGTCGAAAGTGTAACGGACTGTAGTACGTTACGGCTCCCGCTTGCGATGCTGCTGAAGTCGGAGAATGCCATCTGGAACAATGCAGCTCCAGATATAAATTGCGATTCGTGCCGGAGGTCTTTCCAGATGACGAGAAGTCGTTCGAAAAAGGCTCCCACCAAGTCCGACCTCATATGAGATCTTGCCTCATTCAGCATCCCAAGAACTTGTTCAACTGCGTCTTTGCTTTGACCATTGATAACTTGAACCATTACAGCGTCAACGTGAGAAAGTGACAGTCCGTTCAATGTGGCCAGCCCCTGAGCCTCATCTTCGTTCAGCGATGCCCAGTGCTTGATCACAGGCGCCAAAGCCTTGCTCGTGCTTGTGCTGCCCACTTTTTGGACACCAACGAGTAGCTCGATAATGCGAAGTCTGACTTTCAATAGGGGACTACCTACTGCGCAGTCTGTCAGTAGTTCGAATAAATCGTGTTTCAAAGACTTCTTCAGCTCGACTTTGGCGGCTTTAACGCCCGTGGAAGAAGACCGAGAAGGACTATCGAAAGCAATCTCTAGTGCCGCGCGTATGTGCGAAGCATCAAGGACACATTCTTCCAGAGTCGGGAGATAAACCTGATCGAGGAGCTTGACCGTCTGGCTCGGTGGCAGTAACTTGATGTTCGTCATGGTCAGGCCATCATAAACATCTGTCCCCTTCGACGCACCGGCATCTTCTTTTGAAAGCTCCGAAAAGCGTTTCCGCAAAGCCAGTACACAGGCAACGGTTGCTCGTCTCACAGCCTGAGCTGGATCAGCCAGCAGAGCCGTTAGATAAGGAAGTAACAATTGTGACGGCTGTTGGGACCGCTTCTCGAAACCTCCGGAGAGAATTTGAAGCGCCGTGGCTTGGTGCGAGGCTGGAACAGCGCTGCAGGCAACCCGCAACAAAAAGCTCGTTTGCAAATCCGAAGGCTGTTCCTGAGGATCGCCCCATAGCGACAAAGTCTGAAACCGGGCGATAGCCTCATCACTGCTACGGGAGAGCGCGAAAGCCTGGGAAAGTTGCTCAAATAAAGCAGAGGGTCTGGCCGTCAAGAATGACAAGTCGACGGATTTTGAGGGAAGACTAGCCAACATGGAATCGAGCTTCTCAGATTCAGGAAAGACTTCTGTTCTTGGCCCGTCGAGCTCCATCCGGTCAGATTCAATCAAACCAAGGCCGGTCGTCGTCTCAATGGTGCCTTCAATAGCCGCCTCAACTTCGGTAAAGGACTGGCCCGCCAGCTGCACAGCCTGCGAAAACGCAGGGGAGAAGGCAACATTATCATTTAGCTTCTGCAGCAGAGGGATAAGCTGTCCTCGAGTAGTATCGTCAGTCGTAGCTTTCAACTTGCGCAGCAGGATTGCAATGAGACTGCTAGTAATCGTTGCATCTACCACCTCGGGGCTCATGTCAAACAGCCTCTCAATGAAGGTAACCCGAGCTTCCAAGTTCGACCTTTTCAAACCTGCGAGCGACGAGGTGATCAGACTTTCGACTAACGTATCGACAGGCACTTGGCTTTTGAGCTCGAGCAGTCTTTCTTTCAGGTCACTCATTTTGATAAAAGTGTCAAGGACGACCTTTGGTACCTTGATTTCAGTTTTCCTGGCAGCAAGGATGGTCACACACGCCAATGCTGACTTCGGGTCGGAACCGGTGTCGGCGATGTGTGGTGCGACTGCTCTCATCAAAGAATCGATCGTGCTATCTTCAAGACTTGAATTGCTTGCCAGAAGAAGGGCTGTCGTGAAGCATGTCACAGAGACTTCTGGGCAATCCCTGATCTCGAAGCCCTCAACTAGGAATGGAAATATTTTCAGCAGAGCGTCTTCTAGTCGTTGTTTCTCCACCTCTTTCCTCCCACTTCTGACTTGATTGAGGCGTCCTGTTACCGCCTCAATCACCAGGCTTCCCCAGAACCGGACCAGATGTGGATGACCAGCGCCCTCCTGGCAGGCCCGCAACGTGTAATTGTTGAAGTATGAGAAGAATGCGTTGTTATTAATGGCGCTGTAGACCAAAGCGTGGCGGGGTACATTGGCTGCGATTTTGTGGTAAGGTCCTAGGAATTTCCACTCGTTGACAATTTTATTTGCAGGTATGATGCTCAGAACGCTTCGGAAGACGAGGGTCTCGTGGTAAGGTAGGAAAGTTGCAAGAAGGGCACTGGTGTTGTAGACGTGGACCCGAAATCTTCTGATGAGCCACTCGACCGCTCTTACACCCGGGCGGAGGACGACTTTGGACCCAAGTAGGGCCAAACATCGCTCTACCACGACTCCGAGAGCTTCGTTCTGTGTTTTGCTTAATTGTTCTCTGTCTTGATCCTTGGCCTGGGGGCTGTAAAGGTTCTGCTCGAATTCCCGCAGTCTCGAGTCTAACAGGCACAACTCTTGAAAGCCATCGACGCATATTTGGTAAATTGTATCCCAATCTTGCTTCGCAGCCACCGGTCGATCGAATATGAGAGATTCGGCATGAGCATCTCGACGGGCGCGGAGATCTAACTCGTTGTTGGCATTTGCGGCGATGCTGCGCAACTGTGTGGCGAAGGTCGATGTCATTGCGGGTGTCTTTACCGCGCAGAGAGAGTGCTACGAGGACATCAGGGGTAAGTGAACATCGAATTCAACGGCAAAGGAGACTTTCTCTGCGGTGTGAAGGGCAAAAGCATTGCAGACCTTGAGATGTTACTTTTCCTCGCTGGCAGAATTAAAAAATACTGGAGAAATTAAATGGCTGCGGGGTTAGCCGGATATAACGAGTCAGTCAGAAAGTAAACAAGAAAATTACGAGTCATGCATCACTTTGTAAAAGAGCCTTTTGAACCTCGCAGCCTTCATGGTTTCAAGGCGCGCCATTCATTTCCCATCAAACCAGTTTGATATGTCAAGACGTATTCTCAACCCTCGCTCCATCATGCTCTCGTATAAGTGCCTAAGGTGCTCCTCACCAATAGCCTCCCGCAAGGTCCTTTCCTTGAAAGCAATCATGTAGAGGTCCTTTGACCAGGGACAAGCTCGCAGTGCTGCGTAGAAAGTCTCAGTGAGCATTCTATCTCTTCGAGGCCGTCTATCCATTTGCAGAACGTCTTTGCTTGGCCTTGGCTGCTTTTCGTCACCAAGGAGACTGATCTCCCATAAGATGTATTTCTTCCATATATCCACGCAATGAATGCCTGCTGACCCTCGTTCTGTGGCTCGCTTGAAGGCTGCCCGGTGGCTATGGTCGGTGCTTCCTGCATAGGAAGGTCTCTCGAGCTCAACTAGGAGACTGAACACGCATCGAATGACGCTCCTGTCACTCTTGATTGACGGGGTTTGCCCTATCGTTGTGGAATCCAGCTGCCGAAGACGGTCCATCAATCCGGCTTTTTGAGAGAAGAAGTGATGCAAGGAGAGAATATCGACATTGAGTGGGAACGTACGCATCGACTCTGCCAAAAGCTGATAGCACTCCTTGGGCCTGAACGGCTGACCAAATACCGTTGCATGAGCGTATAGGAGACGTGCTCGATTTACATGGATGGTCTCCACAACTGTGGGCTCTTGATCTGCGATATTGGTGACTTCATGCAGGAAGCCATCATATGCTTCTACTGCCGCATCCAAGCGAAGGCCGCTATTGAGGTACCTGTGTATGGCTAGAACATCAGCCCACACTGGTAGGAGTTGAGCGTTGCCTGCAAGCCTGCTCGCTTCGAACTCTGACTTGATATACTGTTCGACTTTGATCTGTGAGGCCACGGAGGGACTCGTATGTCTTGCAACTTCGGCTTGAAAATGACCCAGGTCGATGTTCGCGGTCGTTACCATGCTTAGCAACGTCCTGGCCTTGTGAAACTCCTTCAAAGCCATATATGAGTAGGACCAATCTCTCCATAGAATGGAGGCATCATGTTGGGCTCCTGAGCCAAGCTCCCCACGCATAGACAACGCAGTCGACCAGACCTTTTCTGCATTCTCGAAATTGCCAAGCTTACATTCCAACAAGGCGTATGTGTTGTATAATTTCAGGCTGTCAGGCTTCTTCTTGAGAAACCTCTTCGCTTGCTTTCGAGCCGACTTGGTGTCAATACCAGCCTCAAGTGCAACAGCATACTCCATCATCGTATCGTTCTGTTCAGTCTGGAGTGTCGCGTTTGCCAATTGTGACACGGCTCGACGGACGAAATATATGAAGTAATGCGCAACTCTCCCGCAAGATCCATATAAGCTGTTCGCATAGGACAACACGCCCTGGAGCCCGAAATGCACACCGTGAAGCGGCCCATTAGTTCCGAGGGGCTCATTTTGAGTGTCATCCATTGAAAAAAATCTTGAGCTGGCTAGAGCCGGACTGTAGATGAAAGGGTCTGTTCTCCAGTTCCTGGGTTCTGGCAGAAATGAACAGGGTGGCAGGCCAACGAATAACAGAAAAGCATCCTGAAGCAGCGTAAGACCTTGTCTGGAGGCGATAGAAAAGATAAACTCCTTGATATCAGAAAATAGCAGGATTCGGTACGGATCATCATCGCTGACTTCGTCCAGAGCCCTGGCAGGCAAACCTGCATGCCGCTCGAGGTCGGTCTCCGCTGCTTCCCACGCAGCGAAGTCTAGGAGTGGAACTGGAGAGTGCTCTTTGTCTGCTCGCGGCTCAGGCTCCGGACTGGCATTTGAAACCCACCCTGTCGCTCCCTCTTCCCCGATCCGTGCCACCTCGGACGCCCAGAATTGCTCAAAAAATGGCATGAGGTCTGGTGGCAGAAGTTGACCTGGACGGAAAATGTTGTATTCCAGCAGGGCTTGCCAGACGCCGATAGCTCGCTCAGTAAAGCCTGCTTGCCAAAGAAGTAAGGTAAGGCGGAGCAGGAGGTAGATACAGCTCGACTCTCTTGTAGGATCATCTGTCCTTGACTGGACCTTCTGCAGACAGCGCTTGTAAATTGCCAGACATGTTTCCAGGTTGAATTTTAACGCGTTACTTTGCATGAAGTTCAAATATAGAACCCACAGGTCGAAACTTGATTGTTTGTCGAGAAAGGCTTGCCATTGCGATGCTTGTTTTTGGACATCCCACACCTTACTTCCTTCTTGCATTAAGCCAAGAATCAGAGTATGCCGACCTTCCTGGTCATTCACATGGGACAATGCCTGTTCGTAAAGCGATATCCTTAACTCGGCGAGGCTCCGCGATGGAGCTGTGTGAGTGTTTTGGTCATCGTGGCGACCACTAAAAGAAACAGCCTGGTAATCGATGAAGTCAAGCCAGGTCTTCGCATCGTCAGGTCGCTCCATCGTAGCCTTTGAAAGCTCCAAATGACGTTGATGGACAGGATCTTTCTTGAAAGCGTCAAACGGATCCTCGTGGTGATCGCCATTTGATTTGATCTCATGGTCAGGCTCGTCGCTGGACTCTTCAGAAATGGATGGCTCTGCTTCGGTCGAAATGCGGCGCCTCTTCCTGGCACGGCGATCTTGGAAATGCAAGAAGTCCTTACATAGATCGTCATCATCGCCAGGACGGATGGGAGCTTTGATGAGCGGCCCATCTTCACTGGCAACGCTTGAGAGAAGAGACTGCTTGCGCGATTTTCTTGTCGAGTCCAGCTCGACATTTTGAACATCGCGACGAGCATCAGATTTCGAGATGATGCGATAATTAGGACCGAGGCCAATTAATGCACCTCCGCCAGCGGCATGATATCGTGGGATGGCGTAACGATCCAAGGAGGCATACTCCAAGTTTCGCCTGTCTCCTCTGCGGTCTTCTACGAACACCGAAGATCCATCGGATTGTGATGAACTTGATTTTGTAGCATATGCTGGTTCTCGAGCCTCGCTCGAATGACGATGCGATGAGCTATGATGAGGCGTACGATGTCCGGAATGATGACTATCGCGTCCAGATAACCACATGGTTCAATCTTGATGGTCGTATCAAAACCAGTCTTCACCTGCGGTCGACCAATGTCTTGTAGCCCTCACGGCCGGCATAATGGCCGTGGAGACTCCAGAACACTACCTGGCAGCTGTGGCCTATGTTGAATGAATCTGCTGGTGGCTAGTAATTGATCAAAAGGAGGTCAGTGCGCGAGAAGCCGAGAAGAGCAAGATGGATGCCAAGTTTGATCCAGATCACGTGAGTTCTGTCTACCTGCAGCACTGCCGAAGCTAGGTATTCAGAGAACAGAGAATACCACCGTCATCAAAGAGCTGAGTGACACTTGTAAATAGGGTAGCGTATGCAGCAGATTATTCATTGTCAAATACCAGTGTGCTCGCTAAGCAAGTAGTTGCATCCCTAAGCCAGGCGAGCCCGAGTTGGGGCCCTCAGGCCCGGACGGCAGATCTACCGACCACCCTAGATAGCGTTCCGCTTTAGCTGGAGCAGTTCCGGTCGCCTAAATCTTGGGGCCATCTTGGGGACCATCCATGGGCCAAGCCGCCTGAGTTAGTGAGCCCATCATGGCCTAAAGTGATTGGTAGCTGCTGTTAGCCACCCTGCCACCTAGGTGCCTGCCGTGTCGTGCGTGCCTCCTGCAGAATATTCGACCCTCGTCATGGTGGCTGTCCACCAGGAGTCCAGACCCGAGTCCAAAACTCTTCCCACCTTCATCCACCTGTCTCTACCACTAGCAAGTCATAGGTAGGAAGATCCTGCAGCTCGATCCCCAGCAGAAGGGAGAGTTCTCTTTATGTTCGACGGTACTTGCCATGTGCTAACCTTCGACTCCTCCAATGCTCTTGCACATCATCCTCCGTATCCAGCCAACGTTGTCCCTATGCCATGGATACACCTCCTTTGAAGCGAAGATCTCCTTCCCTTGACGGCCGCGGTCCGCCCTCGAAGAAAGTCAAGACTCTCGTCGAAGAGCCTGCACAATACAGCGATGCAGTGCGGAAAAAACTCGCGACCACCTCCCGTACGGGGCAGGCTTGTGACCGATGTAAAGAGCGGAAAATGAAATGCGACACCGATCCCATAGCTTGTGGACCTTGTCGGCAAAAGAACATGCGATGCTTCACCACCGATCGGGTCACTAAGCAGGCAAGAGAGAGAGGAGAAACGGATCGTGCAGAGAACCAGTTGCTGTTCTTGAGGGAACAGTTGACTGCGTACCAACTGAGGTTCGGCCCTTTGCAACACCTAATAGAGACCAACGGGCCTGTTCTGGCGACACCAAAAGAATCAGTTGTCACGCCAGTGACATGTCCCACAACGTCGATCCCAGATGCGCGCTACGTCGGTTGGCCTGCGCCTGAAAATTCTGAGCCCCTCAGTTCAGGGCCTGTGAAGGGGACCGTGGTTGATATCATGGATGGCCAGATAGACATTGCAGATTGGGAGTGTGAGATGATGAACGACTATCCGCAAGATCGCATGAACAAGTTCAATGTCTCAAGGACTTCGGTCATTAATACCATCAGCGGCTACCAGCGAGTTGAGGATCCAAAGCCGCCACCCAAGGAAGAGGCCTTACGCGATGCCCAGCATTTTCTGGTCATCATGTCGCAATATGTCCCGATCGTCCATCGGTCGAGCTTTACGGATCTTGTCCACAGATTTTACGACCTCCCGGGCTCGCTGTCAGCAGCCGAACGGGTTCAGGTCTTCATGGTATTTGCCATCCTCGCGCAGCAAACGGCGGTAAGAAACCATTTGCATTCAGCGGAGAAGTTTGAGGACTCCCACCGGTACTTCCATGTCGCCCTGGGCCATTATCGTGAGCTATTTCACGATCGGTCTATTGCGTCCATGCAAGCTATGGCGTTGATCATTGTCCATCTTCGCAATCTGCCCAAACCTGGAATATCTTGGGTTTACAGCCACAAAGTCCTGGTCCGCGCCATTGAGTTGGAATACCACCGGGATCCCGACAAAATTCGGTTGCCTGAAGGTGAAAGCGATCCACTCTCGAAAGAGCTTCGCAAGAGGATATTCCACTCGATTCTCGGCGTCTGTGTGACAACAGGCTGCAGAGTCGGATTACCTGCTCCATGGCAATTTCAGCACATTGATCTGCCTCTTCCCAAAGCAATCAAAGACTCAGAGATTTCCAAACATAGCATAGCGCCCCAGTTATCAGGCTCGTGTGATTTCTGGCCATCTCTGCAATTGGCGAAACTACTCCCTTTGCTGACTGAACTCCACAATAATATCATTTCAGTAAGGAAGCCAGCCGCAGAATATCTACAGACGGTCGAAGCACTGAATACCAAGATCATGGCATGGCGACAAGACTGGGAAGAGTCAATCAAGTTCGAAGCCAAGCACATAAATCTTCATGTGGCGACATTGCTCATGGAGACCTGGGCGGCTGAGTATCAGTTGAACCTACACCATCCGGTTTGCTGTACAAGTGATGATCCTGCCGTTCAAGAGCGACATCTGGAATCTTGCCACAAAGCCGCCAAGCGACTCCTACAGACCTTCCACACACTTTCAAGCAAGTATAAGGGCGTGGATTTCACCTGGCATTCGACCCTGGCGTACGCGACTGGCTTTGGCATCACATTATATGTGTACAGAAGGAAAAATAACCCGGTCACTGTCGAGCAATTCGAGGCAATGCGGAATGAGCTGAAAGGCTGGATATCATTGATGGCGTATGCTGATCTCGTTCTAAGTAAGTGGCGAAGACCGCTATCGACACTTGGAGGTACTAACAATGCCACAGAAACTGGCAACCACCTTCAGCGACAATTTCAGCCTCGAGTTCAATCCCTCGAAGAACAATATCGGCGACTGATCATCGACAGCAAGCCCTCAACCATACAACTGCCCTTCATCTCAGTCAATGGCTCGGCAGCCTCTCAACCTCATCACCACAAACAAGAGCCTCAGCCTCCTTTCCCTTATCCAGACAGCCAACTACCACTAAGCCAAAAGAACAGCCTTCCGCACCCCACGTTCGTGCAGACGCATACACCGTCGTCACAAAGCCAGCCTCCTCAACCGTGGTCACCGCCCTTCGCATTCTTACCTCAGCCGCACACTCAAACCCAAGCTACTTCTCCTATATACCCAGGCTTCTCGCAGTCACCAATTTCCGCTTTATCAGCCGGTCCGGTCCAGACAGTCCCTACGTCATTGGCGTCTCTGCTCAACGACTCGGGCAGCATATATGTCAACTATCCTACACCACCGCAGTCGCAAAATGGCTTGAACGGAGACTCGTACATGTCTTTCCAGCCCAACCATTATTTTGACGGACCTGGCCGGTTGACGTGGCCGCTTATATCGATGCCTCCTGGGTCGCAGTCGTAATGGTGAGCGGTCAAGGGCAAAAGCTATATCGGATGTTGGAAACCCGCTAATGAAAGACTTTGAACGAGACAGATGAGTACTCGGAGGAATTGTGAATAGATAAGAATCATAGTGGTGTATCATAGTACATAATCAACCAGCTACATATGGCAGACGAGATCCGTGCCTACTAATAGTCTACATAACTCATAGCACGTCGCACACGTAATCTGACAGGCAGCTATGTCTTCGCCTTCAAACGTTGACCTTGAAAACAACTGACCGGGGTCTCACCCAAGAATCTCTCTAACCACGTCCGCGTACGTCTTCTCTGTGCCAGTCTCGTCAATGACCGCGCCACTACGAATCTCATACGCGCCGTCCCAGAACACGGCGCCCGCGAGATTCGGCAGAGCGAGAGTCTTGACCTGTTCCAATATGGCCTTGTACTCGGACACGCTGACGTACCCGCTGCCCGCGGCTGGGAATGCAGGCGTGCCGAGCAGGAGTCGAGGGCCCATGATGCCGTTGTTGATGTTGACGAAGCCGGGCCCGGGCCCGATATTCGACCTTGAACTGATGATGCCTTCGTGCGTGTTGGTGTTGGTTTTGATTCGCGATGATGACCGTTGTCGCTTTTGCTTTTGCTTCTGCTTCGTGGTAGTACTAGTACTAGTAGCGTCGTCTTGTTGTTGTATCATCATCAGGGCCTGGCTCCATGAGTGCAGGGAGTCTAGAAATGCTTGGCCAGCATTGAGTTGGCAGGAGGGGTTATTGTAGAATTGCACGTTGAAGAAGTCGATGACGTTCAGGAGCTCGGGGACGGGAATGGATTGGTCGGGTTGCGGGCATTGAGGTGCGGCGGAGAGATAGTACGCTTTGGAGGGGTCGGTGGCCATGAGGGAGCGCAGTGTGGACATCAGCGTGGGCATGTACGCGGCGTTGGCGGGTGTTTCGTTGTCTGTATCGTACCGGTTATGTTAGCACCGTTTGATATGAGTACCAGGGGCCGATGACTCCAGGGATGTGGAAAGGTGGAAAGGGGGAGATGGGAGATGGGCGTTGGGCAGGGGGGTATCATGAGGGCCGGAGACTTACCTAGATCGATACCGTCGAGGACGACACTCCCGTACGGCCGCAGTGGTGCGCTTGGTGAGTTCGAACCGCCGAGGAATAAATCCCACAAGGTGTGCGCGGCCTCGACGGCTTTATCTTCGCTTGGGATCTGTAGCTTTGCAAACGCGCCGCCGAGACTGAGCATGACTTTCTTGCCCTGAGACTGGCATGTGGCGATCTTGGCGGCAAGACCATCGCCCACACAGTCGAGCAGGCCAGTGGCGCCGGCAGCTTGTTGCGCGGTATTAGGTGCCCAGCAGTTGGAGGCCATGTTCATGCTCGGGTAGTTACCGGGTCCGAAAAGCTCGGTGACAAAGGCGAGGATGACTATGTCGATGGACGGGTCGGCGCAGATCTGTGTGAGGGGCACGGTGCTGGTGAGGTCCGTCTGGGAGTAGTAGACGACGTTGAGGTTGGGGGCCTGCGGGTCGAATGTATATGTACCGCTTGTGGGTTGGCTTCCGGAGGAAGATGGAGGAGGTTGCATCGTCGGTGAGGCTGCATAGTTCGTCGAGGGCCGGGGCGTTGCATAGGTGGATTGCGTACTTTGTCGTGTTATAGGCAGGACAGTGGGATGTGCGGAACTTGAAGCGAAAACTGGGGCACCGATGTTATATTGTTGTTGAATGAGGGCGATCAGCTGGTTCAAGGAGCTGCCGAGCTGTCCGGCCAGCTGAGAGAGTTGGTCTGAGAAGCTGTCGGAGGGGTCTGGTCGTTGTGTAGGTGATATTGGTTTCCAGTAGGTCCGCCGGGCGGTGGAGTCCCGTCGTGTCAGGCCGGAGACGTGATTTTCATGAGATTGTTCGATTTTGTCGAGTAACTCCTGCAGATCGTTCGCAATCTCGTCCCAGTCCTCTGAGGCAACGATTGTGGTGATGCATAGGAACAATGAAAGCAAACACGGGAATAGAGTTCTTGAGGCCAGCATATTGGAATGGGGATGCAGGAAAAGGAGCAACTTTGATGCTTGGATCGCTGAGGCACATTCGACTTATACCTGGAGATAGCCATGGCTGGGGTTGACTGAAACATTTTCATACCATGCAGTGGGAAGGCTGAGACCAAGAATGGCCGGGCTCTTCGTAGGAATTTGGAGGGTTTGGTGTCGTTGCTGCCACGGTAGGCCACGTCTGTGCTGTATTGCATTCCAACAACAACACACCACCACTTCCACTGGGTGGGGTTTGCTTACAGTTGGGAGGATTTTGAGCTTACTCTTTTGGTGGCCCGACAGCTTCTCTCCCGTGGTTTTTCTTGTTATGCTTTCCGAATGTGATGGATTTCAGTGCAGTGTTTGAACCAGTAGTTTCTCAAATACAAGTCTATCATGCGTTGTCTTGTGTTAGTTGTGTAGTAACCACTCTAGTAAGATGCTCAACTCGGGTAATCCTGCACCTTCCTCTTGCCATGTCCTCAACCTGTCGATAGCCATACGGACTGACCCTTCCCAGGTTGGTGGAAGCTCCACATAACGCGCAGATTCCCAGCGCGTTGATTTGGCTTTGGCGGCTGCGACCAGGCATAGGGCATGATTGAAGCGTATGCGACAGGAACCCCAGGAGCCTGGGTGACGGGAAAAAGGCCTCTCTGTCCGGAGACGGTAGACTGCCAACTAGAGACAGTCGTTGGCTCGCTGTGTGGATATTTCCAGTAATTCTGGGTCCAAATGGGCGTGAAGGCACAGATAAAGATAGGGCCGCCGGAGTAGCTCGTAAGCTTGCGTATATCTCTCACGGAGTAGCTGTACAAGCTCAGGCTCTTCGCTGGGAGGCTCCAGTCGGAGTGGCATAGCAAATTGCAGTGCGACAGGCAGACACTCGACCCACCGCTGCAACTGATGTTCGTGTTTGGCAAGAGCCTGGCTGAACTTTTGAATGTCTGGAGTGCTCATCCTTGGATTGAGGGACCCCAAAGAGTTACGAATGCGGTTGAGAAGCCTGCGCAGTGAGATCTCGGCCAGGTAGTAGAAGGAAGACGCAGTCGTGGGGTCGGGGTCACCAGTCTCCAATCCATCCGCTTGATCAGTATCAGTTGGCTTGGAAAATGATGGAAATGAAAACGGAAAGTCGGAAGCCCAGAGGCAGCTCGAAGGTAAGTCAGGCAGTTCAGTTCGTAGCTCACTAGGATCAATGGTCAGTCCCTGCTTCTGGCACAACTCAGGCAATGGAGATACTGTACCACTCTGTTTTGAGGCATGTCCAGTACAAGCGTTGTTCCAGACCTATACAGACCTCTTGAGTACTACAAAGTGGGCAGGAAAATGATCGAGCATACTGTTTTCTTTTTCCGACCTGCTGGACGGTTGTTGGCGATGCTTAGCATGGTAGGCTTGCCACAGTGTGGATGCTGTCCTGAAGAATTTCCAGCTTTGCACAGGTTCGATGTTGCACTGGTACCAGTAGCTGATATTCAGAGTGTTAATGGAGTCATCGTTGTGCCATCATTCCAGGCAAGAGACAAAGTGGAAGCTTTCTCACCCAAACAGGCAGAAACACTGGATACCCGTGAGCGAGTCATCGAGATATGCAGCCGACATCATGTCTCGAGCGGCGGCAAAGTATGACAGCGACTCTTTCATCCGATCTTCCGGGACCGCGAGCGATGTGTGCAATCGTGGCGCAGCTGTAGCGGAGTCGTATATGACCTGAGTATAGACATCGTCGCATGTAGAATTGCCCCAGATCTTAGCCAACGCGCACACAAGGAGGACAAGGCATGTATTAGCAGAAGCATGAAGTCCATTTCCGGCGACATCAAAGATGAACTTGTCCAGCTGATTAAGATCGATGATGGGGGCTTTCGTATGTATGTTGGAAACATAAAGACGGCGTAGGCTTTGAAGTTGGTTGAGGTTTGTGCTTGGAGTTCCTGTGGATTTGATGGTCAGCAGCGGAGCTCATTCGTGACGAAGCTGCATCTTGAGGAGATATCAAAGTGATCACGCGAGCTACCTGGGGTGAATCTGTCTCTTTTTGCTGAGAATGCGGATGTCCCAAATATTGAGACCGGCTTCTCGCTGGGAAAGATTGGCCAGCTCAGGATGGCGTCGGCACCGGTGACGCAAGTTCTCAGTGAATCGTTTCTTGACAACATCTCTACTTCGACCTGGTCGTCGTCTGAATGCTTCTCATTTTTGTCCAGGGAGTGCGACAGGGGCGAGCAGCTTGTTGGTGCTCCTCCTGCAAGCCTCTGATCTATGCGGTGAACAGCAGCAAGAATCTTTGCGCCCCAAGCATCCACCCTATTCCGCCGGCAATGATTATCAAGGGTTTCTCCTTTGTCAGGCTGAGGAGGACTTACATGGATATAGGGTCCTTTGCTGAATATATGCATCTCACACCATTCGTGGCACACTTCGCACATGACGGCCTGGCGTTATCGCAACGAGTTTTGCTCTGTCGGCAAGCATCACATGCGGCGACATTGCGCGTGAAGCCTTCACGAGGGTGACGGCGCCGCAGTTTCTCGACCCTGGACGGACTTTCCATTGCGCACTCTTGGGTTCCCTTACTTTTGGTGATGTGTCTGGCGTTGAGAGCCGTCATAATGATGGCTTCTAACTTAAGGCCACCTGCCAGGAAAGACGATCAATGCGGGTGATTTTCTCTGGCTACGACATAGGTAGGCCAAGCTTTCTCAAGGTAAACAGTGACCGGGCTTAGGGGCATCATGGGCCAACCTAAGCCTAGTGAGCCTTCCTCCTAGGGACGGATCAGTGCCAATAGGCAGCAGATTCGGGTACTTCCAGGCTCAACAGGCCTACATCGAGCCTACCAACTCAGCCTAAAGTGCCTAGCGTGCCCGGCTGCTGGCATCCGTCCGAAGCTTGCGCAAACCACACGTTCGGACACCAAGTGCCGGCATCTCTTTAGGCCACATAATAACATCCACGACGCCCATCGCAGTCCATCTACCTCCATCACCACGCCTATCAAAGTACCTATGGATAGCCAGCCTCGACTGCCTCTTTACCAACGGAAATGCCATTGTAGCTTCCGCAGCCATTTGGATAACGAGGCCACAGGTTCCGGCTAGTAGGCCGAATCGTTGCCAACTCATGCAGTGGAACTCCGCCCACGAGCCTTGCGCCGCGAGTGGCCGCGAACCCGCAGGATTCATACCGTTTCACAACCGCTATTCAGTCTCAGCCTGAGGTCCAGAATCCACACTTACCGTATCCCTTTACCCGCATCACGCCCGGCTTCTTGATCCACCAGTAAGAGATCCTGTAGGACGACTGCGTTCGAAATGCAAACAAGAACTTCAAGAGCAAGTAAAGACAGTGAAGAACTCGGAATGATTAAGGGCAGCTGTTACAGCGAGGGTTTCGTCGCCAGGCCAAGGGTATCCGAAGAAGGCATGAATGCGGAATGCTTTCTCCGTGCATGAGCGCCTGTAAGTCCAGTCAATGAGCGACCAAGCAATTCACTTATGTACATTGTACAAGAGCCATGCGGCTGAAAAAAGAATGGTCACCGCCTCCTCGCGTTGACCCATCGACATGACCAAACCTGGTGGTGAATGCCCATCTGAACCAGCTTGATGTCACTTCTGGCCTACCTCGGGGAAGCTCCGCGTCCGTTAATGCAGGGATAGAAGGTGAATACTTGTACTCACCAAACAAACAATTGGCATCATGTCCCTCCAAACCAGCTATAACAAGAGCGAAAGGCTCCATGGCCTCGATACACCTCAAATCCCCCGCTTCCAACCCTTGCCATCCTCGCCATGGACTCGGTCGAAACGTCATCTTCCTCACGCTCATCCGCCCAGCCTGACACGCCGCCATCATGTCTAAGCGACACTGACCGGTTTTCTGAGCCCGAGTTCGATATCGAAACATTGTTGTCTCAATTGGCACTGGACGAAAAGGTTGCTCTCACAAGAGGTATGCTCCCTCTTACATGAATGCTTTGTCAGGTTCGAGCTTACACATTGAATGCAGGGTCAGATATGTGGCATACAACGCCAATTCCCCGGCTCGAAATACCATCGCTTAGACTCTCCGACGGTCCTAACGGGGTTCGAGGCACACGGTTCTTTGACAGCACTCCGGGTGCCTGCTTGCCTTGCGGTACAGGCCTAGGTGCAACCTGGGATACCGGGCTTTTACGCAGACTGGGAAACCTACTTGGCGTCGAAGCAAAATCAAAAAGTGTCCACATACTGTTAGGCCCTACAGTCAATATACAACGCAGCCCCCTGGGTGGACGTGGCTTTGAATCTTTTGGCGAGGATCCTGTGCTTTCGGGACTTCTTGCAGCTGCGTACTGCAATGGGGTACAAGACGAACATATAGTCACGGCGATCAAACATTTTGTATGCAACGATCAAGAAGACAAGCGCATGTCTGTCAACATCACTGTTTCAGATAGGGCACTTCGAGAGATATATTTGCTGCCTTTCATGCTTGCTATACGCGATTCAAACCCAGGAGCCATCATGACATCCTACAACAAGCTCAATGGAACGCACTGCAGCGAAAATGTCAAACTGTTGCGCGACATCTTGCGTGGAGAATGGTGCTGGCAGGGTCTGGCGATGAGCGATTGGTGAGTTCCCGGGACTGCGTAACGGACAAGAGGCCAGAGGCGTTGACCAAACTTTCAGGTATGGTACATACAGCGCTTGTGAAGCTATAGCAGCAGGTCTAGACCTGGAAATGCCGGGCCCGTCACGGTGGAGGAACCTTGCGCTTACGCATGCAGTCAACTCTGGAAAGTTGGATGAAAAGGTGGTTGATGATCGTGCCCGAAATGTCCTTGAAGCAGTCCAGAAAGCTGGTAAATCTGGGATATCCCCGGAATGTGGCGAGACGACGGTCGACACGCCGGGCCACCGTTCATTGCTCCGGGAAGCTGCAGCAGACTCGGTGGTGCTTTTGAAGAACTCGATGGGTAACTTGCCTCTACAGAAGAGTAAATCAGTAAGGCTTGTGGTTACCTCAACATTTACGCCACTAATTATAGCAGACAGCAGTCATAGGCTCGAATGCGAGGCTCACCCCATTCTGCGGAGGAGGTAGTGCGTCGCTCAACCCTTACTACTCTACATCTATCCTCGAATCAGTCCAGCGGATATGCGACGACGTCCGGTATACTGAAGGTCCATTTTCACACCTGGATTTCTCTTTTCGGGACAGTGTCATTACCGACACCAAAGGCAATCCTGGTTTTACGTTTAGGTCTTATCTAGAGCCACCTGACGTCAAGGACCGGGAGTGTATCGACACCATGTATGTGCGTACGGGCAAGTTCTTCTTGTCAGACTACTCCCCTCCAAAGCTCAACTCACCGCTCTTCTGGGCCGAGATGGAGGCGACTTTGGAGCCCGACAAACCTGGACCATGGAGTTTTGGACTTTGTGCGCATGGCACTGCCAGACTCTTCATCGACGGGGTTGAGGTTATCGACAACGAGACCCATCAGGAACCGGGGAATGCGTTCTTGGGAGCAGGCACCAAGGAAGTGATGGGAACCATCAATCTCGAAGCTGGAAGACGTTACAGACTCCTCATTACCTTCGGCAGCGCACCAACGTCGAAAATCGTGAAGGAGGGAGTTGTCACTTTCCGCAAAGGTGGTGTCAGACTTCGGGGCGGCCCTCAAATCAACGTCTCCGAGGCCATGAGAGAGGCTGTGACTGTGGCTAAGGCGGCTGAGCAAGTTGTGGTAATTGTTGGCCTGAATGTGAGAGAACGGCATCATGCTCAATTTACCCAGAGAACAGCCAGAACTGATTTTGCTGATAGGGAGACTGGGAAATCGAGGGCCAGGACCGGACGAACATGGACCTTCCTCCTCATACCGATGACATGATTGATCGGATATTGGATGTTCGACCCGATGCAGTCATAGTCACGCAAAGTGGTACGCCTGTGCGAATGCCGTGGGCATCGAAAGCGGCGTCAATGTTGCATATATGGTATGGTGGAAATGAGGTTGGAAACGGCATTGCTGACGTGCTATTTGGCGATGTGGCTCCTGTAAGTCCCGCACCGTTGGCCTTGTTCTCTCCTCTCTTTTCCGCCAAGTCCGTCGCTACTCGTGATGGGAAGCAATCGAGCCTTCCTCTGACTTCATCAGTCTGGCAAGCTGCCGATGACGTTTCCGAAGCGAATCCAAGACTGTCCTGCTTATCTAAATAGCAAGGCGGATGCCGGCAGTATGCTCTACGGCGAGAACATCTATGTCGGCTATCGATACTATGAGGCTGTCGAGCTACCCGTCCAGTTCCCCTTTGGTTGGGGTTTGTCCTACACCACCTTCGCACTTTCAAACCTCCAGGTCCGAGCTGAGGGTCCCACACTGTCCATTCATCTACGCCTGACCAACGCCGGCACTCGGACAAGCTCGGAGGTCGTACAGGTTTACATCAGTCAACGTGATCCAAAAATCACGCGGCCCAAGAAAGAGCTGAAAGGCTTCAAAAAATGCCGCCTTGGTCCCAAGGAAGATGTTGATGTGGCACTCCATATTCCTATGAAATACGCAACATCCTACTGGAATGAGCACGCCGGTGCTTGGATGTCGGACGCTGGCATCTATGACGTCCTGGTCGGAAACAGCAGTCGTGAGGCTGATTGTCTGCATGGCATGTTCGAGACCGTCATCACTTACTCCTGGAACGGACTCTAGACACTTGAAAGCGTCTCCGATTTCATTTCTGTGTCTTGGAGCTTTGGGGCGGCATCTGATGGTATACAAGCTGGTGACGTATATACATCCTTGGGAACGCCCACTCTGGAGTGTATACTCCCAAATCCAGAAGATCCCCTTGGTGAAATTCGGAGCAGCTGGAAACCATACTCGGTAGTAGTAAGGCTACCACAGTGAGCTTGGCGCCTCACCCCCTGTGGGTCAGCCTTGCCGACCTTCGCTTGCGGTTCGCGGAGGCTCCGCGAGAAGGAATGTTGTGGTACGGAGTACTGAGTTCCGCAGCCTGTCATAGCCCCAGTGTGTGCCATGGAAAGCGTCCAGGTCCTCACAGAGCCCGCTAGTAAAGTCAGATCTCTATGCTTGTTTCTTCTTTTGTTTCTTTATTTTTGTTTTCTCTCCGAAATTCCCCTTCGCTACACCTTCAGACGTGATTGTATCGCAGCACCTGGAGAGATTGTGGGGAGATTCTTTCCAGGTAGCACTGTTGTTCACATATCCTCTCTCAGCTTCACATCTTTACGATGGCGAACAAGGTCCAGACTCGAATACTCATCATGTCTGATACACATGGTGCAGACTTCAGCCCCGAGAACAGACCCTACCAGCACGCTGATGTCGCTCTCCACTGTGGTGACCTCACCGACGGCTCAAAGCTGGTAGAATTCCGCTCAACCCTCAATATGCTTCACAGCATCGAAGCACCCCTCAAGTTGGTCATTGCGGGAAACCACGACTTCACCATGGACATTGCCGCGTGCGAATCCAAGGTTGCCGAAGCAATACCACCCTTGGAACCTGAGTTCGTTGCTCGAGAATATGGTATTTTGGGGCAAGCCAGGCAACTGTTCGACGATGCTAGACACGGAGGTATAGTGTTCCCGGACGAGGGAACCTACCGCTTTCCACTGGAGAATGGAGCCATACTGACAATTTATGCAAGTCCATATACGCCCTCCTTAGGCGGATGGGGCTTCCAATATCACCCAAACCATGGCCGTCATTTCGACATCAACGACGGAACCGACATCGTCATCACCCACGGCCCTCCGAAGGGATCATGGACTATACCTACGGTCGCGAACGAGCAGGTTGCAGTGATCTTTTCGCCGCCGTCGCTCGCGCTCGGCCCCGAATTCACTGCTTCGGCCAAATCCACGAGGGATTGGGTGCGAAGCTGGGTACCTGGAAACACAGCGGCAGCGGCAGCGACAATGGTGCCGACAAGCCGCCAAACCATTTCACGGCCATCGACAATGAGAACTCGCCGGTGATCGAAAAGTTGGCCGGGCTCAGGAGAAGCACGATGGACTCGGATGAAATGGCGCAGGAGAAACGAGTGAAGTTAGAACGACTGAGGCAGAGTAGATGCGCTACGACTAGCCATTGTACTCACGACGAGTATCCGCTTCAGGTCGGTAGGCAGACATTGTTTATCAACGCCTCGATCACGGGTGGCGAAGACATTGTGCAGAGACCCTGGCTCGTCGACATCGAGCTTCCAAAGCGAGCGGAAATCTAGAATTACTAGGAGCATATTTAGCTCGAGGCCACGATCTAGTTACAGCTTATTAATGAAGTCAAAGATTGGGCACTGAGTATGAGCTCAAAAATATCTTTGCGCCGAAGTGCTACTCTTTTCCATTCCACTACACATGTTGCTCAAGCTCAACTTTCAAACCTAGGAACTAGGTCCCATCATACCTTGCTTTGTTCGTGACTTCCGGCTGTCGCTTTCTGCTGCGTGTTGCAGGTCTTCTCATGGCATCACATAAAGATCCTTGACAAGTTTGCGGTGTACTTCAACACCCGTATCGCCGGTTGCACCCATGTTCTCGCCCTTCAGCCTTCTCTTTTCGATCTCTCTCATGCGATCGTGGATCTCCACTCGGCCCGGTAATAGTTTCTTTCTCTCCCGATTGATCTGCCACTCCGGAAGACTCATGACGCCCAGTTCGCGGAGGGTCTTACGCTCCACAAGCGAAAACTCATCGGGATCTTTCCGGTCGAATTGGAACGGTTCTTTCAAGTGGACAGAAGGATTCGTGATGATGCGGGGAGTTCCGCAGCAGTTTCGGGACGCAGAGTGGATCATCAGAGGATGCATGAGGATAACGTCGCCGACCTTTCCGGTCATCTGCTGGAACAAATTGCACTTTGTGTCGTCGCGAATCTGCTGAACGAACCAACTGAATTCGTGGTATTTGCCCTCGTCTTCATCACCTTCGCGAGCCATGTACGGCGTGACACCCTCTGGGTTGTCGCGGAGGTGTTTGGCGACCACTCCAATTCCGTCCGGACAGATGTACGTGCAGCCTCCGTCTTCTTCGATGTCGCTTAAGACCGGAATGACGAGCAAGGCTTGCTCGGGCGAGTCGAGAAAGTGGATGAACGAGTCGCCGTCGACGTGCCAATTGTCGAGCTCTCGCGGAGGGATGGGTTTGCGGTTCCCTGTCTTGGACTGATCGCCTAGGTTGACGATGAACGCGTCTGACCATTGTGTAGACATGGGATCAGTGCGTTCCTCTCCTCCGAGCAACTCGCAAATAGCGGCCCAAGCCGTCGGCGCGAATTGCCTCACGTCGACGCTTGAGTGCGAGGGCATGTTGATTTTCTCCAGCACCCAGGTAGATGGGTTGTTTGGGTCGTAGCCTAGTCGAAGCCATAGATTTTCTGTCCATTTAGAAGCCTGCGCTCTCGTGAATGCTCCGGGGATCTTGACCCATCCAAACGACATGAAGTGGTCCACTTGTTCCCGGGATAGGGCCTCGAACTCCTCAGTAGACATGATGTACGGAGGTCTAGATGGACGATACTAGTGAAGTTCTGTCAATTACCGGTTAATAGACGAAAGGTGGCATGCGTAGTGAGAGGACCGGGATGGGAGGGGCTTTATGTATGATTCAACACCTAGCAAAACACAAATCAGGAGAGCGTCAGATGCCCTTTCAATGGCGAACTGCATTGCCATGGTATTGCAATATAACGCGCGAAACTTGAAGAAGCGCTGACCCCTGTCGAATCCGGGGAGGCTCCCCGAGTCGCGTCCTCGTGTGCCATAGGGTCCTCATTATCGGCGCTGTTCAGCAGGGAGCTGCTGAAGATATGGCAAAGTCATGGTCGCGCACGTTTCTGGGGAACCTGCATTGACCGTCGCATTTTTCTCACAAGGGGTTCATCATGGTGGAGGATCATGAAGAAGCCTGTGACTGTGATAAGTTGTCAAGTGTGTTCCCGCCTCCTTGCACCGGGCACAGGCACATTCGACCTTGGATTTTCGGTGGAGTAGTAAGACGACACCCGCACAAACTTCTTCGGTGAAGCATTCCGGTCTCGCCACAACTTCCCCTTACTTTATCCTGTCTACAGTCTTGATTGTTTTTACATGGCCCTCATCTTACCGTCCCACCCTTTATCCTCAAGGGCAGCCTATAACTTCAACATATCGGCCCTTACTCAATAGTTCTTCGACCGAGACCCTGAGTCCTAAGATAGTCTTAATTTCTCCGAACCGAAGAAGTTAGATATAGATAAGAACGGCAATCCTTACGCAAAAAGAGATACCAAACAAAATTGCCTTGATATTTAGGAACGTAGATAAGAACCGTCTCTCCAGCAAGAAAATTTACAACCAGCTTCAGAAAATCGGAGTTGCATTGGCTCTAGTCGGTTCTTAAGCTGCTTTGCATGCATAGAAGAACACCTGGGAGACCTAGATAGGTAGACAACGCAAGGGTACTTCTGGTCCACTATCAGCGGAGAATATCTACTGGTTTCTAGATGAGATACTTTAAGAAATAGGCCCTAAGGGGCGAGGGGAGACTGTACCCTTAAAATCAATATTTACTGTCGGAATTTTTCTGTTGAACTGTCATCTCGTTGCGAAACACCCAAATTGAAATTATATGAAAGAAAAAAATTTGCTTTGACGATTAGTAGCTAGTCCAATAAAATGGTTAAAGAAGAACGATTATGGCGAGACATCTAACGATAAAGATAGTTCGTTACTCTTTATATCCTTCGGAAGCTCGCTAGAGCTTGGTTTATTATTGCCTTTCGAGAAGGGATACTAGGCTTTGATGTATCGCTTGTAAGGGCATTGCCCTCGGTGTTGATGATGGCCCTCGATTATCGTTCTGGCGATATTGTTGCAACCACTCTACTATACACAAAACCAGGCATATGCATACGGCACGAAGATATCCGTCTCACACTGAATGAGGAGGGAGATAATGTATCCAACGTTGTGGGCGACGTCACTGTAAGATACGAAAAGGGCAAGAAGTAGGCCGTGTCGCTCTGAATACTTCTTTTCTTGCTCGCCGACTCTTGTCTAGATACTCATATGACAATCGGTGTCGAAAAGTCGAGTCATTCAAGGATCCGGATACAATACCTTTTGCTCTGGGTTGCTCGCTACATACGCCATGGTTTCTTCGCCACTGGGTCGGGGCCTCGAGGTTGTAAAGATAACACCAGACCCACGCACTACGTTTCGATATCTCGATTACCTCTTCTCGATGGAGCTCAGTCCCTTTGACCCTTGCCCGATAGGGTGACACCCATAAAGCGGCCTTCCTCGCCGTACACTCTAGGCTAGTCTTCAATCCAATACTTATATCAGCGACGTGAGTCCGACTGGCTGAGTCATTAGGTCACGTTGGCCCGCGATTGAGATTTGCTCCCTCACCACAACTACGAGTAAGTGTTCATGTTTTTCGAAATTCGGATTGACAGACCCCTCCTCGTTGTAAGTGTTAGGGCGGTCACCAGTATGGACGACCCATCCTGGCCGCTTGTGGTCCCAATTCAATTCAAGCAGGATCTCTGATCAGCATCCAAATTTTCCCTGTTATGATGCGCGGGGACGATGTACACTGCGCGTCGAAGTCTCTACATTGCACATGCTTGTCGAGTACTCCACATGCGTTTCGGGTCTCCAGAGAAGATTGCTTTGCCTCCCCGGCTTGTCCCGTATTCCATGTCCGAATATGGGTCTGACGCATATGCAGGAGGCCTCAAGTAGACCGAAAACCCTGCAGGAGTTACATTCCTGCAGAGCCTTGCCTTCTGGGCCCACGATCACAAAGCTGAAACCACACAGTTGAAGGCAGCACGAAAATTCTGATGTCTCATCAGAAATTTGTTCATGTACTCCGTACTGCTCAGACGAAAGCGTACTGGACGAAATTCGTACAGGGATGCATGCATGACCAGCGAAGGAACAGGGCAGCGGGCTCAGCGTTAGTATAGGCATTCAAGGGCCGGGCCTGGTCATTCATGGTTTGAGGTGTCCGGCCCCTGGTAGGTCCTCATACATAGGCGAGAATTGCGCTCCTCATCTTTTGCGGTTTGGGCATCCTTGCATGGCGCCTAATACAGGTGCAGTTGACAACGAAGCAGGTACGCAACTTCTTCGGGCCTCGAAGAAGCACAAGCTCCTGCCTAGGCTGGACTTCCAGGTTAGACACGAGGCCTCCCTGTAACGGCTGTTCGCATCAGCTTGGATTCAGGTGACTTTGCACAAATTCTAGACATGAAAAGCTTTTCAGAGAGGGCGATCTGATCACTCACTCCCCTCTAACCGTTCGACCAAGACTCAGCCTTGCACGTGATTGGCTTCACTGTCAGTATACTGCGTACGTCACCGAGGTACTCCCGTAGTACCTGCAAGGCTAGAAAAGCCCATCTGACCTCCAACAATGGATAAATTGCTCTCCTTTAGCATGGTCAAGAGGACTGCTCCCCGAAAGTCAGTGAGAGAGCTCCGAGTATACCTCAGCTCGTTCAGATTCGGGTCAAGGATCGAAGTCGTCGCAGAGTCGACGAGTCGACAAGCCAACTGCCGGTACTCGGTACCTAGGATTGGTCTCGGTGCATGGGAACATCCCTGGCACGGAAGTCGAGTGAAAGGCAACAGCCCCGCGCCGTGCCGCATGATGGCGCTATTATGAATGTGGACGACGTGCGTGCAAAGAGTCCGCTAGCAAGGTGCACGTTGTGTCTTGCTACTGGGGCTTCAAGCAAGAGAGAGGTTACACAACATTCGGCCACGCTGCTTCCCGCACTAAGGATTTTCGCGTATCCTCTGCTGATTGCGGACACTGCCCCTCCGGCTCACGAGAGGACCGTCGCACGATAATTCTTGTTTTTGAGCTCTAACAAGACATGAGAATGATTGGCACTGCCTTTGAAGCTGTGGGCGATCGCATCCTTGCGATGTCGATGATGTGCAGATGGTCACCGCAATGACAAGACGATCATTCGATGGGTCCAACTTCCAAGCCATCAGAGGTAGCTTGCCGACCATACCACCCACTTCAGCCATACCTAACTATCTATCCAATTTCGGCGAGTCGCAGCATGCAGCCGTCTCCTAGCTCTTATGATCATTCCTACCAGCGTCCGAGGAGAAGAAACGCAGACAGCTTGCAAGGGAAATTGCCGGTGTTGCTCAGCATGTCGCCTACTCTGAAGTAGCTAATCGGCTGCCTCAAGCAACGTCCATGGTACAAACTTTCGCCATTTGAAACTTGAGATCGATTATTGAACAAACCAGGAGGAGTTTCTGTGCAGGGAGCAGCCAACCCCCCTGACCTAAACAACCATGCAAATGCAAGCCACCCCAAATCCATCACTATCACAGTCCGCGTTTTCCCTCCTATTCTTCTCCTTGATCTTCCTTGAAGCTTCCTGCGACCTCCACTTGCCAGCTTCGAACTTGAAGATCCAGTCATCAGAAACATGCAAGAACAAGCAGTAAAATGTCTACCAGTCCCGTCAGAGAACAGCAATATGACTTGTCGCCAGCTCATAGGTCATAGCCTCGCCTACTACTCAATCAATCACACAGAAAACAAGAATGCAGCCCACAGTCTTTTTCCACGAATCCCCAGAAGTCCCGAATGCTAACACATTTCCAGACAACCCGCAGCGGACGACAAGACTTCCACTTAGCCTCGCGCTTCGGTTGGCATTATTGACCGCTCATCTACAACCATCCAAGATTTCTTCCAAACGTCCTTGCATGAACTCTCTTCTACGAACCCATGCCTATTCCAATACCAATACGTCCTGAATCGGGGAAAACGGGACCCGATCAAGCACAAGCGGCCAACTGACGACATTAGCGTGCCCTTGCCCTAATGTCTAATGTCGTGTCACCAACCCAACCAAATACCCCTGCCTGAATATCATGGTAACACGGGCCAACGGGGAAGCCGTGCATGAATGTCGTGCAACCAACCCGGCAGATACGAGCAAGCAGGGCACCGGCAGTGGTCGGTTGTGCAGTTTGGCAGGTCGTGTAACCGCAGGTCCAACGGTGCGTCGTGCAACCAACCCGGCATACACGAATGAATTTTTTCTTGGAAAAAGCGGAAAGAGCCACACACGAATACGAGCTGTTCGTGGGGTGTAGTCACGTCCCACGTCATATGTGCATCACATCATACGAGAAGGGGGAGAAACTGGAAAGCTGAAGAGAAAAGATAACAAAATATCTTGGAATTGACACAACGCGCGTACAATCACCGGGGGAATGTCCGTGGCTCACGACAGGGCAGGGCAGGGCGTGGACGAGGCTGAGGCTGAGGCTGAGGCTTTTTGGGTGTCGCCTTGCTTTTGCAGACTTCTACGACGTACGCACACCCCGGCAGGACAGACAATCACAGCTCCATCATGCTGTATCTCACTTTACGCTGTCAATGCGTGGCCGCACCTCAACAGACCCTTGGCGGTCACGGTCACGATTGGTCTCCGAGTCCATACGTGACGCGTGCTGCGTGATGCAACGACCTGATTCGTCCCAGCGAGCACCGGTGCCTAGGAAATCGGACGCGGTGATGCCTGGTATCGCAATTCCAGCACCAACAGTTGAGCAGGTCAGCCTGCAATGTGCTTACATTGCGTTCAACGCGGCGTCCTCGCGCTACTCGAACAGTAGTGCTCCATGCACAGAGCATTCTTGCGGATCCAAAGGACTACGTACATACGACCGTCCAGAAGCGAAAGAAGCGAACATGAAGATCGGGGGACAAATCATTGGATTTTAGTAGAGACAACATCCCGCCCAGGAACCTAGCCGCGCTACTAGGTTCAAGCTCTGTCTCTCAAGTAAATGTTGCAAGTCTTTCCCGTTGATTGAAAAAAGCAGATATCCTCACCAAGTGTAATGTGCAAGAGCTGGGTTGCAGCATAAGCGTGCAGGTGTGCAGTAACGCAAGCAAAGCAATTATCAATTTTTCCCCATGTCGCGTGATTCCCATTGCAATAATCGTGGCCATTTTCGTCCTGTGTCTCCCAGCCAGTCCTGAACCATCATTTCAGCATCATGCTCGTTTCAGCCGTCCCGTCAAATCATGTCCTTCGTGAAGCGAAAGCAACGCACAGCAGAACACAGCAAGAAAAATCAATCGCTATGTAAAGCACGTAAAAAAGCCCCAAGCTCCAGTCTGCTATGCATGTTATGAAAAGAAGCCCTTGGCCCTTGCGAGACCGTGGGTAGAGAAGAGAATACTGTCCATGCCCATGGCAATAAGGTCAGCTTTTGAATGACAGGGCGGTGAATAAACTCGAATGAGCTTTTATGTGCTCGAGCCAGAAGGCCACGGCAACTCGAAGAGAAAGCCTCCCACCGTTTCTTTTTGTCACCCATTGCATCCTCGCTTTTTGCGCCCCTGTTTTGTGGTATTAAGAGAGTGTTGCTTTTCAAAGAGAACAAGGCTTGCGTCGACCGTGAGAATCTGGGGTCATTCGGGGCTAAGCATCTGCACCGTTCAAGAATCGGAGAGAGGAAAGATTTTATTAAGCAGAGGGAGGTTGTTGTGAGCGTTTCATGTCGTAGGCTGCGTAGAGTTTCGTGTCGTCGTTAGAGGGTAGTAGTTTCTCGTGAAGTTTCTCATCTGTCAAAGCAAAGTCGAAGGTGGTCTGTGGTCTCTTTTGCTTGATCATTCTCGTGGAATCGCTGGCATCAGCATTGGCTCGACTGCCCCAGGTAGTCTATTGAAAGTCAGCACGATGGCCCTATGTGTTCGGCACGAAATGAACTCACCTCACTGAGAGTGATCAAGGCATAGACCTTGATGAAGCCATGCAACCAGCCGAAAACGACAGATACAGGCCAGAATACAAGATCGATGGGATATCGGACGAAGTGGGTGATGAGCTTGATGAACTTGGAAAACATCATCCATCCTGCGAACGCATAGCAGGCAATCCACGTCTGATCCCTGGGCCAGTCCGAGGTAGCCTTCCACAGGCACAACCAGAGCAAGATGTCGCCGATGAATGCGGGTGGCGCCAAGGTAGTCAATTGCACCGCATACGTGCTGTAGAGCTGCGTTCTGGAAAGGGTAGAGATTGTCAGCGCCAAGAACTGAGTGAGGCGAGGAGCAACTGTACCCCAAGAACAAGACTTACCTCCAAATGTATCGTTCAGCAAACATGCTGGTCAAATTGCTCCGCCAGTTGCTGCGTGCCCATCGTAGACACTGTTTCAAGAATTTTGGGTTATCCTCCAGAGTGGTCAGGACCTCGCAGTTGGGATGGTATTGCATGTAAACCTCGTGACCATGTGAGACCATCCATCGCGAAAGGAAGTTGTCGTCATCAGCGTTGAGCTGATATTGTCCGAACCACCATTTCTCATTGGTGAAGCCATTGGTGAAGTTGACGTCTTGGAGGATGTTGGTGCGGTAGGCACAAGTGCGTCCGGAAATGCACGGCATCCCACCGTCCATGTGAGTGGTGGCTGCACAATCAAAATTTCGACGTTCCAAGTACAAGGCTCCCAGGAATCCGTAGATACGTTGAGAGAAGGTCGGATTCTCAGCACGTCGGAGTCTCTGGCAGGTGACAACCGCACCGTACTTCTTGTCCTCAAAGGGAGCTAGCATCCACTGCAGAAGCTGAGAGGGCCACGTGACATCGTCATCGGCGAAGACAATGATCTCAGTGGTGACCTCAGGAATGGCCCTGGCCATTTGACGCCTCTTGTTCGCCTGCTTGACCGACATACAACGGATCTTGCCGTGTTGTGCCGCTGGCATCTTGGACATGGTCCTCCCGGCCTTGTGCAAATTCTCGTCAATGGTCACCAGAATGATTTCCTTCGGTTCAGTCTTCAAAATCGAGTCAATGGTCCGCTCCAACTCTTCTCCTTCACCGTCCAGGGTTGGCAAGATGACGGTGACATCCGACGGGGACAAAGTCGGATTGTCTGGGATCGGGATCGGTCTGAAGGTCCAGAACAACCACAGGTTGACCACGAGACGGACATACCGCCAAAGGCTAGACTTGGTCAGCAGATCTGTCAAAGAGGTTGATACATGTCCGCACTCACGCATAGCCGACGAAGAGAAAAAACCAAGATCTCGGTTCCATGGTTTCAGATCGACCAGTGACACCCAGTCAATGAGGTCTCTGGTAGGTGGACAGACAATAACGACTGTAAGAGTGGTCGAACCACTCAAGGCAAGTGGAAAAACAGGACGAACAACGACGACGAGGAGTTATGAGGAGGACATGAGGAAGAGCAATGAAAGACAAGAAAGAGAGGGCAACAACGACGCGGAGATGAGAGGTACTTGAACGTCCGAGAAAATATGGGGGAGGGGGAGGCTGAGATGCAAGTGAAGGTGGAAATGACGCCGGTGAGAAAAACAGAAAAACAGAAAACAGAACAGCCGTAAAAATCGTGAAGTGAACCTGCAGTAAGGTAAGTCTTGCACGAGGTTTGATTCGGCTTTACACCCCCAGAATAAGAAGCGTAGCTTGTGATGCCAGCGTCAACAGAATATTAGCCGCATTTCGTGTATTCGGGATGCTCCAGGGTATTGATTGGCCATGCAGCATGTAAGGTAAGGTATGCTCAGATGTTGAAGGTTCCTTTGCCGCAAGGGCAGGGCGCATCTGTGACCTCTAAGCTCTGACTTAGCTAGTTACCCCTCCATGCATGAACGACCGAGGGGTGGTCAGGATGGTCAGGGTAGTTAGGGTGGTCAGGTCAACCACGGGCCAAAATGACCGGGGTCTTGGTTGAGACTGGCGGGGCCCAGGGTACGACCGCCTAAGCGTTGTGTATGGATGGGCTCTTGGTTATATGGGGTACAGCCTAGCACACCTGCAAGTTGGTGGATGCCGCCCACCAGCCCACTTTTTGATATTCTGCGGGCTGCTGCATGGCATGCCTGGTACATGCGCATCTGCCATCAGATTTGTGTCAGGTTCTGGTTGAAGAATCCATCAGAATCCAGCGATCATGTCCACTACAGCAGGAAGCTTCCCATTCATTCACAGCCTAACCGCCGTAATTTCGAGTGCTCACTCACCCAGATCCAAACAAGTGCTGATTCCCAAAGCCTGCAACCTGCAACAGCTCAATTTAGCCATGTTCATTAATGCCAACCATGGTGCCGGGGTTCGACTATTTTCTTCTCGATCCCTGTGGTAGACTGAGTCGATCAGACCATGTAGCATCCTCGTCATGATACCGACTACTTGCAGCCGCCTCCTCGCCTCCTCGCCTCCCCTTGATTTAACCGCAGCGCTACCAGGCACCACCAGGCACTCACAGACGACCATCCTCACGCATCCTCCGTTACGCAGATTACAGCATGTTGAGCACGGTCTCAATCCTTCTGGCCCGCTCTCATCCAGACGGAGTCATGGTGGTGGATCGACATGACTGTCTGAGGTCCCTCGTGCCCCTCCTCGAATCCTGCCATGAGACCGACGATCCAAACATCGAAGATTTCCCCGAGCACACATCCATCCTCTCGTAGCCATATCAAGAGATGGGAGCCAAAAAGAAATGGCACTGACTGGCGGGCTGGCAGCGGCCCTCTTAGCGACCGGTGGACACACCATGCAGCCGATGACAGGCCTTGGAGGACCACCTCAAAACGCCTCTTTTCCCTCGCCCAGGCCAATTCGTACACAACTCCGACCGAGACACATGCAAAGACGACCTTACTCTTCAAGCTTTACCTCATCCTGTAATCCAGGTGCAAAGAGACCTCCCTCCATGTCAGATTGGCCTTGAGCACGAGGACGGAGAAGCACCGTGTGACCGAGAGATGGGACCGCCGATGTCGTGGAATTGACCTCACGATCACTCCCCGCGACCTGATCGTTCTCAACATCAAACAGTTTCCCTCGCCGTTGTCTCCATTTTCCCTGCCGCCATCACGAAAATGCGAATCTCCACAAACATATCCTCATTCGCCGCTAGCTTCGCGTCGACTGGCCACTCTGTCTACCAATTCGTGCAAACCCAAACCATCATAATTACTGCAGGCGCCAGCTGCTAAACTCGAATCGTTGTAAGTGCACGCCGAGGGGATTGTACGAACCAACTGCAAAAGGTCTCTCCAGTCCACTACTCTACAAATGCATCGAAAATCAAGCATCGCTCCAACACCTTCTTGCCCGTCAGCCCCACACTCTCGCCAGCTCTCGTCGATTTCGCTCATGGCTTCCACACAAGAGCTCTGTCCACGGCCGCGACTCCACCAATCTACGTCCTTGATGGTCTGCACTCGATCCAAGATCGCTGCCCATGAGCACTCGAGATGTCCCAAATAGGAGATCGTTGACTACAAGACTGCAGACCTTCCAGGTCACAAGAGTCAACGACAAAAAGCCACTCGAGCTTGCCCGTTCTCACAGGTCATTGACACATAATCGGCAGATGGACTGGAGAAACGATGCGCTTGGCTTGACTTCCCATGTCAAACTCAATCAGGAAGACGTGCGGTCGTCCCGTACCTTGGAACCCTCGTCCTTGCCCCTCGCTCTCAACTCTCACGATCAGCTGCAGGCTGCAGCAGACCAGGCAGGGTCCAGCCCAGAACGGAGCTGTGCATCGCTAGAAGGTCTGTGCTTTTGGCGATCCACCTGCCCCAGATGGCGCAATGTGTGATGCGACTCAGCACGGAATCACCCGCAGGCCCTGTCCGATCAAAGCAGATACCCAGACCATCCAATCCGCCCTTGTCCGGCCATCGCCCTTTGGCTGCAGCCGTGGAGATAAGTCCTTGCCTCTAGCTACTCGAGGGCAATTTTTACGATTTAGGCTGCGCGACCAGAACCCTCAGCAGAGGAACGCATTTGCTCAGGGCATGTGCTCAAGCCGGCCGCATTGCTGAGCTCTAACCGAGCCGTCTCTCATACCTCGTAGAAATGAAAACTATTCACATGTATGACGTATCAGCACACTTGAAGTTTGATGGTTGAGCCAAATGCATACGACGTCGGTCGGCGATCATAACCAGGGGGCCATGTGAAGTGATCCCGGCACATGGCTGACAAAATTCAGAGCCCAGATGACCCTTTACCAGGCATCGCTGGCTTGCCAGCCGGACTTTGTACTGGCATGCCCAAAACAGCAGTGGATTGCAAGACCGATGTTCGAGGAGTTCATCCATAAGCCAGTCTGGCGTTAAAATCCCGCGCAGTTTGTGCTCGTGCGAGGCGGCGTGACACGGGAAGTCGGAGGGCACGGGTAAAATTTGCATGAACTTCTGCATCGCCGCCTGTGCTTCGGACAAATCGTTGTGACGGGGTCAGACAGCTGAAGAGCAGCGCGAGACTCGGCTTACCAGGATGAACGGTCACGCCACCCTGTAGTTGATGTTGAACTGACATTTGCAGCACTACTGATGCCGACGTGATCTCAAATCTATGTCAAGTCTGAATGCGAGAGGGTGTGTGACTGATCTTCAGATGCCACTGACAACACGAGGAGTTCGCATTGGGTGGTTGGGGTTGAGCAGGCCAATCCCTGGTTGAGGAAAACGACGTGAAGCGCCATGAGAGGCCATGGCATCGACTTGCATGGTGGCGTCCTCGGCGGCCAACCTCGCTCCTTTTAGCGTCATCCGCCCCCAGAGCAAGCTTGCTTGTTCCTGTAACCGACCACCTCGACGCAGTTGTTTCTTGACATTGCATCAATCGTGCAGCAGACTATTAGTCCGGCTTATCGCGCATCATCTTTCAGCTTCCTTTCTGGCAACATTCGACCGCTCGACTTCCTTCGGCTCACCAACGCAGTGAGCGTATTATTGGCACTTATGCAAGTGAGCTTAAAGAGGGTAGGCATCGAATGTCGGCGGCCGAACAACGAGTCAAGGTTTAATCGGTTCACCATGCTTGAGAGACTAGTGTGGGTAAACTATGAACAGGAGGAAATGCTGGTGTGCGCCAATAAGAGACTGTTTGGATGTGCTCATGCAACCATGACTCTGCCAATTCAGCGGCAGTATCGAAGGCCAATCTTTCTTGACCCAGCACTGGAGCATACGCTTCGTTGACCTTCGCACTTACGAAGATCAGCTTATCATGACATGGAGGCGTGAAGCATCACGCATATACAGGTTCTGGCGTTACATCGGAAATTTACGCCTTCTTCAACCACAGACCAGGTTCGTCTTTCCAAACCCCCTTCGAAGAGGTTACCTAGATACAATCCGGTATCTTGAGTGTCGAAGAAGATCCCGTACTACATTTGCAATGCGTGTATTCGTGAATGGCAGCACCTTGTTGTTCATATCACCAGTGGTCCTGTTCTGCCCGGTAGATGGCAAGTGTGGTCGAGTAGCGTAGTGTGTGCAAAGTCTTCCAGGGGATCTCTTGCGCCCTTTACCTCCTCTGTACCTGGTCAGCAACCGTTACTGCACGTATGACAACCACCTGTTGATCCTCAGAGGTAATGGACCAGCCAGTCAGACGATTCAGTTGCACTAACATTGATCGCTGAGGCGGTCTCGACGATAGATTCAGGGAGATAGCAACTACTGAGGTCTTTTTTATTATTTATTATTTCCACTGGCTTTTCGCATGAGCCTAACCTTTGATGACTTTGGGGATTGAATAGCTTGCTCGGCCAGCCATTGCCCATGGTGTGCGATAAATTTCTTTCCAAATCCCGCACAGCAGATGCACGAAGGCAAGCCATGTCGTTGAAAGAGCACGAATGAAGATGAAGACACATCGAGCTGTCCGGAAGACAGGGCTAAACTTCCCCCCGTGGACGGCCTCTCGATGTGCATTAAGATGCAGATAGCTGCCCAAACACCCTAAACAAGTCACAGCGCGGGGCTGGCCCACGGTGCCTGGACGATCTGATCCTGATCCATCCCCCGAGATCAGGACGGATTCAATATCCCAGACGCTGTGGGATGGAGACATGCAATGATAATAGCATTTTCATTTTCTCATCAACACCAACCATGTCTATCTCAGTGGTTCTCTCGCTCTCTAAATTCTCCATGTCTCGTCTTGGCAATGACGTCAACAATATGGTCAATTTCGACGACCAGCTTTTTCCTTTGGTCTCTGGTGGTTGCCCTGCATCTCCCCGTACACAGTAGCCTTCAAGGTACTCGCAGCTTCATCCAACTTTTCACCATCCATGATATTTTATTGTATTGCCTTATCATCTCGGAACGATCTGCAATCCAGTGTTCATGCATCGAAGGTCAAGTTCATGCGTGTCAATCACGAGTTTCACCGCCCATTTACCCCTGTTTCCCAGTCCTCGTGGTCTGACGCAAGATAGGCGGTGAGGCAAGGAAGATCACTATCCCGGGCGCCTTGGTACCTTATACGATTCGATCGATACCTCACAGGCCTGTCGATGACTTGCGTTCACGGCCCGAAGCGAGATCGACTGCCACCACCGCTCCATACTCCTGGGACTTTCATCAGATCTCCCTGCTCCCATTGACCTTGCTGAACTTTGATGGAACTTCAACCATTTAAATTATTATGATCTTGTTCGTCATCCTCGTCGACCTGCAGCATGGTTTTGAAAAATATGCCAACACCGAAGTATCTCTGGTCCAACACCGCCTTCACCGACTTTCCGGGTCTCACTCCTGCACAAATTTGCGTGCTTCAAACCAACTCCCTGCGACCAACTTACAAATAACGGGCAGTGCGGCCCTCAAAACTATCATCCGCAGAGGACGCAAAAGTAGTGACAACGCTATTCTCCTAGAACCCAGTCCAAGAACGGCCGTCTTTCATCAGAGCCAATCCATGGGTCAGAACCCCCACCATATTGGTCACATGGCCACCGAACCCGAAGATGCAGACTTCGCGCCAGCTTCAAACTGGGTTCGACTCGTTCCTGCGTCCTGCTGTGTGATGTAGCACAGATCGACTTCTGCAACCAAAATCGTGCGATGCGAGTCATCCTGAGAACTTGTTGGCGCTGGTCTGGATTGTCGCGGGATGGACTACTTGCAGCACGAAGTTGATCGGCTGTAGCATCCCGACTGGCTGGGTCTCAAAGACCAACTTCTGCTGCCGACAAATAGCGGTTCTCGAAAGCGTTGCCATGGTGGACAACCCTCCTTGGCGATCATTTCACCGTGACCGGTTGCAGTGTTGCAGTCTCTCGCTTTTTGCCACCGCTTGCCTTTCTCCTTCAGGACTGATTTTCCTTGAGTTGCATGGCTCTCGAAATCTTCAACCCTTGCGATTGGACGGTAGTGACCGTCAATCCATGGCCGAGGGAGGCGAGGAGACTCCGCGGGTCAGGGTGACCTCTTCAATGCCTTGATCCCAGTCCACTTGTGCAGGCAGCCAACTGCACGTCTTGCTCGTGGAGGTACCCTCGCGGCTACGTAAGCTTCCGTGGGGTGTCCCTTGTCATTGCCACTGGAGTCCGCATGTACGCCCATCTGTTGGTTTGCATATGGTGGGTTCACTGCGTCGCAGGGTCATTATCCATATCCGACCCAGGGAAGTGGCATTGACCGCTAGGGTGGTGCAGGCACATTTGACTAGGTGCTGTACGCCTGTTGCTGCCTTTTCGAACCTTGCGCCCCGGCCACGTGCGGTCAAAGGCTGCAATTTTCAACTGCATTTTGCTCCATCTGCAGCTACGCTGTGGGTTCTGAGACGCAGAAGTCATCCCTTGGAGCCTTCCCGCAACAAGTGGGGGAATGTCCAGTCGCTGGCGCCCCCTGAATTCAGCTTGCAGAAGCTATAATGCTCGGCCAACGCGACCAGAACTCAGATTTTCCACAGCAGTCGACCTCCTCACTGCTCCAAAGGTGCGCTGTTTAATATTGAGATGGATGAGAGCTGTAGAGCGCAGCCACGCCGGTTTCCTGGATGATTCTTGACATTTAGGTCCCCTATCTGCATTGCTTCTCTTTCTATTTTCGAAGTGACGCCTGAGGACGGCCTACGAACGCGGCGACTCGGTGGCGTGGTTGATAGCTGTCGCTCTCGGTGGAGTATTATGGCTATCCCTGTCTATGAAGCCATGTTCCTCCGATGCTGTCGCCACTATTCCTATCGACGCAGCGGGATGGCTTTGCCTTCATAACGTGCCTCAAACCACCCTACCAGGATGCATTCCATAATCAACGGTTTTGGACCTGCTGGAGAGAAATGAAGAGGTGGAGATCTCCATAATGTCAAGCTGGTCAGGAGAGACGCTCCATATTTCTGCTGGCCCGACCTTGTCGAAATCTTGAGACACAGTGTCGTTTCCACAGAATGCAACGGCAAGTCCGAAAACTCGAAGCAACCAGGACGCCTATCCCTTGAACATAGTCGGCGTTGCACAGATCGCCAAGACTGTTTTCCATGATGCTTACGCCTAGGACGTGTGCTACTCCAGTTACATGCAAGTCTGCTGGAGAGAGCTTCCTTTTGTGCTAATTACTCGATCCAGTTTCTTGTGGACAACAACATCTCTCCTTATATTGCCGCCTCAGTCCCTACGCCACAATCGATACGTATCCACAATCGCAGTTCCCACAGCAGCTCTGGGCAGCCAAGCAAGAAGGCAGGAATTTAAAGAGAGAGAAGATGAGGAAGAAGAAAATGCACACAAAAGAATGTATTAGAGGGACAGCATGAAACCTTCGCACTGCAGGTCACCTGTACCGATTGCCGTGCGCAAGCACCATTCGAAGCCTGCGCAGGCATTCTCTATCATCACTCACAGTGTACGCATTGGAAGACTCGGCGCAGGACGCAACGTGCGTTCATATGTCGCAGTCGTGGGCGAAACGAAAAGCCCTTGACCTCAAGAATCTCTGGAGACCTGGGCAGACCACTCGAACTATGTTCGACGAAATCAATTACAGGGATTTGGAGCCTGACTGTTCTCCTAGCAGGTATCGCCTTTTGACTGACCACGCTTCGATACTCTTCTATGATTTATGAGACAACAAGCGTATAACACCCGGGCCCTGTGTCCACCAAATGTCACTGGTGGCCGTGAAACGTCCAGTTCGGAAGTGATATGATCACGGTTTTGGAACAACCGTCCATTGCATGTAAGATCATTCACTGGCAAGGCGAGCCATATCTATCCTGTGTCCCATCTTCTGAGGGGCCCTGTAGAGAAGATGGAGCTTCGATCGACTGTTCCATGACCCTTGTTTGTCCACGAACAGGTACGTTGCCCGAGATTGCGTCGGTATGCATGAAACGAGAAATGCGTGGAACGTTGACCTGAATGACCAGTGTCTCTAGCCTCAAAAGGCCCTACTCAACAGATTCCCACCGTACGGCAATACCAGACCTTTCGCCATGGGGCAGCACTTGTGCGAGAAGAAACGACCTGAAGTCGCCAGCTAGATTCATCCAGCGTGGCCTTCCCCCAGCGTTGTTCGCGACTAACATACCCGAAGACCAGAGACCTGCATGCTCGGTATGTCCTCGTAAGACAGGTCTCCTATCTGCTAGACAGCCCGAGATTCCCAAGGACTACGACGCCATGGCGCATCTGGAGAAGCTGCACTTAGACGATGTCCACGTCTGCCACGGTAGGTCACGGAAGCCCATCCAAAGAGATCCGAGCAGCTATTTATCGCGCAACAAATGGCTTGTCCACCCCCTTGCTTTGCTGATATACTGTCTGTCCGAGACTTGGGCACGCCCGCCGACGCAGTGCGCCGTAAATACGAAGTGTAAGCAGGAATGTTCCCTCCAGACCGCGCGGGTTGGTTGTCGAAGGTTATTGCCCGTGGCTCACTGTCAGTAGCGTAACAGTTAGGCACAGTGACACATGCAAGATTCAACGGCTTGGGTGTCTTATGGGCGAACTACGGCGGACAGGATGCAATGCTCTGAAGGACTCTTAGGGGCGTGAAGACTCCCGACAAAAACTCATGATGACACCATGGTTCATTGGCCGTAGGTAGACGTGTGTATCTGTAGATATCTCCCATAGAAGGAGAGAGAAAAGAAAGGCATGAAGCAGACCAGCAGAAAATCATCATCTATGCCGTGCCATGCCGTGATTGAGTCCAGTACCTACCCCAGTACCTAGGTAGGTTTGTTGGGTATGGTATATGATGGTATGTTTGATATCCGTAACAGTAACTTATGAGGTGGCACGGGTGGTTACTGTCAAACCCAAGTCTGTCCCTGTCCAAAGCGGACCTCGAACTCGACGCCACCGAACACGCCAATGGCCGGATACAAATCGCCCTCGCCCATGAGCCCGTCGACGCCTTCGTCCCGCTCGTCGCGCTCCTCGTCAATATCCCACTCCCAATCCTTGTTGGTCTGTCCGTCCCTCGTCACGAACGCGGTGGTCTTGACTCTTCCTATCCCTTCCACTTTCGCTTTCCCTGACCGTGAGTCGGGCTCCGGCGGCCCGGCAGGCGTCGTAGAGAACTTGATGCCAACACCGACCGTGTCTCCGGGTTTGAAAGCGTCCACAAAGTCACGCCCGCCCCACGAATCATGGACAAAACGGCGTCCGTCGTCGCCGTGCACGCCGATACTCGCGCGGTGCCAGCCCGGCAGACGCCACGGCGGATACGGCTTTGCGGCGAAACCGATGGCGATGCCCGAGTTGGCACTGGAGATGCGCTGGACGTGGATCTCGAAATAGATGGTGATCGGGCGCGAGGTGAGCAGCGGGTTGTCGGCGGCGGCGAAGTATAGCGGGATGCTGGACAGGATGATGGCGTCTTGTTGCGCCGGGGCGGTGGATGTGCGGATGGACCATGTCGTCGGCGAGACTTGACGGAGGGTGAAGTTCTTGCTGCCGGTGATGGCGGACGGTGGTCGTTCGAGAGTCAGGTGGCCGGTTCGGGCGAGCGTGTGGATGTCGGCGGACGGGCGGGACGGCGTGTAGACTGGGTGGCGGGCGCACCATTCGTGCGCGCGTGCGGCCGAGTCGTAGGTCGCGTTGTTGGTAGGGGAGTAGTCTTGTGGTAGAGGTGGCGGAGGCGGGAGGAGGGCTGTGTCGGGGATGACTGTCCAGTCGTGGTATGGTGGTGGGTTGTCAGACGGTGGTGGTGGGCCGGGCGGCGGGAGATAGGTTTCTTGTTGTCGTTGTTGTTGTCGATGTGATGGAGGAGGCGGGCCTGGTGGAGGGGCGAAGAAATCGGTATCGTCACGTTGGAGATGAGAAGGAGGTGGACCTGGTGGTGGAGCGTACGAGGATTGCTCTGAGCTCATCATACTTGATGAGGATTGATGGTTGTTGGTGTCTGCGGTTGTGCTGTGGCCGAAGACACGTCGTTTCTCTTCCGCGGTGGAATATGCCTGATACTGGTCGTCATTGTCGCGGGATGCTGGATCGGTGCCTACGTCGATTTTACCCTTCAGGGATTTGAAGATGCCCATGGCCAGTCGCCGCTGGATAGACAAAGTCACCAGAGCGGTCGTCGACAGTCCTCAATGTTTGATTAACGGCCCAAATGATGCGGGGATCGAGATTGTAGTTGCAGAAAGAGCCTCTCCGGCCTAGGATTGATGATACTAGTAATGATTAAGACAAGGCTCAACAGTTTTCTGAGATGAGTCCTTGTAAATTGCAGTCGAATCCACTTCAAGAGTAGGTCATCAACCATCAGACAAGTTGAAGGCAGTGATGAGAACCAACGATTCACAGTCAAGCGACAAAAGTGGGGAGATACCGTGGATCATGATGGTGCCAATGCAATGGATGACGGAGATACGTAGTAATCGTCCAAGTCTAAGCCACAGTCAACAGTCAACTGTATTTTCTCCTGCAACTCCCTCAAAGCGTTACCAAACCACGGGTCATCTCGATACCTCCACGTTTGGAAGGACATTCATCATACGGCGATCACAACATGAAAGACCTGCAGAGGCAGGCGCAAAACAAACAGGCTCTCGGTGTATTTATTGAGCAACAAGATCCATTAGTTTAGTGTCTCTTCCTCCCTCAACCGCGTATATACAGGCTGTTCAATTGCTTGCGGATCCCTCCGGACTGCTCCGTCTGGACCGACGGCGAACTGAGTCATCCCTGAGCAGGTCTTTGCGGCCACTGATCAAGTACCGCCTGAGTACCTGTCAACGTGAAATTGACCATCGCTTGCGTCGGCACATCCACCAACAACCCATAATCACCGGGGTACAGGACAAGATCCCCCTTCTCATCACGTCGTCCGAGACTTCCCAGCGTCAAATTCAGGCTGGCAGTCGCCGAGCCGCCGGCACTGATGTTGAATAGCCTCTCATATGCCACCAGTTGCTTGATCGGATAAGGCTGCGGTCCATACTGGCCGCTGATAAAGCCCAGCGTGACGAAGTCGGATGTGACGCTTCCAGTGTTCTTGACCGTGACATTGATCGCCTCGAACGGACACAGATCCATGTACGGATACTGCGTCTTATTGCAACTCGACACCAGCGACGAGATGTCGTAGCTCGATTGACTTGGCTGGGACGCCGAGGCACTGAAATTGGTGTAGTGCAGACCATATCCGAATGGCACGACGGCCTCGTTGTACCAAATATACGTCCGGCCGGGGTTTCCTGAAGACGCGTTCGGTCTAAGTCCCATATCCGTCAGGTCCACCTCATTGACGTAGTCTGCTGGATACTGCGTAACGGGCAGACGTCCTGCAGGCGCGTATTTGCCGGTGAGCACGTTCATGAGCGCATCCCCACCTGCCATGCCGGGGTAGCCACCCCAGACGATAGCAGAGATATTGGGGTTGCTGAGTAGTGGAGTGTTGTCCAGTTGATCACCCATCTGGAGGACAATGACAGGCTTGCCCATGGAAGCGAATTGCCCGATCAGGTCGATCGAAGCTGGTGGCCAGTCGATCGTGTATCGGTCCATCCCCTCGGATTCGTCGTTGATGCTGATTCCGTCGGCCACGATGATAATGTCGCTGGCTTCCGCGGCCCCAAGCAATTCATCCCATCCGTCTGTCGTGGGCACACCGAACCCGCCGCCGTATATGACATTAACATTGGGTAGCTGTTGGGCAGCGTAGAGTGGTGAGTGCAAGTACGGGGCGATACCGTAGTAGTTGCCTTGCATCGTGGTTGTGGCATTTGCCCAGCTACCAAGGAGTGCGATCGTGGTGTTGTGGTCTGTCGGCAGCTGCAGCGGGAGGATGCCATCGTTCTTGATCAACACGATACCTTCTTCAGCCGCCTTGAGGGCCAGTGCTTCCGCGTCCGAGGTGGCCACATCAGACCATCCAAGTGATCGGTACGGAGTCGCGGATGCAGGGTCAAAATATCCCAGCTTGACGAGAGCGGTGTACAGGCGGACAAGTGCTTGGTCGATGACAGTCTCGTTGAAGAGACCTTGGTCGTATGCCCTCGGAAGCCATGTTTGGTAGTACGTCCCCTCGAAACTGTCAGCTCGATACTTTCTCATAGAAAGACAAAGCAGGAACGTACGCAATTCAGGTCCGTACCAGCAATCAACGCATCAGCAACGGCCTGTTGCTGAGTCGGTGCATAATAGTGTGGTGCGTAGATATTCTGGATGGCATCACAATCCGAGGTCACGTAGTGCCCTTCACCCGTCCAGTTCCAGTGGTCTCGGAGCACGTCCTGGAGGATGTAGGGATCGGCGCATGTGGGTACTCCGTTCAGAGCATTGTACGAGCACATAACCGACCTTTCTCTTTACGTCAGCAATCTTCAGCCGCTCGACATTCAGGCTAAATCCGACTGACCCAACGGCAGCATCCCGAGCGCATGTCTGGAAAGGCTGCATGTAATATTCGGCCAGGTCTTGCGTTGTTACCATGGCGTCAAAGTTGTATCGATCATATGTCTCCCACATTTCAAGGTCGTACGCCACGAAATGCTTGCAAGTTGCCACCACTTTTTTAATAGGTGGATCGTGACCTCCTTGTAGTCCATCGATGAGCGAAGCAACGTACGATTTGAGGTGGAAAGGGTCTTCTCCTGGGGTCTCTTGACCTCTGCCCCATCGTGGATCTCTGGAAAAGCGGGTTAATGAGCCATTCTCCTGGTCTGGTTGTCTGGCTTCAATGCTCACTTGTAGGGATTGATATTCGGAGTCCAATAATCCAGTCCGCTCCTATTGACATTGTTAAACGCTCGCGCCTCCGTGCTGACGACAGTGGCAACCGCATGAATCAATGCATCGTCAAAAGCTGCGCTCATTGTGATCGGCTGCGGGAACGATGTTGCATGGGAGAAATCTCCAGACTTGCTGAAGTTGACGCCGGGAGAACTTGCGACTCCATGCAAAGCCTCCTCTGCATTCTGGTCAGTATGTCCCAAACGCTGTGACACCACTGGTTCCACATACGCCACCATTGATAGCTATACAAGCCCAGTCGCGGTACTCCAGGTGAAGTGTTGCCCGTCAAATTGAACTTCTCATCGATCGAGAGAGCATCGACAAGAGCCTGCGCTCGAGTCACGGCTGCTGCACTTGCGTCGCAGACCGTGTTGTTTGCCAGAGGACCATTAACACAGTCTGGGAACAAGTCTGCAACTGTGGGAACAGCCAGCAAGGCGATGATGCCTATGATTAGTGCAGCCATGATTTGATACGCTGCTCAAAACACCCACGAACGAAGCTGAAGAGACGGATTCAGATGGGCAGATGCATGCTTTTATCCTGGCGTTCCAGAGTATTGACGAAATAGACTTACTGATCACCGCACTTCTCTGCATCTCTGGATGCACATTCTCCGCTCCCCAGAACCCAACATCGTCCTCTTTTGGAAGGACGATATGGAGAGTTCGGGTCTTGTGCTACTAACTTTTTGCGATGATGATCATCCGAATGCGAATTGCCGGTAGCGGTTGTGCCTGAGAAGAGTGCAGCAGACCACGGCTTCTTTTTTGTGACAGACCCCTGGGCGCTTCGGCGTATCCACCTATAGCTTTTGTTCCACAACGAAGTTTTGTGGTGTATGACGAGGAAGCTTCGGCAAGAAAGCTTCTGCATAGCAGCAAAGTCTTAGCCTATACCCCATTAGTTGCAGGCAGTTCATATCAGGCTCTGCGGAGAAGCATTCCCTTCCAGAAAATTTCGCTTTCCTGCATCAATGCGTCCGAGGACGGTCGGAAATACGGCTAAACGGCCTTCCTTTCGAAAACAACCAATGATGATCAACAGTTGCATGAGTTTTCGGTGTAACGTAGGAATTCCAAGCAATAAAGCCTGACGTGGGTAACAATGGATAATAGGCAAAGGCGGGCTCTCAAAGGATCGAGGTTGTCCGAGGGATTTCAGGCTAAATTGCTTCTCTTAAACTGTGGAGGTGGAGGAGAATGCCTGCGGAGTAGTGGATAATGGAGCCTGATCAAACACTCAGCCTCTCATGATCAGTAGCGATTTTCAGGCGAGAGATTGCCTGACCCCAGGAAGGCAACCTGCTGATTTCATGGAACATTCGCCCGCAGCTCGTGTTTGCTGCATAGATGTCCATTCCACCAACCAATATGTGTTGACACAAGAGTAGCATGTTGAGAAAACACCTTAGTCTGACTTGATATTCAGAGACAATCCTTGTGGACCATGTCCTCGATTACATATCGCCGGCTCGGGTCAGACACCGTTCTTCTGGTGCGCATCTAGGTGGTGCGGAGGCTGGCCATGCTGGCTCAGCCAACTTCCTTTGTAACGCGGAAGCTAATTGCCGATCGTTGATATGGAGCGTCGACCCACACGGCCAGCTGCCAAATGGAACTGCTTCGCTGGACATTCCACCGGTCAATAATGGGCGACAACCTGCCAGGCTCGCAGGGTCTTTGCTGGTTACCAATTACGAATCCACTTACGACCATACCTCGTGCCGTACGGAGTACAATCCCTGCTTTCGCATGTGCCGTGACAGTTCTGAATTAGCCTGAAGACGATGGTATTGGGTGAGTTGCTGATCTTATAGAACGATGACCGCTCCGTTCTCGAACACGGTTCCCATCTTTATTTTTCCAGCGCCTTTGTTCGCTGCACTCAACTTGTCTTGGAGCATTGCAAGATGGCGCCAGCAGTCAAGACTTCGCAATTCAGCGATGCAGCCCTTCAACACCGTCTTGAGTTGACAGGCAAGGCCGGTCCGCAGGCGTTGCTCAAGAATATCCGCGTCTTCGGCCTTACATGCTTTGCTTGCATCGGCGGTCTTCTTTATGGCTACAATCAAGGTGTTTTCAGTGGTGTTTTGTAAGTGGATAGGGCAATCAAGACCCTGGCCTCACATGATCAGCGGACTGACACGAGCCGTGCTCAGGACCATGAATTCCTTCAATAACCATATGGGCGACTATGTCAGCAACACGACCAAAAAGGGCTGGCTCACTTCCATTCTAGAGTTAGGAGCTTGGACCGGTACCCTGTACTCTGGCTTCCTCGCCGAGATCATCTCAAGAAAATATGCGATCCTCGTTAACACTTGTATCTTCATCCTGGGTGTCATTATCCAATGCACAGCAACCTCAGCCGGACACTCTGCCATTCTCGGAGGCCGTTTTGTGGTGAGGATTGACATTTGTGCCTCATTGGGCATGCCGCCCGCTGACATAGGGTTTGCTTAGGTTGGTATGGGCGTTGGCTCGCTTTCCATGATCGTCCCAATGTACGTCGCTGAGTGTGCGCCACCCGAGCTGCGTGGCTTGCTCATTGGTATGCAACAATTTGCCATCGAGTTCGGCATCATGATCAGCTTCTGGATTGTAAGAGACTCTCGCGATTCCTTGCGCTCATATGTACTGACCCTTTCAGGATTACGGCACCAACTACATCGGAGGAACTGGCAAAGGGCAGTCCGATGCTGCATGGCTTGTGCCTCTTTCTCTTCAACTGGCTCCGGCTCTGATCTTGTTGACTGGAATGATCTTCATGCCTTTCACTCCTCGATGGCTCATTCACCATGGCCGGGAGCAAGACGCAAGAAGGACATTGGCCCTTCTCAGGGCCATGCCAGCCGAACATGAACTTATCGAGCTCGAATTCCTTGAAATCAAGGCACAGTCTCTGTTTGAAAAGAGGACTGTCGAAGCCAACTTCCCCCATTTGTCAGAATTGACCGCGATGAACACCATCAAGCTGCAATTCGTGGCCATTGGGTCTTTGTTCAAGACCATGCCGATGTTCCGTCGTGTCATTGTGTCGACGGTCACCATGTTTTTTCAGCAATGGACAGGTATGAACTTGACCTCTGTGTTGTCGCCTTCTTTTTGTTGAAATCGACTGACCACCGACGCCAAGGTATCAATGCCGTCTTATATTACGCCCCTCAGGTAAGATTGCGGACATGCTAAAGCGAAGCACTCTGACGAGGATAGATCTTCGGCTCTCTTGGTCTCTCCAACAATACCACCTCGCTGCTAGCAACTGGAGTCGTCGGTATTGCGATGCTGCTAGCTACTATCCCTGCAATTCTGTACATCGACAGAATGGGAAGAAAGCCCGCACTTGCCATTGGAGCACTTGGGATGGGTCTTTGCCATTTCATCATTGCCATCATATTCGCCAAGAATGAGCATCAATGGCCAACGCATCACGCCGCGGGTTGGGCTGCTATTGTCATGGTCTGGCTGTTCGTCATCCATTTCGGCTGGTCATGGGGACCTTGGTGAGTGTGCACAGTCTCTTTCACGTACAATGCTCTGACGTGGTTCCAGCGCCTGGATTGTGGTTGCAGAGGTTTGGCCCCTCTCGGCTCGTCCATATGGTATTGCCCTTGGTGCTTCATCCAACTGGATGAACAACTTCATTGTTGGTCAAGTTACACCAGATATGATTTCCGGAATCCGATATGGGACATTTATTCTCTTCGGATTGTTGATCACCATTGGTGCCGGCTTTGTCTGGTTCTTCGGTAAGTGGAGGAAGCCTTGCACCAGATACAGTGTTCTAACCTGCCCAATAGTCCCTGAGACCAAGCAGCTGACCCTCGAGGAGATGGATCTGGTGTTTGGTTCAAGCGGAGTCGCAGTAGCGGATCAAGAGCGTATGCGCCAGATCAATGCTGAGATTGGCCTTGATCGCAGAGTGTCTGCCGCTGGAGTACGTGGGAGCGATGAACAGGTCGCGGAGGTGCATGAGAAGAACGTCGAGTCCGAGAAAGCGTAGGTCGCTCTGGTATTGTAACAACCCGTTAACGACATGGACTCGTCTGGTGCTAGGATGCTGTGTGTGGAATGCTTGGATGAGATTGTTGTTCGTCTGCTTTGTCGTGCCTGCTAGATGCGTGTGAAAAGAAGTCAATCAGAATGGGGCAGGATCGGACAAGCTTTTCACGAAGAGTTCTTTGGACATGATTTCATGGCCCTCGCCGACCTCGCAATGATCAGCGCTGATGTTCCAGGCTTTCCAAGGCTCACTTGAAGTCTGAGTTTTTCGGTTGAACCGCTTCTGGTCCGCTGCGTGACTAGATCCCATCGTGAGGAAAGCATTGAGTGCATAGCTGCAATAGTAGAGGGATGATGGACGAAAGTGATCAACTGAAAAAAGGAGGACAAGAGCAGAAACACTAGCCTGAATCAGGATTAGTCTGATATCTTCTCATCTGCCCCTTTGTGCACTAACCTCTTCCACCACTATAGTACTCTCTACCCTTCCCTCCTTGCTGATATCCGACCAGGTCAAATGTCCAGCTCGGGCCGCGGCTTGCCAGACTCCAGACAGTGGCTGTGAAATATGCAGCTCCATGACCGCTCATCAATCGTCGCCTCAAGAAAAAACGCGCGTATTGGAGACGCCGTCATCAAACGTACCTATGCTCACATGTGAATTGAGAAGACCTCAGCCTTCAACGACATGAAACATCTCTTCTGGACTAGTACTATCCACCTCCTCACCGCGCTCACATGTCGTGTCTATGCCTCTATTCTCCCATCAAGCAGCCTGCCATTTCCGATCAACAGATCTACTCCGGACGGCGATGCGAACTACCTGGCACCAATCTTTCCTATACTCCCTTTCCAAAAATACTCACGCAACCCAATATTAACACCCAATCCTGACAATGATTGGGAATCGGTCTATGTGTACAATCCGACCGCCATTGTCCTGAATGAGACCATCTTCTTGCTTTACCGGGCTCAGAACGCCAGCAAAACCTCTTCCATAGGTCTAGCCTGGTCAACCGACGGTTACAGCTTCACTCGTCTAGACCGGCCTATACTCTACGCCACGCAACCTTGGGAAGCCGGTGGTGGTACCGAGGATCCCAGAATTGTTCGCGTCAATGCCACGTTCTACCTGACATACACGGCTTATGACCTGAACACGCCTCGGCTTTGCATTGCGACAAGTGAGGATCTGTTGACTTGGACAAAGTCTCCGCCTCTCTTTTCCGGGTCTGAAGATGTCACAATCTCTGGCGACGCAGCCCGGAGATCGCTCATCAGTGACTCCAAAAGTAAGTCCCCCCTAAAAGCCGGTAGTGTCAGCTGAACAGTTTCCTTCCGAACGCCAGGTGGTGCCCTCGTTACCGACCCAACATCGGATGGCCTGTACCATATGTACTTTGGCGACAGTGTCTTCTATCATGCGACGTCCACCGACCTCCTGAACTGGACAACATCTGACGAACCCTTTGCAAAGCCCATATATCCATGGGAGAACGCGCTGATCGAGCCTGGCCCAGCTCCGATCAAAACCCGGGACGGGCGATGGCTGTTGGTATGTGCTGCCTCTCGTATCAGGATTTTCCTTCTCTTTCAAGCCCTCGACCCGAAGATTTGTCCTGAGGGTCCAATATGACGCGATGGAGAAGACTAGCGCAGTATTGCAGCGTGACTTGACTGTCGACTTACCTTTCTCTTGTTGTAGATATACAACGCCATGACCGCAGGCGAAGGGAGCTACCGACGAGGACAATACTCCGTCGGCCAGATGCTGTTGGATCCATCAAGCCTAACCCCACGGTCCTCACCCCACGGCGTCGAAGAGATCGATCCTCCAACCTACCCAAGCAAGGCTCAAGTCAAATATGAAGCCCCTGGGATTCGACGACGCCATCACGACGATGCACAATTGACTTTTCTGCCCAGCGACAACAAGGCCGAACCAGTTCATCGAGTGTCGCCGTCGTCATCACAAGACGGTCTCCTTGCCCGGCTCGAAACCCCCTTCCTCGTTCCCAGCACTCCCGAGGAAGAGAAGGGCCAAGTCGACCTCGTCGTCTTCGCCGAAGGACTCGTGCAATTCAAAGGGAGATGGTTCTTGTACTACGGCCAGGCAGACCAGACGGTCGGCGTTGCCGTTGCGGATGTTCAACCGTGATTAGTACCAGGTAGGCAAGAAGCAAGGCGAAGGAGGTTAGCAAAGGGGAAACTTTCCGGAGCAAAAAGAATCAGAATGCACCGTCCGCCATCTTTGCTCTGGTACGAACCTACCTAGGTAATTAGTACAGAACTCTACCAGTCTTAAGTCTACTCTTAGCAGGCCTGCTCTTGCCTATCAACGGTCCTATCGCAGCCAGGTTAGAATCGATCCAATGCGGACACCACTCTCTTCCTAGCTGGAACTTCGCATCAAGGAAGGAATAAGGTACAAGAAACTCAGCACGAACCTCATGGAAACCACCGACGCATTACCGAAGATCAAATCTCAAATCATGTCCTGCCCTGCCCTGCCCTGCCACGGTCTTCCTTAGCCACTGGTATGATGAATCATCACCTCGTCTACATCTGGAATTCTGGAATACTACTACTCCGTGGTAAAGTCTGGAAATCTTTTCATGCCATGTGCCTTGCCTTGCCTTACCATGTAGTGCGTGTGACTGTGTCCATGCTCGTCTTCCTGCCAGCCACGAGATCAGACGGGTCCCACGTCTGTGCGCCGTGTGCGGTAAGTCATCGAGTGAACACGCTGCCACGACGCTCTCAACAGCTCCACACTTGGGGGGCAGAACGTGCTGTGTGTTATTAACTAATAAACTATTAGTATTTTAGATCCACGCCTATCCATAGCCGTGGCTAGTTACTCCGTACGTGTCCATAAAGCTCACCCGACTCGTTCTCGTCGCACGGTCGCAGTGCTTCAGTGAGCTCCCACCGCAGGCGGTGTCGGATATGGCGGAAGCGAAAGCCAAGTGCAGTGCCTTCAGGAGTCATCTACTACTGTACCACCAGTCTGGAGAATCCCATTCTCATCTCCCGTACACGCAGTGGCGCACCCATGAAGATACGTACACTCAGTAGTAGGACATAACGGACGTAACAGGATCACCGCATCAAGCATACTGTGTCCAACTTCATAACACCTTCATAACGTAAACAAACAGCTTGAGACATACACAGTAGGTTGTGATGGAGTAACCGACTACCTACGAGGATACCTAAGGTACCTACCTAACCTACCTTGAGGTACGCATAGGCAAGCATGGCCTGTCCAAGGGGCTCTAACCTAGGCGCTCGGCTGACGAGAATTGGCGCCTGAATCACCACTTCCAGGCTGTGGCTAGTGAGGCTGACACCCCCGTCGTCCCTAAAGCACGGTTAACAAATCAGGCACCATGACAAATGTTGTGCCCGCGAACAAGGAAAATCAACCATTGTCATCCCGCCCGAATGGTACTATTGACAGAACTCAATAACGTAGCTCGCGCGTGCTCTTCGTACCCGACCACCCCATCATGACCATCTGGTACTCGGGGAGGCCGATGTCAAACGGAGCTCTGGCATCACACAAACAATTGAAACAAGGTGGCATGCTGAGAACTTGGAAACTGCACCTCTCATTGCAAACACAGGCGCACTGCGGTGCATGTCGGTCACTGGCACTGGAGCCGACCATGACAACACAACAATGTGTCTCTCACGCTTTCTATCTTCTGTATAGCTGACTAGCTCTTGCTTTAGCTAGATGCCGTGGTAGGCGTAGCTGAACCAGCCAGCCACTTTCCCGCCATTACTGAGAGTGCCCCCAAAGACACACGAGTAATCGGTAGTCTTGCTCCAACCAACGCCCATGAACTCCGTTAAGCCGGCCCTATAATTGTACAAGAATGCATCATCAACGATCATTCTGCAAGATAGACGGACTCCGGCCATGCCAGTAAGCCTGATGAGAGCAAACATGTACAATGAATAGTCGGAAAGACCAACCGATGCTTGATGATGCGTCGATAAAGTCGATGATGGCGATGATGCTAAGGCATAGTGTCTAGTAAAGATGCTTTCTGTGCATAGCCAGTGTCCAAGGCGTGGGTATCATAAAAAGTAGTCGAGCGAATGACATAAAACTCCCTATCCTAAGGTCCCTCGAGCGTGTGTGTGAGGTTAAAACCATAGGCGTATTATTTCTTGATCCAGTCCGCAATGCTGTAACATAGTGCCGACACATGGTGTGCAGGTCACGAAAGTAAGATAATGCGGGAGTCGTAAGTCGTTCATCGTTTGCCTTTCCTGGTACTGGCACTTCTGCCTAAGTTATCTTTCGACATGGTTCTGGTGAGCCCGCCGATATAATCCTGCAGGAAGCGATTCTCATTTTCGAGTTTGTCATGATCGTTCTTGACCTCGTCAATTTTTTCGGCCAGAGCAGCAAGTGAAGACTGGAGATTTCGAGCTTGCCTAGAATCACCAGTCAGTTACTCGGGATTGTACACGGCGAGAATGAAGCATACTCCTTTAAGCTTTGACGAACATCACGCTCCAGTCTCTCAATGTCGTGACTGTTCCTCCGGGGACTCATTGCTCGAGCGTCCGTTGGAGGATATTGTGGCTTTTCTCTCTGGACAACGTCTCGGCCTTTGGGGACAATAATCGTGTTCGACCGTTGCCTATCACCCAGGCGCGGCCTTTCCATTCGTGTGCGTCTCGAACCAGAACGTGGCGAAGTTGGATGATCAGCTGAATCTGAGTCGGAAGCGGAAGATGAGCCGCTTGATATTGATGGGGATATAGAGAGCCGAACTGGTACGCTTGCAAATTCCGACGCATTCATAGAGGTAGGCCGTGGGTAGGGAGCCGTAGCCGTGGACGATGATGAAGAGCTGTGCATTTGGTGTCGGCAATAGTGATGATCTCTTTAGTCGTCCTGCTTGTGTTCAAAACTCTGGTCGACCGATGTTCTGGAGTTGCCGAACAACGCATTGGCCTGCTCTTACGCAAAGGCTGGCTGAAGCGCACTGGCCTAAGCCGTTAAGGGAGCTGTCCAGACATTCAACGAGGCAGACCCCGTCGAACTGGTATGGGCCAGGCAGGCGGTAAGTGTATGGCTGAGGAGTGAGGGAGGAGTGTAGGGTGCGTGAGAAGAAGTATCCGAGTCCAAGGTAGCCGCTTGGCGGAGGAGTATGAGTAGGGAGTCCCAGTGAGCAGGCTCAGAGTATCAAGCTTCGCACGGCTTTGAAGGGTCGGGAGAAAGTGGGTGGACTGATTTCTCTTGGGTTATGATGATCTGCCCGAAGCAAGTAGGATTAGCAGTGCGCAGGTTTGAGTTTGCTTGAGGCGACTCCCAAGAATGGTAACCAAGCGGCGGTGGCAGGGTCAGCGTTCCTCTTCGGCCAGCAGTTGGCGCAGGCACTGAGAGGGTGGAAAACGGTGGGTACTTCTGCTCTCGCCTGTGCGACAGACAGGTTACGTCGTTCACTGGAAACCCCGGGGAGGGGTGTGATCGGCATTAACGGAGGTCTTGACTTGTCGGATTGTTCAGGATTGGTTGTGGGTAGGATTGGACGAGGTTGTCGGTCTGTGTGGGTTTCTAACGAGATGGAGTCGGAGGGAAGGGAATTGTTTCACTCTCGCTTTGGATTCCTGCGCTCTTTTGAGGTGTCCATACGTTTCGCCCGTCTCTTGTCAGCGCTTCACTACTTGGACGAGTCTGCCCCCAAGTGATGACACCAGACCGTTGGTGGCGTAAGGCTGTTTGGTAGGCGTGAGAGGATGACGGTGTTTGGAACGTGGTTGTTGGTTCTGGAGGCGGGAGGCAAGGCACGGGATCAGGGAGAGGCGAATGATATTGACGATGAGGATCCTGTAGAGATTGACGAACGGAAACTCGGAACAAAGGCTGCGTGTGTATGGTCCGTGAGTGAGTGCTGCCGCCAGCCGGTAGGGGTCACTGGGAGAGAAGGAAGATGGTGGAGGAAGCGAGAGTGGGAGAATAACTGGCTTGGCGCAGTTTGGTAAAGCCCCGATTGGGCACAAGGGACCAGGAATCACAACACTTTGTATGCAGGTTGACGTCGTCGATGACACGGAACCACAATAACCATAGAAGAGATCTACACCACCATCCCACTCATTCATCACAATAATGAGAATATCTTTCGGTCCAAGACTACTCCGACGCCAGGAATACTCCAGCAACGCCTTTTGATCCCCAACCAGAGCCACCCAGGCACGAGAAATATACACAATACAGTCTACCAGGCGCCTACCATCTATCGAGAGACGCTCTATTCATGCTTCCTATAGCCTTTGATGTTCGTACGAGTACAGTATTCATTCACTTATCCGCTAATCTTCGTCCATTACCGCATGTTTGAGTCAAACGCATGGGTACCGCCAACTCACCGAGTGGAGGTGATTTTGCAAAGATCATCGCTTTTAGCTGCTAGACAGTGGAGGACTGCTTTCTTCTCCTGATGGGCGCCTGACTCGCGAGAAAGGCTGACACAGGCAACATGACACGTTAGCAGGTCGTAACAGCGGTTACACAGGATGCGACTTTTACAATCGCTATTCCAATCCTCCAGGTTTCGGGCTACTCTTCCGCCACCACAGTGACGCTATAAGATCGAACAAGTACGAAGGGAGGCGACAAGACTGACCTTCAGGCTATACGGTTACCCAGCAACTCTGTCGGAGGTTTTCTCGTTCAAATCAACAAGGGTATTTGAGAGCCCCTGTCAAACATGCTATACGACTGGCCAAGGCTTGCAGGGACCAAGGGGGCTTCTTCGGTCGGCTACACGCGCGGACCCTGCGTCAACACATTCTCGGAAAGACCCTGATCTTTCACCATATCTACATGCTTTATCTGAAGGTTTATCAGATAGCATCTACACACAAAAGACCGCCACAACACCAAGTGATCAAGTTGTGATATACAGTAAACACAGGAAAGCTCACGCTATGGCCCCAGCAACCCTTGCGATGGCCTTGACATCTTTGGGGCACAATGACGCCATCAGCGATTGGCAGGCCTTCTTTTTCGGTCGGATGATCGTCCCTCAGGAGATTCCTCCCTGTTTCACCACTCACTTAGATGACTGGCAACCACTCTATCAGTAGAAGATCAACCGTCAAAAATAGTCCGCTTGCAACCATCCCAGCCACCGATCTTCAATTCTTCTTGATGAGGCTGTTCCCGCGCAGCAGTATCCTGTCACAGCCGTTGCAACGAGCGTTCGAGAATACCTGGTAGAAAGAAGGTATCCTGGTCGTCGAGCCAGTCCTCCAGGGTTGACAAACGCCGGACAGAACAATGCTGCGCTGCATGACGGTCTCTGAATTGGTTTGGAATCTCCAAACCCTTCTGGCGGTGAGCAATGAAGATCACCCTCTTCTAATTCGCACGCGGATGTCTCCATCCATGGCCAACGTGCCATTGCCGGCATACTGCTGCTTCACTTTGGGAAAAGCAGACGCTTCCGAGCCCAAGCCCATTACGTTTCCCTTTTTGTCTGTACCCAGGAATTCCACAAATTCCACATCAAACCGTAGCAAGAACGCCGCTACTGCTCCCAGGATTTTCTGCTTAGCAAACACTCGGCCAGGACAGGCATGACTTCCTCCCCCAAAAGGAAAGAACTTTCCCACGCACCAGGAAGTGCTAAGGCCCTGCTTGCCCGTGGTTTCATCGTGCCTGATGAACCTCTCTGCGTACCATGTGTCAGCGGAAGGTTCGAAGTCCTGTTCCCAAAACACCGTGTCATGCTGGCTCAGGGAACTGGGCGCCATGACGAGATCGCCCTTCCGCAAAAGGTAGCCATCAACGACCAGGTCCGTCTCCAACTGACGAGTCACAAGGGAATCGACGTAATGTCTCATGGTCTCATTGAAGACCGAGTTCATTAGAGGCTGCACCATCAGCACTGCCATGTCCACGACGTCGTTTCCTGGTCGCCTTGCGTGTTCAACCTCTGTTTTGACTCGTCGCAGTACGTCATCAGGCGTCGAGGGCGAAAGCAGGTGCGCTAACAGCCAATTCGTGGATGGTACGACGTTTGCTGCCAGGCTGGACAGTTCCGCCGTCAGTTCAACAATACACCCGAACAGACGTCGACTCACTCACCCAAACAGAAAGCCGAGGTCAAACGCCGCTCTCCCTCTCGTACTCAACCCTTCCCGCGCGTAAAAGCGATGTCTCGCCCTTACCACCTTTGACCCTAGTAGTGGCTCCCACTCTGGCTCGTCCGGAGGGCTTCCATTGTGCTCAGCAAGCACATAGTCTACCCAGATTTCTGTCCTATCCAGCAACTTGTCCATACAAGCGTATGCACTCGGCTTGACGAACCGGGGCACACCGTAAAATCGTGGCAAGAATCCGGATTCGTATTCCCAGAATTGCTCAGCAAGGTCAGGATTCATCTCCAGGATCATCGTACCGAACACAGCCACTACCGAGGCGTTGAACATAATCTTCTTCATCCAGGCAAGTAAGTCGACCGTCTTCCACTCCTGGGCGAGATCCGCTTCATCAAGCGCCTTGCAAAAGTATTCTATGAATTTCCCAGTAAGAGCATTCACAGCACTCTGATTCAGGAGGAACTCATGGTTCACCGCGTCCATACTGTCCTTCTTGTCTTGCTGACGACGCTCCCGTTCCTGCTCGGAAGAAGAAGGCGGGAACATGATCTCTGCGTCCCTTTTCGACGTGCCCAGCGCTTGCGTTGCCAGCTGGTGATTGAACAGATCTCGCGATACATGGCGACTTTTGAACAGCGCTTGCACGGCGGCCGCCGAGTTGACGACGTGTGCACGCTTACCACCCAGCAAGATCGTGCAGATCTGTACGTTGGTCCCTGTGTGGGCGAGCTTGGCTCGGAGCATGCGCCAGAATGAGCCTGGATTTTCGTTGAGAAAGGTCAAGGCGCTGCCCAGCCAGGGGACCGTATAAGGTAAGACAGGCGGCGGGACGGGGTCGGATTGTGTTGAAGGCCGGTTGGTTTTTTCGCGCGATTTGAACTCTGCAATGCTCCGGGAGAAATTGATTGTGGTGATGAGCCAGGTGATCAGGCATGTTGTGGCTAAAACGAGTGGTATCGCCAGGAGAGCGTGGAAGAAGGACACCGGAAGACTGGAGAATATCATCGGCTCTGTCATCCTCGCAATGAGCAGAACAACAACGGCGCCAATGCTATTCAGCTGACGCAAAAGGGTCAAGGCATTCAGGTCTCGACGGATGCCGGGCCTGGACGATGGTGCCGTACCTTGCCCAAGACTGATATTCTTGGGAAGCTGCTGATGGGTGGCGGATAGGATATGGCGGTGTGGTTTTTGGTTGATCTTAAGGTAGTTAGGTAGTTAAATGCATGAGATGCACCTTTTGGTCAAGAAGTACTCCGTATTCACTCGTATTACTCATGCTTCCGTTGTCCGATCCCTCTCATGCGCATTCATGTCTCAATACCAACTCAGGGAGCTTCGAGCTCATGTGTGTGCACCTTGGTACAGGTTGGTAAGCCATTTCGGACCGTGAGGTACGGAGAACAATCTTCGGCTATTACCCATCGTTGGACCCCTCGTCAATAGCCGTCCTCGCTATCTGCCGCTTATTACACCTCTCACAACCCTTAAAAGGTATTTACTGACTTACTCCCATTGCTCATTCTGCACCCTTGTATCCGGTGGCGCTGCCAATAATTTCGAAAAGACAAGACAACAGAAGACAAGACAAGAACAAGGTCAAAGGGCAAAAAGCGCAAAAGCCGAAAAAACAACAAAAATGATATCCGGCATCGCCCACATCAACGTCACCGTCCCGCGCGACACCCTCCACCTAGCGACCGACTTCTACTCCGGCACGCTGGGCCTCACGCCGCGCGCAGTGCCGCACCTACAAAAGGACACGCTGGCGTGGTTCGACATCGGCACGTCCGGCCAGCAGGTGCACGTCGCCATTGGCGCGGACTCGGATTTTTCGCGCCCCTTGTCGTCGCGGCATCCGTGCTTCAAGCTGGCCAGTTCCGAGGCCTTGCTGGAACTGCGACGGCGTATCTGGGAGCACCACGAGCGCGGCGGGGAGAGTGCGCCCCAGCAAGCTGACCAGCCCGGTCAGGAGGATAGTGGTACGTTTTAGTGTTAAGTGTTCTGCTTTGAGGGCCCTTCATTCCTGCACTTTATGCGTGGTTCTGGTTGTTTTACTCGGAGGCGAGCAACTAAGCAGGGAAAGCCCGAAAACTCGCGGTGCGAGCCTCCTTTGTCGTCGTCGTCGTCGTCGTGCTGAGCTAAAAGCCCGGAACTGACACTGAAGCAACTGCATCTATAGGAGCGAAAGGCGTCGAGTATCCGCAGCGATTCTTCGCGAGAGATTTCGCGGGAAACAGATTGGAATTTAGTCTTTGATCTGGCCTTTTGTGTTGGGTCCTGTGGGCGACGAGGGCAAGAGCGACAAGTAACACGGCTACCTTTGCAATTATATGCTTGAAGCGACAAGAGGTCTTTGGGTTGCGAGGTTATCGGAGGCAGTGAGCGTCGCCATGATGATGGAGAAGAGCATGGATCCGGGACGACGTCCGCCATCCCTCCAGGATTGCGAATTGGGCATTGGCATATTCCTGACGGGCTTCAGCACGCCGAGTTGGGACCTCCACTTGGCTGCCTATGTAATGGTAAGGTAAGTACGGGACATGGATCTTTGGTGGCGCTCAGTGAAATGCCACTTTAAAAATCATCGGAGCTGTGGTCGTCTCTAGCAGGGAAGCTTCGGAGAATCCAACTGATGTATCGGCGCAATTTCAAAACTACCTACCTGAAGTGTGCTGCCCCAAGGCTCTCAGCTTGCTACTAAGGCTAATGCCTGTTCGACCAATTTTCCCTTTAATCAGCCAAGCCCCAACTCCCTGGATGTGTTGCATGTCCTTGCCATTGTAGCAAAAGCTCAGGACTGGACGCAGATGACCCTCCCAGCACCGTCCAGCCCAACGTCTAGGTCTGAAGGCCTAAGACCTGTCGCCAAATCATCAAAATCAAGAGAATGGTCGGAGATCATGACACCGCATTCGTAGGCAGTGTAGTGACCTCGTTTATCGCCGTCACGTTCGAGGTCGACGTTGCATTTGAAGGCTGACACGGACTTTTGCAGTGCCAACAAACAGCGGGATCAAGTGCCTCCTCCAGAGTGATCCCAATGTCTGGGTGCAACTCGTGCCACCGGCAACAATCCGGATCGGCCCAATTACTGGTGCAATTCCTGACCCCGATCCAGTACATTCCACACTCTGTAAACCAGGTGTTTGTGCCGCCGTAGTAGTGCGAATTCAGCTGGCCTGTAAACAAGACGTACGGTCGTCAGAATCAGTATGGCGACAGGCTGGGTAGACGAAAATGAAAAGCAAGAGAATACGTACATGCATCAACATCCCTGGCCACGATGTCTGTACAATTGTCTCTTGCACACTGCTCGTCGGTGCCGTAGAAATGGATCGTGCCGTTAGTGACAATCGGGGTGTCCCGATTGAAGGAGATGTCGAGAATCAGACCGGATAGTTCCATGGCTGTGTAGTTGGGAGATCCAGGTATTTCGGTGAGCTCGGTTGGGTAATGGTATTGGCTAAGATTCCCCCCTGGTGGTGTCAAGAGTGTTAGCTTGAGACAGCCGAAGGTAATTGGGATTTCATCGTAGATGAGAAGGCTAAGTACTACCTTGAGGAGGGTAGTTCTCTGGCTTGGACAGTGCTTCGCAGAAGAGGTCACCCAGACGGACTGCAGTTGGAGGGTCCATGAGCCAGTCGCCGCCACCAGTGGCACAGACTGCAAAATCCGTATATGTACCCGTCCAGGTTGCCGTGATGGTAGGCGAAGCAGATACAGTGGTGATTTGCGCGTGGCACGTATGGAACCTGAGAAGCAGTACCACGAAGACCAGCTTGAAGACGCAGACAGAGAGACAACGCATGCTGAAATGAAGAGACAACTGAGAGGTGTAGACGGCAAGGCTAGTTTTCCAGTCCAAAGTAAAAGTGATATTGCAGCAACCGATGATGGGATGCTGGCGAGGAGAAGACAATATCTTTGCCTGTGAGTCAAAGAGCAAGTGATTCGAAATGAGGCTTGGGCGGACTGACTGAAGAAGCGAAGTATATGACTATCATGTCGCGGTTGAGCGGCGGTCGCATCAATATCGCCCGCCCTCATGTAGTTGCCCAGGTCAGGCAATTTTGACGTTTTGTCTTTGTTACACCAAGAGTCCATCAAGATGCGGGTATGTGTATTCGACTGCGCCCAACCCAGGAGTAGCTGAAAAGATGGTCGAATACTTCGTAGGACGACACCGGGTACATGAGTCTATATCCCATGAATCTAACTCATTATATGCCTGCAGGTTGGCGGGCAGCGTACTTCAATCCGATCGACGCTTTTGTGTTTGAGACTTTCCGAGCGAGGCTGGGATAGTCGCCGTGGAAAATCGAACACATAGCTTCTTCGTGCTGTGCGACACACAGAACATGATTCCTCATAGCCGCGGGGTAACCTGTGACTCTGGCTTTTGATTGAGGAGCCATCCGACGCCAGTGACCAGATCTCTAGACCATTTCTTGTTGATAGAAAGTTCGGGGTACATGGAATACCACACGTGCGGGACACCAGGGTAAAGATCGATCTTGACAGAGCCACCGGCCTCCTTAACCTTGTCACAGTAGAAAAGTGCACTGTCTTTCCACATATCCATTCCGGCAACTTGATAGTAAATTGGTCCCAGCCTTGAGAAGTCTGTCAAGTTCAAGGGGGTGAAAAGCGGATCGTTGGCATTGCACTTTGCCATATCTGGGCGCCACACTTAGTCCTGGTCTCCCGGCCACGGGTTTTATTCATACCAGCGTAGACATCGCACATTGCACGGTTGGCCACTGGACCATTCTTGTACGTCTCCCAACTTCCAGATGCTAACTGCTCCGGAAACATATTGCATTTTCCCCCTTGTTGGTCCTTGTAGTCATGCGGCATGCCTGTGCAGATGAAAAGATGGCCCGTGAGCTTAGGTCGTAGTTCGTCTTCTCTCGCCAGGATTGTGGCTGCCACGGTCAAGTTTCCTCCACCCGATACGCCGCCGCTGAGGAAGCCCTTAGATAGATCACCACCAAAGGTGTGTGCGTTGACCGAGACCTGTATGTGTCAGCCAATGGGACAGGTAGGTGTAGAGACCTACCCATTTCATGGCATCGTAGACGTCGTAACATATGGTGGGATATGAGACCTCTGGAGCTAGACGATAAGCGACACTGACGACGATGATTTTGAGTCTGATGCACAATAGTTGACAGATGAACTCTTCGGTCTCGAGTCCTCCCATGCACCAACCTCCGCTGTGTGCAAAGACCATGACCGGACAGCTATCGGACGACAACCTGGGCCGGTATATTCGAATCGTGATGGCTGCACCGTCATGAACAACGATAGATCGGTCTTCCTCCGTCCATGGCCGTCGCGAAGTGGTGCCTAGAGTCTCCTTGACAAATTTGCTCTTCATGAAACGCACATTACCCTTTACGTGCAATTGTCGTGATCCCGTAATCTTGTCCGCTCTCGGAAAGAAGAATTTTGGTCTGCCGGTTTTCCTCCATATCTAGAACGCGTATCAGAGAGAATCCCATCAACGTTGGCCAACTCATACCGCATCGAGCTCGTAGTCTATCTCGAAATCGTCTTTCTGTCCATCGGCCATGGTAAAGAATGCTCCAATGTCCGGGTAGGAAGTCGTAAGCAGCAATGCACACTTATGGGGTTTGCTGCAATCAATGTACCAAATCAATCGCGGTCAATAAGCTGACCAGGCGTGCCATGGTGGTGTCCAGTAGTGCCAGTGCCCCAGACAGTTGATCCCCCGGTCAAGACCCACATGTGTAAAAAGACAAGCTCGCTGAAAGTAACCTATTGAATTCAAACAAGAAGTAATCGAGAGTATAGCCGCTATTTTCTGAAAAGGAATAGATGGAATGATGACAGCGAAGACGAGGACTTACGCTTGGTCAAGCGTTCATGGAAGAAACGATCAACCCCTGACACAGCAGTTGATTGGCGGTGTATCAGGTATCATTACCTGCAGCCAGGAGAGCCTTAGCATCAAGCAGCTGAGTAAGGTATTGCGCCCTTCGAGACCGTAGTAGCAGAGATGAATAGGAGCCACTTCGACATTCAGAAGAGTTTGTCGGCAATCACGGTTACGTAACAGTCACGTGCACAGTGTCTGCTTCCGTTCAAATGACACTATTCCTGATTTGGTCAACTACCGAGGTATCTTTGACTGACTGCGTCTTTCGTCTTTCAACCGTCTCGCCGTCTCGGTGGATTTGACCGTCTCATCAATAACCGAAGATGATGATGTTTGTATGATACGAGATTCTCGGCTGCCAGACTCTTTGACTCTTTTCATGCTCTCTATAACTCACCTTGTAACACAGACAGCGTTTTAATTTCATCCTCTACTAACACTCTTTAACATCTCCTGGAAGACCCCACCAAAATGGGCAGTGTTAAGCAGGAAGTCGAGCTGCACGATTTCGGCAACATCTTCAGCCTTGAAGGCAAGGTCGCAGTCGTCACCGGCGGCAGTCGTGGGCTCGGGCTCAATGTTGCATCAGGGTATGTCCATGGAAGTCCTTTGGTCAAGTTCATGTGTTGATCACTTCACCCAGGTTCATGCAAGCCGGATGCTCCAAAGTCTACATCACCTCGAGAAAGGCAAAAGCGTGCGAGGAAGCCGTTGCTGCCCTCAATGCCCTCCCGAACAAGAGACCTGGCGCCGTTGCCATTTCCGTACCCGCCGACTCCTCCAAGGTATCCGAGATTGAGCGACTGGCGGCTGAAGTAGCCAAGACGACCGACCACGTTGACATACTGTTTGCCAACGCCGGAGCGACATGGGGTGCTCCTTTCGAAACACATCCCGAAAGTGCTTTCAGCAAGGTCATGGACCTGAATGTCAAGAGCGTATTCTACACCGTCCAGAAGTTCGAACCACTGTTGAGGAAAAGAGCAAGCACAAACAGCCCTAGCAGGATCATTGTGACCGCAAGTGTGGCCGGTCTGGGCGTGGGAACATTGGGTGAGAATGCCACTTATGCTTATAGTGCCAGCAAGGCCGCGGTTATCCATCTGGCAAAGAACCTTGCAGTTGAGCTGGGTCCCAGAGGCATTGTCACGAACGCCGTCGCGCCTGGATTTTACCCTACCAAGATGGCTTCTGGTTTGATGGAATTGCAAGGAGGACAAGCAGCTCTAGCGGCCGAAGTTCCAAACAAGAGACTAGGCCAGCCCGAGGATATTGCTGGCCTCGTCGTCTTCTTGGCCAGCAGAGCGGCTTCTCATATCAACGGTGCAGTCATTACGACTGATGGCGGGTCGTTGCTGTCTAGAGGAAAGCTGTAAATATACGATGCAAGTGTGAATCAGAGTGTCGAGCTGTTGAACAGAAAGACTGGCCCGGTCTGGCCTAGGCGGACAGCTTCTCCAAAACTTGCATATACATGGTTGGTTGCAGAGATGTGAACCCAGAATAAGCATTTCTTCCTAATCAACACTCGAGTGTACGTCTATATACTATACGACAACCGCAAATCATGATCCAGGAAGACTCCGTCTCGAAGGTCGGAGATTCCTTGATAAGACAGGAGTGCTTCTGATCAGACAACATCATATTTTGTGTCCATAGGCTCGGTGTCCGACATCGAGCTCAAGACCAAAGTGCCACACCAACCTCCAGCCTTTGCTTGTCCTCTCATCAGGCCTCTATTGACAGACTTGAACCACCAGATGCTGTTTACATTAGATATACACTCGCAGAAACTCCACCAAGGCCATGATGGCCATCGCTTGACCGTACGGCATGCTCGTGCGCTCGATATCGACGTAATGCTTCAAATCCTTTCCCATGCCTGTACCGAAGCTGACATCTAGCAGCTCCCCATCCTGATTGATGCGCTGGAGAACAGCTTTCACGGCCTTGATGGCGACGTCTAAATACTCCTTGGAGATGTACCTTTTCCGTATCGACTTGAGCAGCCCGTACGCAAACCCAGCGGTCGCTGAAGCTTCCTGATAGCTTCCTTCCTCCTCTGACATATCGAGGAGCGTTCTCCATGTGCCGTCGGACGTTTGCAGCCTGCGTAGAGCTCGGCATTGCGCTTCCAGTACGTTGACAAGGTACATTCTCAACCCGTCGTCGGGGGGCAAGTCTAGCAGCTCAAGGAAATCCGGAATCGCGATCGTCAGCCAACTATTCCCTCGCGCCCACCGTGCCCGTGCAAAATTGTGACCGATGCCACCGCGAGGATCCTTGTCGTCAAACTGCCAGCCGTGGAAGAACAGACCCGTCCGGGGGTCGTACAGGTACTGAATGTGCAGAAGGAACTGCCGCTTGGCTTCTTCGACGTAGTGCGGCCGATGCAGCAATGTCCCTATCTTTGCCAACGGCAGGACCGTCATCATGAGCGTGTCGTCCCATAGCTGGTTGCGGTTCTCCTCGAGGTAGGTGATATGCTGCATGCCTCCGAACGTGGTCCGGGGTAATTCGTACATGGCCCATTCGCACCAGGAGTCCAGCCAGGGAAGGTAACTCTTGTCGCCGGTCTGCTCGTATAGGTAGGCCAGCGTGAGGAGCGCGGCCATGGTGTTGATGTTCTTGGTCGTGCCTTCGGCCAGCCGTGCGGAAAACCAGTCCTGCACGACTTTCAACGCGAACGGGGAGGACGTCAGCTCGTGGTACCGGTACACTCCGTACAGGCCGATGCCGTGCGTCCATTCCCAGTCATTCCAGCCCTTCGTGTCGATGATACGGCCATCGGGCAGTTTCAACAGGAAGTGGCCTGTCTCGTCTTTGATATTGATCAGGTTGCTGATCAGTCGGTCGATTTTTGTGTGGATGTCGGTGGCCTTGAGGCTTTCGACAGTCAATGGTGACGGCATCTTGCTTACGGTGAACTACTGTCCTCGACTTTTCTCGGCCTCATCCTGTGCTCTTCATTATATTATTCGATGCTTTCGACAAAGTTCTCAGAGTTCGATTCAATGCGCGCTGTCAAATGCACCGAGATGCACCGAAGACATGGCTGCTCCCTGGTCAGAATCCTGCAGCCAAGGAGCCGTTTGCACATGGCGCCGTATGGAATGCTACGCTTCATTGCCCAAAGTAGTATCGATCGTCCGCCGTCGGCTAACACCTCGTGCTGAACCATGGGGTGCAAGCGCCATACCTCAGTTCCCTCCTCCATTCTGGGGTATACTCCGTCAGGATCAGATTGACAGGGGCAGGATATCGTCCGGATGTGCATCTGTCGCTTGTTTCACTCATATGGCCCAGCCACTTCGGTCGAGCCTCTGCCGAAGGTCTCATTTTGATCATCGAGAGAAATCCAAGACGAGACATATAAGTCGAGTGTTCATACCCCGTGCATCTGGAGATTCAGGACTGGCCGGTGCTGCTTTTAGTGAACCACGACTCGAGCACTGTCTTCGTTGTCTTTCTGCCAGTAGTCATGGCAGGCTCAGACCATATCGCCGAGGACACTACCGCCTCCCCGGAACCAACAAAAACTTCACCCGAGGTGATGGCGGACAAGCATGACATTTCCCAGGTCGAGCGGGTAATGTCCGGTGGAAGTGACATCAAGAAGGACTTCATGAATTATGATCGCGTCGACAAAGACGTCGCCAAGTATGCTGCCAATGAGCATATTGAGATCTCTCAGGAAGAGAACAAGCGCCTGAAGAGGATGATCGACAGACGAGTCCTTGCTATCATGATTCCAACCTATTTCCTTCAAGCACTTGACAAGGGAACAATGTCGTTCGCCTCAATTATGGGCATTCGGGAAGATTTGAATCTCCATGCGCAACAGGTAAGCAAAAGCATCCATTGCTTCCAGTAAAGGCTGACCTTTGGCGGCAGTATTCCTGGTTGACGACCTGTATTTACATTGCAGTCTTGATCGTCGAATACCCAACCAATTGGACCATTCAAAGAGTCCCTATTGGCAAGTATCTCAGCTTGAACATTTGCTTGTGGGGCACCGTCCTTGCGCTGCACGCTGTCGCGCAGAACTTCGCGACGCTTGTGGCATTGAGGACCTTGCTCGGCATCTTTGAGGCTGTCTGCCAGCCTTCCTTCCTGATCATGAGCAGCATGTGGTACAAGCGCGAAGAGCAGGCCGCAACAGTCACATACTGGTACATGATGAATGGCGGGCAACAAATCGTGGGCGGCCTTCTGGCGTACTGCTTCTCGCTCATCCACTCTGGGCCACTCAAGTCGTGGCAAGCGATCTTCATTACCTATGGCTGCTTGTCAGTGCTTTGGGGACTGTTCGTTGGCTGGTGGATGCCTGACTCACCAATGAAAGCAAAGTGCTTCTCGGAGGAGGATAAAACACTCATGGTGCAGCGAGTAAGGAGCAACCAGACGGGGTTGCAGAACAAGAAGTTCAGGCCCGAACAGGTCAAAGAGGCATTTCTGGATCCGCAAACTTGGTGCTATTGTCTGATTCAGATTTGCACAACTCTGCCGACCTCTGGCCTGGGCGCCTTCGCCAACATCATCATCACCGGTAAGATGGCAATCGAGAAGAGAAGTAGATTGGAGTGCTGAATTTGGCAGGATTCGACTTTACCGTTCTTCAGACACAGCTGCTAGCCATGGTGCTAGGTGCATACATCATCATCGTGCTCTTGGGATCGACCTGGCTGATCAAGAAGACCGGCCAGAATTGCTTGGTCATGCTCGTTTTTGTCATTCCGTAAGTCTACTACTGCTTGCGATGCGCGTGTCCCAGCTGACTTTGGAACAGGTCAATTGTCGGAACGATTGTGCTGATGACCGTGCAAAACCATGACCTTGCCACGAAAGTGGGCCTGCTGATCAGCTACTATATCGCGCTCTCATTCTGGGCGGCGCAGACCTTGGGCATGAGTATGATCTCCAGAAATGTTGGAGGACAAACTAAGAAGTCTGTGGTGGTGACTCTCAACTTTGTGGCATGGTGTACAGGCAATGCCATCGGTAAGTGATCATTGTTTACTTTCGGCATTGAGGCGGCTGACCTCGACACTTGTAGGCCCGCAGGTGTTCCTGTCATACGACGCGCCCCGATATTTCATTGCTTTCGCAACGCATATGGGGTGTTATGTCCTCTTGCTGCTGGTGATCATCTTCCTTCGATTCCACCTTAAACGGCAGAATCGGAAGAAGGATGAGCTAGCCTCAGCCGGCATTCCTGAGGCCAAGGACGACAGATTCGTGCACGCCTTTGATGATCTGACTGACAGAGAGAACGCGAATTTCAGGTACATTTATTGATCGTCTGCTGAAATTTAAGGGGGCGACGATGGAGCCGGTGGATGTCTTTCAGAGAAGTCATGCCTGAGCTGGCCACCCTTAAGGACTGTCACTGATGAGGGTATCAAATTCGCCTCCATATGGGTCTGGCCAATGCTTGCCGACTGCGGTGGGCATTGAGCTCGTTGAATGGCCGAGAGTCTTCTCTCGCTCGAGTTATGGGTGTTTGATAGCAAAGAGCGTGGAAGTCTGCCTGGAACACGTAATTGAGCTAGTTATCTCTCACCTAAGATCACGGAAGGCATTGCACTTGTCGTTAGATGTGACGCGAGCCATCTCATAGCCAGTTGTCGTGTTGAGGAAGAAAGATTGGTTGCCCTGGTGACGAGGCTTCAAGGCGGCATCAACACTCGCTGCGGCTCATCATGGCTCAACAGGAATACCATCTTTCCCATCACCAAATTTACCTGTGCTTTGCGCAGGAGCCACTTCACAAAGCTCGGTGCGGTCGACAGTTGTTGATAATGATGTCGACGTCTCCCTCGTCCTCTCCTTCAACGGCAGAAATAATAGAAGGATTTGCATTTCAGCACTCCTCTCCGCTTTCCTTGCGGCAGCAGCCACTGTCATCTCCACCCGCTCCACCATGCAATGATCCCTCGCAAGTTCACGACTACAACTTCTCCGGTGTAGTCTACGATGACACCACTGCTGCTGCAGAGTCAGAAGACCAAGGAGAAGTAGAAGATGAGCAAGAGGAGGAGCTGTTGGACAATGACAGAAGAATCTCCGGATGTTCCTCCATATCTTCATTCCCGGCGTCAATCTCGCAGCGTGTGCCCTCGAAACAAAGTCACTATGACAATCCGCGGACTCCTACGAAACGAGACTCGACTATTTCGCATGGCTTACACAAATCTGGTGGTCGAGACTGTCCGGTGACATCGCCTAGAAGCCTCAGAGAATACCACTCGCCCTTTCGTCATCCCAGCAGCGTCAGGGCTCTCCAGATGAGAGACGAGATCATGAGCGAGACACATAGCGTGCTCAGGCACAGACGTAGTGGCTCACAGGTGTCCTCGTACAGCAACAGAAGCTCTTATTCCGCGCACACCTCTCCTACGAAGCGATCGAGTCGGTCAAATCGGGGATCACCACACAAGGGGACCAGCAATCTCAGAAAAGAGTTTCCACTTGTTCTGTTACATTGCACACTATTACCACCGACCCTCCTGTCGCAATCGACGTCTCATGGGGACACCTTCATAAGTGATTTCCTCCCTGGCGAATACAAACAGAGATGGATCACTCTGCAAGATAAGCTGGTTGAGGACGTCGAGGTCAGAACAAGAGGAATATTGATAGCGCATCCGAGAGAGGACTATGAGCTTCTCGAAGAGCGGCTTCTGGAGAGCTTGGACCTCGAAAGACCTCGGATCAGTCATGACCATTACTTCCCACATGATGGCAGTGGAGGGGATAGTGGCTTTGAAAGTGGCAGCATGACCGGCGACGAAACTGACAATGAGGTACCAAGCGAAGCCAAGTGCCCTGACTGTGGAAGAAGACTGCGCCCAGGTGAGACACCTAGAAAGTGGGAGGTCAAGGTCTTTGCTGCCAATGGACTGATGAGAGCCGGTGCGTGGGCTGCCGCGTGGCAGGAAATGGAGAAAGTGGACGTGGAGGTAAAGGTCTGGCTCCCAGAAGAAGTACGGAGAGATTTGGAAGCGAAAATTGCACTCATCGAGACGAGTCCTCCCGGGAGAGAAGATGCGGATCCTGAGTACGATATCAGTCAGCCTGAGTGTGCAACTACTCGTGAGCAAGAGGTGTATGGCACAAGCGGCAGAGTCAGGAGTCAATCTGAGATCGACGGCTTTTTGGAAGAATCAAAGATACCGCAACAAGCCGCACCCACAGTGTTGCAGCCAGCACCTAAGGAAATGGATCTGACAACCCTGATGCTTGCTTCCATGCGAAAGCTAAGTCAAGACCACCGAAACTTCATCCTAGGCGTGTTGAGCTGCTTGGTATTGTTTTTGGCTTTGGTGGGCCAGAATTCCTCGAGCGGACACGAGCCTGCGTTGGACAGGTCAAACCCAACGCATTTGCCAGAGACCTTGACAACCACAGTCACTACGACAAGCGTCGCGATCGCTACGGCCACCGTCACGACTTCTATCGTTGCTCAGCCGCTTCAGATCCCGTACGCTTCGGAAATCGCAAATTCGTCGGTAAGCGACTGTCCTGAAAGCGTTCTGCGACAGTTGTCGGAGGCAACTTCAGCACCTCTCCATCCTACCTCCATTGATACACAACCATCACTTCCTTCATCAGTTCGAGAGTTTGCATCACCAGAAGCAAGTATCCTGGATGAGACTCCGAATCAATCATCTTCGCAAAAGAAGTTAGAGGCATCTCAAGTACCTGTCAGCGAGCTTTCCAAGGACTAACGAGTGCAGAGGCTGGGACACCAAATCAGCTTGATCATGCAGGATAGAAAGCAGCGAAGAGGCGGGCATATGACTTAGTCGTGGAATGTGATGGACTCATACAAAAGATGCTGGATTGCTCCCTCGCGACTCTACGCCTCAAAGACGCAGTGATCCTGGATGTCGAAATTTGTGTGCGGCTGAACGCTTAAAGCTCAAAGAGCAAGTGGATTCGAAGATGACCCCAACGAGGAAAGCGATAGCCGCCAAACACCAAGGACAGCAGCACGGTCATTCGCCAGTGAAAAAGCACGTTGCCAGCCACGAGGCTTCCAGGCACGAGCTGAAGTTTTAGGCGCATCGTTCCCGCCTGGCCCATGCGCACATTCGGGAATCTCCCTTATCACCAGCATACGCACGCATACCTTAGTGCACCAAATAACATTATCAGCTCACTTCCGCATCAGCTGCGCCGGCCTCGCTCAGAAGAAGACTATACCAATATCGAGTCCATATCCGGCGAGAAGAACTGTCTTTCGCCAGACGCAGCATGTACTCGATGTCAGCTGGGTGTCAGCTACATCACTGGAAAGAGGTTGGGGCAAATCTGTCCCCATAATCTGCCCAAGCGATAAGGCTGAAATTTTCGTCAAGCAACAAATTCCGATTCGTATCTACGAACGAGCCACCCTGGTGTGCAGCGATGATTTGGCCCACGGGCCGCTCTAATATACGACGTGGAAAATATATCTGATGCCAATTCCCAGGAACGTTTTCAAACTGCTCTTTTCAACGCTCGCTGTCTCCTCTGCAAAGCCAAGCCCTAGTGTGTGCGACTCCCAAAGCCATTCCGACGCAATTTACCAGTTGACCAGCAATCTTCTTTGTTCCCTGCATTTAAGAGCACAAGTTGCAAAGAGACTTCCATGGCTCCTTCTCTTCTTGACTTGCCCCCCGAGATTCGGCTTCAGATTTACGCCTTCATCTTCAGCAGTGGGAAGGTCGTAATTGAAGTCGAGGATGACGAAAACAAACCTTGCCTGCTTCCTCGACGTAGCGTTTTCCAAACACAATCCTCGAGGTCGTCTCAGTTATTGCGAGTCAGCAAAGCCATCCTGGCCGAAGCTCGACCCGTGCTGTATGCTAACACGACTTTCCACGTTCTGAACCGAGTGTTTGCTGGGAAATTGCCCATAGCAGTCAGCGATGGCCATGCGTGTGCTGCGCATGTCAAACAGTTGATCTGGCAAGTCGACTGCGACATCATGAAACATTTTTATCCCGAAGACCTTCGGCTAGATCCAGAGGACGTCAGTCGGTGGAGCAGCCTTGAGTTGCGGTGTCGAGCCGATACCTGGCGCAATTCATTCCTCGGGGAATGGTGCGACCGTGAGGCGTTCATCAAAGGACGAGAACACATGATTGCATACGCCCGAGTCTTCCAGGATGTCATGAATAGTCGAACAGGAAACAAGGTCAATTTGATCGAGAATAGAAGTCAACTTGGACGTGGGCGGCTGATCTTGAGACTGACCAGGGACAATTTGATCCACAGGCAGGACGTGAGTGTTAATTCTGCCAACTTCCAAATGCATCAACATGCTGATCTATTAGGAGATCCTCGTCGGTTGATTGACCGCAACCATGACATGACCAACTTGACATTGAGGCCAACATACCTGCGAGACATACAACTACCATACTGTAGTCAGAGGCGAGAAAGACTCTGGTGCTGCTCCTGCCTTATCCATTGACGAAGAGTCGTGGGAGTGACGTACCTATGAAGACGAAGAGGCAGACACTGATCGATGCAACACCAATGGCAGCCCACGGAACAAAGTTTGACAAGTGACATGTTTGTTACTCCTTACAAAGTACACGAGGCGAAGTATCGATTGAGGTAGTGGATTCAACAACAAGATGACCAAATGGGTCGTGGGTCCAGGTTGGAAAAATGATCGCGCTCGGAAGAAGCCGTCGAAGATGCGATCGTCCAGATCCCACTCCAGATTATCACATGAAAATTCGTCATGTTTTCTAGAGAACTTCTCATGGTCTCTGTTACTACGAGTACCCGCACTTGACGATTGCCTCGGTTTGTCTTAGCTCAACTGCTACTTTACAAAAATGCAAGGCTATTTGGGCGATCCGGGGAGCACAAACCCGCATTAGTTCGTGCCAGACAGAACGAAGCCTCGTTGGTTGATGATTGGCGATGGAATGGGAGGTACTTTGTGCTTGGAAGATGTCATCATGAGGGATGAAAGTAGCGTCTGATCAGGAATTCTGAGACCCTTTTCCAAACTCGCCGGACGCAACAATCACCGAACAGCTTTGGCTGATCAGCGCCAGCAATGAGGTCGATGATTAGAGGGGGCTCTACCAAGATACCAGGTACTGGTACTTCAGTGACGCAAGGAGAATCACTGTGCAATCTGCCCCATGATTCGGCACTCCGGATGGATGGACTCTCCACGTTTTCAAAGCTCTCTCCATATCCGGCCCTGCAAGTGATGGGGTCGCCAGCAAGACGGCCCTATCATGAGCTCGGCATCCTCTGCTGGAGAAGTCTCCACGTCACTTGGAGGGGGTGTTTATCATGAGCAAAAGCGCACGAGGAGATTGCCGATCTTTGCAAAGCCAGCTGCATGATTTACGAGTACAAACCATGGTACCATCAGTACGATAGCGCAGGTTCCTCCAAGTCCCTCTCCGCTCGTGGAGGAACTGCCTCTTTGGATCTGGTAGATGATGGTAGGAAGTTGGTTCATGGATCTCTTTCCCTTGGGCGGCGCCATTGGATGGTTTGGCGTGGAGATAGGAAGCAGTGCAGCTACTCTGATCTACCGGCTACAACGGCGTCATCAGCCTGATCGTGACGTGCCATTACTCGTCCTGCCCAGAAGCTATACTGCCTGGTGCTGCCAGAAGAACGCTAACTAGCGACCAAGTACTGGTACATGAGCGTTGTGCCCGTGACTGCTTATCGCGACTTGTGTCTCTGGCGGCGGCATTGTACACTTCTGGCTGTTGCTGCCTTCGCTACCGGCGGATTACTTGTACAATCCCACCATATGAAGGGGGCTTATTGTGCAACAGCCTGCCCTCAACTTGTGTCATTCTAACAACAATCATTACTTCATGCTTCAGCAAGCCACCCTGGAGGGATTCCCGCCAGGGCTTTTATGCGTTTGAAGATTATACTCGTATACCTTCTTCGTATGAGTCGAACCCTTTTTCCAGGGAGCCCATCAAAGCCCATGGGCTAGTCGACCAACGATCGCGATCGTCACCTTTGGACCCTCTGAATGACCTTGTTGGCCGTTCATTGTTTAGCCGCCAACCACCTTACCTTGTTGTGCATGTACCCTGACTTACCCTCCTTGCCTAGCTCGATTGTTGGCATCTACCCCGCAATCGCCGATGATTCTCATTCATTCTCATTGACGGCTTTTCGAGCTACCTGGCTACTTCTTCCTCTCGTACTCGTCACAAAACGTCTACACGAAGCTACCTGACTTCAGCTTGTCCATATGACCACGCATGACACTATCCGCTTGACTAGGCTTGCCAACCACGCACAACAAGCCCTGTTGTATCGCCCTTTCACACCCTGGAGGAGGAGCCCCGCTTCCTTTGTGGCCGCCTCCGCCATGATCCTTTCTCCTCGCCGTTCGCTCTCCTCCCTCCTCCGCCATGGTGAACCCTGGCCCACTGCATGAAGGGGCATGTGCCCTCATCTCCTTCTCCCCCTTCTCCTCCATCCGGCCACCCTCACGCCTCACGAGACGTTGGACCAAAATTGGAGCGTCGCAGAAGCACGTTTCAATCGAGAACGAAGCCAAACAAAGCGAAAAACGACCAGTCTCATTTTCCCTCCTCTTCCCACAGCCCTGCTCTATGGTGGTACTCCTCTTTTCCTTCTTGGTCGCAAGTGCTTCACCTAACTCGACTTACTGCATCGTGGTTTGATGTCAATCCTACTGCACTACCTCAATTCGATCCCGCCAGTCAATCTAGCTCCTTCCTTTTTTGCTTCCGGCTACCCTGCCCTGCCACGGAATGTATGACACTAAAGCTCGACTATGATCAGTGCTGTTCCAGCTACAGCGGAGGAACGAACTAATACTTATGATCAGCACGCCTCTCTGTCACCGTCATGCTTGACAACATTGGCAGGAGAGAAATAAAATACAAAAGAACTTTGCATTACCTGGAACATAGTCGTACCGTCTCTTCGACTTGCTACGACTTCTCTCGTCCGGCCTGGACGTGATTGGCTTTGTCCTGCTGGTCTCACTCCTGCCTGGTCACACCTCGTCCCGTACACATATCTGTGCCGGCCTCTACCTGCTTGTCTTGCCGACTGTTCCAAGAGAGCCCTTCCTCAGTTTAACCTCACCAACGTGCCGCCGCTGTGTGACCTCGATTCCCTGACCCTCATAGCGCACCTGCCTCTGCTAGGAAACTGGTGGCCGTGTGGCTAATCTTGCCCAAGGGGCATTTCTGGACCATTGTCGAGCATGCCGAAGGCATAATTGACCGGCTTCAGTCTCGACTTGTCAGCTACGCTCTCGATACCATGTCGTAAGTATCCTCTTTCTTCGCGCTGCTTTCTATCTTGCTCTAGAAGAGAAGCTCTGGTTGAGCCGGGCTGGTGGATGGCCCCTCTCATTTCCACACCAGCCCTACTCCATGTATAAGCCTGACCTTAGAACCACCAGGAGTCCACCACCACAGAAGCGACAGAAGCAATCACCGCTCAACACGTTGCCTATTACAGCCAACAAAGAGCTATCGGCGGCTCAGACGCCGCTGGCACCCAAGCCAAATACCGAGCCCCTTCAACCATCGTCTCCTCCTAATCCGCGCAAGCGCAGAGCTTCTAGTCCGAAATTGAACACTTTGCCCCCGGGAACGACCTTGCCTCAAACTTCGGAGTCGACATCGACGACTCCCAGCGTTTCTATACCGGCCATGCTTAGCGAGGATACCGGAAAGAAACGGGGTCGGACCAATACGCCCTGGACCGCTCAGGAGGAGCAGCGCTTGAAGCAGATGCGAGACGCGGGTCATGGTTGGAGCGAGATCGCCAAGGTACTGCATCCCTGAAGTGCTAGATCATGCGGCGGCTGACTTATACCAGGCTTTCCCTGCGCGGACTGAAGGCAGCGTCAAGAAGCACTGGTACAAGGTGACTATTGCAATCGTTTTCATTCAGCTCAAGCCATTAACGCACATATAGGATATGCACTACGCAGAATTCGCAGAAGATGAGGTCTAAGAGACTCGTTGGCTTGATCCGCTTCACAACTGACAACCCCTTGCAGACGGCAGCTCTTCGTGAAGCCATCAAAGAGTACGAGGCGAACAAGTGGAAGGTCATCGGGCAGAAGCTCGGCAAGCCAGCAAAGGTACATCCTCTCCACTGTGATCTTGCCTAGTCTCTACTTTTATTAACCGACGTCGCCAGGCATGTGAGCAATACGCCAGGGAGCATTTCAAAAACGGTTGAGTCGACTTTTGAGTACCTGACACACCTTGAAGCGCTGGCGTTGGGGAGGCTATTAAAGTCCATTATAATTTGCTCATGCTACAGGACTGACAGGACGTTTTCTTTGCGGAGGAAGAATACCCTAACGACGGTTCTTGCCAGGACGCCGGGAGGCACGGGACGAGAGCAGGCAAGACTGCCGCCGGTAACAGATTCGCTCGCATAATGAAAGGTGCCGGTATTGAGAATTGTCTGAGGCTGAGAAATCGCCGCTCGAATAACAATTTCGTGTTCCCTAAAGACGAATCGAGCCTGCTCTGGAGCGGCTAGTCAGGCTGGGGTAGCCCAAACATCTCAGAAATCTGTCAACCATGCGATGCTGCGTATGCCAATCACGAGGTGGTCGCCGATTCGTGTTGCCTCAGTTATTTGAAACCACCAAGATTGGCTGGACGCGGTATCCTGGGAGTACTGACTGGTCGTCGTTGGCCAATAGCCCACCTCATGATGTCAACCTTCCACGTCCGCAACTGTGTCGGCTTGCTGATGCTGTCCTTCTTGCAGTTGTGATAGCGGGATGCAGATGCAATTGCATGTCATGCCACTGTTTGTCGTGGAGAATGTTGATGACGATGAAGAAGATGGAAGATCGTCCGAATGTTGATTGGCTGTTATGGAAGAATATATCTCCGTCTTCCGAACTCACCTGCCCGTTATCGTTATCAGCGATTTTCTCCGCAATCCTGCCAAAGTGACGATTTTTTTCTCGAGTCTCTTTTCTTCCTGCGCCCTTCTACTTGCATTGAACTGCGAGTCCAGGATGTGCTCAATGGCAAGTCCTCGAAGCTCGTGGTGACTCATGGAGAGATCCTGTACGTTCATCGTTCCACCTTTCCGTACGCTTCTCCCTTGTCTTGACCGGCCTCTTCTCTCCTCGTGCCACTCACCATAGCCTCGCCGGCTTGCACGTTGCACAACTTTCGTTTGAAGGGGGACTAGAGTCTTGACTCCACCGCTCTTTGTGCCATTCATTGCTACCGTCACTCGGTCTCGGGCCTTTCTGGTTTCATTGGCGACTGCAATCACAATCCCTATCGCCAATAAGCGCGGTTCAGACCGCCCTTGAGTCAAGAATACGCTTGGTATGTACAATCATGGTGCATGAACACCTGTTCGTCCGGTTCCGTCTGCAGCCCCCTACACGTTGGGCATCTGCATGGGAACCCCTCCCTGTTTCTGTTACTGCATTGGCGAAACTCGGTTTTGTGCAGCATGCCAATATGATTGAATGCTGATTCCTGGTCTGTCCTTTCGCCGCAGTTTATCCATCTTCCTCCCGCCTTCTCGTCATGGCCACACAGGCCGATCATTTCGACGCTGAGAAGGCGCCAGTCCAACCACTGCCTCGGCCGACGACCGTCTCTGACTACCGTGCATCTGGCCACCACAGACCTGCTGAACCGTCCTTGACCGCCGGATTGTCTTCGTGGCTGCGATCATTCGAGCACGTCTTGTTGAAGTACAACATTGAGACTCGTGGAATACAACGTGTGGAGGATCATGAGAAACAACGCATTGGGTGGTATGCCTACCTTCAGGTTTTCGTGCTCTGGACTTCGATCAACCTGGCCATCAATAATGTAACCCTGGGCATGTTAGGTCCGGCCGTCTACGAGCTTTCCTTCGCCGACTCGTCCATCTGTGCGGCTTTGGGTGCGCTCCTAGGTTCTCTTCCTGTGGCTTGGATTGCAACGTGGGGACCACTTTCCGGCATCCGCACGATGGTTTGGGGAAGATATGCCATGGGATGGCATCCAAGCAAGTTGATCGTCGTCCTGAACATCATCGTGATGTTGGGCTACTCTCTGCTTGTGTCCATCATCGCCGGCCAAGTGCTTTCGGCAGTCTCTCCGAATGGGTCAATGTCCGTGGTTGTCGGCATTGTCATCGTGGCCGTTATTACTTGGGCTGTCACAACCTTTGGCATCGCCGTCTTCCACTATTACGAACGATTTGCATGGCTTCCACAACTAATCGTCTACTCAATCCTATACGGAGTCTCGGCTAAACACTTTGACTTGAGCAGTCCCAGTGTGGGAGATAGTCGTACCGTCGTCGGCAATCGGTTGTCCTTCTTCTCGATTTGCGTGTCGGCCGCAATCACGTACTCAGGCTTGGGGATGGACTATTTCGTCTACTGGCCGACCACGACCTCCCGCTCAATGATCTTCATCATGACCCTGTTGGGTCTAACACTCTCTTTCACATTTGCATTTGTGTTGGGCGCTGGAGTAGCATCGGGCATTTACAGCAATGAGCTGTACATGGACGCGTGGACCAATTCTCAAGGAGGGTCGGGTTCTGGAGCATTGCTTGTCCAAGCTTATCTGCCGTTGGGTGCTTTTGGCAAGTTCTGTGCGGTTATTGCTGCATTGGGCGGTATCGCCAACATGATACCCCCGACATACTCATCCGGGGTCGACTTTCAGATGCTTAATCGATACTTCGACAAGATTCCTAGAGTCATCTGGAATACCCTCGGTGTCGTCATCTATTTTGTTTGCGCATTGGCCGGACGGAACCACTTGGGAGTCATTTTTACCAATTTTCTGGCATTAATGGGCTATTGGGTCGCGATATGGGTTGCAATCTTGCTTGAAGAATTTCTGATTTTCCGAAAGGTAAAGATGTCGAACTACAATTGGCATGTTTGGAATGATAGACAAAAGCTTCCAATCGGTATTGCGGCTCTCATTGCATTCTTGGTTGGTTGGGCTGGCGCGATCCTTTGCATGGCTCAGGTATGGTATACCGGACCTATTTCTCAGTTGGTGGGAGACTACGGCGCCGACATGGGCAACTATGTTGGCTTCTCTTGGGCGGCATTGGTGTATCCGCCTTTGCGATGGCTTGAGTTGAAAAAATTCAAGAGGTGAGATGACGCGGCGAAGGGAATCGAATCCCCCAACCCGGTGGCCGCTTCCTCAGGCGTTATCGCTTTGCATTCGTAACACGCCCACATAACCTCGCCAAGGAGTCTTGCCCTGCTGTTACGGAGTGCCGGCTTCGACTGTGTTTCAGGCAGATACAATCACGCTTCGGTTGATCACAAGCAAGATAAGGCGACTGAATCAGGATACCAAAGAGTCAAAAATCGTTCGCTATGTCTGTGATCGAGTCGCATATATCCAGTCAAAAACCATGCAGCCTTCAATCATTCTACCGACGCTAGAGGAGATACAATCTTAACTAACATTCGGGCGTTCAGCCACATATGCATATGGACGAGGGTTTGTTTTTGTTGTGCAAAAAGTCTAGGTGCATATCGATTCTCCAGCACTGGTCCGCCAGCGCTCTAAGTTACTTAATCGCCAAGAGAAGGAATCAAATCTCCTAGCTGGTGACACCTAGAGTCTACATCTTCTGCGCCAGCCACGAGGGCGTGACGCTCGATCTGACATATCTCAATCCTCGCATTGGCCGGAAACTCGGTCACGGACGGTCACCAGTGGCTTTGGTACCTGCATCTATCTATTCCGGAGAACTGGAACTGGTCGCGTGTCTGTTTGGAACTTGGGATCAGAAAAGCGTCCTTTCGCCACCAACTAACAATAGTCTCTCCATACACAGCCAGGATGGTGGACTTGGTGTCAAACTTTTCAAGACAAGCGCCCAGGTTTTCACATGGACCTAAGCCTTTTCAAGCCCGGTAAGCTTTCGTTTGGATGGGGACTCGACCGGGCTTGCAGAGTCCGCCCTCGGTTAACGTCCAATGGTCTACTGATCATCCCGCGCTTGTCAAACTTTTTCTGTACCCCTGATCTCAAAATACTGCAAGCCTTCAGGAGAGATGAAGGGTCCTTGCAGTGAGTTCGATCAAAGACCATGAGAAAAGGCACGGGGATATACGAGGTACAGTCTTGTTATTCCAACGAGGGCTGAATTGCCACTTTACTGGTCAACCGAATTACCTAACGGTTTGAGGGATGCAAGCACTGTCAAACACCTGTCAAGGCTGTCAAAGGTTGGTCTTTCTTTTCAAGGTGTAAATCAACCCCATGTGCATGGGACAAATGGTGGTAGGATCGCCCTGATATCGACAGCTTGGGATATCGATGTCTGGTCCACCCCTTGTTTATCTGGCCGACCGGCAAGATTGATTCAAAGCCACCACCTGGCATCCTCGCTTAGCTTCAATGAAACTCTCGCAACATACGAGTGTTTGTGTTGGCAAAGCCAGTTCTGGAACCAGCATGGCCCAACGGAGACCGCAACCATGATGACATTGTCTCCTGCCAGGTGCGCTCCACACACTGACATGGCTGTCTTCCCCGTCACTAAACACCATGTTTAACTAAAACCCCGTTGTTAGCCCGCTGTCCTCCATCTTTCTCTTTTTCCTCAGGGTGGGTTGTCTAAATTCGAGTCTCTCGTTCCATCGACTATCGTTGTTTCCTTGTTGCTGACCTCTCTCACTCGCTTGGGAGGCAGTGCTATTTCTTTAATACTATCTTTATTAATCGGCCTTCACAATGCAGCTTTTCCTGGTCAAGTTGTTTGTTTTCTTGTTTGCCACCAACTTCGCGGCTGAGGCGTACCCTTCTTCTTCATCAAGGACCAGTCAGTCATCCACAGAGTCGACCACGACATCGTGGTATCGTCCTTCTTCCACAACATCGTGGCATAATGCTACGACCACAACAACCACCTCGATAAAGAGCTCGACGTCCACGTCCACAACGACCGAGGTTTTGACGACAGAACTTCCGAAAACGATATCGGATCTTATTTTCCCTACGACTTTCCCTTCCCAGCGGCCGATCCGGCCATGGAACATCCCTTCTGGACGGTGGGGTCTGCCACAGTCACGAACGAACGGCAAGGGGTTGTTGGGTACGATTCCGCAAAATGGACAAGGGGGTGCGCCTAAGTTCCCGGCTTTCATTGGTGCTCCTGGACCTAAGGGCGTATATGGCGGCAGCGGTAGCGGTAGCAGCAGCAGCGGCAGCAATGGTGGCAGCAGCAGCAGTGGCGACAACGGAGGTTCTTCCAACAATGGCGGTTCTTCTTCTGGCTCTAGCTCGGGCAAGGGTGGTTCCACAGGCTCTGGCTCTGACTCTGGCTATGGTGGTTCCTCTGGCGGCAACCGGCCCACAACTTTCCCCTGGGGTTCACGCACAGCTGGCAACACCAATCCATACACAAACCCTCCCAACACAGGCGTTGTCCGAAGCTACAACTTCGTTCTTGAGCGCGGCATCATGGCTCCTGATGGTGTCCAACGAGATGTGATTCTGATCAACGGACAGTTTCCTGGACCTACGATCGAGGCTAATTGGGGCGATACCATCCAGGTTACCGTGGTCAACAAGATTACTGGTCCTGTGGAGGGCACGTCGCTTCATTGGCATGGTCTTTTACAGCAAGGTACACCTTGGCAGGATGGGGTCCCTGGCATCACGCAGTGCCCTATCGCGCCTGGCGATTCATTCACTTATTCTTTCCTTGCTGATCTTTACGGCACTTCGTGGTATCATGCTCACTACTCTGCTCAATACGCTGCTGGTCTCTTCGGTGCCATGGTTGTCCACGGACCTGCAAATGCCGACTATGATGAGGATCTCGGCCCGGTTCTTCTGACCGACTACTACCATGGCGAGTATTACGACCTCGTCGAAGACGTCATGGGCACCGATCTGACCAAGGTGGCACCATATTCCGACAACAACCTGATCAACGGCAAAGGCACATACGACTGCAACCTGGTCAAGAACGGCACCACGTGCACACCCAACGCAGGCTACGCCAAGTTCCAATTCACAAAGGGCGAGAAATATCGACTCCGGCTGATCAATGCCGGTGCTGAAGGTCTGCAGAAATTCAGCATCGACAACCACAAACTCACCGTCATGGCCTACGACTTTGTGCCCATCCAGCCGTACACCACGGAAATCATCACCTTGGGCGTCGGTCAGCGCGCGGACGTCATCGTCGAAGCCACCGGCGGCGCCAGCGATGCCGTCTGGATGCGGTCGGTGATCAGCAACTGCTCGCTGGCCAACCAGCCATACGCCTACGCGATGGTGTACTATCAGAACGCCAACACCAACCTCAAGCCCAACAGCACGGCCTGGACCCATACGACCGACATCTGCGCCAACGACGACCTCAGCAAGACCGTGCCATACTACCAAATCACCCCTCCCAACACGCCGGCCAAGGAAGTGGTTGTCGATATCAACTTCGGCCTCAATTCGACGGGTAATCTCCTCTGGACCATGAACAATTCGACCTTCCGCACCTGTTACAATGACCCTGCCCTGTTCCGTGCACAGGATCTCATCACCTCGCCGAACTCGACATTCGAGTACCCAGAGGAGTGGAATGTGTACGACATGGGCAACGCGAGCAGTATCCGGGTTATTGTCAACAACTTGACGCCAGTCGCCCACCCGATGCACTTGCACGGGCACAACATGTACGTGTTGAGTGAAGGTATGGGTGAATGGGATGGCACAACAGTCAACCCGAGTAATCCCGCACGACGCGATACGCAGATGCTCAGGCCCGCGGCCGCCGACGGGACCCCGGGATATATGGTGATGCAGTTCGACGCGGATAATCCGGGCATGTGGCCTTTCCATTGTCATATCGCGTGGCATGTGAGTGGCGGGTTGTATATTAATATTTTGGTAAGATTTTCGCGCCCCCACGCCCCCGCAAAACATCGCAGTTTACCAAACTGGGTGGCCCCTATAAGAGAGAGTGTGCATGTGCTAACGAGCATGGCGTAATAGGAACGACCAGATGCTATTCCCACGGGGAGGCCGGGCGGCTTCAATGATATGTGTACGGCTTGGGGCCAGTATACAGGGTTGGGACCGATTGATCAGATTGATTCCGGTCTGTAAAAGTCTCTCTGGGAGGGGCAGCACCTAGGTGGGCAGCAGCCCAGGGCAGGGAAAGAGAGAAAACATGAAATGAAAGAGAAAAAGTCTGTTCTTGGTGTACTCCGTTATTGGGTGGACGTGCAATGCAATGCAATGCACGACATACCTTTGACGTCGCTCGGCGTGTTTTGCTACAAACCTCTACGGAGGTACCTAAGGCCGTGGCCTGGTGGCCTGAAAGATCCTGGGTGTTCCAGGGTGGTCGGGCTGGCGTCTACGTCTTGTGCTGGCGTTTTCGTCTCGTGCTGGGCGTCTCAGCAAGCAACACTGTCATGTCATGCCATGCCTGTGTATATGGGACGTGGCCGGACATAGGGGATGGAGTGATCGCCAGAAATGAGATATAATTTACCTCTGGTAGTTTGGCGTTTGATGTATCTCTTGCCGGATATGGCTTGGATATGGATGGATGGCTGGTGTGGGTACGGTGTATCTGTGTCTGGAATAGACTTGACTTGCTTGACTTACATTTGCATATTATGGTGGGGATGGTGATTGAACACGCCCACTTGTGTGAAATGGCGATTTGACGGTATCGAGTACGGAGTGCCGTTGCTTATGTTGTATACTACTTACTACAGTCGTATACAGAGTATAGTAAAGATTGCCCGGCAGCTAACGTATTGTAGCCGAGTGGGGACCCCCAAACGACCACACCATCATCCACCCCCCCTTAACTAAGTACACCTAAGTACTGACTTACTAAGTTAGTAGGTAGGCCAAGAGTCAAGAGTCAGGTAAGCGAACTCACTCCCCGTGCAGCTTGCTTATTAAGTCTCGCTACCGTAGTCCAAAAGGTCACCGCGCAGCTCGCTCAACAAACATCAGGTACGACGACATTCTCGACATGTACGCTCCGCTTCCGCCGCGCTGAATTGAGCCAAGTTGAGTCGAGCTGACACCGTCGGTGAACTCGGATGTCTTGTCTTGTCCAAAGCTTGCTCTCTCTGGCCTCCGTCTCGAGCATCACCCAGTAATAGGCCCATGGGCACTGCCCACTGCTTGCTACCTACGGCCTACTACCTACGGCCCACTGCCTCCCGCGCAACGGCAAAAGCAGAAAACGGAAAGAAGAAGAACCACCTACCTAGGCAGAGGCAGCATCAATATTTATTGACAGTCATGCCCTCACCACTCCCATTCCCATTCCCCGAACTACTCCTGGAGAAGTTGAACATTACTAGTACGGTCATCACCCGCACCACCTGGGTGCTTACCAGTACTAGTACTGCTAGTAACCGCCTCCTTCTCACTATCGCCGCCACTCTCGTCACACTCACAGTCTACGCACTCTTCAAAATCAGCCTTGTCGTTCGCCAAGTCCACGCCGCCCGACACCGGTGGCTCGACTTGCCCACGCTCCCCCGGCATCCAATATGGGGCAACCTGGTCAACATGGGCGAGAAACTCAACCCCTCGCTCAACCGGCACCCGGACTACGGCTTCGTCGAGATCTGGAACGCTCTCGACCAGCCCGACGCGTATCTCATGGACATGCTCCCACTCGATAATTGCTTCCTTGTCGTCGCGCACCCCAGCGTCGCCGAGACCCTGGTCCAGCCATCGCCGGCCTACAAATACAGCCTCCCCAAGAGCGACACCATCAAAACGTTGTGGCGACTGATCGGGCTGGAAAGCATGATCATCGTCGACGGCGAGGAGTGGAGGAGTCTGCGGAAACGGTTCAACCGCGGTTTCGCGCCGGCCCATCTACACAGCCTGGCGCCCTTGATCCTTTCCAAAACCAGGATTTTCATCAACAGACTAAAAGCCGTAGCACACACCAAGGCGACGTTCATGTTGAAGGACTTTGCGCAGGACCTAACGACGGACATCATTACCGAATTGACAGTCGAAAAGGACTTCCATGCACAATCGACGCCCGACGGCCAAGGCCACAAAGGACCCCTGGGCATGTTGACAGCGAGCAGATTGTTGAGTGGGTTGACGTACCCACTGGGAAGAGGGGTTGGCTGGCATTTGGTCGATCCGATCAGACCGGTCAGGGCGTGGTTTTATGAGATGGTGTACAACAGGGAATTGGGGAAGGTGGTCGGAGAGCAAGTCGCTGCAGAACAGGGTGGAAAGCGAGCTGGCGAGGGAGAAGACAAAAAAGAAGAAGACCAAGAACGACCAACTCAAACGCAAACGCAGCAGAAATCGATAACAAGACTTGCCCTGTCCGGCATGATACCCAATAACGCCCTGCTTCGCAACACCGTCTCACAAATCAAATCCTTCCTGTTCGCCGGACAAGATACAACAGCGACACTGATCCAGTGGCTGTGCTTTGAACTGTCAAAGGCTTCATGGTCCGATCGTCATGCCGAGATCCTCCGCAAACTCGTCGCCGAACACGACGCTGTCTTTGGCAAGAGCGAGGATCCTTTCAACGCGCTCGACGTGCTGGGCCGAGGAGATGACGAGGGACGACGACAAGCCGAAACCATCCTAGGGAGCAAGTTGCCCTACACCACGGCTTTCATCAAAGAGACGTTGCGCCTGCATCCTCCTGCGTCAACTGTGCGGCTCATCCCAGAGATCGGACCGGAAAATCCTGTCCCGGTGAATGTCAGAGTACGTGATATGAAGAACGGAGGCGAGAAGGAGATCAACGTCAATGGGTTGAGGGTGTATGTTGCGGCGTACCTGGTCCATCGGCACAAGGGTATCTGGGGTGAGGATGCTGACTCGTTCCGGCCGGATCGCTGGCTTGACGACGAGTACATGTCCAAGTTGCCGAGTGGAGCGTGGCGGCCGTTTGAGCGTGGACCAAGAAATTGTATCGGTCAGGAACTCGCCATGCTGGAGGCGAAGATTGTTTTGTGTGCGGTTGCGAGAGCATTCAAGTGGGAGAAGGTTGGATATTCAGGGAGGAAAGGCGTCGATGGGCAATTGCCAAAGGGCGACGGGTCGGATGATCCAGAAATGGAGGTCTGGAGTATAAGTAATGTGACCGCTGTGCCACTGGGTGGGATGGAGATGAAGGTCGAGAGGAGATGACATTGGCAAGCCGGTCGATCATGCAGTCAAGGTCGACAACTAAACGAATCCCGTACAGGATCTTCGATTCTCATCTGCATCAATGCATATCCTTCATTGCTACGGGTTTCTTAGTGGCCTGGTTGTCGCCATGTGTGGGAACGGTTACCTATTGCCCTTCGCTCTTCCGATCAACCAGAAGAAGGGTTTGCAATTCAGAAGTATCTGTCGTACAAGGAAGCAGTCTGGTCGGCTCATGGCTGACTTCGGCGGCTGGATCCCAGCCCATGGGATAAGGAGCATCATCTGCCAGCCTGGAATCTTCACTCGTCGAACCCACTGAGCGAGTGTCATGCTGCCTTTCGAAAGTGGACAGTACGTCTTCCAACCACAAATGTCCCTCTGGCTGCAGATGCCGGTCATAGACAAATTTCTCGAGTATCCCTTTTGCGTCACTCCAAGTCCGTACACCAAGGTTGCTCGCATGTCTTGCCAGCAGCTTCGAGAACCACAAGACTGAAGTGCCATTGACGTTCCGTATCAGGACCGGGCGCTTACTGGTCTTTTGCCTCTCTTCAAACATTGCACCCACATAGAACATCCAAAAGTAGACCTCAGTGTATTCAAGGCGTTCAGGCGGCGTCAACACAGAGAACGCACACTGCAGGGTTGTTGCTAGCTTGGGCATGATGGCATGTGACGCTTCTCGAATGTCGATCCCCGAATCTTCCATTTCGGCTGCCAGCACGCTTTTCCGAACGCAATGTGCTAGAGTTAGACAGATGGCTGCCTCGGTCAGTTGTTGACCGGCTGTCCGAGCAGATGTCTCTGTCTCGCCTTCAATCAGGTCGAAGAACAGATGAAGCAGCAGTCCCACATCCTGCTGTGTCCTCGTCGCAATCCAGCCATAGACCAGGCTTCCACGAAGCTTTTCGGCTGCGGTTTCCGTGGGCAGTGGTGACTCGCAAATTCCAATGCAGTATCTCAAGCGGATCATAACCTCCCGTACAGGCGGGTGGATGCATGGGTGGACCTCGTCGTATTCTGGGAGATGGGCTGGCAACGCAGGATAGCACAATGCCCAGTAATTGGCTAGCCGTGAGTGAGTCCACCTCCCAAACGGGATGAGCGGTCTTTCCATGCACTTGCTTGCAAGTTCGACGATGTTGAAGATAATGACAGACACGTCGGTAGCTCGGGAGAGTTCATCATCACCGAATGGGTCATCGAGCTGCATGAGCATTTTCAAATGTGCCTTTGCAGAGTTTCGGTCCAATGCCATACAGTCCGATTCCATAAGTCCTCTCACATGTAACCTTATTAAGCCTTTAGCATCTCTTGTCAATTTGTGGTATTTGGACAAATCTTGCCGTAACAATTTGATACTCTGTAGCTTCATCTTGAGACCGTCAATGGTCAGATCGTGGGTGACCTCCTTAGATGCTGCAGTGACGATCCCAGGGATATGGCTCGTCAGCCAGGCGAGTACGGCGCCCTCAGTGGCATGGTGGAACATGCCGATGATAGCGGCATAGTTCGCTCCACCAATGACCCGATCCGAGTTCTCGAAAGTCACGGTTCTCGGCGGATCCAAGGTGAGTCGTCTCATGTAATCTGGGAGTGTCAAAGTCGTTAGAAGCACGTCTCGGCTGTATGATATGAGGCGATGGATTTGTGGAGTGACATGAATAGGAAATGCGTTGAAAGGATCTGAAGAGCCGCAGAGAAGTGTGGCCAACTCGAGCACGGTGAGGAGCTTCTTGCTCGGGTCCAGCTTCAACTCCTCTTTCTCCGTTCTTTGTCGGCGCTTCTGGTGCGAAATCTTTGCTGCATGGGCTTTTACATCTGACCCTTCCAACTCACGATCTCGCTTCGATAGCTCCTTCCGTGCTGTGGACGATGGAGGAAGAAATTTGATGCCGCTGGCGATGCTGGTGGTCGTCCGGGCGGATTGCATTGTGCCGGTGACTTGAAGGAATGAGTAGCCCTCATGGACGATTCACGATGCTGTCTTCGGTGCTTCATGATGTTGGCAACCTTTCCATGCTTGGGGAGGGCTTGAACTCGTATCTGCATATGTACGCTTAGTCAGAGATGAGACAGCCTGATCGAGTATTGGGAGGCCTTGGAGGAGACACGAGGTGTAGTAAGATGCAAGAAAAAGCCACATCCATCTGCATGGGCCAGAACGAGTGAGAGAAGCCCAATTAGAGATCCCGAGAGTCCTATGATCGCTGCGCTCGATCACCTAACGCCAGTGCCCGTAGCGAACAACTGCATCGTGGCACGGTTCTCATGATTCCTAGGCTGCATGTTGTACCGCTGGGAATTGCACACCGATGATATTTCCATCGAGGAGACTTTTGTAAAGGGCATTATTCAGCCGAGCTGAATACTTAGCTAGCCAATCTGCATCACAATAGCGTTGCTGCAGGTGAAGCACTCACGCTTGATATTTCACTCCTGCCTCTGTCGCAGCCAGCGAAAGTGCTCGCGAGGGCGGAAGGAAAGACTTACTGAATGCGTTACCGAGTACCGAGTATATCAATAGCCAGGTCCAGGTGGCATCTTCTGCTGGTCAAGCGGCTGCGAACTGGTCAATTGAGATACCGTGTTGCATTGCTGTCAATTTTGGCAGCCTGGGTGTCGACGGGCACATTGGCAGGTTTGCGTGGTCAGGCACTTTCGCATTGTCTATTGCATCTTCCTGTCAAACAACCACAGGGCTGTCTATCTGTGCCATCGGGCGCATTGTGTTCTACGCATTGTGTTCTGGCTGAGGAGCTGCACTTTGTTGTTGAAGGAATTTGGAGAGCTCGGTTCAAGTAGAGAGACCTTTTGACAGTGGTGCCCAGAAGTGCAAGCTCCGAGGATGATGGGGCTGACGCCTATTCAGCTTCAATTTTCCAGCCCAAACCTGTTTGATCTTCTGCATCTTGTGTATCGCGCCAGGCGGTCGCTCGTCAAATTGTTCCGGGCGTTATTGCATAATGGTCCAGGCGAGCACATGGCTGAAGACGAAATTGAACGCAGTCAGCAGCGAAGATCCCACTCCTTTCCAGATCCTCAAGCATCACAGGGCGACATCACAGAATGATGAAACTCTTGCACCTTCCAAATCACCTATCCCTCGCAGTGGTCGTTCCTGCTGCGACGTAATATCTCATGTTACTGCCCCGATGCCTGCTTGCCGTCCTGCTTTTCAAGGGAAACCACACCACCCACGCTCTCCTTCGGGTGATATCGAGGACACTTCTCCCTATCTTCCTCGGTATGTTCGTGCCACTTGCAGTCCTTGCGCGCAGTCGGGTCGACCAGCTTTCCAGCATCCTTTGTCTCATTCAGCTCATCAATCCTTATCAGGAGTTTATTAAGGATGCCAAAGGTGTCGGATTGCTGCTCCAAGAAGGCTTTCCATCCAGTTATGTCGTCGCTGCCGTCGGCCCCGGTGAAGTTGGTCCAACCCTTTGTGATGACCCTGTACGCCAGACACTCAAGCGCATAGTCGACGTAGAGGTCTGCGCTTTCTCGCACGAGGTCCAGGCTGTCCAGTTCTCCCACACCCCATGTTTCAATCGGGAGTCGCTGAATTGAGTCCATCACGAAGTTCTTATACTTGGTCGAGCCCACGAAATCAGCAAATTCCATGCGTTGGTTAACGTCCGAGTACTCCCAGACGTCGAGCTTGCTTCCTCCATCTTCCGATCTGTACATTGCATCGAGCCAGTCTGCAAAGACCTGGTATTCCTCCTTATCCCCCGAACAGTTGGCATGATTGTCGTTATTTGGAATCTGCAGACGGACAACATCTCGAGGAGGTGCAGTATCCAAGAGAATGGCGAAGTATCGGGAATGCTGAATGAGGAAGGATTTGTTGATGTAGAAGACGTTCAACTGGACGAGACCAGAATCCGTGTCGGCGTACTCGTCCCATTTGCCAACGACGACTCTGATGTTGGGTGAGCGAGCATGACTTGGGAGGTTAGCAGGGCTCTCACAAGTAAGAATTTCATTCATTTACTCACTCAGCAGTCATTCCTGCTGTTACGGTATTGTTTTGAGCCATTTCGGCCAGGCATGGACAGCAGTAGGAAAGGTAAGTGTTGGCTACGAGAGACAAGGGATATGAGCTGAATGATGATTGACCAGGCGATGAAAGTGGCAGGATATGTGCAAAACAAGAGGAAGGCAGATAGTAAGAGAAGGAGCTGAACTGTGACACGGTGAGACGGAAGAAATATCAATGCAGAGACTGACTGAATGCCCAGGGAGGATGAGGATTCACTCTTCTGCGACTGATTAGGGACTGACTTGATATTGCTGGCACATGAATTCACAATGTCCGTCGCGAGCAATGTGAGGTGAGTTGTCTCTCAGAGTAAGCCATGTTCCTGCCACGCCTCGTTGATGGTTGTCGCTCAAGTGACACTCACCGAGCCTTCATCAAGACACCTCACTGGGGCCTTCTCTGAAGTGAGGGCTGGTTCAACGCACCTCGCAGAAGGCTATTACAAGACGAAGACCTTCATAGCCTTCTTCAACACCACGGATCGCTCTCCTCGACCGCCGATCCACTTTCAAATCACCCACTGACGACGCTCAATCCCTCAGCACAACAACTCACCATGTCTCAATCCCTTCAATCACTTCAATCACTTCAACCCAACGAGCGCGACCCATACCAGTAAGTACATCCTCCACCAAGCGTCAAATGCCTTGAATACCTACCTAACGCATGTAACAGATTCACCAAATCCTCCATTGTCACCGTCTATGTTCAAGCAGCCCAGCTTAGCCGAAGGACAACGTTTCATATCCACGCTTCACTCATCCGTCGATATTCCTCCGTCCTCACGCAACAGCTTGACAATCCGTGGGCCCCTCAAATCTTACCAAGCGAAACAGACAGCTTCGATTCAATTTGGTAGTGAATCCAACAACATCATCACCGTTCGCGAGAGCCAAGACACATTCCGTCTCTTCGTGGGCTGGCTTTACCAAGGTTCTAACGCACTCCTCTCCGACCCAGAGTACAAGTCCCATCCTCAACGGCTAACCGCTGATCTGGTCGCCCTCTGGTCCTTCGCTGAGACTTTCAAAATCGAAGCGCTCAGAAATGATCTCGTCGACAGTGCCCAGCGCCTACCCCTCAACGACAACTTCTTCCAACTCCTCATCAGCCTCGACGAGTGGGCTTCGGCTACCGCTCAACGTCGTTGCGGTCCGATCGTCGACTACATGTACGACAAACTTGCATACGAAATTACAAGTAAGGGCTGGGGACATTTTATGTCTGTCGCAGGGACAGCGTGGACTGAGATGATGCACAACCCCCGTACTTTCAAAGGAAACTACATCACGCGTCCTCAAGAGACTTGTGGGCCATCTGAGTCTCGCACATGAGTTGACAATCAAAGGGAACCCGGCAGATCCAGCGGATCGAATGGACTGCCGTTGGCACCAGCATGAGACTTTGGAAAGTTTCAGACTCTGTCCAAGGTATAAAGAGGAAGACGAGTCTGACATGTGGACACGGCTGTCTCGGAACGAGAACAACGCGCAACGGCAGGGACAGATGGAAGCGAGACAGATGATTGCAACCTGGCCGCGGCAGTTGTGGCTAGAAAGGCAAGAAGAAGAAGCTCAACATGAGACGTCGCAGCATTGGTGTTGCAGTCGCAAGGTGAACAAACTCAACTCGAGATGTGGAAGTCCATCTCACGCAAAGAATGAGCTTGTGCGTCTCTCAAAGAAGAAGGCTGCGATCTTCTAGCATGCTGGGCAGAGACTACTAGTATTGACCAGCGTAGTGTGTCTGATCAAGGTCCGTGATGTACCGACAGGCCGTACCGAACCATACGGCAGACCCAAAAGTCCGCGAAGTGTCGGGCTCTTATTGAAGGTAAGGCAGTGATCCAGAGTAGCGAATGTTTTCATGTGTACGGGCTTGAAGAGTGCTCAGCTACGTATGCAAATTCCACACAATGAGTGGCAGTGTATTGCTTTAGAGACTCATAGCGAAACCAACGCAGTCAAAGGTCAAAACCCGTTCGAAACGATGCATGTCTCCTGCTGATAGAACTCCCACAGCATAGGTGTCTTCGATGTGACCTCGATTGGACATGTTGCGTCCGACTTGATTGTCCAAGAATGAGGAGTTCACTCCTCAGCGTAGTCCTCCCACGACCATGTAACGCCTTCCATCATGTCAGTGAAACCCGTATACTGCCCGAACACAGAGTCCCAACGCGCCCAGTCGAACCCGATATCTGTGGCCGCCGCCATCGTCGGGAATCCATCGTCCTGCAATGGTGCATTGGAGTCACCGTGAAGATCCGACGACGGCTCAAGGATGTGATCGTTGAAGCCATTTTGAACCAGGACTCCATTGGTCTCATGCCCATTCAACTGGTTAGTGTAGTGATTTTCTACACTTTGTACCTCGTCTGGGGCCGCTCGGCCGTAGCCATTACTCGTGGCATGTCCATTGTGCTGAGCTGTCGCCGTTGCTTGATCGTGTCGCGCTCCGTCGCTTGCTGCTGCCGCTGCCGCTGCCGCTGCACTGGACCTCCCAAGCCGACTCGGGCAGAACGAAGTCTCCGCGGCCATGGGTCTAATCGCCGGCCTTCCGTCCTCTGAGACATAATGAGGGAGATTGCCGTTGGCTGCTTCTCTGGAACATTGTTCCATGCAGCCGCTCAATGGGAAGGGCATGCGTTGTTGGCCTTCTCGCCGAGCCAGTCCTCGACCATGGGTCGACCGCTCCCCATTTTCAATGCCTTCCAAAAACCGGTTCCGCATTGCCCTCGAGCAGGGAAATCCTTCTGGTTCTTGATTTTGGTCGCCGCCGCCGCCGATTATTTCAGCCTGCGCCAGCTTGACCATGTACCGCACGCCCTTCTCGGACGATTGGTTTTCCGGGTGGTGCGAAGTTGTTGTCGAAGAGGTGATACTGGGATGAGGATGAGTCTGCCCATGCTCGTAGACAGTATCCTCTCTCAGACTCTGCGCTACCTTTTGGGCGTCAGTCAAAGGAGTTGCAATGCCGACCTCAAGCTGATCCGTCTCAGTCCAAAGTACATTGGGGTCGAGACCTGCTCTCTGCCAGGCGGCGGATCTGAGTCCTCGCAGCATATCCCAAGGTTCCACGCCGCCTTCCCGCAAAGGTCTCTGAGCGGTGACACCATTTGGACCGCCAACGATGCCTGCCTGGGAGTCAGACAAAGAGAAAACCGTGTCCACCAGCTCCCTCGAACGAGGGGCTTCAACACTATCAGGTCTCTCGTAAAGGTCGACCAGCACAATCAAGGCGGCATGCATCGGCCCGTGCATGGCAGGCCATGTCCATCGGAATGTCTCGAGATCGGAATCCTGAGCCAAGGATATGAATTTTCGTAGGAAGCTGTGACAATTGTGCAGAGCGCACTGCCTTCCGGCGCTCCATAATTTGCTCTTCGCGTTCTTCAGAAAGGGTGCATATGCCACGCACTGAATTTTGTCCTTTAACATTGAGAGTGTAATTCGAGCCCATTTGTTGAACGCTGCCAGTTTCTGTCGATGATAACGCGCAAGGGGCGATGCGAGATCCTCGTCACTGACATAAGTCTTGTAATATGCAACGTCCTTGTCTGTGACTGGACTGCTCATGACTGAATCACAGTCAAGACTATATTGTTGGCCCCCTCTAGGACCGTCAGGGACGAAAGCTAGCTCAGGCAAGCCTTTGGCTGGGATTTGTGTAATGATCTCATCAATCTGGCCACCAGCATCACTCATGACTCTCTTCATTTCTTGCATATCAGCATTGGTAATGGTCTTCGTACCCAGGTGGACGGCTACGATAGTACGTAAGGCACAAGCTGTAATTGATCTGGCTCTTGCAACAAGGCCCATCGTTCGATGTAGCGTTGAGTTTCCATCCTCTCCGGTCGAATGTGCCTCACCCCACGTAAATGGCTTTGGATTCTTTTTCCGATGAGGGCCTAGTTCTTCATTGTCAGCGACAAATGCATCGTTGTCCTCACAGTTGATTCTCGTATCAGAAAAGGACTCTGAGATCAAGGAAGGGTAGCCGCTTGCTATGACAAGAGATGTGTCTAGTTGCACCAGCTGCCACCAAAGTCGGCGGCGCGTGCCTTCTTCAGACACAGGAAGGTCAAAAAGCGTCGGCTCTCGGTGTAGGCCCATCATCAGAGCCAATCGAACGTTGAGTTGCATATAGAGGCTGCCCTGGATAGGGTCCTCCTCTGCCACCGGCAATGATTGCAGCAGAATGAGGGTTGCCAGCTTTTGTAGAGTTGCATTCCGCATAAAAGATCCCATATGCAGCGAGAACACCACATGCTCATGGTATTGGGACGCGAGTTGGGCACGCGTTGTTCCTGGAAACCATCGTTGAAGGCCTTTGCTGGATAAACTGAGCACTCCGGCATACCATACTGCATAGATCAAAGCGTACAGTTCCAGGTCTGGATATTGCGTCTTTAACTGTGAGATTCCACTAGTTTCGATCCGATCCCACAGCCTCTCATGTTTCGCCAAAACCTCGCTTGGAATGAAGATGGGTAAGATCGGATAAGTGCTCGACAACCAACATCTCAAGAGCACATTGCTTTGAGCCCTCGTGGGAAATGCTTCTAAAAGGTGGTGCCAAGCAGCCGCATGCGAGCATCTTACCGGAAGAGTTTGGAGGAGACTCGACTTAGCAAAGGGGACTTTTCGACAAACTGAGCAATCGCTATCAGGGTCGTAGGTTGCGAGACCGTCAGGAGCGGCCTCCTTCTGAAAACTGATCGGCTCCCAAAAGTCGTCCTTGCCCAGAGTTGGATCAGCCCTGGCTGCACGTGTCCAGACTTCCGGGCTGTCTGGGGTCTTTCTCTGGCTGCTTGTGGTGTTGACATTGAGATCGTTATGTCGCCTCATCATATGATTAAGCTGGTCCAGCTCATCTGATATATGCATCCAAAAGGGATCTTCTGGATTCTTGCTATGGCCGTCACTTAGTTTCAGGCCAGATAGAGGTCTATTTAGTTCGTTCACATCCCGTGGCGAGCCCGAGTTTCTAGATTGGAACATGTTTAGACTCAAGTCCGACCGGGGGACAATCTCATCAGAACCATGGTCCGAGTTAGAAGGGACCGGAGTGAGCAGAGTCCGGAGACCTAAATCATTGCCGCCTGATTGTCGAAGAGCATCGACCATTGAGGTCAAGCGGAGCAGTTGCTTCTCGATAGCCTTGAGCTGGGGAGGTGCTGGGACCGAGCTGTCCTGTGCAGTGCCTGAGACTGGTGCTGCGGTCGCTACTTGTCTCACCAAGCTTGACTTGCGCTTCTTCGACCCGTCTGTTATCTCGTCGTTCGGTGGTCCGGGAACTGGATCCATGGATTTGGTATCTTCGCCGTACAAGCAATGTTCATTTGCTTTCTTGCACCCTCCACATATTGGATGGGCCTTGTCGCATTTGACCTTCCTTCTGCGGCATGTAACGCAACTGTAGCTGATGCGGTTCCTGGTTATCTGGCGCCTGTGATCTTTGCCGCTGGAGGCTGTCCTGCGGCGATCGATATGTACCTCATTGTGAGGCTCGACTGCACTGAATTGAAACATGGCGGATGGAAGTTGAGGAGTGCAATCCAGGCTCATGGGGTAAATGTGAGCGGGTTGGTATCGTCAGTCTTGGAATACTGCTTCTGCTGGACGTTTATGAGCGTGCTGACAAATCTCGATCAGGTAGGCATCAAGAGCATATCCTTCGTAGCATCAACGTCAACTCAGATCAGCCGCAAGCCCGGCCGATCGTGCAAGCATACATAAAGCAGCCTTATTCAGCTTCTGGTATTCCTCTACACTGAGCTGAGAGAAACTGTGTTGGTGGAAGACGACTCGAGGATATCGTAAGCGGAGACCTGTACTTTCGCTTCGCTAGATGTCGGCTTGGCACCTCTGATTGGCTAAGGTCTTATGTAGCAAGTCTGCAAGGGAGGTAGGTATCGACAAGGCGGACGTGAGGATGTGGACGATAGGTCACAGAAGTGCAGAGAGTGTGATAAGATTTTCTTGGGGTATCAAGTCTCACGGCTCAAAGTATTTAGTCTGCAAAGCCCTCCCATGACTCGCTTGTTTGACTAGAGTGCTTAACCGCCTGTCCTTCACGTTGTGAGGGCCGGGCGAAGGCACAGACGAAGAAACCCATGGTGCCTTCCTCATCCCCTGGATGGCATCGAATGCAACCTTCTAGCTCTTCCTGCGTCAATGTTGAGTCTTCGCCAGTGTCCGTCGCAGAGCCATTTATCCCCCTATGCCTCCAATCGCGTAGGCCAGCAACTTGATCATCTCGCCGGAGAACACGCCAACCTCGAGATCTCGCTACTTCGGAGTCTATCACTCTGGAAACGACCCCTTCATTCTCCTCCACGTGCACGGAGCAGGTGGAATAGGTCACTCTCAGGGCGGCTGGGAAAGCAAGGGCATGTTCGACGATTCTTGTCTGGAGTGCCGCAAGCCTTTGCAGTCGTGTCCGATCGAGTGATATATCCTTAGTCTCCTCGGCATCCAAGGGTTCGGCGGATGACACTTCGACTTTGGGTTCTTCTTGGTCGCGTTTTCTCTTCTTCGGGGTTCTTGTCGTGCTTGCGATTCGAGTTTTCTGACCCTTAGGATCTTCCGGTAGTGCCAGGGTAGGAATGTCTTCTCGGCCAATGATGCCACTTCCAGAACAACTCGGGTCCAGGAGCAGATGAGTGACATTCTTGAACCGAACATCTTGAGGGTCTATACTCAAGAAGTCCTGCCCTGCGAAAACTGTCACATTCTTCGCGCCACTCTTGTCCATCATCCTCTTTAGGACTTGAGACCTCTGTCTATCTCTCTCACAAGCATAGATGCTGCCAGGATGGTCGGTCTCCACAACGAAGGTCGCAAGGTGCGAAGTCTTGTTTCCTGGTGCAGCACAACCGTCCATGCAGTCCCTTATAGTTCCTCGCTCTTCCAACGATCCAGCCAGAAGATATGCAGGGAAGCAGGATGCCTTGTCCTGGAGTATGATCTCTCCATTTTTGTAGGCCTGTGTCTTTGTGAAATCAGAATATGGTGGTAAGGCGAGAACATCGGGAACAGTCTGATCAATTGCTAGCACTTTCACCGTAGCTGGAGATTGTGCCACTTCCCCAAGGGTCGCATCGCTTCTATAACCCTTGAATGTCGTAGCCAGTTGATCAGCAAGCCTTGATTTCAATGTATTGATCCTGATCCACCGCGGCTGCGATCGGTGTGTAGGGGGATTCTCTCTCAGCAAGCACTCTTTCAGAGCATCCAGCGTTGCGCATTTTCTCCTCAGCCGGGCTTTTGTGAATTCTGCCTGCAATCTCGCTTTGTGTCTCTCTATTGCTTGGCGAAGGGAGTGCCCAGCAGGCGCCGCAATGCCGCCTTTGGCAAAGCAGTGGTCATGAACGAGAAGGAGGGATAAAATTGGAGTTAACTATTCACGATGCCGAAGCGGCTGCGTCAGTCAGCAGTGACGCGTAGCATGGGTCCGTACCGAATACACACCTTGGGCTCCTCGGATAAGAAGGCCGCATTGTCAATGATTTCTTTGACGAAGTGGTTGAACTTCACCGTTTCCGAGATCAGCGCATACAGATGCGCAGGCTTCGACTTGAGGTTGAGTTTATTTCCATAGACTCTGGACCTCAGGGAGCCATCCTGCGGCCCGCTCGTTAACACGGTGGCCGCATCGTAGTAAAGAGACATCTCAAATGTGGACTGGGGAGGGTTCTTGCTGGTGAACTGAAATTGGTAGACTACAAGTTAGCCAATCGAGAATTCGATCGCTCAGCCTTGATGTTCTTGCGCGGAGAAACCCACGAGGCTACGAGGCTGCGAGGCTGTTCCAGAAATCTTCTACTTCCTGTCCGAACTGAGAGCACAAAACCTTGCACTCGCCAGCAATGGCGCACTCAGACTACAAAATTGCGATGCTCGCTCCACCTGGAAGCATTGTGGCTCCTCATGGCTTTCCAGCTGAACCTCGACCAAAGGGGGCCCCCAAAGTCTTTCTGGATGCTATGGATGTCCGAATAAAGGTTTTCTGTGACGAACAAAGATGCGCTCTTGAGCCTGAGCTAGACGAAGATGATCCTAGATCGTGGCACTGGGTTGCATATTACACCGGAGGGCCAGGGCCAGATCAGGCTGTCTCTGTCATACGTATCGTACCTCCGCCTCACGCGCCTCATCCAAATGACTTCCACGACCCAGATGAAGAGCCGTATGTGAAGCTCGGACGCGTTGCTACTATGCCCGAAGCTAGAGGGAAAGGCATCAACCGCTTACTGACAAAGGAGGCATTTCGGTGGCTCGCTGCGAATAGAGATGAAGTTGGCAACGGATGGAAGGGGCTCATCCTGTGCCATGCTCAAGTTAATGTCGAAAAGATGTATGCAAAGTTGGGCTTTGTCACTGACGACAAGCTCGGACGCTGGGACGAAGAAGGCATCGAGCATCTGGGGATGTGGAAGCGAGTATGAGACTTGTCAAGACATAGGGTGGTTCTTTGATGAAGCCCTTCAGACTCAGACTCTTCCCTTCTCGCATTGCGATGGAACTGGATCCAAGATTGGTTTCTGGTATCAAGTGTGGATGGAAACAGCCTGAAACGGTGCAATTCTTCCCAGACACGTTGGTGCTCCTGACTTGCTTGCCTATTTATGGCGCGACATATCTCCTCTCAGCTGCAACGCCGTCACAACAGCTAGATGATGAGTTGGAGAAGTGAGAATCCACATCCTGGGCTGGCATGTCAATGGCACTTCAAAGCTGTGGTTCTTGAAGAGGCTGATGTTAGGCGTATCGGTCACTTTCTGACAACCACGTATCAGAGCCGCGGAGCCATGGCGACAGCCATCAGAGGAAAGTGGCATTCACAGCGAGGGTTGGAGAATAAAATCTTGGAATCAGGCTTGGTGTTTTCAAGGGTGCGTGATCGACTCCGTATCTGACGGATCTGAGATATCAAGCGCAGAAAGCCAGGAATGTTGTTTCCCGGCGCCGTTCATTCATATCTACAACCGTGTGGATCTCCATTTTCTTCAAGGGTTCGAAGACCTGCTTTTTCCAAATCAAAACTCGCTGATGGTGTCGCCTCGCAACTTCCCTCGCATATTCCATTTTCCCTGTGATTCAAAAGGGTCCTTGTCAGCCATAACATCCCTTATCGAAACGCTATTGAAGCATGCAACAGTATTATCGCTTACATCAGTCTTTGCGAAGGTATATCCGACCACCGTAGGCACGAAGATTGCGTACATGAATGAAATCCATGCTGTTCGAGGAGTCCAGCGGAAGTATCTCCACCGTTCTTTGTTTAATTCTGCAATGCTAGGAGTCAGCACATAATTCCACCTGTCTCTGTGCCGCCTTTTCTTTCGAAAGAAGTGCCCGGATCGTTGCGCAACATCGAATAGGTAAGACCACACGTACGGTTATATTTCTCATAGGCAGGATCGAGGCGGAGAGCTACGACAAGTCAAGTCAGCCATGGTACGCGATTGTTCGACATCTTCGGCGAGCATACGTGTAGGTCCGGCCATGATTCCAACACCTCTGAGTTCTTGGTTGTGGTTTGGAAAGCTCTGTAAACACAGCTGCGATGTCAATGACACTCGCTTGGAGTTGGGTCTCGCTAGCCATTCCTTGGCGTGGCGGTGCTCCCTCATTACCAGCCACTCGTGGCTGACCTCGAGATGACGTCCATCTATCAAAAAACCTCGGCTCTTATCAAGTATTGGACTTTGAGATGTACATGTTGATACTCGTACACATTTCCTGACCTTGTTCGCCGGAAAGCGAATCAGGCGCTGCCACAAGCCGCTTACGACGAACCCGCTATAAACGAGCAGCCCCGGCCTCTCCCGGCTCAAGATGGCCACGTCCACTCCAGATGCAGACAAAAAGCCCAGAATTGTACTGCATTGGTAAGTTGAAGCTCGCTTGCAAAGGTGCTGAGCAGTGCGATGCTCAGGAAATGTCTCTGACATACCCAGGCTTGAAGTGTCTCGCTCGCATCGCATCCTTTGGTTCTTTGAAGAACTAGGAATTTCTTATGAGCTCAAAACTTACAAGCGCACCGTAGAATCGCTTGCGCCGCCAGAACTGAAAAGCGTCTATCCGCTGGGCAAGTCCCCGGTGGTCGAGATATTCCCGCCTGATTCCGCTACCAGCATCGTGCTTGCGGAATCCGCAGCCATCGTCGAATACTTCTGCGACTATTATGGAAGCTGGTTGGTCCCGACGCGATACCGCGAAGGTAAAGATGGCCAGATTGGCGGCGAAACCGAATCTTGGATCCGATACAGAATGCTTATGCACTATGCCGAGGACAGTCTCATGCCATTAATGTTGATGTCTCTGATGGTGAAAAGTAAGGGATCATTGTAGCAATCGGTGATCAAGACTGACGCATACGGTATCAGGGATCAGGAACTCACCCGTTCCGTTCTTTATCAAACCAATCACCTCGGGCATTGCGGCCAAGATTGAATCGTCTTTCCTAGAGCGGAATTTCAAGACCCATTATGACTTCCTAGAAAACCAACTCGCCACCGCCCCGGGCGGGGAAGGCTTCCTCTGCGGCAAAGACCTGACCGCTGCAGACATTATGATGTCCTTTCCCATGGAGGCTGGTCAGGGCCGTTCTGGGTTCACCAAGGAACAATATCCCAAGATCTGGGCGTACGTTGAACGAATCCACGAACGAGAGGCGTATAAGCGAGCAGTTGCAAGCATCATCGAGCGCGAAGGGGAGTTCAAGATGAGCCTCTGAGTCTGCGAAATTCTGCTAGCTTGAGCATCCTCCCATGAGACCGGAGGTCCAACGCCAGAGACGTGAACGGCAACCTTTCCAGGTTCTTCTTGTCCTCACCACTGAAATTCAGACGATGTCGAACTGCCGTAAGGCAAGATGCTATCCAGATCCGAAGGCACTTGCGCCAAAGGAAGCAGGATATTGTGACATCGCCGCCAATCGCGTGATCTTGAAGTGTGCTCTGGAGGCATTCGCAAATGCAGCCATATCGGCACTGTGTACAAGTATAGTTGGCGTACTACGCATAGCACCGCAGGCGAGCTTTCGATCAGGTGGAGAAGTTGGCACGTATGTCTATATCTACGCTTTGCAATCTTCCGTGTCCATACCAATGGCAAAAATTCTGACTGTACTTTTGCTACTCTTGGGGCCGAAATCAACCACTTCAGGCCCATATTGCACCTATGGTAGACATCTACAGTGAGAGGCAGCAGCGTTCTCGTCCGCATTTGGGGGCCGAATGTAGATATCTCGCAGGATTGGCTCAGGCATCCATGAGAATGAGATCAGCTCTCGACGCCGTTTGCAATTTGCTGACAAGTGCTGCAGGACGCCACGGGACCGAGATCTCGGGATCCTGCAGATATAAGAACAAGTGCATGGAACTGATGATAGTGTACTAGATCTGCCATCCACTTGCAGCGCATCCTGCTGGCATATTGGCACACGACACAGAGGACGCGCATACACTGGCACCAGCAACAAAGGGACTGAAGAGGGCGCGAAACCCACGATACCGCGCGCGTGAACGACTGCCGAAAACCTCGCAAACAAGTCACCTTTGCCCTTACACTTGGATCAGGCCGCAAAGTCAGGCTGCCCGTTGTCTGTCATCGCTAGGCTTCTTTGACTCCTGCGAGGTGAAGTTCAGATACACCTACAGCAAACTCCTTTGAGGTTTGTTGCTTGTACGAGTCTCCAGACGCACGTCATCGGCTTGACACCCGTGGGCACACGCTGCATCACGCTGATCTGGGCATCCACTAATTCTACATAGCAAGCCTGCCACGGCCTCCTTTTGCCAGGCGTGGGTTGAGAACAGGCGGCTTCTCAAGGCTAGTGAGGCTTCGAGACCCCCTGTTCTCACCCACGTAATTGGGAAATCAGTGGGAAGCCTGATATTTTGGCTGGTTTCACACCGCGCGTGGAGCATTTTCGCTGTCGTCTGCAATCGGACCCTTTCATTGTCTGTTGTTCCTCTACTTGGCTGCAGAAGATTTTACTGTTCAAGGCTTCCCTGATCGCTACGCTCAGCACAGTAGCGGTCCAGGAAGAGAGAGCTCAGACTCAGTTCCTTCTGCTGAGCCTTCCAGCTGTCCAAGGCGTCTGCCCCACAACAAATAAGACACTGTCATCCATATTCTAGTAAGTGAAGCCTACGTATCCCCTTCTCCCTTATCCCATGGTCATCACCCCCATTTGCACCCATGATGCATCTCACATCTCTGTTATTGACTTCAATGGCGCCGGCTGTTGGTAATCGACGTGCGTCACAAGACTCCTCCTGCGAGACTGTCAGACCACCACAGCCAATGACAAAGGGAGCTATTGCATGACTCAGGGCTTACTCATCGTGCAGTTTAGCCAAGATCTTGCGTTTCTACGATTTCGAGCAGCCTGTGAGGCCGCAAAGAGTCCGCCAGGCACACCAACATCACCTGGAGCATTTCGTTCGCCGCCGCCAAAGCTACTCGAGACCCCTCCAGGGCTGGTCACAATCACTGTTTATTCTCGCATTGCGGAGATCCGCCAGAACCAGCGTCAAAGAAGCAGGTAGCCTTCCGGCCCACTGCCCGCCCCGACGTAGAGGACAAGCACACCACTGGCCAATGGTCCCCTCTTGGGTGACCTACTCCTGTGGGCACGATTTCAGGCCCAGTCTGGCTTTTCCGGCAAGGTCCGCAAAGGCTGGAACTGCGTCTGCCGTTGTTGGCAGTGGCCGGCTGCTGTCATAGCAAGTCACTGAATGGGGCCGTTGTAGGCTGATGATTGCTGAGCGCCCGGGCGCCCACAGTGAGCTATCTCAATCTGAGTGATGACGGACCCACAGTCGACATTTGAATCAACTGGCAGGATCACCTATTCGGACACGACTAACGCCGACTTGATTATTTCCCCAGCCATCTTCATTTCTTCAGCGTCAGATACGCGTCGTACGGGCACCAGTGCGACTGCCAACGATCCTGCAGTTGTGCCTGGGACAGGCCTCAGAGCTACTAATCATTACAGTGCCACGTCCAGCTCCAATGCCTGTCCAGCTATCTCTCACAGTAATGCCGAACCTGCTGACACCACTAATCCTTCCCCAGACACGCGACCTGTCGCCCTACCTGAGGATTTAGAGTACCCAACCATCAATGTTGATGATACCGAGTCTCAAAGCCTAGCTCCTTCTTCTAATAATGCAGCTACCGCCACTAGCTATACCCTAGGCTTCCCAAGATTTGGCTCGCAGCCCTGGACCGCTCCTTCTCGACCTATACTGGAGTTTGCGCCTCGGCCAATATATGAGCCCACGGGAGTATTACTGCACGAACACACTTACAGCTTTGCTGAGTTTGATGCACCGTCCATTTCAGATCTTAAGAGTGCTCTTCACGCATCACCGATCCATCCGCCACAATCGAGTATCATCACGACCGAGACAACCGTTTCTTCCAATGCGACTGGATCGGTAACTGCATTTGTTCAGCCCTCGCTTCCCCGATCTGCTCTCAAGCGGAAGGGCAGCTCTAATACGACAAGCCCGACCATCGATAAGAAGGTCCGACTCTCATCTGACCTGGTAGCTGAACTTGATCTTGATTCTGCTGCGACAAATCCTCGTCCCGTCACTTTTGAGCGGATGTCAGGCATCCAACCAAAATCGCCTGATGAAGGTTCCGTCTCCTCAGACCTCCCTACTGGTTCAAGGCATATTCCAACCGCAGGTAGCTCCGCTGGCAATCGAAGAACGCGGCCGTCATCAGAAGCGACACCACGAGCCTCGCTGAACGCGTCGGCCTCATCGCAGGCATCGAGCAGGCAGAGGACTACAGGGAGTCGCACATCCACGGCCCACCCACCTTCCATTCTTCCTCCGGAAAAGGTCTTTCCCATCCAGATAGGATCGGAGCTCTTCAGGTTATCTGGAGCTTCCATATCCTCGGACGGTGCGTCTGTGTCTTGGTCATAGGCGCATGACGAAATCAGCTAACCTTTTATGTAGCACCTTCCTACTTTACCCAGTTTTTCGAGGAGCAAATACGGCAGAATGAGGAGTCTGGTGGAGTGAGAACACTTTACATCGACCGAGATCCCGCGACGTTTCGAGATGTAGCACGCCATCTGCAAGGTCTGATCTGTTATCGAATTGGCATCACAGCACTGACGGGGGCCAAGGTTACTATGTCAAGCCGGTCGATGGAAGTCACTTCGTGAAGCTTTTTGCAGATGCGCAGTTCTACAGTCGTAAGTCTGCAGCACATCCCTGTCCATTTGTCGCCGACACCGTTACAGTACCGCGATTGATCGACCAATTGTTCGAGTCTGAGATATTCATTCAAATCGGAGAGCGGCATTTCCAGATACCCAAGGACATTTTCTCTGAGCCCGGAAACTCACCCAACTTCTTCTCTCTGGGCTTCGCAGTTTTCTTCTCAACCCCTGGAGAAGTCTTCCCAGGCCTTGACCGTCGCGGCTTACTACGACCGCCGTCCATAACGCCTCCGTATGTCCCTGGTCGGTCCGCAGATATCTTTGCCGAACTACTACATCTGCTACGAGGCTACCCACTCGACATCCGAAACGAATCTCATCGAGCCGAACTGCTACGCGACTGCCGATACTTTCATCTCCGAGGCCTGGAACAGAAAATTATTGCCCACGAAATCACCTATAATTCAGAAAGACAAAAACATGAAATATGCCTACGACTCGAGGACGTAAAACCCTCCGGTGTGTCGTACACCAGCGACGACGCATCTGGAGAGAAATCCAACGCCGGAGGATGGGTCTATTACGCCCGGCCTTTCGTAGACGACACGTCGTATGAAGCGGTCATCGAAATCGGCAGCGAAAGCACTGTGCTAGATTTGACGGACATGCGGGCCGACTTTCACGGGCTCGCAAAGGCTCGCGTATCTTCGCTGTTCCAAGTCGTCGCCAACAAAATGAACCTACCTACGAAGGCACCGCTGGGCTTGATGATGTTGTCAGGAGGACGATCGTCTCAATCTGCGAGTCCTGGGCATACCCCACTCAGCGAAGATCGAGTCAAGGTGCGCTTCGAGCCTGCCACGGACATCAGGCTGGACGGCGAACTTTACGAGGTCAACTGGGACAGCGCCATGGGTCAAGTCATGCAGCATGGCCCCTCAACCGCGCCAAGCATATCCGAATCCGAATCCGAGTCGGACATCATGAGCGAAGCACTGCCTTCGAAACCCGGTCCTACAGCACAACAGCAACAGCGCCGTCCGCAGACACGACAGACGCAGCAGCATCCGGGTCCATCGTCGTCACAGGCGCAGGCGGGTGGCTCCCGATCGCTTCCTGTGCCTCCGATCCAGACAAGCCGGCTGCTAGCGGAGCCCTCGACGAAGAAGAGGAAGAGGGGACAGAGCAGTCAGGGCGACCTGGGCGAATGGACGATCCGGACGGGCCAGTGGCGATTGCGAGTGCAACCCAATCAGCAAGACACCATACGAGGTGGGTATGAGCTGGTCTTTATTGGTGTCAAAATCGACGCGTACTCGAGTGAAAGGGCGCGCAATGCTAGAAGGAGCTTCCTGAATTGATCTCCCACGACGGACACACACTTCATCCTTTTTTGCGCCTCCGCGCCTCAAGAAGCCTCGTACTACTTAGTCTTCTTTGCAACTTTGCCACCTTGCGTTCTTCGGAAACCAGCGGTGTCCGGGCAGACCATGGCGCCTTTCTCCCTCTCCCGCTCTCCCTCTCCGCCTTACAGCGACGCATCGGCACTGTTTGGACACCGGGCGTTAGACCCCAGGCTTGCTCTTCTCAGCATCATACCCATCACAAGACCAGTAATTCGGCACGCATCATTTCGGGCATTGGCGACTTGTACCCTAACCTGGGTGCCTGGTCACAGACCAGGCCACTTCTTTGGCGCGAGCAGTCCACTTTCCTTGCCTGGTCCTTGAGAGTTGGGACTGACACGAGCATCTCGGTGTTACGAAACCATAACCTGGCATCTTTCGAACTCTGTTGCATTGCATTTTCATTACTGGGGCCATCATGTTACATTGCGAACATTTGGCTTTGCATTTTCCTCGATGAGAAATACCCACCGTTACTAGTGATGGTAAACGGGCAAACGCTCAAGGGGAGTTGGATTGCGACATACTCCATTTTCAGTCTTTGCTCTACTACTGGTCTGGCCGGTCCCGAAGTCCCAGCAAAATGTGACAAGGGCAAAAGAGAAATACGACATGGCGAAGAGGCGTAGTCTCGAAGGTGCTCGGATTCTCAATATGAGCGGTTTGTGCGCACGTCAATAGGAGAAAATTGCTTACTCACGTCTTTTTGCACAAGCGACATCGTTGCGGATCATCTGGATTTGGAGCTCGGGATGACAACTCCCTGTTGCATTACACATGGCCTAGAGGGCACGAAATTGGATCTTGGTTCGACACCTCCCTTTTGCACAACGTACGGCCTAGAGGACACGGTATTGAGTTGAATACCTAGGTGCTTTACGGGTGCGCGTCCACTACCTCCGAAGGACACTGCGTCTCCTCTTGACCGGGAGCTTCGATAGCACCATCCATCTTCAACAAATTCGATGGCCTCTACTGGCAACAACTGGGCTTGTGCAGATGCAACAGGAAGCACAGTAACAAACAGGCTGTGTGGGAAAGTACAGCCAGCTAGTCAGCCTGCCAGCCTGCCAGCCTGCCAGCCAAAATCAAAGTGTTCAGACTGTCCTGTCCCAACGTGGAGGCTGTTCTGTTCTATTCCGTTCGTCTTAGAACACCGAGATGAGAGGGGCGCAATGGCCATAGCAAGTATCCCCATCAGCAAGGGTGCCGAGATGAAAACCATGGAATTTGCAAGTCTTGATGGAGACTAACCCACATTCGCGGCATGCCATGACGCGGCATTTGCAAAGTGCCGGCTCTTCTTGATCATCAACGATGGCAAAGGGCTTGCGGAGAATCGGTGGGTCAGCTGTCACCGAGCTTATTGTAAGAGCACCATTACAGTCAGCCCGGATTTAAGCTGTTTCTGGCTCATGGCCTTGCTGCTGTACTAAACTGGTGTAAACCAGGCCATTGGGAAGTGCACAGGCCCATGCTAGAGCGAGGTACAATCAAGCACATCAGGCATATCAAGCACCTTTGCTGCTCTTTGGTCGTTTGAGGTTATGGCCACTATCCCTGGCTTTTCTTTGCGAGTCTGAGCTTTGCGTTTTCCCATCATTGCAGCCAAGGCTGAGAAGAGCAGAAGGATCTGAGACAAACGTGAATGGTCTTTCCTGGTGGCGTGGGAATGGCGCTCTCCAGCAGACTTTGAGAGGTGTGAAGCCACTCGAGTGATACGACCGGTCGATTCTGTCTATCCCTTGCGACTCTTCGAAGGGGGTGGGCGCCTCGATGGGAGCAGATCAGGAGGAAGTAACCCCGACATTGGGGGTTATTTCCGCGCTAGTTTTGCATCCGCTCATCTTCGCTTCAGCGGGTACTGGACATCAACCGTGAATTGCTGACGTCCCGCATCGGGTAATGGCGAAGGCGCCCTATAAAGTGTAACGCGGCAAAACCTCGCGAGACGTATGTGATTTTCGGTAACGAGGCAAATCGACGAGATCTTCGGGCCGAGGCTGACCATAGCGAGGTGGGCAATGAAGATGTAACCGTGGTGTGGCGGATGGCGACCATCTCAAGGCAATGAGCCCGGGCTGAGATAATCATGGACGACCTCGTACAGCATATGTGTGCTGCCAGTAAAAAGTGGCTGGATGAGCACAACATACGAATCCGATTAATCATTGACGAGCCTGGCAATGTCACCTGCCAAAAAAAAAATGACCGACCGCAATGCATTTGCGAAACATTGAAGACGAGTGACGGATGATGACGGGGATAAATCTCATGCAGGGTCCATTGGTTCCTGGCAGACTAGTCTCGGTATTGTGCATGCATCCGTCCAAGATCATGGTAAAAGTGCAGGTTAAACCGCCCCAGGAAGAGCGAAGGTGCTCGCTCGAAACAACAGACAAATGTGCTGATTTCAAGCTGTTGGTAACCAGCCGTTTGTCGCCCTGATCATTCTACTGTAGTTCCCTGAAGTGTTATTCACCATCTCGCCTCACAATCGGAGACCAACCTCTTGCAATTCAAACCCCAGATACTAGTAAGGACCATGATCGAATGTGAGGCGTCCTCACGCGTCCTGTCATGTTGGGATGTAGGCTTTCTCGTCCCGGAAATACTAGTAATACTAGGTGTTCAAGCAGGACGACGGGTGGCTGAGTACGTTGTTGAAGGAGGATTTGCAAGCAGTGGCCTCACCTCACATCGGACAAAGCACGAGCCCGTACCGAGACAGCACCTGCACGGCAAGCAAGAAGATTCTGCTTTCCAGAAGGCTACGTAGGTAGTGGTCGCAAGCTTCATCGACAGCCACAAGCTTTGTGTGAAGGAAGGGCATCCAAGCAGGACGGATCGCATGGGCCGTGGCACTGCCTGCTCCACTTGCAGTCCATTGCATTTGGGCGATGGGAGCATTGGTCTTGAAAAGCTCTAGCTCGTAGAACTGGCAGTGTTTCGGATTGACCAACGACTGTGTCAATCTGGACTGCCTCTTGTGGAAATCCGTGCTTGAGATGGCTGGGATGTGCTAGCACATATGCAGACTGTGCCTTATTGCGCGTCATGGACGACAGCACATCTGTGATTGGCAGCATAGGTCGAGCTCAAGGGTGAGGAAAAGCCATGGCTGAGGAGGAAAGCAATCCCAGCAATTGCGTACGAGTATGTATGGAGCCACGAAAGCCACATGGTTTCAAGAGTAACCGAAGAGCAAGCCACGCGAGATGAAGGAGGTCAAACAGGCGAGGGATCAATAGAAATATGGATATCCGTACTGCTGACAGGTGAAAGGTGGCAAGCACAATTCCCAGAATCATTATCAGCCGCTCAATACCGTCGGCGGACCACGGCGATGAATCCTGCTGACAATGGATTATAGTAGAAGCTGAGGAGGAAAGAAACGATTCGTTTGAAAAGCAGTCCGAGCTGGTGGACCTGGGATTCGCTATGCTCATGGCTTAAATGCGCTCGTTTCGCTGCCCTGCTAAGCAAAGGAGTTCGCTTAAATGCAATACAAAGTGGCAGAATGGAGATCCGACAAGCCAATGCCTGCGCCACTGGAGGACATGAAGCCAAGTTCGGCCTGCGTTGCTGATTCAAGTTGACAACGATGAGTAAGTAGTCAAGGATGGTCGAGAGTTCCTAAATTGCAGTTGCTTTCAGGAGAGAGGAGAACAAATGGTCCAGAAAGCTGTATGTTTCTCTATAATCAGATAGAGGCCGAGGGTCCCACCAAAGCATGGGTTTAACATGGATGGCGGCGTGGATACCGTCTTACCCCAAAGTCCTGGCTGGCATCGGAACAGTAGTCGTGAATTTCGATGCCGGATGAATACTTCGACAGCTTCTTCATCAGGTATGAGCAAGACCTGAAAGCGAGTGACTTGTTGATGCCCGGTCCTTCTCTGCACAGGAGCCACTGGACCAGCTAGATTGGGATCCTGACTGCCAGGATGCAACCACAACTCCAATTCTACACATTACTTTACCATCAGGAGTTCAGAGGGCAGTCCTGCGGAAGACTGATGTGGCCCATGGAGCGATGAAATGCCCCTGGCATCCTCACCATCTGAGTCAACTGACAGACATCAAGATGACACCAACCACGGCCAAGTATCAGGCTTCGTAGCCCCTGCGCGCCCTGACAAGGCATCGGTATCATTTGCGTGCATTGCTTAGTGGACAGTTGACTGCTTTGCATCCTGACACGGACATGTACTGTGTAACAACGTACTAGTCGGGGACTGGGGACAGTAAGAGTACTTGCAGGGATGGGAATACAAGCTCGACAACCACGCTGGTCACAGGCTGTGAGTCCATTATCGCGTGACCATCCGTACGCCGAAACCATATTGGACCAGTAGTCCAGATGACCGAGACTACTAGCAAAGTCACAGAGCTCTCTTTACGTAATATGGTCCTACCGAGAAGCGCAATGCTTGTCGTAGCCGGTTCGTGCACTGGCCTCTGGTGCCAAAGGGTGTGGCCGACTAGACGTCGAAAATGTGACAGCACGGTAGAAGTAACCGAGAGATCCCTGTGACACAGGGGGATAGCCTATGCTTGTGGTCGCCGAGGTCGCAGAAAGCAGCCTAGGGCTTTGGAGTGAGCATGGCTTTGGCACGCGCTGCAGGTGACGAGGCGGAAACAATGGAACCACTTGCGGAAGAAACGCAAACTCCAGTGCCCGAGGGTGAGCTGTCCTGGCATAACACGTTCATTCTCGTTGATACCGGCATTTCAGCTGGTAGACCACTCAGACCATCAGTGACATCCGCATCAAATCCAATCCAGCATCACTGACTAATGACAAAGCTCAGGAAGATGATACGCGGAGTGGAGCTGAACCGTACAGTGAGAGCTGACACTGTCGTTCATCGGCAAATTGCTTCTTCATAATTTTGTCGTCCTGGGGTAAGGAAGCCAGACCATGGGTCAGTCAGGCTTAACGCGAGTGCTAAAACAGGTTTGAAGGATTTGACAAAGATTTTGATAAGCAGCCTTCGTATGGACCTTGGCAACGATCGAGATGGGTCCAGCATTATGTTTTGCGCACTCGTCCCAGATATCTCGTGTTGCTGCAGTTGAAAGGGTGTTGCCTGTGCCTATCAGAGACACTTGCAACCGAAGCTGATGGTTCGACAGGCCGAGTCGTGGATATGTGTGCAATCTTCCAACTCGGATCATATACCACCGCTGTCTACACTTTATCCGTAACTGGACGTGGAGGTATTGCAAGGTTGAATTTTTGCCCTAATCCGGCCCCGTCCCAGCGTCGGACAGAAAGCTGCAACCTGATGTAATCAGTACCTTTCTTGCGGAATGCCTAGATTTACTGGACTGCAAGTTGCCGGCCGAAGTGGCGGAAAGGGGGGAATGCTCAAGTTCGAAGTGTATTCTCATTTCGAGGCGAGGGAGCGGCGAACCGCTGTACAGGTCGTGAGGTGCTTCAAGCTGGAACATCAGCCTCCGCGAGCCTCCTTGCCCAACGTCTGCAAAGCTTTTTCGTATCTTTGTCTGAGTACCTCGTCTTCAACGCTCAGTGTAAGGCGCCTGATTTTGCTGTGCCTCTGCAACTGATGTTCATCTCCAATGGCACCACGGACCTTTTGTCCTTTTCCTCCAATCTCTCGCCAGAACCAGGCTCCCTCCCTATGCTCGACCATAGTCCAGGCTTCGCCTTGTTTCCCCGCGCGAGCTGTTCGACCTACCCGATGAACGTAAGTCAGAGCATTATTGGGCACATCGTACGAGATGACATGCTCAAGATCCGGCACGTCCAATCCACGTGAGGCACGGTCGGTGCAAATCAGAATCGATATCTTGGCGCTCCTGAAGGATGACAATGCACGGCGAGATGACGCTGATGAAGCGGTACTGCGGGTCAGTGTGGATATTCGAGGTTCAAGAGACGGGCAGAGAAGTGCCAGCAGCCGAGAAAGCCTGTTGGCAGAGGTCGTCGAGCGTGCGAAGATCAAGGCGCGAGGTTTCTTCTGGTCTTTCTTGAGCTCCGTCCGACTGTCCTGAGGACTTGGACGACTCTGGGCAGGGCTTTTGCCATCCCGCGACCTGGCGCTGACAGGGCTGCTGGCGTCCTCTGAGGATGATGAGATCTCTGAATCGGACAATGTGTCTGAATCCGTGGCTGAATCCGAGCTCGAGCCGGAATCCGAATCCGAATCGGTGTCGGAGCTTGATTCATCAAGAACCTGGTCTTGTTCATGTGCTGGGCCGCACGCAATTCCTATGTGATCTCGAAGCAGCCTGAGCAGATACAATGGCTTCTCAGAACCGTCAGGAATAGGGAGTGCTGTCTCTCTCAGAGAGGGTGGCAGGTAAAATGCATCAATTTCACCTTCTGGAAGTAGCTCAGCGCCATTATCAAGCACTTGACTAGCTGCGTGTTGTGATCGATTGTTCTCAGACGATCCTCCTAGAATGATCAAACTTGGATTGCGCAATTCCAAAGCATTGAGCTTGGACACGTCGCGTGTCATGGTGGCAGAGAGCAAGATTTTGGTGACTCTACGTCTAGGTGGAGTCATCCGCATGGACCTGAGGAGTTCGTCTCTTTCCTGTGTGGCAGCCTGCGACTGTAAGGCAGGAATTACCACATCAATCCATTCCTGATAGCTCTCATTCAGCAATCGATCAGCTTCGTCCACAACCAGCCATTTCACGTTGTCAAGGGTGAAGCCAGTGGTGGACTTGAGATGATCAACGAGACGGCCAGGGGTGGTTATCAAGATGTCTGCTTTAGCCTTGTAGCGAGTCACATATCCAACTGAAGAGATGGGGTCTTCAGTCTGCGCTTTTCGCAGAAGCTTTTCCAGAGAAAATGTGGACCAGTCGACCTTTGCTCGCAGTTGCTTCTGATACTGTTCCGGATCGTAGATCTTCTGCTCCTCGACTAGATTATCTTGCTCGTCTTTGAGCGACTTGCTCCCAACAGCAGTGGCTATTGTAAGAGAAGTTCCGGAAGCGCAAAGCTCACAGAGCTCCCGTACCTGCTTCACCAGTTCTCTGGTTGGCACTACAATGACCGCTCTTAGTTTTGTGCCAACAGCACTCCTCAAGCCGTCAATGATGGGCAATACATATGCCAGAGTCTTGCCAGAGCCAGTGGCAGCTGAGACGCAGAGATCGCCCTCATGTTTGCTTGGACCATTCAATAGCAAAGGTATCACACTTGCTTGTACAGGAAAGGCTCGATGCATGTTGGCTTTCTGCAAATTTTCCAAGGGGGTACCTGATATACCGAGGGACTCAAAAGTGGCATTGGTGTCTAATGGAACGGTCGTTGGAGTTTCTTGCCAGGGAGGCAGAGTCGAATAGGTCGGTTTCTCTGGGATCGTGGCCACCTGCTCCGGCTGAGGTATTGGTTCCAGCCCATGCAGCTCGACTGTCGGCTGGTCTGATGGCGGATCGGGCTGTAGACCTAACTTCTTCTCTTTCTGCCTGGCTCTCTCCAGCTTGGAAAAGACGGCTGCGTGTCGTCGGTCGTGCTCGTCTTCAACATTGTCACCTTCCTGTTCAGCCTCTTCAGTTTTTGATTTGTGCTTGCTCTTGTCTCTCCGGTCCGATATCTCTGCTACAGCATCGTTGCGGTCTTCGGCCTCAGGGACACTCGATTTCCGCATCTTTATCTTGATTGAGGAATTGCCATTGCTTGCGGCTTTTGTCACACGGTATTTGTCAATGGCACTGATGGCTTCGGTATTTTCAGCGGTGCCTGCGGCAGCGAGGTCTTCAGGAGGTACACTCGCTGAAGATCCATCTTGTACAGACTGCGTCCGTTTTGAAGTCTTTATCTTCTTGCTTTCCTTCTCTCGCGACGAGGTGTTTGGATCTCGCTTGCGCTTCTCGGGATGCGGCGGGGGACTGGTCGTGTCAGTTTTCCTTGCTGGGGGAACGTAGCGAGCATAGAAATTAGACATCAGGACTCATGATCGAACGTCTAACTCTGGCCTGCTGGATCAATACGAGGTACTTTCAACACTGTCCTGCTGCTACGGAGAGACTTTGTCCGAAAAAAGTTCCTGGACATGGAAATTTGGCCGGCAGAATTCTCCACCGCTTTGGAGTCGCGCATCGCTCATCTCATCGCTCCTTTTCCCTGGTTGCGCGGCACCATCGACGACAACTACACGTCGACAGAACCATCATCTGAATGATTCTCTGGGAGATGGCCAACATTTGATATTCAGCATGAGGCGAATGTATCCATCCGACCAAGTCTTGAGGTAGTACAGCGGGGATACTTCAGAATGCCTTACAACATTGCCATGGTCAGCGACTTCTTCTTCCCGCAACCTGGAGGAGTCGAAAGCCATATTTATCAGCTATCAACGAAGCTGATTGACCGAGGGCACAAAGTCGTGGTCATCACTCACGCGTACAAAGGTCGCACCGGCGTCCACTACCTCACGAATGGCTTGAAGGTCTACCACGTCCCTTTCCTGGTCATCTACCGGGAAACCACAATGCCGACCGTGTTCTCTTTCTTCCCTGTCTTCCGCAACATTGTTATCAGGGAGCAGATCCAGATTGTCCACGGCCATGGGAGCTTGAGCAGTCTGTGTCACGAAGCTATCCTGCATGGCCGGACGATGGGTTTACGAACCGTGTTTACAGATCACTCACTTTTTGGATTTGCCGATGCTGCATCCATCTTGACCAACAAATTGCTCAAATTCGCACTCAGCGACGTCGACCATGTTATCTGTGTGAGCCACACCTGCAAGGAGAACACTGTGCTTCGAGCCTCGCTCGATCCTCTGATGGTCTCTGTGATCCCCAATGCCGTAGTAGCTGAGAATTTCCAACCACGGCACTATGTTCCCAAGACAGACGATGTGGGCTATATGAGACCAAGACCACTGCCACAACGGCTCGGGCCAGGTGACACCATTGTGATCGTCGTCATTTCGCGTCTATTCTACAACAAGGGCACTGACCTCTTGATTGCGGCAATACCGAGAATCCTGGCAGCCCACCCCAATGTTCGATTCATCATCGCCGGCTCCGGCCCGAAAGCCATCGACTTGGAACAGATGCTTGAACGGCAGATGCTTCAGGACAAAGTCGAATTGCTAGGTCCTGTGCGACACGAGGAAGTGCGCGATGTCATGGTCAGGGGCCACATCTACCTCCACCCCAGCCTAACGGAGGCCTTCGGCACGGTCATTGTTGAAGCAGCCAGTTGTGGGTTGTACGTGGTATGTACCAGGGTCGGTGGCATTCCTGAAGTCCTTCCAGCTCACATGACAACCTTTGCGAAGCCCGAGGAAGATGATCTGGTCATGGCTACAGGAAAGGCGATTGCAGCACTCCGTTCTGGAAAGGTCAAGACCGAAAGGTTCCATGATCAAGTTAAGATGATGTACTCGTGGACAGATGTTGCACAAAGAACCGAGAGGGTCTATGATGGCATTACTGGGGCCATCGGCGAGCAAGAGTTCTACGGTCAATACGCCAGCGCAAACTGGAGTGCAACTCGTGGTCGCTCCTACGCATTGATTGATCGGTTGAAACGGTACTATGGGTGTGGGATATGGGCTGGCAAGCTCTTCTGCCTCTGCGTTATCATTGACTATCTCATTTTCTTCTTTCTGGAAATCTGGGCTCCTCGAGCCAGCATCGACATTGCCAGGAGCTGGCCTCGAAAGCCGTTCATCAATGACAAAAACAAGCCAGTCGAGAATGGCATGCTGCGTTGGAGAGGGACCGACCTGATGGACCGTCGCAACGGCAGCCTCGTGATGAGATGACGTTCAATGACAACTCACGTCTCCTCCCTCCATCGAATGGCCCAGTTGCCCTTGGCAAAACTGGGTTCGACGACTGCGCCATTCATCACTGCTTCGGCTTTGCGTCGGACTGGAACAGAGGCCTCATCCGTGGCTGTCTTGTTAGAACCCTTGGAGCGCTTCTCTGCCTTCGCCTGGCGTTGGCTCCTGTTCTCGCGGGGCTCTTGGGCATTGCCAAACACCACAAGTCTTCGAGCCGCTCTCCGGACCATTTCACGCTGCTCTGCTCGGCGCTGGCCCTCCTGTCTCTTCTTGAGTTCCTCTGCTGCGGCGGTTTGCTGTGCAGGCTGTGCACTTTCTTCACCGAGACTGTCATCTGCATCGGGGGCTTCAGGCTCAAGCGAACCTTCACGGCTCGCCAGCCCGCCAACGCTGCCCTCCGATGGTGGTGCTTGAGGCAGATTGTCTGAATCAAGGTCACTGACGTCTGATGTCTCTGCAGCTTGTCTCGACGGGGAGCTGCTTCGCTCCGCTTGGGATTTAGGACGAAACATGAGATCCTCAACTTCCTGCATTGTTATGATGTTTCGACGGTCGCCTTTGACAAATTTGGACTTGGCTGCGGTTTCCTCGATCCCTGATCCAGGCTCTGCGTTGAGAAGTGCCACTATGGTCCTTTCTATCTTTCGATCGAGCGGACCTGGCTTATGGTGGCGGCAACCATCTGAACAGTACTTGATAACCTTTGTCTGAGCTTGCTGGATTTTGCGGGAACCTTGAAAAAGTCACTAAAACGGCATCTCAGAGCTGTTTTTCGTCGACTTACTCATTGCTCGACCGCACGTCTGACAGTAAGCAGCATTTTCCTGAGTGAGGTAGAAGGGAGGAGGCACGGCTGAACGCTTGCCAGGTCGCGACCACGAATCCATCCAACTCATGCTGGGCAAGCTGGTGCAGATGAAGCGGTTCTGTGCGAATCCAAAATGATGCTTGTACAGGATCCAGTTTGTGACTTTTATCAACATCAATTATCTTCAAATCCAGGACTCCTGCTTCACAGTTGAAGTTCTCGGTCAAAACCAATGAGCATGACGACATTGGTGCTTCGGGCCAGAACTTCAGCGTCGACAAGGCTCCATTTCAGCCTGAGGAGCCTCGGATCTTCGCGATTGAACGATCAACCCCACCAAATCGGTCAACACCCTCAATCATATGCTGTACGAGGGGTATTTGTGGTCTAATTCCCCTGGCTGTCTCTAACAACTAGATCCGGTTCATCGTCCGAACACCTTCCATTCTACATTGGAACATAACGAGGCCATCATTTTACTTACGGGTAGAGATTGGGAGCCATGACCTGGCCAGCATTGCCAGCACGGGCCGGCTATCTGGCACTCAAAAATCCCAAGCGACGGAATGCATTGTCGCTGGCGGTTTTGAGAGAGTTGCGTGATCAGCTTCTGGCATACAACACATCCCCCGTCGATGGCAAGTTACGGATTTTACCTCCCTTCAAGCCTGGCATCCTTGACGAGCTCGAAAGTGCTGCGAAGCACAAAGACTCGAAAGCAAGCGAAGAGTACGGCTGGCTTCTTGATTCTGTAGAATGGCAAAGGCATCGAAAAGGTCTTCCCAATGTTGTTGTTCTGCGCAGTGAAGGACCGGTGTTTTGTTCGGGGCATGACTTGGGAGAACTACGGACATTGAGCCACGATGAAGTCAAAGAGACGTTCCGCTTGTGCGGCGAGATCATGTCTCTAATCAGACGGTCGCCAGCACCCGTCATCGGGGTAATTCAAGGCCTCGCAACAGCGGCTGGTGCACAACTGGCACTTACAACAGATCTGCCCATCGCTTGTGCCGGCACGCAATTTCGATTACCTGGAGCGACAATCGGCCTGCCCTGCACCTCACCCTCAACAGCGGTCTCTCGCAGACTGGGACATGCTTTCACATATAGAATGCTCGTTCTAGCCGAGCCTGTTCGTGCCGACCAAGTACCTGGAGGAGCCGTTGATACTGTGGCAGATGAAGCTGCATTGGAGGCAAGGGTAGAGCGAATTGTCAAACAACTTTCAGAAAACACTGCGGCGCAGCCACAAGCATTGGGCAAATGGGCATACTGGACGCAGTTGTCACTAAATGGTCAACAATCTGGTGGTGATGGATATGAAGATGCTGTGCAATGGGCTGGAAGAGTGATGGCTCTCCACGCCCAGGCGGATGATGCGAGGGAAGGCATGAATGCTTTCTTTGAGAAACGGACACCCGAATGGAAACTGTGAATACCAGGAATACATTGATTTAATATATTGGGCTCATCATGATGTGCTGCGCTGGGTGTGCAAGTCATGACCGGCGTATGCTTTCAGTCGCCTTGATGATGAGCAAAGCAAAGATTAATGATTTAATGATCAGTGATCAGTGGTGATTATCTGGTGACTGTAATTCCATCATGACTGATCGAGTCGATGCTCCTCCACCGAGTCCAAGGAGTCGTTGGTGCCTCCACCACCCCTCGCACCCATCCACAGTCCATCCACAGTCCACAGCAATCGATCAAATCGTCCGTGCCGGCGGGGCAACCACAGGCATCATTACTCGTACTGTGCGTACTGCTAGTGACTTGCTCTGCTCCTCTGCTCTGCCGATCGGGTGCGCCCTCGGAAACCTATTATTGTTCTAGCCGTGTGTTTTGCTTTTGTATCTTTTCTTTTTCAAAATTTCGGAAGATATGTCAGAGGTCTCCAGAGGTGTCCAATGGCTCTTGGAGTGCCTCGAGAAATCGACACGGTCATTGTTGGTAAGTACTCCGTCTTGCAAGCTCTTTGGCTCTTTGCATACCCTCTACACAATAGATCCGGGGCTGATTGGGCAATGGGTTTTTCTGGTGCAGGAAACGGTCCCTCGGCGCTGATTCTGTCCTACATCCTCCACGGCAACATCCCCTCCTACGACGAGTCCAGTCCGCATCCTGACCACATCCTGCACGACAAGTTGCATGGGTGCCACAATGATTTGCTCGATTTCGACGTCGATGCTCTGACCGACCACTTTGCTGCCTCAAGGTTCTCCTACTCGACCCAGGCACTCCCCGTCAATGTGCTGCTCGATACTCTGGTGCGGCCCCTGGGCGAAACCGACGATGCACAGAAAAAGACATGTGTCAAATGGCGATATGATCCTTCGCGGGCAGTCGAACATGTCATTGTCGGAAACACAAAGAGTGCGGGTGGACAGTGGGTGGACAATCCCGTCCATGCCAGTTGGGACATTGGAACCCTGAGTTATGCCGGAATGCTATCACTGCCTGGATACAGCTTTGATGAGCATTACAAGAGGCGCAATGGGCGCTCATCCCCGGTGTACCTACGACCATCGAGACGCGAAGTGGCAGATTACCTCGCAGCATATCCCGAGCAGGTTGGTATCGCGAAATACATCCATAACGGGCAGCATATCGCCCAGGTGTCCCGACGGGATGAAGGAGGCTTCTACATTGGTTCGCATGACATCCTCTGCAAGACCCTTGTCCTTGCGTCGGGTATCTTCGACACTCTGATCCCAACACCCGCCATGTTAGACCCTCTTATCGGGCTGGACCATAATGTCGCTGCAAGTTCAAGCTCAAACTCAAGCTCGCCAGACCCCATACTGGTCGTTGGATCCGGCTTCAGCGCTGCGGATGTCATCATATCCACGCCCTCGAATCAGAAAATCATCCACGTCTACAAATGGGCGCCGACGACTTCTCCTTCTCCACTCAGAGCCTGTCATCAACAAGCATATCCCGAGTACGCAGGCGTCTACCGACGCATGAAACTTGCCGCCATCTCGACTCCGCAGCCCAAGGATAGACGGCCTCGACCTCGAAACCTGCGCTCGCATTCCGACTTTGACGTCAGTCGAGATTGGAAGGCCACGTATGAAGGCCTGCCGAACGCCGAGATTCTTGACGTCAAGCTCACGGATGAGGGGCTGGCGTTGGTCACATTCACCTTCAAAGACGGTGACGAGCGGTCTTCCTTTCAGCGCCGAATAAACAGCCTTGCATATGTGGTGGGAAGACGTGGGTCGCTGGACTATCTCTCAACAGACCTGCGGGCCGAATTCCTGGCTGGTGATTGCGGCGGCATGATATCAGGCCAGACTCTCCGTGAACAGGCCAACGAGGACCTCGAGATTGCTCCGCACGTTTTTGTGATTGGCAGCCTGACTGGTGACTCGCTGATCCGCTTCGCATATGGCGGCTGTGCGTATGCCGCTGGGAAGATCATGAAGCGCTCCCGCTCGCGCTCTGACAATGCAACTACAACAGCACCGCCAAGCACTCGTTCTTCAGGAAGACGAGAGAACGACGTCGCCCGTCCCGACGGAAACGGCATCATCAGATTGAGCTCGATGCTGAACGACGGTAATGACCAAAGCGAGACAGCTACGCCCTCGCCCCAGATACCGGCAATGAATGGTCTCGATGGCCACGAGGCCGGTCCGATGAGTCTTGCGAATGGAGGCATGCCGCTGGATCGGCGGAAGGACTGAGAAGGCGGAAACCTAGAAGAGATGGATCTCGCGCGCCGATATCGACGGCGCAAAAATCCTTCTCACTTAAACTCGACGGCTGGGCTTTTTCTTTCTATACATCATCTAGACTAGCACTTAGATCTGTATATACCCCCCGGATAGTCACTACGAGTAGTAGGTAATTAATGATACCATACAAATACTGACCTTAAGCATGTCTTGTCATGTCTGGTTTTAGAGACCTGTCATTGAGCCGGAGGTGCCAGCTACTTGTTCTATGTTTGGAGCCATCCCGACCCTCTCTACTACTAGTATCGCGGGTGTCGTCGTCCAAAGTACCTAGGGTAACTTAGAAGCCTTCCTTGGCCAACATATCAGCGACACCCAGATAAAAGGCCACGGCGTTGAACCGCTCCTCCACGATCCCCAGCCTCGCGGCAACCCTCTTGATCCTGTTCGTCCAATTGATCAGGTCCAAATGCGTCACGCCGACCAACGTGCCCTTGTACTCGCCCCAGCGGGAACTTCTCACGCTGACGAGGCCGTCATTCGGGCCCTCGGTGATCTCCATCAGGTCATGGGACAGCCGAAACACGGAAAACAAATGCGGCGTGGCGGTCGCGCCGTAACTGAAATACCGCACGCTCGGATCGTCGGGCACACTGGGGTTGAAATGGTCATTGACATAACTGGTGGTAAGCTGGGCAAAGGCGCCCGAGTCGATGGACAAGCGGTCGAGCATGGCGTAGATGCGCGGGAGAAGGTCAGGCCCGATGTCGCGGAAGAGCATGTCCGCCGCGGAACTTCCGTGATGTGGCGTCGCGATCGTCGTCAGACTACGGACACGAAACGGCGGCGACGGCGACGATTTCTGGGTCGGACAGATGCGACTGATCAGGTACCGCGCGTCGAGACCGCCCATGCTGTGCGCGACGATGTTGATGTCCCGCCCGCGCGCGCGGCTGGCGATCTGCTCCGAGAGCGCGGCGGCGCGCTGTTCAATGGACCCTGTGCGCGGGACGGTCGTCGTGATGCATTCGATGTTGTTGCGTGAGAAGGCGTCTTTGATCCCGCGCCAGTAGTGGATGCTCGGAAGCAAGGAGCCTGCCAGATGCAGCTCGTCGAAGCCCAATAAGCCGTGGGCGAGGACAATGGGGAGTTGGGGCGTCGAATAGTGCGATTTGAAAGCCGCGTAGTCGTTCTCGATGAGCCGGCCTAGGTCAGGAAGCCGTGGGTCGATGGGTTTCTCTTCGGTGCTCGAGGACGAGGCGTTGTCTTCGTGTGCGCGGGAACCAGGATGGTTTGATGTTGCGGGTGGTTTGGAAGTGCTGGAATCATGGCGTAGCTGTTGACGTGGAAGGCACTGTAGGTAGTGGCATGGCGGCGATCTGAGTCGCCTGGAGACGACACGGAGGCTACAGATCCTCCATGGCATGCTATGAGATTGTATGCCTTTTAGGTTCGACAGTTGGTTATTGTCCCATGGCCAGGGTCGTGCAATAACGCGGATAAGATGTATGCTACAAGAGAGAAGCAAGACAAGCGTCATGACAACGTTGGAAATTATTTATTTGGATCTTGCGTCATAAGTTGGAACAGCCTCAGCCTCGTGCAAGTGACGAGGCTGGACATGTAGTCCAGACACTCCTCGAGACAATGAGGTCCATCTTTGCATCTAAGAACCTAGCCTCAGTTTCTGAGCCCGTTTTAGACATAGCCTCTGCTTTCTGACCAGGCTTCATATAGTGATCCTCCGTAGTTGTGCCTCTTGCCGCCCATTGTGGCGAGATACACCCGCCTTGACCTCTTTGAATAAACCCAAAACCGCCATCACACCGTTCGCCAGTCGATGACCGTTGCATGCCACCTCAATTCTCTCTCGAAATCTTCACGGGGACCTCGGGGTGAGGACTTGTGACAGCCTTGATCAAATCTTCAACCACCTTCTTCCCTGATTTCTTGCCGGCCTCTTGAATCTCCTTGACTTTGGCTTCTGCCTCCTTGTTTGCATCGTCTTCGGCCTTCTTATTTCCGCTCGATTGCTATAGATATCATCAGCTTGTGCACAGGGTCGAAAGGGCTGCGAGTTGTCCCACCTCGGACTCGAACTTCTTGAACTCCTCTTCTTTCTTTTTCCGGTATTCCTCAATCTCTTTCTGTGCTTCTGTTTTGGCGTCTTTTACTCGTTTTGTCCGGTCTAACAATGTCAGATCCAGAATTGTGAAGCGTTCATCGTCATACATTCTCTGGCTATGCGAAAGTTAGCATTGATTTCGTTGAAATTGACCCGGCGGATCTACCTTTCTGTACTATCTTCTGGGCCTCTTTCTCTGCCTGCGGACTAGTCAATACATGTTGATCACTTGTGGGACTTCCTCCGACTCACATCAAGCAGCGTCTGAATGCCTGCGGAGTTCTGGGCAGACTGTATTCTTATCAGTACGGGAAGCATTACAGGAGGGTCCACTGCGCACCATTTTGGGAAGTCGAAGGATATACCGAGAAACACAACACAGAGACCACGGAGACAAGTAAGGTGAAGGGTTGAAATGTGAGATATTGGGTAGATGTAGGGCGAAGTGTGAACAGTAGTACGGAGTACCCTCGTCAATGAAATGCGCCTGCCCGCCGAGCTTGAAGCTGCGGAGCTGGAAGAGGCTTAGCTTTTGGAGAAGACATGTATGTAAAGAATGTCTTCGCATAAATGTTTTACATCTTCAGCACACCACGATTAATCCATTCTAACATTCGGCCTCCGCCTTGCTACCGTGACTCCATCAACATGTCCACGGCTTCCAAAGTGACTCTGCTGGGTACAATCCTAGGCACTGCTGGCATTGTAGCCTTTGTCCATTGGGCTCAGTCCAGTGAGCAAGCTGTATGTACTAATTTCCAATGCTTCACTACTGAGCTGACCGTCGCAGGCCATGCACGCTGGTGTCGTGCGGGATATGGAGCAACAACGACTCAAACGAGAGAGACAAGCGGACTTTGAAATGCAGAAACAACTCGAAGAAGAATACAGAAAAACACAAACTGTGCATGATGGTACACAAGGAGCCTGACAAGTGCTACACTCTTCCAAGTGTTGATGGCGCAGACCTATGCCGTCGGTCGTGACGCCGAGCCGCAAGAAAGACGCCATGGTCGAGGACAGTCCGTTCCCAGTATTCTTCGCAACAACGACTACTTCCGCCGGCGAGCACCACAAGATTGCTCTTCTCCATGACGAGACATCAAAGCCTAGTGATGATGAAATGCAACATTGGTCAGAGCGAAATCGGCAGTAAGAGGACAAGAACACGAGGGGAGAGGATGAGCATTTTGGATGAGACCCGGCCATGGACAAAACCAAGGGAAGAAGAGAAGAATCTTCATGGCATTCGAACCATCGCGCCTCTCCAGGTCGATACCACAACAGCCCGGGACAGAGTGGACTGGAACCCGTATGATACCCAGGCCAGCTGTGCTGGAGAGACGCCTCGTCTGCTGACATACCTGCCGACTTGCAAGTTAATCTTGAAGAAGAGAAAAGAGGCGACACAAATGGAGGGAGGCACGGGATATTTATATGCGTTGGAGGCTGCCGTACCATCGGCGTGTGGAGTCATTCTAGTCGTATGATTCAGATCAGATCTAGCTCGGGAAGACGGTTTGGACTAGCTGGTCAATCTGTGCAGAGCATTTGTATATGCGTGGCACGATCGAGACATTGGCCGGGTGTCTCATATGCGATCTGTGAGGAACGCACAGCGAGTCATTGGTTTGAAGATGCCCACGATGCACAAGGGAAGAGCAATGCCTTCTCAGTGGCAACCAAAGGAGCAGTGGGCAAGCAACATCACAACCCCTGCGGCAACGTAAGACGAGCAGTCAGATAGCAATGGGGGCTGCCTCAGTTTGTCGCCGTGGGATTCACCAACTTCCGCGAAACTGTGGACTATTCAGTGAGCCCGGAGCAGTCAAACTGCTGTGTCAAGTCCAGTATGGAAGTAATCTTTAGTGGTCGTGAACCATTTGTCGAAATTTAGACTGCCCTATACACGAGGTGTCTCACTCTGGGCAGAGACCGGAACACTCAGCATCGACATCAACGTCGACTCTCAACGCGATCTCAAAGAGAGATACCGCACAGTGTAATCTACGTCTTGTCAGAAGAACACTTGAAATTGGGAGCATATTGTCATCGATCATCAAGACTGTTGAGACCATCCGAATCAAAAGATGAAGAACGCAATACTATACTCCCGTCTCGAATCTTCCGAGTCCGTTTCATCGAGCTATAATGATTCATTTTTGAAACCTCGATCTCTATCTTTCAATGCCCAATCCCACCAGCAACCCAATTATTCAACTCCGGGTCTCCAGGCCGGGGAAACAACCCTCGATCCTGTACTGGCGCTTGATCTTGACCTTGACCTTGACCTTGCAGTCCGCCTTGCAGCTGCGCTCCTTGGCCCTGAGCCCGCTCTTGCTGCTCTCTTCTCTCCTGCTCCAGCCCGCGCTGCCTCGCTTGGCGCGCATACACCAGCAACGCCAAAGCACCGGCCAGCGCAATGATAATCAAACTCTCCACAAGCCCGTCATCGATATCGTCCCACTCGTCCGCGCCGTACACATCTTCACCCTGCTGTCTCTGTCCTTCCCTGCCCGCACTGCCCGCATAATCCCCGTCGCCACCGGGCATCCCAGGCTCCGCATACCCGAGCATCTCGTCCTCACCGCCATCCCGTTCTCTCATGGCGGCCGCCGCCTCCTGGGCGTCCATCTCCTCGGCGGCATCGAGAAACCGATTGATCCATTCCGTCCAAGTCTTGGGCCTCTTTCTGTCGGCCTCCTCCTCTTCATCACGGATCGAGTTGACCTTGCCCCCACTCACACCATTCCACCAGCTGCGCAGTCTCAACTTGGCCAAGGCCAGCGTGACGGGCAGGTAGGCCTCCTTGTTCATTTCCAGCGCAAGATCGTAGTACCGCTTGGCCATATGGAAATCCTGCGCCACGCTGCCGATGCCGTTCTCGTGCATCCAGCCGAGATTCCATAGGGCTTGCGCACTGTGGTGGGACTCTGCCGCCGTGGTGTAGCAAGTCGTTGCTTTCTCGAGGTTGCTCTTGATTCTTTCCTCCCTCGTCTCTTCTTCTTTAGACATCTGCGCAGCCAGCATCCTCTTCATACCTATACTCGCTCTTCCCGCCGACGACGACGTCGAGGAAAGCGACAAGTAGTAATCCCCCATCTTGATCAGCGAATCGACATTCGCCTGCTTCGCGCTCCTCGTGAAATACGCGAGAGCGAGGAGCTCGTTGTCCAACAAACCCCCCTGCCCCTTCGCCCTTGATCCAGGTTTACCGGACCCGAACACCGACAACCCAGGAACCTCAATCACGCTGGTCTTCCGATCAAGCAAGTACGCCACGTTGGCCTGGGCGCTTTCATACCCGGCCTCCGCGGCCTTGATACTCGCAACCAACGCCCTCTCCCAATCGCCCCTGTCGAACGCGGCATTCGCCTCGCCAAAACTCGAATGCAGTACTTCTGCCCTCTCTGCAACGAGCTTGTAATATACACTCGCAAGCCCACAGTTCCGCTCCCTTCCCACTCCCTGATTCGTCAATTCAGCAAGATAATAGAATGCCTCAATGACGCCCGCGCTGGCGGCAAGCTCGAAATACCGCCCCGCCGTATCGATGTCGCCTTGATCGAGAAACAGAACGCCCAAGGCGCTCTGCGCGATCGGCAGGCTCTGCTCCGCAGCGGCTTTCAGGTACGTCCCTGCCCTGATCCCATCCCTCGGCACGCCCAGACCGTCCCTGTACATCAAACCCATATGGTACTGCGCAAAGCTGTCCCCGTTCGAGATCCCGCGCTTAAACCACATCGCTGCCTTTTCGAAATTCTGCTCCATCCCCTCGCCTCGCAGGAACATACGACCTATGTACGCCGCCGCCTTGGCCGCGACGCGTTCGATGCCCTTGGGCGCTTTCGGGTTGACTTTGCCGTCCTTCCCCCAGTACGCGCGTGCCACTTTCATGAACTGCCGCTGTGCCTTACGGAAGTTGCGCTTATACCCACGCGGCGCTTCGTAGTAATGTTTGCCGATGGCGAGCATGGCGTTGAAATCGCCCTGCCGCTCTTTCGTGTCGAGGTAGTCGAGCACGTAGTCGATATGTGTCGTTATCACCCCGTCACGCGGCGCATTGGGTCCTGAGGAAGAGACACTCGCACCCTCGCCGTAGATCCCGCCGTCCGCTTCGACCCAGCGGTATGCGTTGCGAGTGAAGGTGTGGCCGCCCGGCGGACCCGAGTGCCAGTGTGTCATCGCCTTGTCCGCGACGCGCTTGTAGTATTCAACGGCCGTGTTGCACTCACGTGGACAGCCGATGCCCGCATGGTAGCGGTACGCGAGGGTCATTTCGGACTGGATATTCCCCTGCTCAGCGGCGAAGGTATGATAGAGCAGGGCTTTGGCTTGGTCACGGTCTACGCCGCCAATGCCGGTGCCGTACATGAGACCCAACATGTATTGTGCTGTATTGTTGCCGTCGAGCGAGGCAAGGCGGTTGTACCAGGTCATTGACTCGGAGAGGTTGCGAGGGTACGAGAAGTTGCCGTAGAAGTTCATCTCAGCGAGGAGGAAGATGGCGTCGGGATCGTCAAAGAGCGCCGCAGTCTTGAGTGTCTCGACAGCTTTGCGAAGGTCGCCTTTGACTTGTGGTGAATCGTTGCTGTCATGGCGGGTGGGTGCGTTCATGAAGAGGGTCCTGAGAATGAGTCTTGTGTAGTGCCATACCGCCTCGGCCACGCTCGTGGGCTGTGCCGGTGTCACATTGTCTTTCCATGTCGGCTCGAAGTCTCGAAGGACGGACCATACTTCGTGCACGACATCGTTCCCACCGTTCGTCCAGTAATTCTGTTTCTGCTGTTCGTCGGGGACGAAATCGGTCGGGGATTCATGGAGCTCGCGGATGGTATTTCTAGCCTCGACAGACGTTCGAGAATGAGATAAAATCAATAGTAAGGCGCATAGGAGCGCTGAAGACAGGTTAGCACGGACGAGGTCTGTTGCTGATGGAACTCACCAAAAAGCACTCCTGCGGAGATTCTTCTGACAGCCATAGTGGCAATGTTATAGCAGTCATGTCATCGAACTTGCATTTCCAGGAAGTCCACTGCGGCTATGACTCTGTATCTTCTCTGGGCTATCAGGCGACCATTCAAGCGACGTCAATTGCACTTTACAAGATAGAGTAGACAATTCTGAAAAAGCCAGCTTGTCGCGAGAGGACGCATGCGCGCCTCGGCTCAATGACGTGCCGCAGCTCAGCCTTGTCCATGCGAGGCTATGCGTGAGCGTGAATGTTCAGAAGGATCTAGCTTACTTGCGAGGACAGCTGAATGCACCCGATCCAGACAGTTGCGTTGACCAAGAAAGAATATGCAGAGATCATTTGAGGGTCATGTCATTGGGACCGTTCGTCTCATTGTTCATCTACAGCTGCGACGCGAGGTGGAATGAGTACTCTTACAATCATACTATCCTCTCAGCTAGAAATAGTTTCTCGTCTTCTTCGTGGTCAGGAGCCTCCTTGTGCCCACACCACTCGCTTGTCTCGTTTCCCTCGACTGTGAACTCCTGCTGCCGTTGACCTGTGCCTGGGACCGCGCCTTATCCTCGAAGGAATCGCCGTCTTTCTGAGGACTACCAATATCGCTCAAAAATGTCAAGTCAACTATTGGGGTCCCAGCGGGGATCTGCGACAGTCGAGGCTCCTGACTCTGCGAGAGCTTGATGCTGGGCTGACTAGAAGGCGGAAGCTCCGGACTGCTCTGCGGGCTTGAACTTTTGACCTTTTCCGCATTCCGAAGAGACTTCCTTGTCGGTGGAGGAGCCACTTTCTTTGACCTTGAACGCGTGGTACTAACACGACCACGTTGGCTTGAAGTCAACTCCTGTAGCGATGGAAGATCGTCATCGCTGCTGTCCCCGCTATCGTCATGGTATGAGGAATCGTGTCCATCGTGACCAAGTCCTCCTAAAAAAGAGGCCTGTCCGGCAGGTTCCTCTCGTGACTGAGACTGTGGCACTTCAGTCTCCAGAGAAGCCACTGACTGCTGGGATGGGCCAGCGTCCTCGATATCTTCTTCGTCTTCGTCTTCGTCTTCGTCTTCTACGACATCAGCTTCCTCGTCGTCTTCGCTTGCGTCATCGCTGTCCTGGGCATCTTCATCGTCCTCTGCCGCCTCGTCATCGCTTGCTTTGTCGTCCTCTTGTTGATTAGCGCCGACTGCGTCATATTCTGCAATCTCACTTTCAGGCTTTTCCTGCTCAGAGATAGTGAAAGACAACTCCACAGCCGGACCAGGAGAAATTTTCTGCGCATCCTGATGAGAGCTGCTGTTAGTCGTTCGAACAGCTTCTGAGGAATTGATATCCATCTGAGAAATATGTGGATACTCGACCGTTTCTTGAGTATGGATGAACGGAGAAGAAGCCGTTGGCGGATCAGAGTCAAGAGTTGCGTTGACTTCATCTGCATTGTTGAAGGGAACCTCGTCGCCCAATTCCGAGGATGGCTGATCGTCCGACGGCACAAAGTTGATGCGAGGGGACTTCTTCCGGAATCGGTGCGCATACTCGTCTTGAAGTTGGCTCGAATCATCCGTTTGGCTGACCGAATGTCGAGCCTGTGTCGCGTCTTTTGTGATGGGCTGGAGCAACTGTTCGTCCAAAGTAGACTCAAAGCCGGCCTCTTTGATGATTGCGGTTATTTCTTGTCTGCGTGGGGTGTCTATCTCTTCGATGGTGATATTTGGTTTTGAGGTTGATTGCGTGTCGATATCTTGCTCAGCGGACTCAGGTATAAAAGCAAACTGGTCACTGATCGAAGAAGGATGACCGTCACCACCACGTAGTCCTGGTCCGTTTGTATGGCTACTCTCGGGTACCTCGACTGAGGACGCCTTAACAAGCTTTCCAGATATCATATTTGAGATCTGGATCTCGCGTCTGCCGTCGTCCATTTGATCGGCGAAATCATCTGCCAGCTCGAAGCCGTGTGTCTTTGAGCCAGGTTCTTCATCCTGGGTCGCGCTGGAGGCCGGCTTCAAACAGCTAGCATCTAGTTTGAGATGTATGGTACCGTCTGGGTCTCTCTGCGATACTTCTCCAACTCGATACGTAGAGATCTCAGGTTGCCAATTTGTTGTGGCATCCACATGCAGTTCTTTGTAAGCAATGATCGCACCAGGAAGAACGTGCTCCTGATCCAGGGGCTGCAAAGCCTCGAAATCTGAAGGCATCTGGATGCCTTTTGACACTCCATTTTCAGGCTTTGAGGCGCCTGTGCCATTGGTAGATGTCTTTGTTGGTTCATCGTCATAGTTGAGCGCATCCGGCACATAGGCTTCTTCGTCGTTGCCTCCGGACCCGTTATTCTTGTACTGATAGAAATGCTCCTGGGCGCGCAACTTTCGTTTCTTGTTGTTCCCACCGTTTGGTCGCTTCATCCATCCTTGCTGGAACGGGAATGGCGGAGGGTCCAGCACGCCCCCATCACCTTCACATTCAACGGCGGCAATAATCAATTTGTCTTTCCAAGAATCGTCGTTCTCAGCAGTATTCTGTACTTGCGGCAAGGCTGGTGTGATACCATTGGCAGGACCGGAAAGCTGCTTGACTGGCCGAGTCGGCCTGGACAGCTTTTCCCTCAACGCTCGTTCAGCCTCCTTAGTTTTAGGAGTACGCAAACCTAGTGAGGAGAACAGCATTCTTCTAGAGCTTGCCAAATCCAGCCGAGCTCTTTTTGGTGCAGCATCTGCGACGATCTCTGGTTTATTAAACTGCGCCGGTTGGGGCAGCGTAGCTGATGATGTGACAATTGGGTCTGTGGTCAGCTCTGAAGTACGCTCAGCTTTGTCCCTGACTTTGACTTGACTGGCGCCGTGGACTTGCTCATCAGCCATCGCCACGTCCTCAGTTGGAGGCTGAGCCTTCTCCTCCGTAGGCACATGTCCTCCTTGCGGAGCCATGGTCTCTAGCTCTGCTCCAATCGACTTGTCCTCGAGGAGTTTCTCATAATCAGCCAGCGCTTTGAAGTCAGCGTCTTCGGGAAGTAACCCTTCCGCCTTTAGTATATTTAGCCGTTTCTTCTTCTTCATCCTCGCATTGTTAGTGCGAGTTCTGCTTAAGCCTTGGCCCGGAGCGGTGGTGGGACGCTTTTGAGCGAGTTGTATGGGTTGGAAGGCGGTCGTCGCCGCGGGTAGATTTGTCTTGGAAGCCCTCCCTTGAGTTTGGCCACCCTTCTTTTCGCTTTCGGCCTCTGATTCAGATTCCTCCGACTCCGACTCCGAATCTGAATCGTCGTCTTCTGAGTCTGAATCCGAATCCGAGTCAGTGGTGCTATCAGACTCTGACCTGGGGCTCGATGTTTCGCTCTTGTCGACTTCTCCTGGCTGGTCGTGCTTCGTCAACTCTGTTGTCAAAACAGAACCATCATCTTCTTCAGAGTTGCTGGCATCGTCGTCCTCGAGACCATTGATGAGAGCCAATGCTCGCTCCTTCGCTTGCTCCACAGCAATGTCGTTCATCAAGCTGTCAGCCTCTGACTCCTGAGACGAACTCTCCGAGTCCGATGTAGCATCCGAATTGGACTCCGCCTCATCCTGAGTGTCACTCTGAAAGCTCTTTCTCACATCTTGACTCGCGGCAGTCTCCGTTAGACTATCGACGTCTGATTCGCTCGACGAAGTGTCAGATCCAGAAGTAGACATGAGGCTTGAGTCGTCCTCATCTTCATTATCATCAACAAGATTTGCCGCTGCCTTCTCAGCCTGCCGGGCAGCAATCTCATCCATGAAGCTATCCGCGTCAGGTTCATCATCCCCTTCCTCTTGGTCGGCCATTGAATCGATAACGTAGGAGTCTCCTGGACTCTTGCCCGGCGTGGAGAATCCTTCAAACATGTCATCATCATACCGTTCTCCCTCGTCGTTAATGTCTCGCTTCCTCTTGAGCTTTTTCTTCAGCACTGTGTGAGCCTCATAACTGCTGCCAGCGTTCGTGACGTCGGCAGCATCCTTCAGCAAGAGTTTTACTTCCTCTGACAAGTCGTCATTATCTGTGAGAAGCCCCTCATCACGCTCTTCAACATTCTGGCCGTCTGACTCCAGTGCACCATCAGACTGAACATCAGCATCGTCGAACTCCTCCCTAACAGCGATCTGCGACCTGCCCTCATCATCATCATCATCATCATCATCATCATCCTCTTCTTCTTGATGTTCACCAACATAGTCCTCATCCTCTTCTTCATTTTCATCCCATTCCTCGTCATCGCCCGTGAACGGAACCAACATGTGAGTGTAGTCCTGGTGGCCTGGCGGCATAATCAGCCTCCCCTCCTGCACACCTTGTTCTTCTTCATCTTCCTCTGGCGCAAGCAACCTCCTCCTCTTCCTCGGTGGTATCACCACTCCGGGCCTACTTGCTGTTCTAAGCCATCTCTTCCCAAAGGCGACTCCATCCATCAAATGCCGTCCGTCACCGGTGATCTGGTGCCTCCCACCTAACCTCCTCATCCTGAGCTCTTCCGAACCCAGTGGCTTTATGGTAACTGCATCGTCCTCTTTCAACACAGACTCGCAAGTCTGGTAGTGTAGACACTCGTAACCACGCTCGAGAGGTCGCGCACCGACTTCGACGACATAATCTTCAAGTCCCCACTCCCCGTCCGCCGACTCGAGTGGCACGACCTCATTCACGTCACTCAGCAGGTCGGCAATGGTACTATCTTTCGATCGTGTCTGTGAGGAGGGTCCGGTGCCGGTCGTGTATATGATTTGCACAGGCGGGAGCGCGTTTCGCTGGATGTGAAGGTGCAAGCGCATCCTGCTTCTGCTGTAGCTGATCCTCACCGCCGGACCGAAGAGGAGAATTGTTGGCAACGAGAACAACTGTCACATCAAATCTGGGGTACGGTATCGCATGCAGGAAATAATTGGAGGTCGTGCACGGATGTTTGAACTTTCATTCGCAGAAAAGCGCCGGCAGAGTCGCAGGGGTCACGTCCTTAACGCGAGTCACGGTGGTGGGCCAATTAACTTGTCAATGTCAAGGGTGGCCGGAGCCTTGCACACTGGCAGCCTTGTTAAGCTTGGCAACGACGGAGTAAAGACAAGTAGAACCCACCTTAGGCCCAAGAGGCATGCAAGTCGCAGGCTGTCAGACACCCATCAAGGGCTAGGAATTGTCGATAGGTAAACTGCTGAGAGGTCACTTTGACATCACCCAACCCTGCCGCTGACCCCCAAAACAAGCACCCGCATCTACTGCGTGCTGGGTACCATGTACAAATAATCCAACAAGTGTGAGCAAGTATGAATCACAAAGGACGAGATGTCTTTAGCGGAATCCCCTTTAGCTGCGCCGAAAGCTCTTAGGCAGGGAACCTCGAGGACGCACAACCGACGCACACCTATAGGTACAATGCAAAAGAGAAATCGAATTGACGCGTGACTGGGAAAAGAAATTATATACCTGAGCATCTATTGATGTTGGCTGATGGAAATAAAGGCGGTCAGTCGAATCGGGCAGCTGAAATTATTATAAGAGGTAACATGGCTGCAGTAAGTTAGTTCTTGTGCCCGGTACGGTACAGAGTGGAACGGAGCCTGACAACCTGGTCGGGGTGCTTGTCGTGTCGCAAGGCAAGGCATTCCTTCATCATCGAGATCAGCTGGTGCTAGTACGGATAGTCAAGATTGTGTTAGGAACAGGTAGGTTACTAAGGTATGAAAACACCCCCATCCGAAGCACCCTCTCACACTCCGGTACAGTCCATTAAAGCAGAAGCTCAAGAACTAGCAAGCATATCCGACACCCCATCAATAAAGCACATCAGCATACCACCACATTAACAGGAGTCTCAGTCACAGTGACAGTAACCGTCTTCTCAGCACCACCGACGGGCTTACGTTGAAACGACTTTTCTACCTTAATCGGAGTCTCAGTGACAGTAACCGTCTTCCCAGTAGAACCACCGGCATCACCGACAGGCTTACGGTGAAACGACTTTTCCACACCGCTCTTGGCCAATTTCTCCATAGCCTCGGACGCCAGAGTGACCGTGGCAAGGCGCTCGACCACAGGGGCGATCTGGCATCCCGCGGTCTCCCCGGACATATACTGGTAGCTGGTCTCGGCGATGGGCTGCTCCAGATGGTGCGAGAGGGCGTGCCCGACCATAGTCTCATTAGGGGAGATCAACCCATGCAGCTCCGAGGCCTGCGTATCCACGCCGTGCATCATGCCATGTATGAAATCTGCCGGGTTGGCGACAAAGGCATGCGCTTCGCCCGCGAGACTTGGGTCGACGAGGTTGGCCGTGCCCTGCAGGCCGTAGGAGGCAGTTTCGTCCGCGGCGATGAAGCCGACTTCTTCGAGCCCGTACATCAGACCCAGCGTGAGGGAGTATATGACCACGTTGATGGCTAGCGGGACGAGTTTGTCGCTCTTCTTGGGTTTCGGGAGAGGCATGCCGTGCGCTCGCATGGCCTCGACGACGTGGTGGTACTTTTTCTTCGCGACGGCGCGTTGGCGCAGGCCGAGGAACAATCCGAAGCCTGTGCCGCCGCAAGTGGGAATGAGGAGAAAGCTGCAGAAGACGATTTTCACGCCCGTGGAGAAGATGCGGCGTCTTTTGAAGACTTCGCGTTTGGCGAGCTCGTGGTAGGTTCCTTGTTTGCCATAGCCATGGACTCGTTCTTTGTAGGCTTCTTCGTTGAAGTGGAAGATTTCCTTGATTGCCATCTTGCGACTGATCGAGGTCACCTCGAGAGGTGTTATGAGGCTCACTAGATAAAATGTTTGGCACAAATGTGATAGATCTCCTTCCCAAAGTTGACGGCGATCAGACTCCTGCTCTTGGGTTGATCGGAGAGCTGAACTCCTGGTGATAGAAACACATTGCCTTCATTTTGTACGCCCATTCCAGCGCGCTGGCTCGCGGGTTGAGCGCATTGTTGGATCAGGCTGTGAGAATCGAAGCGACCCTCCCCCGGACGGGACGGTGTCTCAGCCATGGGAGGTGGGCAGGTTCATCCGGTCGAAAATGCTTATTACCATCAAGCTCTCCTTCGTCTTATTTGACAGGGGCAGCATCAGCTCGCTTGAGGCGTTCGATAGCGCGGTCTGTTTCCGAAGCCACGTTTTCCTGAGTACAGCCTTATCCCATGATACGACTTCAAGGCCTGTTTGGACGGAATCGCAAGGTGAAGAGTCCTCGAGCGTACTCGGAACATTCAGACACTGTCCTAAATATGGCCGCGCTGTGTACTCTCACGATGGCCACAATGGCAGACGTGAGTAGATGAAATCCTTTCTTGTAGTTTTTGTCGACGGTAAGGCTGGGGAAGAACACTAGTAAGGGAGCAGGTCAGCTGCATATAGCTGCTAGCCTCGATCGTCACTTAGCGCGTCATTCTTCGCTGGTGCAGTCCCCCTTTTGACCTTCAGAACACTCCATCACAAGTAGTACAAGTAGTTACCCTTGTACGCAGCTGCTAAAAGCCTCCCATTTCAGGTGGGCACGCACACATGGGCCTGTCAACTCGCTCAACTCGGTCTGGGCCCTTGCAGTTGTTTGCATTTGGGTTTCGTGGCTTTTCTGGACAATCTGTGGCTCCTTTTTTGGATCAAGGGTCCTCTATTCCGTGGCACCACGCCTACGGCCCTGACAACCTCCTGATCTCGCCTCCACTCAGCGATGCCATGGGCTTTGGCAGCCGCGCCCATCCCATTTAGTGCTATCGCATCTGTTATCAGTGCAAGTGACATCAGAATGCAGCAATCAGCATCGCTGCTTAGGGTATGTATTCAATCATTCCTCAAACTCCCTATCCCCTTCACCCTCACCCATCGTAGCCACTGTGGACTGCCCGCCAGTGGCCTGAATCCTTGCCTCCTGCTTCCGATACAAGCTGGCAAGAAACTCCGAGGTGCTCGCTTCCTCGATACCCTTGTCCTCTCTGACCTTCAAAAAGCGAGGAAACCGCATACTTAGCCCACGATCTTCGTTGACCAGTCCAATCGCAGCAGTATACGTCGGACTGAGCGTAATGTCTGCGAACGCCATCTCCCAGACCTCTTGTGGCTCGAACCACACGTCTGGCTCGTATGCACTGTATTCGATATAGCTCGGCTTCGAGCCCAACACATTGTCGCCGCCCTCGGCATATTTCTCCTTATTGGCCTGATAGAATTTGTCCGTGAAACCTGAGATGCATTTCGTGACCACCTCCAGCGAGCCATTCTCCGGGTTACGACATGCAAGCAGAATGGGCGACCACCACTTAGCTTTGCGACCTTGACCGTGCCAACCTGCGACAGGAATGAGATCGATCGTATCCGCCGATGTGGCGTAGTCCTTTTTGACCTTCAACCACGAGTCGAGGCGTTTATCCGGTTCGTAAGTCGATAAGAGAGCTTTCCGGCGAGTGCCTTTCTCCTTCTCCTGTTCTTTTTCAACTTGGGATTTTCTGGCTGATTTCTTGTCTTTCTTGCTCGGTGTCACCGGCGCCGGAGTAAGTGCCTCGTCTTTGTCGGCCTGCTCTGGCTCACCTGGACCAACAAGATCTGGATTGGGTACGTTGTCGAGGACTTTGACCATGATCCCTTCACATTTGATGTCCGTAGCGGATTTGAAAAACTCAAGAACAACGTCGGAATCAGCTGATGTCGCGTCGATACTTTTCACCCAGGTAAAGTGATGTTCCTTCTCCACGAACATGCTGCGAAGTAATCCACGGCGCTCACGGAATGGACGGTCGAGTAATTGCTCGCCATTGAGGTACATAAGATCAAAAGCGAACAGGCAAACATCAATTTGGATAGTGCCAATGTCGACATCCTTCTTGGCTCGGTTTGTAAGGGTCTGAAACGTTCGTAGTTCTCCAGTGTTTCGATCCACAGCGACAACTTCTCCTTCCAGGATGAAGCTTGATACTCCATCACCTCGTATCTCGGGAACAAGAGCCACGAGATCAGGATATTTGTCTGTCATGACCTCGAGGTGACGGGAGAAGATTGAAACTTTACCACGTTCGTCACAGTGAACCTGGGCTCGCTGACCATCGTACTTGTACTCGCAGCTAAAGTCTCGACCTTGGAGTTTGGTGAGCATCTCGCTCAAATCGCGAGTAATGCTGCCCAACATGGGGCGGAGAGGTATGTGTAGCGCCAGGTCACAACGCAAGAGCAGCTCATCCGACACGCCAACTTCGAGAAGCCCGGGTACAAGATCGTTGTAGTTCGGCCGTCGAGCAAAGCAGGTTTTGACAACTTCTTCGGCTTTGGACCATACGATGGCCAACTCTTCCTTCTTGAGCTTAGCAAGCTGGGCTGCTTCCCTAACCGGGAAGTCGGCTCCTTCTGGACGCGAAAGCTGGAATGCTCGTCCAAGCGCAATGAGCATGGTCGTCTTCACAGCACCAATTCTGAGATGCTGGACCAGCGTCCTCACTATATACCGACTCTCCTCCGGCCCTCGAGCATCTTGAAGGAGGCGGTCGACCAGTCTTTGTTTTTGCTCAACGCTACCTTGACCTTTACTGTTTGCGATCTTGACCAATGTTTGATAGGCACTCTTAATGGTCAAAGGCTTCGGCTTCCGCAAAGTAAAACTTTGTTTCTTTTTGGCTTCGAATGCGACATCTCCTGCATCTCCGTGCTTGTCATAGAGACTTTTCAGCCCTGAACCATCAAGTCCGCATACTTTCTTCAGTGCTTTTGAGATTGCGGAACCACCCAGACCCAGCTCTTGGGAAATATAGGGTGGTGCTATGGAGTTTGTAGCCAGCCATACGGCTGGAAGCAGACTGTCTGGGTCGGCTTCAATGATGAGTCTGAGGCAGTTCACGAGTGTGTCAACAATCTTGATCCGACTCTGGGTAGAGTTCACCAAGACAAAACACCTTGTCAACAGAGCATAAGATGCATCGCCACCGTCGGCAGCCCAGTGTTTCTTCAATTCTGAAACGTATTGCGTAGGATCAAATGTCAAGGGACTCTGATCGAATGGCACTGTCAACGTGGTCTTGTCTTCCTCTGACGCAGTAGACTGCAGCCCTAATAATCCCTTCTTGGTTCCATCCGACGAAGGTTGCGGCTCGGGGGTAGGATGATCGAGCGCCGCTGCAACAAATTCCTCCCTGTCCTCGCTCGCCTTGTGTTCTCTGTCTTCGGCAGCTGTTCGAGTCTCTTCTTCCTCAGTGTTGTCCCTTTTACCAGTTTGTTGTCCGTCTTCTCTTGTCCATTCTTCCTGTAGCTTCCAGGCCAGCTCTTCGTCTGTCAGGGCGTGCTCTGAGCTTGACCGATCGGCGTCGGCTGCTGCTGTGCTTGTGGGGTCTCTATTTTGCGTCGAGTGACCATTGACTCCGTCCGGCTGGTTTTGTTTGCGAAAGAAGAAGTCGAGATTGCGATGTGCGACTGGTGCAGGCCTCGAGTCGTTCTTCTTTCGTCTCTTGGAAGGGCTATTCATATTCAGCACCAGCAATGTCGCCAGTGCGGCACCTATCGGATCATCTGTCAAGCATGTTGAGTTCTAGACAGGTGCATTTTCATGTGAATGCGAGTGAAGTTTAAGCGTCATCGGTTCGAGACGATCGTGTCTCGTGTCTGCATCTCCAACTACAATGACGCGTCTGGCGAAAATGCGGAGGACACTTGACATTGACACTTTTATTTCTACCGGTCCTTTTGCGCAGACACTCTTCTAGCTTAGAGACGACCACTCGCAAACTTCCTGCAAACATGGCCGAGTTGAGGGCGTCGAGGACCGCTGATATCCACACGAGAGTCGAGGACTATCTCAATGACAAGATACAAAGTGCCGCTGATTTGGATCAAGTAGACAGCCTGCTACTACGAGTCCACGAGCAGCAGGGCCTATTGAGGCAGCAGGTAAAGTGTCCCTGTCAGATAATGTCCATATTTTCTGACATTGCCGTAGCTTGAAGATGCCCGCAAAGCCCACCGAGAGGTGCAGGCTCGTGTCGAACAACGATCCCAAGAACTGACCTCGAGAGCCGAAGCTTTCCACCTTCAGAAAGCCGACGTGGATCGACGACTGCAATCGATAGCCCAGACAAATATCAGCGATGACGCTACGAGCAGAATCGAGGCACGCATGGGCAAAGTGCGCAATCTGGAGATTGCTCAAGGATACCTCGATCTGGTCCGGCGAATGAACACATTGAGCGATCAAGTAAAGGACAACCTACATTCTCAACCAGGTGCATCAGTACAAGCCCATATCGAGTTGAGAAGCTTGTTAAAGAAGGTACAAGATGCGCAGGGGGCTGCAGAGGGAGCCGCACCGCAGCTGGTGTACACTTTGGAGCGACAAAGTAAGGACATTTACAACGGAATCACGAAGGCATTGGAGGGAGATCTTCAAAGGACTCTTGAAGAAATGAAATGGCCCAGTAAAGAATTGAATCTCCTCAGCAACGTCTGTGAAAAATGGAGCACACAGGTCAGATTATTACTCGAGCTGCAAGATCCGGATTTGATAGCAGCATTTGCCGACAGGGACACTTCGAATCCCTCTCCTGCCGCTGAACCCGTGGTGCTGCTCCCTCTCGAGGTCATGGTACAGCCTCTAGCTGCAAGATTTCGCTATCACTTCTATGGAGAAAGGCCGACCAACAGACTCGACAAGCCCGAATACTTTCTCAATCATATCCTCGATCTCCTCGACAGGCACAGTGGTTTCATGTCTGATATGCTTGACCCGATCCTGGACGAGCGGGCGGCGACTTTCGAATCCTTGGAGGTTATCTACACAGATGCTGTGTCTACCTTTATAACCGCACTGTTGCCGATGATCCTTGCCAAATGCCTATCCTTCTTGCCCCAGATATCTCAACAACCACAACTTCTGTCCCATTTTATACACGAACTAATGGCGTTTGACACTGCGATCCGCGACACCTGGGGTTATGTTCCTATTCCTCGGATGTTGGCGGACTGGAGAGGAGTAACCTGGATAATTCTGAATACACATGGCTACTTTGGGCCGTGGTTGGCAGTAGAAAAGGACTTTGCCCTTTCTCGCTATAAAACTATTCGGGACGCTCCAGATAGCGGGGATATCGACTTTGATGCCGACTCGACTCAGACCAAGCCTACCAAGGGAGCCATCAGGGTCAATGACTTGCTCGAGACAATCACCGACCGCTATCGGGGTCTTTCATCCTTCAGTCAGAAGATGAGATTTCTTTTGGACATTCAGCTGTCAATCTTCGATGACTATCACAATCATCTGCACGGAGCACTCCAAGCATACCTTGTTTCCTCCCACACCGCGGGTCGGCTCCTCCACGGCCAATCTGAAGCCGACGCTTTCGGCTTGAAGGGTCTAGAGTCTTTGACCAAGATTTATGGAAGTGCTGAATTCCTTGAACGCAAGATGTCCGACTGGAGCGACGACGTCTTCTTCCTAGAGCTATGGGACGAGCTGCAGTACCGCGCCAAGGCTAACAGCAGTGGCAACGCCTCTGTCGGGACAGATCTCAGAGTAGACGAAGTTGCATCCAAGACTTCTGACACTATCAGATCAAATGGGCCGGATAGTGATGCAGATGCCGATGATGGTGGACTCTTCGACCAAACGGCTTTGGCATACCGGCGGCTACGGGACCGTAGTGAGGAAGAAATCCTTCGAGCTTTCGACGTGAACCTGCGAGCTGCCATCGACCCGTACGCGAAGTACGCTCAATGGTCGTCCCTTGCTGCAACGCCTTCTGATTCTGCGTCAATGAGTCCCTCGCCCAGCCTTGATGGATTCTTCCAGACTACATCAGTACTCCTTGGCTTTCTTGCTGACACGCTCGCACCGGGATCTTTGCGTCGCATCACAAGGCGTTATTGTGCCTCGGTCCAGCGGAGAATCTTTGATAATGTCTTGATGTATCACACTTTCTCGGCGGCCGGAGCAAATCAACTCAAACGAGATCTGTCAGCGATTGAGGAAAGTATAGAAAGGAGCACCAAGCTGCGAGGAGTCGTTGGAGGAAGCATGAAGCGTCTGGAAGATGCGGTATTCCTTCTTTCCCTTGATGCTGCCACAACTGCAAATGCCAGCATCGAGGATGGAGATGAAGACGGATGGGGCTTTGATGAGGAAGAGGCAGGCCCGCCAACAGAAAATGCTCCCGCTGTCTCTGCTGGGAATGACTTTGTCGAGAAGGAGTGGGGTTTGTGGGATGCAGAAAAGCTCATTTTTGAGAGCAATGAAGCGGCGCGAAAAGCGCTGGCAGATATGGGATTGTATCATTTGAGCGAGGCCGAAGCGAGGAACGTCTTAAAGCGAAGAGTTGAGCTCAATGGTTGATACTATCTACAGGTCCCAGTAAAAGATGGATACTGTACTGAGCGCATATTAGGGGCACGTCAACCTCAATACTATGATCATAGGCAGTTGACCATTCATCCGCTGCCTTCAAAACATATGCAGCCACAAAGACTGCAAGTGGATATCACTATCACTATCACTGACAAACCCCTTGAATTCATCGATTTCTTCGACCCGGGATCTTGATGAGTCGTTGGACGAGGGAGAGTGTATTCAAGTCGGCCAATCCACCTACTTGCGCAGCGTCTCCTTCTTCACCGGATGGTGAGAGATCATGCCAGCACCAGACGAACTGAAGGCTGGAAGTAGAATTGCCTGACTGATAGTATGATCCTGACTGGCTCCTAGCACTTGAGAGGGGACCTGCTCGTAGGTTTCGTCCCATGCAGCTTGCCTAGAAGTGATGCCGCGCTTGGCTCTGAGAGCTCGAACGTATTGAAGGCGCGTTTCCAGGTCTTCAGGTTCGTAGCCAAGAGGCGTAGTCTTCGGTTTCGGAGCATTTGGGTCGACCGACGTTCGAAAGCCTACACCCATTCGTGGAGAGTATAAGATGCTGGATACTAAGGTATACCATATCCTCTGACCAGCTCTGTACATGAAGTACTCATCGCTTGTGAGGCAGTATAGTAGATAATGGTGGTGCGCTACTTCTTCTCCTTCTGCGCTTTCTTTGAGATTTTCGCCACCATTGCCTCGGCGAGTTTCTGGCCATTGAAGTCGTGCTTAAACTTCAGATGTTGATTGTAAGCATCTGCGACAGTCCATACCTCATTGCATAGCTCGCAAGTCACCGCTTCAGGCAATTTCGGAAGCCCCTTGTGCTCCTCTAGCAAGTGAAAGTCTCCAATCTGTTACGTTTAGGACCACCTTCTCGCTGGGACAAGTATCATCCCTAAGTGCCCAGAGGGGGAGTTAGCTCAGGCCTTGTGAATAGATTGTCTTGGGATTGGCGGCTGGGTTCTTGATCTTCAATATTAGTAGTATCAAGAACATCTTCCTCATTTGGCCCATGAGTCCTACCGGTCATGCCGTAGTTGACAGAGCTTCGTCGAGATCGTTCAGCAGCGGCGGGAGGGCGGTAAGTATCAAGCGTGCGTGGCCATACTGGTTTGCAAATTGCTCGGTGCGAGGAGTAATGTCCCTTTGTTTTAGTCTCTGAACATACTGCCTTCGCCGCTCTAGAGCAGATACATCGTGGTATCTGGTGGTATCCCTCTCTGGGCCTGGACATTCTGGATCTGCCGACATATAATAGCCTTTGGCCTGGACAACGCCGTACCTGAGAAGATGATCTGGTGCCTGTGCCTTAGTGCGGGGAGGCTCTGAGGCGAGTATCCGCGGATCGATGGGGATTACCGAAGAGTGAATTCAGGCTGAAGATGTGAGTCATCAACCATGAATGAAGACAAAAGTGCGCATAGCCCTCACAGCCGCACAAGGCAAGGTATCACAGAAAACGTGAATGGTTTGCCTTCAAGAAACACTCCAGATTTCATTAGACTGCTACTGGTATCAACTCCATTTACTCTGATCAATATGGGTCTCGACGGACGGCCATTTACCACGCTGCAGAGTGTCATCTTGACTAGCGGCCCTTTCCTATTCCTTTGGAGCACACTGCGAGGCTACGTCGAGCGCCACGGTCCTTTCTCTCTTGCGAAGTCAACCACCCGCTTCAACAGCCAGATATATTCGCTGTGTTCTCTGGGCCTGGCATTGCTCATTCTTAACGACGTCTTCCACTTCCAAGAGTATGAGAATATCAAAGGCTCCCATCTGGCCTACATCTATCATCTATCCAAGTTCTACGAGTACATTGATGTTTTCAACCTGGTTGCCAATGGACAGTCCATCGGACCTCATATGGCGTTCCACCACATCACAACACCATTCTTGACGTATTTCCGAGTCCTTAATGCCTCGGACTGGCAATTGTTTGCCTTCTTGAATTGCTTTCATCATTTCTGGATGTATGCCTACTTTGGTGGATTGTCTGCGTTCAGATCAATACTCCCAATTACTGGATGGGTCCAGCTCGTAGGCGGAATTGCTCTCGATGTGTTCTATTTAGCAAGCAATGGCTGGGAAGGCCCCGAATCTTTCAACAGGTCGGCCGCTGTCGTGCTTTTGACGGGATATTCATTGTTGTTCTACCGAGAACTCCGTGCAGGGAGTCAGCAGAAATCAAAGATGCTGAAGAAGAAAGAATGAATGCATGTTGTTTTCGACATCCACGACGGGACCAATTCCACCAAACTAATTGGCAACGTTTATCAACATCGACTTGACGCTCAGATACTCCTCGATACCCTGCCGTCCGCCTTCTCGGCCATAGCCACTCTCCTTCACACCACCGAATGGACTCTCACAGGCACTCAACAAGCCGAGATTGACGCCCACCATACCGACCTCCAAGGCCTCAGTGACCCGGAAGGCTCTGGCCATGTTCTCGGTGATGATAAAGCTTCCCAAGCCGACATCGCAATCATTCGCCATATCCACGACTTGTTCCTCAGTGTCAAACTCATACAGACCGACCACCGGAGCAAAAGTTTCTTCACGAGTCGTTATCATTTCTGGTTTCATATGTTTGATGACGGTTGGCTGGAGGAAATATCCCTTCATACCCTCCATGGGTCCTCCTCCCAAGACGACTTGACCGCCATGTTTTTTAGCATCTACTCGACGTCAGTCAACATCAGAAGACACGTGGCTTTTCCTCCAGTACTCACCATTGATATGGTTCATGGCCTTCTCAACTGCACGCTCATGCGTCAACGGCCCTACGAACACTCCTTCTTCCGTGCCTGGGCCGACCTTCAACGTCTTGATCTTCTCGGTCAGTGCCTCGGCAAATTTGTCGTAAATCCCTTTCTGCACAAAGATGCGGTTCGCCGTCACGCAAGTCTGTCCCGAGTTTCTGAACTTGGCCAGAATACAGGCTTCAATCGCAGTCTCAATCTTCGCATCCGAAAATATAATCAGGGGCGAATTTCCACCAAGCTCGAGCGACAGTTTCTTGAGGCTGTCACTGCATTGTTTCGCAAGGATCTTGCCAACACGAGTGCTGCCCGTGAAGCTCAATTTGCGGACGAGCTTGTTCTTACACAGCGCCTCGCCGACTTCGTTGACAAGGTTGAGTGTCGTGATCACGTTGAACGAGCCCTTGGGCAAGCCAGCTTCGCGCGCGAGAACCGCCTGGGCAAGACAGCTAAGAGGCGTCTCACCAGCCGGTTTCCAGACGGTAGTGCACCCTGCTGCAAGTGCCGCACCGACCTTGCGCGTGATCATGGCGATGGGGAAGTTCCATGGAGCCAGGCATGCCGCAACACCGATGGGCTGCTTGAACGTCAAGATGCGCTGGTTGAGGTTCGCGGGAGGAACGACCTCGCCGTGAGTACGCTCAGCTTCACCGGCGAACCACTCCAGGAAGGAGGCAGCATAGGTCACCTCCCCTTTGGCTTCAGTCAGAGTTTTGCCATTCTCCAGGGTCAGAATCAATGCGAGGTCGTCAGCATGTTCGAGGCACAAGTCGCTCCACTTGCGCAGCCAGCGAGCTCTTTGGCGGGCACTGGATTTCTTGAATGTCTTGAAGGCTGCGTGGGCGGATTCGATGGCTTTATTAGTGTCTTCGGCGCCCATTTCGGGGAGCGTGGCAATCTTGTCGAGGGTGGCTGGATCGTAGACGTCGAACGTCTTGCCAGACACGGCGTCGACCCATTCTTCGTTGATGTAGCCTTTGGTTTGGAATAGATCTTTGCGTTTGAGATCGTTCAAGGTTTTCGGCGCCATGGTGTCTGTCCAGGGAGGAGTTCTGCTCTTTTAATGATGTCTTACAGCGACACAGCTTGATAAATTGCGAACAACCCACAAGCACGACAATGATATAGGTTGTCAAACCCCACATCATGGGCGTTGGAGATGCACAAGACCATTTGCGGGGACTTGTCGGAGGCATACAGGAAATTCCTCACGGCCGATTGAGGACAGTAACTTGCCTAGGACTCGGCGAATCATCCGAGGGACTGATGGGATTCATGTTGGAGTAACCGACCATCATCGATTGAGGTATCGCCTCTGTCGGCTCTGGTGGCTGCAAGTATCCTGAGGCTGAGCGATTGTTAGTACACTGCAAGGCTGCTATCTGCCTCCTTATCTGGGGAGAGTTCAACGGGCTCCAACTTCCTTCCACTGAGCAGTCCATCAGCGATCTATACTTCCATGTTGCGGTGGAATTTCTAGAGGGGCCTGAGTCCAACTACTATTGAGCATGAAAAGCGTAAAAGGGGCAGCGTGGTGGCGACAATCATAATGGCGATCGATTTATTTGGAAGAATCCCTCGTATTTGAGCCGTAATGGGCGTCGATAGCCCGACTGGCGTGGTTAAATTGACTGATGCCGTAAGAGTCTGGGCCACATCTCCGGGGGGCCAATTTCGATTGTACGAGGCGTCGGCGCGATAAGGAAAAGAGACTTGGGCAACGTTGCAAACACAGTTGTCTCGAGGAACCTCGCAAATGTTGTTGGTCTGTGGTGGCACTCGAGAAGTCATTATTATTCATTGTTGTCAACTGTCTATCTAGCTGCATGGCATGCATGTGATCTGTAGACAGGGATGCTGGGAAGCTGGATTTCCGGGGCTGGTCCCCTGTATGAGTGTATCCTTACATACCTACTCCGTACTTGTAGTGCTACTCGAGCAACACCCGCTCGATGCAGCCCATCTCGATAACAATATCGGTGTTTGTGGTGCCAGAAGCTCACTTCGCCGCTGAACCAATGGTCACGATGATGCCACTTTACTTACTTACCTAGGTACCGAGAACACAGTACTTAAACAGCATCGAGCCAACCCCCTGGAACTCCCTCGAGCTCCCTGTAAGCCCACGTGGAGATTATGCTGTCCGGGCGCTAACCTCTGGAAATTCTTCCGTGCCTACGGGTGGATTCCACCACAACAGAGGGGGTCCTGCAGAGCCGCGAGCGCGCCATCATGCCCTCTGAATTTCTTCTTGGAATCTGTACCGAAGAAGTTCAGTCCAACACTAATCCTTCACTCAGCCTGGGCGTTGCACAAGGAATCCCGATCGACAACACAAGAAGACGATAGTAAGCAGGAGGTGTTTCGACGATCAAATCCTTGTGGGCACTCGGGAACAGAGGCATCCCATCCATCATCCGCCTTCGTTTCCAACATTCTAGAGCCTCCGCACTTTTCTAGGCTTGATTGGGTCCATGGCGCTCATCAGACTCCGGGAAACGCTTTGCCTGGGTGCAGCCCTCCATCACGCTTTGGCCGCAACGCCATGAATCCCCTGTGGGCTTCCATTATTCCGTCCATCCAGGCATGTTCTCAATCATAGTAACTTCTACCTAGGTATGTACTCCGTAACCCTTGGCTTACGCCGAAATTTGCTCCCTAATTTCATCCACCAGCGCCGAGCTGTCAGCTGTAACCTTTCCGATAAGCTGGCTCGTGGCGTCCAAGATTCGCCCAGACCCGATAGCCTGATCTGTGGCTTCATGCAAGTGGAAAGACAAGGCTTCAAACAGCGCCGTGGGCCAATGGCAAGGTCTAGAAACAGCCCAAAGGAGAGACATATCGCCCTTGGCCGCCTGAATGGTGTGTGTGTCGCGAGCGGGCGCAAGTTCGCTTGACTGAACTGGGCACCTGTGTAGGTAGGTAGGTACCTATAATAAGCAAGCCATGTCCTTCTGGGTCTGAGCGTCTTTGTTTTTATTGAATTTGTCCGTTTACACAGTACATCCGAATCTACCTACCTGGTAGTACTTTATAACAACAGCTCCAGCCTCTATCTGTCCTTATTTGTGCTAAGTACTGCATTTTGTCGAACTTCGAGCCAACCTTTCATATCGACATTTGGATACAATCAAAGACGCCATGGAGACCAACACCACTGCATCTGGCAATGGGCTTCAAGTCGGTATCGTCGGCGCCGGTGTCGCTGGTCTCAGTGCTGCTATCGCCCTGAGAAGGATCGGTCACAATGTCGAGGTGGGTACCACTTCCACTACACCACCACGAACCTTGCAATTGTCTCTTCAACACGACCGCCACGTCGAAACTTTGCTGAACCCATGGTATTCTAGATTTTCGAGCGCTCTCAATTCAAAAACGAAAATGGTGCCGCTGTTTCCATTCCACCAAACGGGGGTCGAATTCTTCAATATTGGGGGTTTGACGCTGTCAAAGCTGGAGGCATCGAGAACATCCAGGTAAGCTTCGGCAACCACATGCACGGGACCGCCCATTATGGGGGCGATCCAGCGTCAAAAAAATATCGTGCATGAGTGACTGATGATGCACCAGGCCCGACGACCCAAGGGTGATACTCTAGAGCCAATGGCACCAACACTTTCGTTCGCCAACGTGGAACAGCAATTCGGGAACAAATGGTACTTCTACCACCGAGTCGACATGCACCGACACCTCCGAGAAATGGCTGAAGCAGCGGGATCAATCATCAGACTCGGCACACAAGTCACGGATGTCGACCCAGAGACGGGCCTGATCTTCCTCAAAGACGGATCACACGTGCAAAAGGACCTGGTCATCGTCGCCGATGGTCAACATGTAAGTCTCCCTACCTGCCTATCAACCTTCGTGCCCTTCAGAATCCCACTTTCTGACACGTTTCCTTTTTCCTCTTTTAGGACCGCCTGAACGTCAAGATCACGGGCAAAGAAGTGCCCATGAAACGCAGCGGCCAAACAGCCTACCGCTGCCTCATTCCGATGAAGGACATCCTCGCCGATGAAGAAACCAAGCCCCTCTTCGAGAACCAAGCTCCAGGGTTCTGGGCTCCCGCTCTACCAGCCAAGGGCGTCATGGCCGTGACCTACCCGTGCCGAAACAACGAAATCCTCAACGTTCTCGCCGTGCACCGCAAACTCGGCCAACACGCGAGCAGCGCCGAAGACGAAGCCGTCATCGAAGACTGGAACTTCCCGGCCACCCACGACGACCTGGAACGCGTGCTCGACGGCTTCCACCCGAGCGTGAAAAAGGTCTTCCTCAAGTCCCCCGAGGTCAAGGTGTACACGCAGATGAAGCGCGAGCCGCTCTGCAAAATGACAAAGGGCAAGGCCGTCCTGATCGGCGACGCCTGCCATCCCATGCTGCTCACCCACGCTCAGGGCGTCAGCTCGTCCATCGAGGACGCCGCCGCGCTCGAGATCTTCCTCGCCGACGTGCATGGCGGAGACGACGCCACCAGCGCAGCAGCAGCGCCGTCGGCAAAACTGCTCCAGCGCCTCGAGCAATTCGAAAAGTTCCGCTTACCCAGAGTCTCGGCCACGCAGATCCTGACGGACCCCGTCGTGCCCGGACCGCAGGCCGCAGCCAAGTACGCGGCACAAGAGGCCGAGATCAGAAAGTACTACTCAGGACCCCTGCCGCCGACTGGAGCGATGCCGCATAGTCCACCCATCTGTCAGTTCTTCTTCGGATATGATGTGAGGAAGGAGGCCTTGGAGTATCTCGAGGCCCAGAAGGCCGAGCAGACAACGGCAACGACAACGACAACGACAACAGCAACAGCCACAGCCACACCGACGCCTACCATTCAAGTTTCTGCACCTGCGCCAACTGCAACGTCCGAAGCCGGCAATGTCGAGACCGTTACTCTCCCGGCTTCCACAGTCACTCCCAGCGAGAAACACGTCGTCGTGGAAACCTGCCCTGTGGCTCAGACCACCATGGAACAACGAATCTTCGACCTCGAGTCCAAGCTGGCCGAGATGGAGAAGAAATTGTCACATATGATGGTCCATGTGTCGACGACGGAGGTCCAACCAACGCCGCCACAGTCGCCGCCTGCGCAATTCGATGTGCAGCCACTCGTGTTTTCATCCTAATCTCGAAGTCGAACCTGAATTGCTCGAATTTCGTGCTATGCTCTTTCTGATGTGTGGATAACAATAACTTTTAAAATGATTTTTTAGCGTGTACGAAGATTGTGCTCTTTGGAAGGTTGCCTGGCGTCGAAGGAGTAAACAATGCCGGAGGGAAGGGATTTGTGAGCGCTGCAAGGCCTTGATTACGGTGGGCAGCGGAAGGGAGACTCGACAAATTTCTCGGGATTTTGTCTAGATGACCTTGTTCGTAATTGATGAATACCAAACAATGCTCTATTGCCCAGCTTTGCTCACAGCCAGCACATCCATCCACATCTTATCACCTCGCGGGCGCCGGACACCCCCTTCTTTAGCAAGCAAACCTAGACCTTCCTTACCGAACGCAAGCAATTGCTCTTCACTGCCCCACTCACCCATAGCCTGAGGAAGAGTTAGCCTAGAAGGGTATCAAAAGCCAGAGCGGTGAGCACTACCATCAGGCCGACAGGGACATCGGCGTCGGTATAGCCCATCGGGCAAGAAATAGCTGGAGTGCCTAAAAAGTTGGCTAGGTAGACATACTCCATACTTCTCAAGCTCATGTCGCCGTCGCTGACACCGTAGCCATTCGTGATGTCACTGGGCTTGCCGATTTTCCAGCCTGCACAGGGCGTGGTGGGCGTCAATACTAGTAGACCAGGATACTTCTCCCACAACCACGCCAGGTGGCACATCTGCAGGTTGCGCAGCCTCTGTGAGAAGAGAAAATCCTGCGCAGTAGCATGGCTCCCGGCAACATTGAGAAGGAGTTGATTGTGCCATGAGAGCTTTTTGATCTGCTGAGGCGAGAAATGACTGCGGGATTCCGACAGAATGGTCAATGCGTGAGCCTTCTGGCCTTCGGGGAGTAAGGGAATCTTGATGTCAACGACTTCGTAACCTTGGGTCTTGACATAGTGATCAATGGCAGCGTTGAACATGTCAAGCACGACTTGATCTGATCGATTGACCCAGTCCCGATCGATGGCAATGTATTTCTTGCCCGGAAGTCCAACAGCTTGTGAAGATTGCAACAGCGGGTTCGCGAATCCAGAACTTCGATTGGAGACAGGATCTGGTTGGGCCATGATTCGGTAGCCGAGGGCAAGGTCGTCAATGCTGCTGGCCATTGGGCCATTGACTACGACGCTGTCATTGAATTCATGATCAACCCGGGAGGAGACGCGACCGTGAGAGGGTTTGAGGCCGTAGATGCCACAGAAGGACGAGGGAAGTCGAATCGAGCCACCGCCATCTACACCGAGGCAAATGGGAGCAATACCAGAGGCCACTACAAATGCAGAACCGCCGGAGCTACCGCCCGTATAGTAACCATTGTTGTGAGGGTTCAAAGGGGTGCCCCAGGTCTGATTATTGTTGGTGGTATCTAGACCAACCTCATGCATATTCGTCTTACCAATAATTACTGCTCCCGCTTCTTGCCATTTCTGTACGCACCAGGCCGTGCGGTCTTTCGAGTCGGTAAAGTCAAGCTTGCTGCCCAATGTCTTCTTGTATCCGCTCAGATCAACCTCATCTTTCACAGCCACCGGAACACCGTCTAAGACGCTCAGAGGTTTGCCGTCTCGATATCGCCGGGTGGAGGCTTTGGCAGCTGCTCGGACGAGCTCGACCTTGGTGTCGATGAAAGCGACGGAATATGGTCCGATGGGCTTGACGTCTCGTCGAATCAGAGGTAGCAGTTGTTCCACGACATCAGATGGCGTGAGGTTGCCGGAACTGTACAACTCATGATAGTCTGCGCATGTGTAGTAATTGCTGGCAGAGGCTCGTGGAGGCGGTAACGGCAGATTCGTTAGCGAGGGTGATTCTTCAGAAGACGACGGTATGGACACGACGGTCGGATCATGGCGAGGCTCATATTCCTTGAGTATCTTGACCTCTTTGAGCTTGTCGAAGCCATTCAATTTCCAGAAGATATTCTGAATGTAGTTGGACGAGGCGATGCTTTGGAACGTCAGTCAATCGAAACCACAGCAAACACAGTTGTCCGCCATACATCGAGGAGATGATAGCCAACGTGACACCGCGCAGGACAGGATTCGAGCCTGCTTCATTCTTGTAAGGCTGGTGCGGTCCTTCTCGAGCTTGTGGTCGATTGTATGCGCTCGCGAAAACTGCCGGATTCGGCATGCTGGCAGAATGTCAGACAGGCCGCTGTAACTTCTTCAGCAACGAGACCAAGAAGTCGAAGATCTATAGCCTCGCGGGAGAGGCTCAGCAAATACTCATGGCTACTGGAATTGCTTTCAGATCCCGACCTTGTCAGATTCCGAGGTACCTGATCCTTCTAGGTAGGGAGGTGTTGGTAAGACGACGCTGATTGGCCCTTACTTGACGACAACCACCCTTAGCATACGAGATACGAGGGCCTAAGCGAGCTTGAAACATCACAATATTTGACACCTAACTCCTAACACTTTGCTGAGAATCAGATGCCTGGCTTTTCGATGAATCCATCGTGCTCATTGTTCTGTTGGAGAACGACACCACAACAAGCAGCATAGGAATTGGAAGACCTTTGGAAGACCAATGGAAGACTTCAATACTGTTTCTTCAGCTACGTCAACGACTTTGATTTCGGGCCCGAGCGGCTGACATAAATCCCATCAATCACGCTTCGTCAAAGTGAACGGCATCCAACCGCAGATGCAGGACCACCGTCTACATTGGATCGCCATTTAACCTCATAGATCCTCAATTGTGCTTCCCGGCGCCCACATGGTCGACGATCTAGCATCCGTAACAGTATCCAATGCGCAACGATTAGAGGACACGGTCTCTTAATACATATTGTCGCGAATCTCATGCACGAACCCCCAATTCAAGAGCCGAGCTCAATTCATCTGATTGTTGGTGCTCTTACGATTCTCGCAGATGGCGTCTGTTGTAGCTCCAGGTGCCGACCATCGACCCATGCACGGCCATGCCTGTATTCGATGTGCTGAACGCAAAGTCAAATGCGACCGGCGGCAACCTTGCGATGCCTGTACGAGGCACAACGCAGATTGCATCTTTCGTCCATTACCTCCGCGGAAAAAAAGGAAGCAGCTTACGAAAGAAGAGATACTCCTAAGACGAATCAAATTGTACGAATTAACACTCGAGGACAAGGGCGTAGATCCAAGAGAGTTGGACAAATCTCCAGTAGTCAGAGCACCTATGCAGAAAGAGGATCATGTCAGCACTTCGATGAGCGAAGCACCCCAACTACCAAGTCCCAACTACACGTTTGGCCCGGAAGGAGCAATCTCAAAACCACGACTGATCCATGGAAAGGGGCGTTCCAAGTTTCTCGATAAGTATGTTTCACCCGCTTCTTGTAATATGTGGACTAATCTTGCCATAGTGGCCTGTGGACGAGAGTCATAGAAGAGGTACGCTACTGACGTTGTCCTTCGCAATCATCAAAGATTTCGTTGATGGTCTTCCAGTGATTTTTCAGCTGATCATATTTCCAGCTTCACGAATCAGTGGACGCTCTGGGAGATTCGTCGGACGATACCAGCGACCAAGACGAGATCACTGAAAATGTTGCAGACGTTGTGCTTGGCTCAATCAACACACCGAGAAGCCTGGACAACCTACACCCATATCCCGACCAAATCCTGGCCTTGTGGCAGATCTACCTGAGGAATGTCAATCCGGTCATGAAACTTATCCACGCGCCTACCATTGACAAGGCCATTCAGCATACCGCATCGCACTCTGAGAAGGTCTCCAAAAGTGTCGAAGCTCTGCTGTTTGCGATATATAGTGTTGCGGTCATGTCGATGCAAGACAAAGACTGTGAACAACGATTTGGCCAGCCCCGGAAGCCTCTTTTATCACGTTATGTACGGGCCACGAAACTGGCGCTCTCACGTGCTAACCTGATGGGGACTTCCAATATTGTCGTACTTCAAGCATTTCTTCTTCATCTCGCCTCGGTCCGGGATTCTTACGATAGTCGGACTCTGTGGAATATGCTAGGTGTTGCCATCCGCATAGCGGAAGGGATGGGGATGCATCGAGATGGAAGCACACTAGGACTGCCACCTTTTGACAGCGAGATCCGACGTCGCATGTGGTGGGAAATGAGTCTACTCGATCAAAAGAGTGGGGATCTGAGTGGACATAGCAAGTTTGGCGCTTTTGATGGTGACACTAAGTTACCCCAATGCCCTGCCAACGTCGATGACCACGAGCTGTTCCCGACTATGAGGTCACCGCCAGAAGAATCAAAAAAGGTCACAGACTCGCTCTACTGCGCAATGAGGGCAGACCTGTTCGCGTATTGGTCGAACTACGCAGTACGCAGAAGGAAAGAGGGCATGTCGGGAAACATGCTTGGCAACCATGCAAATGGAGAAGACCTCCAAGACAAAGACAAGGCGATCGAAGACTTCGAGCAGATGCTTGAGTCAAAGTATGTACGATACCTTGACCCATCACAACCGCTACAATTCCTGAGCATGCTCGTGGCTCGAGCTGTTGTGAGCAAAGCCCGATTTATGGTTCACCACCCCAAAAGGTGGAACGGCACACAAAATATTCCTGTCCCTGAACGCGAGTACGTGTGGAGACTGTCCATCAAGCTTCTGCAACAATACAACATGATCCGATTGAGTCCTTACTTGCAACGATTTTCCTGGTATACGGCATACTACTTCCCATGGCAGACTTTCATCCACGTCCTTGATACCATGCGACTCAACCCGCTAATGGCGGAGGCTCCCGAGGTCTGGCAGCTAATCGAGGAAACGTACAGGTCTTTCCCGAATCTGATCATCAAGACCAGAGAGTTACCGTGTGTGGCAATCAGCAATCTGTGCTTGAAGGCTTACCAGGTTTATACCGTGGCGCTGATGAAGGATGGTAAGCCGGTAGCGAGAGCTCCAGACTTCATTGAGACTCTCAGAAGACAGCGAGAACAAGCCGGAGGTTTTCGAGCTGAACGAGAAACGAAGGACCTATTGAGGCCACCGGCCGTCCCATCTCCGCAACAGCGACGCCTGCAACGCCCTCTACAAGGTACCTTGCCAGTTTGCGACAATCAAGCACAAATGTCTATTGATGATCCAACTGCATGGTCGACCGGTGGCGTCAGTGAGAACTTGCAAACATCCTCGACAAATGTACCAGGAGCGAGCGGGAGTTTCGAATTTAGTCCAGGCAATGAGATTGATATCTTCGCGGATCAAGCAATTGACTGGTCTGAATGGGATGCAATACTCGGGGATCCGAGCTTGATGCCGATGCCGCTCATGACAGAGTTCCCAGAATAAGGCGCGAGGCGAACATCAATTTCCGGACCCTGAATGGAATATGCAAGACACTGGACTATCGATGGCTCGGAAGGGGGTGCCTGGGAGAATACCAACATTGATTTCGAGATTTCAAGCTCATTGCAACGTTAACACGAACACCTGGGCGTTTCTAGACGAACTGATCGATCACGACAATGCTACATACGATAGAATGGTGCAAGATATATGATGCAGTGCTACGCTACATGTTTTGCCACCTTTTTGTGGAGAGGATTCGACCAAGGCATATAACGACCGAGTAAGTATCTAGTATGCTGCACCATTCGTAGTGATAGGCTTCACCTCGACTTCGGTTGGCGTGTCCCCAATACCTCGTGCTTTCGCCTCCTCGATGATGGCCACCGTGGCCGTGGCTCCTATCCGCGTGACGCCCAGCGACATGACGTACAAGAGATCATCCAACGTGCGCACGCCGCCAGCTGCTTTGATCTGGACGCTCGGCTTGGAGTGCTCCCGCATCAACTTCAGGTGCGGAACAGTGGCACCCTTGTACGAATACATGCCGTTGGGCTGCTTGACGAAGCCGTAGCCCGTCGATGTCTTGACAAAAGCCACGTCGAGATCCGAGCAGATTTGGCAAAGTCGGATGATATGCTCGTCTTGGAGATAGTCGTTCTCGAAGATGACCTTGAGTATGGCGTTTGCGTTTCCGGAGCCACGAGTGACCGCCGTGTTGACGGCGCGGATCTCGTCGGTCACGTAATCCCAGTCGCCACTGAGCACCTTGCCAATGTTGACGACCATGTCAATCTCAACACCGCCGGCCCTGACTGCCTGTTTGGCTTCGAAGACCTTGACTTCCACGGTCGAGTTGCCGGCTGGGAACCCAATGACAGGACAGACGGCCACGTCAGAACCCTGGAGCATCTTCTTGGCCAGCGGTATTGAGTATGGCTTCACGCATGCTGTTGCGGTGTTGTATTTGCGGGCGATTTCGAGGCCAGTCTTGATTTCCTGGTCCGTCATGGTCGGATGGAGGAGTGAGTGGTCTATCATTTTAGATATCTGCGTCAGAGTGACGGAGATCTTGGTCGGAGACGACATGATGGGGTTGTTTCCGATATCCGATGTCCAATATCAAGCAAGCGGGAGGCTTTGACAGCGATAGTTGTGTGGTGTTTAAGAGTGACCGTCCTAAGTCAGTCGTGACTGCACCGGAGCATCGACAGAGCAGCCTTGCATCTTTGTGTGGTGTGAGTAGTAGTTGGTCAAATTCCCTCAGTCGGGCTTTCTCACCAGCGGCCCGTGCTCTAGATTGAGGTCTTACCGCCCCTCGATGTTGCAGCCGTTCCGGTCTCTGGAGTGGTGCAGAGCCGTCTCTTGCAATACCGGGAACAGGTACTTTTGCCATATGACAACAAGCAACAAATACATTAGCAATTCTCGCAAGGAGTTGTGATCGTTTTCGTGTGTGACTCGTTACAGCCTCGTCGCCCCTTGCAAGACGAGGCTCACCAGGCTGAGCCAAGCCGCCCTTGGAGAAGCCACCTCGCCTCGTCGTAACTTTTTGGTCCTGCGGGCGCAACTAACTTCTTAGGAGTTCTCATCCAAAGAGTCCACCAACATTGCACTCGTCCGATCTTTTGTTTCTTGGGGAGTTTATTTTCTGCTTGAAAGGGTTCTTTCCATTTGGTCTGATCCAGCGTCTGGTTTTCAACCCTTGTCCGCCCTTTCCACGATAACCGCAACGCAGGCCAAGCGGCTTGCGACTCCTCGCCCACCATGTCTGGAGAGTACAACTACGATGACCAGGGGCAATTTTTCCCTTTCTTCATGCTGACCATGGCCGGCTTGGTGACGATTCCTCTTACATACAACGTCCTAAAACCCTCCACAGACCTCGAACAAACCGCAGCGCGGATAAAATCAGACTTCAAGCCGAAACATGGCGATCTCATAGAGGCACAAAGAAAGAAGCGGAAAAGAAGGGATAGGAAGACGAAGCGCATCATCGCGGTGATTTTGGGATATGCATTCATGGCATATATGGTGTATCTCATCATCGTCACCCAGAGAACAGTTCCCCAGATTTGGGATCCTTATGACATTCTGGGCGTGAAGAGGAGCGCTACTGAGCAGGAAATCAACAAATTCTACAAGAGACTTTCGGTCAAATTCCACCCGGACAAAGCGCGACCAGACCCTGCGAAGAACGAGACCCTCGAAAGTATCAATGACCGCTGGGTCGAAATGACCAAAGCGTACAAGGCGTTGACAGATGAAGAGATCAGGAACAACTATTTGCAGTATGGCAACCCAGATGGGAGACAGTCCACAAGTATAGGCATTGCACTGCCGAAGTGGATGGTCGAGGAAGGCAACCGGTGGTTTGTCGTTGCATTTTACGGTATCCTCTTGGGGATCATTCTACCCTACACACTTGGAAAATGGTGGTATGGAACACAAGCTCTTACCAAGGACAAAGTCCTCCACGCCAGTGCTGGCAACCTGTTCAGAGAATGGAAGGAAGACATATCAGAAGGTGGTGTTGTTGCGGCTACTAGTGTTGGTGAAGAATTCAAGGAGACCTTGAAGGAATCAAGAAGTGATGCTGGAGCCGCCAAAGTCGAAGGCAAGGTGCTCAACAGTTCAGCCCTCACCGATGCAGACAAGGCTCGCCTAAAATCTATCGACGACCCTGTACGACGAAAGACCCTAGCCTTGCTCTGGGCCTACCTTGCGCGCATCGAACTCGAAGATACAGAGCTCGAGAAGGAGAAGTACGAAGTCGCGCCGACGGCTCTGTTGTTGAACAATTCTTTCGCCTCGGTGACATTACCTTTCCAGGTTGTCAAACCACTTCTGGCCGCATACCACACCTCCCAGAACATCATCCAAGCAGTACCTCCGAGTGCTTCACCACTTCTGCAACTACCAAACTTCACCCCAGCGATCGCTGCTAAAATTACCGCATCTCCCAAATCACCCTCTACCCTGCAAAAGTTCATGTCTCTACCACCAACTGTGAGGCGAAGCTTGTGCTCCGACATGTCCGAAGAACAATACAACCAAGCGATGCAAGTAGCGTCGCAAATACCTCATCTACAAATCGCAAAAGCCTTCTTCAAAGTCGTCGGTGAGCGAGTCATCACACCTGGTTCGCTAGTGCAACTAGTCATCAAAGCCCGCGTCATCCCACCTGGAACTAAGGATGTGCCACCCGTCGACCCCCTCGATCTTGAGGACATCGACCCCGACGAAGGCGATTTAGATGCCCTGCACGGGCGCAAACCCGCCAAATCGAAGCGTCGCAAGACGTTGGATGGGAAAGTCATCGAAGATGAGTCAAAAGAAGGCTCGATCCAACCTCCGCTCGCTCATGCCCCGTATTTTGCAGCAGACCATGCACCGCGGTGGCATGTCTTCCTGGCAGAAGCGCGGTCAGGACGAATCTCCGTTCCGCCATTTACATTTACAGCGTTCGACAAGCCCATTTTTAACTCGGATGGCACGCCTTCGTTCAACGTGTTGACGTTCAAGTGTCCCTTCCAAGCGCCACCGCAAATTCACGCGTTCCCATTCGTTCTGCACCTTATCTGTGACAGCTACATCGGGCTGGACTCGAAGATGGATGTTGTTCTGGACGTGAGGGATCCGAGCGAGGCGAATGCCGTGGAGAGTGACGATGAAATTAGTGAACCTGATGAAGGTATGTATCTCGCACTAACCAACCCCCTCAGTGCTTCCCCCCTTCAAGACCTAGCATATCTGATAATTGTCCTAGATACACTAGCAGGCCAACTCCAGGCCATGAAGACCGGCGGCCTAAGCGGAGCCCCGACCACGACCAGAAAGAAGAAGAAGAGGACGGCAAGTCAAGCTGACGTGCCCGTCGCGCATACCGTAGACGCCGCGGCCGATGGTGAGGATGATGATGAAAGCGATACCGAGGGCGATGAGAGTGACGATACTTCTGACACGGATACCGAGACCGAGGATGAGGATTCTTAGGCTCAGTCTGTGTTTCCATCTTTTTCATCGTGAAGCGAGGTCAGATAACATTTGTACCATACATTTCTGTATGTATTACCATCCAAAGCCGCATCACTACCTATTGCTTGCCTAAGTATTCATGGATAACATGACGCGCGAGACGATAGAAAGACCAGCATATTCATAGGGGCCATGTTGCATAAAACTTCAGTGTCATGAAACCTATAGTAGCAGGTGCAGCTTATGTAGGAAGGAACGCTCTTGAAGATGTGCATGCATTTCAGGAGTTCAACCCGACAGCCTCAACTCTACATGCCCTCGTTTCGAGCCTGAGCCTCGATGTCTCGCTGCCAGATCTCGCTCGGCTGCTTGCTCGCTCGCTCTGCTCCAACTCTCGCCCTTTCGCAGTTTCTCAACTGGTGCGATATCCATAATCAGCCCCCTTCTGCCACTCTCCATCTAGCCTGTCATCATTTCTACCGAGAACTACAGAGTAGTCAAAGTCTCACTTCTTCTCATTATTCGTGATCTGGTTCATCTTCTCCTGAAACTTCTCCCGTCCATCATGCATGTATTGCAAGGTCTTCTTGTACTGTCGGTCCTGCGACTGCATGGACAACTGCGTCAGGGCCAGCAAGCCGATGGCACCGACGCCGCCTAGAGCCATAACTGTTCGGGTCTGCATCGTGTCTCGAGTGATGTGGTTTCTTCCCTCTGATGAGTTGCTTTGTTCCTCAGATATCTCCACTGTGCGGTGCGTGGACCCTTTCGACCGATCGCGTGTATTGTTGAATGTGTGGGATGTAATGTATGGGATTGGATGCCGGTGTGTGTCGGTGAAATCGAGTGCTGCCAACGGGGATAAGGAGATCAGCACAGCGCTGTGTGGTGAGTTGCCTTTAGAGCGCGACCTTGTCGCAGTAAAATCGTTTGCGGGGGTTGAAGGTAGAGTTCAGAGTCAGATAAGCCACACTTAGAACCTCTAATAAGGTCTTGCGATGCCCGATGTGAAGGTGAAGTGGTGTCGTCGAATGAGTAGGAGAGAAGACAGAGGAGTGAAGTGAAATTGGCCGGTTAAATGCAGGTTTCGGGCGCGCCCCCTGCCTTGCTCGGCACTGTGCCAACCGAAGGGGCTCTTGTGGACGAGGCAGGGAGGAGGCAGGGCATGAAACGGTACGAGCACAATTGTGCCTGGCTTGCCTGTCACCCGCGGCCGTCAAGTCGATTGGAAGTAGAACCCCGGCTTTGACCGACTTTCTCCAACTTCCCCCGCACTTGGACATCAGTCAAGCAGTCTAGTCTTCATTGAGAATAGCACGAGGATGGCTGTCACCAGCAGATCCTCGGGCTTTTGATTCGTCAGATCTACAGGCAAGTACAAGTACAAAGAGCACTGGTTACCTAGGTACACAACATTTTCCAAGTTTCATGTCATGTTGAATGCATAGGTATATTGTTTCCGAGCCCGAATATCGAAGCTGGTGAGTGACAACAGCATCTAGCATAGTCATCATCATGTTGCCCAGAGTCCTCAGCCATACCTAGGTATCAACCCAGGGTAATCGTGCATGTCTGGGGTAAATTTAGCTTCGAGTAAGGAGCGCATGTGCAGCCTTGCGATCCTTAACCTTCAGCATCCACAAACACGTCAACTTCGTTTGTATCAGTGTCGGCTCTCTTAAGCGGCTTCTGACCCTCAGGCTGCATCGCCTCGTGCGTCTTCAATCTAGACATCTGGTCGTTCAATCCACCGTCATCATCCATCAAGTTGGCGCTTTTGGGTGCATTGCCCGACGGAGCATTTATGGTTGTGCTTTGATGCACCGGCGTTTGCTGCAGGTTCGAAGTCGTATGCATCGCATTCCCAGCCATAGGATCGCGCTGGGCAGGCGGTGCAGTGGTTGGCGGTTTGGAGTCAAAATCTATCAGATTTTCAGGAGCAGGAGCAGGCTCAGGCTTTTGACTGTGGCCGCCGCCGCTTGTGTGGTGACTGAACTCTGCCGACCGTCTAGAATTGACAGACTCCCGCCGGTCGAACGAACCTTGCCCAGGCAAAATAGGAGCTATTGACAGAATTCGATCTACAAGCTCTTTCGGATCCTTTGTGTCTCTGCAGCACAGTCAGTATCCACATTCTGGTGTTAATCGCCAACTTACAGATGCGCGTTGATGATCCATTCCAGATCTTCTTCGCCTTCTTCGGAGCCACCATGAGCGGCATGAACTCGTCGGAAGAGCTTTGGGTGCCAGTCAACCCCCATTTCTTCCCTCCGCTTGGCCTCTTCTCTTTGCCTGTCCTCTATCTTGGCTTTTTCAGCCGTGGCAGTTTCATGGTCCATGACATGAACAGCCTTGACGGTTTTCAACCATAGTCTTTGAGACTCACGCTCGCCCTGTTCTTCTATCGGTCTCGTCTTAGGAGGCGCATGCTTGGCATGTGTAGCATCGAAAAGGAGCTTTTTCTGACCAGTCTTGACGTCCTTGATGTACATTTCGCCCGACCATAATCCTGACAGTTCGAACAGTATTTCACCTGTTTTGTCGTTTTTGATGACCCCTCCAATGGCGTTATAGGTTCCACCAACCCAGCCTTTAGTCTTAAATTCGATATCAGCCGCCAAATTGTTCTCTGGGCAACGAACATAAGAGTGATCGCCCAGCTCGTATTTCATCTTGCCGAACAAAATACCTCGAGCGTACATGTTGGGTTGCGTGATGATGCTATGATGCGTCAGTGTCCGCTTCAAGCACCGATCTGACCTGACGTACTACTTCTCTCCTCCTTTTGACTTTCCTCTGTTGGTGAATCTGAGATAGGATATACCTTCCATCATACTTGCAGCAGAATTGCCGAGGAACTTGCTGCGAGGCTTCAATGTCCCGTCGACTCGAATGTGATGTTCCGGGGCCATGAAGAAGTAGGATGACTTGGGAGGATGGTGTGATGTTTGCTCGGAAATGTAGTAACCTCGTGTGTTATCTGGATAGTCCCAGTAGCAGGTAAAGACTTCCCCTAGAATTGGGTTCAACGGCTTCTTGACGCCGCTGGCAGATTGTCAGTCTCATTAGGTCAATCAGCGCGGGATGGCACATACGGCGGCCTAATATGCCAACCACTCAGGTAAAACTTGACCACAGCTACAAATCGTTGAAGGGGATCATCTATCGTCGGCATGGGTAGGAGGGTATCAGGATGTGCCATGAAACTAGCACGACGGTCAGCTCGGGAAACGGGGTCTTTTTGCAGAACCACTGACTTCGTAATTCGTTCAAGCATAGATCTTTCCTCCAGGATGAATGTGGGCAAGGTGACTCGAGACAGATCGGCTCCAGGGCGCAATTGGGAGATGATGTGTGAAAGGACTGCGGATCGTCAGGCTTCGCTTTCGCGATCAATTGAATGCTATTGCCGTACCATTTCCCTGTTCTGGCTCGACGACAGTGGTATCGTCGCCTTCGGGGTCTCGAATTTCCTCAGAAGACGACCGATTGCCTGCGAAATGAGTGAGCTGACGTCCTGGCCCATCTCGTCTACTCTTGTATAAACTTACGGCCATGGCCGCGCAGGGCACCTCCTATTGAATGCTTCATCTTGTCTGTGGGACCAACCATACAGTATTTTCGACGGCGTTCAGCAGCAAGGCTGCTTGAGGGAGGTCAAGAGTGGGATATAATATGACGTCGTCTCGTCGGAATTGGAGGAAGTTGTAGGGCTTGGTTCAATTGGGTAACGAGGGGTCGAAGCGGCAAAAAAAGAAGAGTCGAGGTATTGTCAACGGTCACAAAGGACTGCTCGAGGAGCAACAACCGGACGAAGACAAAAAACCGGCAAGTGGCTGCCTGATGGCAGTAGGAAGAAAGTGTAGTTATACAAATAGAACGTAGGTGACTGAGAAAGGTCATGCAGCTCGGTCCCGTCACTCAGGCCTGGCTTGTGCTGGGTGCAGCTGCCAGTGATCTGCCTAGGTCCCTGCCCAAAACTTGCAGGCACAAACCATTAACTGGACCAGCTCGACAACGCGTCATTCTGAGCACAAGGCACAAATTTTTTCCCGCCTTGCCGACATTACCACTGTAAGTATGCTTTATGCCTGGCAATGCACCTGAATCTGAGGCTCTTTTCCCCCTCGACTCTCGTTCCTTTCATATTTCCATGATGTTCCCATTCGACTTTCATTCCCGTGGGTTCCTCAGAATTCCAGAAATAATAGCCCATATGCCCAACCCCATGCTTCATCTCTATGTGGTGGTTCTTTTCCTCTATCCCACGCAGGATGCATGCTCTTTGTAGATGATCAGTCAGCACCTCTAATGCGCCACACGCACCCAGAGGAGTACTATTCGTGTACATCCTGGTGCTCCTGGACGCCACCGTTTTCATCTACCTCCTGAAGTCCAGCTCTCCGAGGTTGGTCGATCTCCCTCTGTCACCTCGTCCAACAGATCTCTAGGTGCTTTATAAAGCATGACATGGAAATGCTCTGCTCGTTTGATCAGTCCTGTCACAGCCTACGCAGCTCGTCTCGTCTCAGCACAAGCAGGAGACAAACTTACCTAAAGCATGCACACTCTTCAGGCTCTTCCAATTCCTAAACCACACAATGCGATCCCTCTCCATCCTCCCATCTGCACAGAACGTGGTCTTGATAAACTCCTCAATATCCCTCTTTCCACCCTCTCGCACCTCCCCGTTCTCATCCTCATCTATGAGAAACTTCGTCCACACAACCAGATGCGTGATCTCCTCATCAACATAGTACGGCCAGTCGTTGTACAGCACCTTCCAATCCCCAGGATCATTAAACGGTCGTTCCCCTGAGGGCGTGATGCTGTCCCACTTCAACCTGTACTTCTGCACATACGCGAGGACACTCCCATGCTTCTTCTTCAGCTGGTGCGTATACTCGAGATACCCTCGCAGTTGGCTCGCACTGCGCTGGAAGTGATCGATGCGATTCGTCCCTAAAATAAGCCCTCAGCACCTCCACCTTCCCAGCATCAGGCATACTCCCGTAGGAAAGACCACAACCTACTAACAAGTTCCTTCGCCTCTTCCCAGCTACGCCTCCTGAACTCCTCATCCTTCCTCGCTAGTATTCCTTTATTCTTCTCGCTTGTTCCTATGAGGAATTCGGGACATTCTTCCGTCCAGCGCTCTTTGGCCTGATTAGTGTTCCAGAACCGTTGTGACAACTCTTGCTCGTCTGGAGTATTCGCGCCCGTCGTCGAATGTGCGGAGTGTGGCATAGCCGAATGCTCAGATACCACCCTGCCGGCTGTCGTAAAGAATCGACGGACTCAAAGAAGGTTGACAAGGGTGGAAATCATTGGTTTCAAGTACCGGGCAGAGCCAAGAGGTCACCACGTACGCTCTAACCGGTGTGATACCATGCGTTGTAACGTGGTACATTCGCTACGAGACCCACGTTGGCTCTACAGCGCCTGGGAACGTGGATTAAGAAGCGAAAGCACTCGTATTCAAGCTAGTACTCGATGCGTTATACGTCGGAGGAACATTGTTTCCAGTTCCGGACTTACGCGATAATGATATAAGCATCACTCAAGTCTACAATGACGTCGATTTACACGTTAGATTGGACTATTGCCCGGATCCTGATGGTGACTATAGTTCAAGTATAGTGACGGTCGGCTCACGGAGAATAGTAACAATGGTAGGCGATAGAGCTGAAAGCAGGCCGATATATAACAACCATAGGGTTAGCGGTAACAACAGTGCCGGCCCAAGGTCTATTATTGATACATGGTATCATGGAAGAGGCGTCACGCTCAACCCTAAAAGCCATTTGAACAGGGACACTATTATGTACAACACACATGCGGGAAGAGAATACTATTACGAGCCTCTTTGGCATCAGCGAGCGCCTTGTTCATAATCTACAATGTCATTCTCAGCTATCTAGATACACTCACACTGCCCCCTATTCTCCCCAGCCTCGCTCAGGCCAACAACCAATTCCAGGTGAAAAAGGTAGCAGCATGCTCCACCCGCATGTGCTTCACCACTTCCTCGACTCCTCGAGGCCTAGCATGGCAACCGCCCACCAAACAGCCAATACTGGCTTGCGCAAGGGGAGCCAGGGCCGTCCGCGCCGCCGACGCGCCCCCATCTGTCAACACCGCCCCTCTGGTGAAGCCTGGGTTGGTGTCCAGGAACAACTTGGTCGTGTACACTTTCAAGGCCGTTGTATGGCCTGCAGCAGCGACTCTTGCCATGATGGCAGTGGTTGTGAGCTCGTCTCTCAAGCGGGACGTGTGGTATGCCTCCAGGGCATACCCCATCGGTGGACTGCGGTGCTGCATGACGAGTTGATCTGCAAAAATTGTGAGAAAGTTGTAAGGATGAAGCAAGAACAAAAGCATAGGTCATGCATCGAAGAGGAGAACACGTACACAGCATCAATTTGGCCTTCCGCTCCTTCCACTGCTCCGTTCTCGCTGGAATATCGCGCTGATATCGTATGATATCGGCTGGATCGTCGGGCCACTGGCCCTCGAGATTCTGCGGGGAGAGTGCATTGCGATCGAGTTTCTCTGGCCGAAAGAGAAAGTCGGCAAGCCGATGTATCGGAATGACCGTGTTTCTGAGGTCCTGAATGTTTGGGGGCGGCACGAAAGGGACTTCGTCTGGCCAAGGTTTGCTCCAGTAGCCTTGTGCGATGCGTATCACATCCCAGCGTATGGTTTGGCGGCCGTTGTAGACAGTCGAGGTTTGTCCTCTCAATGTGTCTCTTAGCCAGTCAAAGTATTCTTGCTTGGCGAGGAGCATCTCGCTGTCAAGACCACACTTTTGACGAGTGAAATCGTCAACCAGCGGGCGCCAGTGCACTCCTTGACCAGTCCACGGACGGCAGCGCTCTGGGAGCCAAGGACCAAGCTTTCCGGACTGTGGAGTGATTTGCGAAAGGTGTTTCAGAAGACCTGGTACTGAAATGAGCTTGTCATTGCGCACGGTGTACTTTGAAAAGCAGGTCGGACACATGTTCATTCCACCAACATCCTGCCAGACTTCTTCTGGTCTGACTTGTGTGCCTGCAGCTAGTGGTAATTCAAGACAGGCTATGCATCTTCTCGTGAGTAGGAAGTGCCCTAACAGTTCTCTCCGGTAGTTGAAGTTGACTTGGTAAGGTATTCCCAGAGCGAGTGTCTTAATGCGGCAGCCATGCTGCGACTGAACCACAGCATAGCTTGCCAGAGGTATTTGTTCGAAGCCCTTCAGTTGGTGGATGTACATAAACAAGGGATCAGTCGTGTCGATCGAACGAAGGGCAGGTAGGTTGAAAAATTTGTTGATGTTGCTGTCTAGACCACCGTTTGACCACGGAGCAGACTGCGCCACAACCGTTCTGCAATTATTGTCAGCGTACGTGACAGAATGTTGTGCTTTTACTGGACTCACCCATGTGGAAGTGGAACCGGTGGATTATTGAATTGGAACGGAGCGACAAGGCCTCGTTGTGAGAGTGCGGCGTCGTCCTGGAAGAATTCCGGTAAGGCTTTCAAAGCCGCTGGGATGCATCTATACCAGAGTCTGTTCGCCTCTGGGCTCCGAAGTCGTCTTGCCATTTTCGTGCATGTCAGTTCGAGTTGGAAGACCCATATGGGCTCTAGGTCTGAGCAGATTGTGATCAAAACTTCCATTGGCAGTTGAACAAGGACTGAGACGTTCGCATCGAAATTCGGGATCATGCCAAAGTTTGCTGAGTACCCTGCTGGTCGCCGAGTCTTCTCTGGTCCACGGAGGAATCGTGAGTTGATCGCGCCCTTGCGCAGTTCACCCAAAATGTCATCTTCATGCTGTTAGTATGGGGGCGCAGTTGAAGGGAGGGCGACATACTAGTGGCATTCACATCATTGCGCGTCGCTGCGAGTAAACGCTGATGGGGAGGCGTCATCTTGCCGTAGAGATTTGAAGCGCGATCCAGGTATGATAGATTCAGTCTGAAACCTGGAACAGCGAGTCTTTCTTCCACGACAAGTCGTTCCAAAGGATGGTCCAAAGTCAGTCAACCACTTGGATAGGTTAAGGAGGAGACGCTGCCTGGACATTGTTTTGGTCTGATTCACCACAGAGTGCGGCGAATGTATTTCGTGCCAAGCGTGATGCTTTTCCCATGTCCATCCCGCCTTTGGTGAGGTAGACACAAAACCTTTCAATTGTGCAGTATCCCGACAAAGGGCATTGTGGGGAATCCTGCAATCCGGTCCAAAGCAATTGCAGTGAGAGTCTGATGGCGAAATACGTAATATATATTGGCTTGACCAATGCATATCGAAGGCGTGAGGCTGGGGAGAGACTGCCCCAGTCTCGCGCGCATGCAAGGTAAGATAAGACTTGAAAGTCAAGTTGTGTCGGGACCACGAATTGATGCTGCTAGAAGTCCATCTCATCTCAAGCTTTTCTTGAAAGTTTCCCCATCGCATTCAAGCAACAGAAAGACCTGGTGCTCTGGATAGGTACAACAGGGACAAGAAAGAACAAAACATAAGCAAGAAGCGCCAAAGGTTCTTTGTTGCACAAAGCTAGCAGTTGTGAGCGAGGGCAAGACAGTGTGTAAGGAACAACATACCAGAAGGTTGCCAGAAGCATCCGACAGCAAGGGAAGACATCATCATGCTTCCAGAACGCGCTTGCCTTCATCGCTTTCGACGCTGATCAGGGAGACAGAGCCTTGCGACAGCTCCGCTTTCACGTCCGGCCAGGCTGTGGGGTCTACGCATCTTTGAGCTTCCTCGATCACGTAGGTGGTGAAGCCTGCTTTTGCGGAGCCCAGGGCAGTGTCCTTGACGCAATAATCCCCAGCCAGACCGACAACGTACACGTGGGTGATTTTCCTGGCCCTCAGGAGGTCGGCAAGGTCAAGATTCACACCTCCCGCTCCCGCAGTCATATTGCCAAAGGAGTCGGAAAAGGCAGAGTACATCTCGACCCTGGAGTCCATGCCCTTTTTAACCGTGGTGTCGATCTTGGAAAGATCGATCTCGTCAATGATCTCAGCTCCATTGGTTTGTTGCACGCAATGAACCGGCCACAGTCGCTGTTTCATCGTTTGCTCCGGCTTGTTGGCTACTAAGTTCTTCATGTCTATGAAAGATTCGAAAGGTCTGTTGTTCGGAGCAACATGATTTGCGGCGAATGAAACGTGGTCTTTTGGATGCCAATCCTGAGTGGCAACCTTTAAGGCGAACTTGGGGGAAGCGAGCAGGCGGTTAACCAGTGGAACAATGTCTCGGCCTCCTGTGACAGCCAGAGAACCATCCTGTCAGAGCTCGTCAGTTCCCAAGATCGATACACAGATAGTGGTGTCAAGGGTGTACGGGTGGGCAGAAGTCGTTCTGCAAATCGACCACGATGAGTGCAGGCCTGATGGCCATGATTCTGCTTTGGGTTGATGTCTTGCGAGAAGATATGGGCCGCGAAAGCTGACATGCGGCGGTCGCTAAGACGCCGCAAGGGCTCGGCACGTTATTTGAGTTAGAATCAATCAGTCCAAAGCAGCCCTGATGAGGCGGATGATACAATATGTTCACAGCGTGGAAAAGGAAGGGAGATACACCGTAGGGATGGACTCAATGTCGCATGTGAGGAGTACCCGGCTAAGTTTCCTATTTGAGGTTGGGGCTCATGCAGCGACGGCTTAGGGAGTCTTTTGTATTTCGCTCCCCCAAGACTTCCCTTCCCATATCATACATCTCAATCAGCGCCTGAGGCTTCAAATCACTTATACCTGGCTGTGGCAACTGCTGCTCGATCTAAAGGAGTTTGTGATCGGTCGACCAAAACTTTGGAGATTCAGTAGTCGTGTTATCATCTCTAACTTCACTTCACTTGCAGCCTACCCTCTCGACCAACTTCCTACCTATTCCCACTGCGGCGCATCCTTCGCCATCACCTGCAAGTGGAGTGGACGAGTGGCTGCTGGGGACATTGCGAAAGGATACAACTCTAGGAAGCATAATAAACAGAGCGCATCATGTCCAAAACCTCGGTGGTGAGCAGCCTCTGTGAAGGATAGACTCGTGGATTCCGCAGGACGTCTGCGTGATCTGCGCCTCCAATGTATTGGCACGTCCAGGACGGTTGAGCTGACATATCACTCGTACACAGGGTGACGTCTATGCGAAGGTCATCAACGATGTCTGCGAATCATCACGACAAGACTTTGAAGAGGGTGGTGTTGAGCTGGCAACATTGGACTTGTTGAGATCGGTAGGTCACATTCCTTCATCAACCAAGTGGCCGTCATGGGGTTATGCATCATCAAATCCCTTCTCTTCATCGATCTCAGACTCGAGATCCATCATCCGACCACATTCATCAAAGAATTCCCTTGAGATGGAAAGGTGTCGAGCAGGCGGATCTTGACAGGCAGTCATCGTGTGCAGTGGGCGAGGCGAGCGAGAGAGGGCCGGGCAGGCGAAGCGGGGGAAGCGGGCAGTCTTTGAAGGCGGCCCCTTTGAGTCATGCTCTTAAATACGCCACGTCGCCTGCCCAGCCTGAGCCAACCCACCCTCGCTAACCTCTTTTGGACCACTCTTGTTTCTCCGTCCTCCGTTCTTTACCTCCAGGGACAATGACTGACAGACTCTCTCGACATACAGGAATGGCAGAAGAAGCTTTCAGGACTCAAGGTCGCCCAACTGCCATGGGATCCTCCTCCAGTGCCGACCAAGGAACAAACACTTCCCAGCAACGCCAAACCTATTCCCACAACGCTGCCCAGCAATGGCAATATCCGTAGTCCTCCACCTCAACCATCTGTCCCTTCACAGCCCGTCATCAAGACCGAAAACAATGTCGCTCCCCCGTCATACCCCCCTCAACCTCAACAGCTTCCGCCCCCTCAGTCATACCAGGCTCCTTCATTCCAGCAAGGTCAACCAATGACAGCGCGCGACCGGGCAGCCATGAACCTCCATCAGACCTACGGTCCACGGGCAGGGCCTCAGATCGCTCAGCTCCAATCAAATCAGTCTCGTGTCCCCCTACCGCCTCAGTCAAACCCAGCTTCCAACTACATCAAACAGGAAGACTCGCTATCATTCCCCAACGTCCAAGATTACACAACCTCACAGGTCAGCGAACCACTCAAATCCAGTCAAACCGACGGTGCCAGCGAGCCCCGAGATGACTGGACCGCCGGATATGCCCAGCGAAAAGCGTTCTCTGCCACACACGGCGCCGACGGTGACCGTCTCATGCGCGAACACTTCCGATCGTCCCAACAAGCCCTGGAAGGCGGTGGTCTCCTCGTGACCCTCGACGACCGACACGTGCCTAGTAAATCGACCATGCGCCATGTCAACAGCCTCGCAGGAGAACCATCGTCAGCACCCACACCATCAAGCATCACACGTGCTCAGGGCGACGCAGCAGGCGATGATGACGATGACGTCGAGGACGAAGACGCTATCAACTCCGACCTCGACGACCCGGATGACCTGGCTGCCAACGCAGAGAACGGCGAGGAGACAGACCAGGTCATGTTGTGCACGTACGACAAGGTCCAGCGAGTCAAGAACAAGTGGAAGTGCACTCTGAAGGATGGTATCTTGAGAGTCGAGGGGTCCGAGTAAGTCTTCCCTCTCGTCGGGGAGTGCGAAGGCCATGCCTTGCTAATCTAGTGTGTAGATATGTCTTCCACAAAGGCAACGGCGAGTTTGAATGGTGATAATGCTCCGAACGAAGAGCCGTCCGCCATGACCTACCCTCGTGGCTCCGACGGACGCTGTGCAGGGATGCGAAAAGACGGACACAATTGTAACTCCTCCGGACAAGCCGGTGGTGAGGTCGGGCCTTACCTGGTCGCTCTAGCAAGTCCAGCGTGACCAGAGACGATAAGAGCTTTAAGCAGTGTTGTCAGAGTATGAATACTAAGCACGTCTATTCCCCTAGGCAGTCGGGCTGTGCTATGCGAGACAAGACGTGAAATGATTTTCAGGAAAGGCGCGGAAGATGACGGCTTAAACCTCGATGCGGGCTGATGATCATTGGCAGGGGTTGGAAGAAAAGCGTGCTGCTTCGATGTGCATGTTGACGTGAGTAATGGGACGCGGGAATGATATCCTTGCTTTGTGCTCTACTCCGCTTTTTGTTGATGGTAGGAAAATCGACCTTATATCCAAAATTCAATTTTTGCAAACTACATGTTGGGTGTCTATGTGAACAGTCTTATAATATAGGCAAACCAATATTATTGTGCAACTCCTCTAGAGGGAGGCTTTTCCGGAACAATGTCTCGCTCGATAGGATGCGAGTACTCAAGAACGTGCGCACCAGAACTCTGCGCAGCAACTGAAAAGTGGACAATCAAATTTCCTGCAAGCCTTCGATCTATTAGTTCCGAAACAAGGGTGGCGGACTTCATTCAGCAATTTAGACATCGAAACCGCTTCAACACGTGAGCCATCGTAATCACAATTAAGTGTAAGCTCAAGGCAACCCCTCTTCGATATCTCCTGTACCCGGTTCCTCAGTAGTTTCGACATCATTGAAGACCACAGGATCTCTTGGGTTCACTCGATCAGGCAGAGGAATCTGCGACAGCCTGTAGATTCCCTTGCGTGCAGCAGCGGAGAGATGAGCTAGCCTTGGAGGTACGTTAATAACTGAGGGGTCCGTGGGAAGATCCAAGATCGGTGCTGGCTTCGCAAACTTTCTGACGAGTTCCTTTGCGCAGAGAACACCTTCAGCGAAGAAATAATCAAGGAATGGAAGAAATGCCTTCTCACCACGTCGTTATGCCAATGACGCAAAATATTGAACAGTTGATGACGCTCTTGCTGTCCTCCATTGATGTCCTCCGTCCAAATGTATTCGTCAAAGAGATTCTAATCTGTTGCTTCCTGGCCGGGGAGCTCATCTGAGCGAGTATGTTCGCAGGGGGCAAGGTCATATGCTACTCGGTCTTGCTCAAGCGGACTCAGGGTCGAAATGGGTATGTTGGGAAGACGGAAATTCGCAGAGCCGGCCCGATACAACAGAGTGCGCCATCCTGGATCCAAGATCGGTAGCAGTGTGCCCTCGTGGTAGTCAACAAGTCTCTTGCGCTGATACTGCCACTCCATAATGAGCCTCTCTGCACCGCCATCGCATAAACGGACACCCGTCCGGATAGCCGCCGTGTTCAAGCCGCGAAAAGAGGCAGTAGTCCTGGTCAATGGCACGAGACGGTCCAGAAAGAGAGAACTTGTAAAGCTAACGATATTTTCGAAGCAGAGCAAGTGGAAATAATCTGAGAAGTGACCTCGTTAGCCGAAGGCTGACCTTGTACTAGGACAGGAATCCAACATACCCGGCCCGGTACTTAAAGAATCAGTATCAAAGACATTAGGATACACAGATAGCACATATGTATCGTCTATTAGCCCTTCGTGGCAAAGGTGCAAGGTGCAGCGCTGTCGCGCAAGTATGGGAGTGCCACGCTCAATGAAGAGGCGTCGTCCAGGCCGTTGTAAGGCGGCCCACAGTTGATCGTGGTAAGCTTGGAGCACTTGCTTGGTGGCGTCGGAAAACCTTTCGGGATCCATAGCTTGAGCTTGATACGAATCCATGATGAATGAAGTGAAATGGATGTGGAATGTTGCTGCACAAGAGAATAGATGAACGAGGAATGGCTGAAGTGATGAAGGATGATAGTGATCAACGGCGGTGCTAGTACTTCAACTTGGTGCATTCCTTATATGAGGTCTGCACTTGCCTTCACGACCGCATGATTCCAGACAGATGTTACCTAACTCGAGTGAGAATGCTTTCATAATGGAAACTGAAGGCAAGAAGGATGGGTTGAAGGGCAGGATGAGACCTTTAACAAAAGTCGATGCCATTAGGATAGATGCGCGGGTGCATAGGGACCCCACGTTAGTTAGGCGTTGCCCGGCTCTGCCGTGTCTCCGCTTGGTCTGTGAGAGAAGTGACGTAATGCGCAGACGTCGCCAGCCCAGAAGTTGGTGAAGTGTTTTGTTCCACTGCGTCTGCCTTTTCTGCCCGCTTTAAGTTCTAACTTCTGCTTGCTCAATCCTCCTTCTCTCGTCGTTCTACCACAACAACCTGATCACTAGAAGCGTACATTGTCCTTGGGCTTCGTCGACCTATTTACTTCTCAACAGCTCTACCACCTGCCATACTCCCAATCCATCACCATGACGCTCTACTACAGTCTGGTCAGTAGCCTTTCGTGGATCAACTGCAAAGATCAATGCAGGCAGCTGCTTTCGTTCAGAAGGTCCTAATTTATTCCTCTAGGTCTTCGCCATCCTGGTGTCAGAGATGGTTCTGTTCATGGCTCTCGTCGTCCCGATGCCTTTCACCGTCAAGCGGAAAATGTTCAACTTTATTTCGGAGAGTCCACTAGTAGCAAAACTACAATACGGGATGAAGGTCAGCAAGTTTTCCGCAGTGTTCGGATAAACGAGACTGATGGTCTGCAGATCACTTTCATCTTCATTCTTATTCTTTTCCTCGACAGTGTCAACCGCGTCTACCGTGTCCAAGTTGAAATGGCCTCTCTGATGAATGACGGCACAGGGGCAGGGTAAGGCGATGACGCAAAGTCTGACTACTCTGAATCGGCTGACCATGAATAGACGAGCTGCTGCAATGGGTAGCGACCGTATGGAGGTCCAAGCACGCAAATTCTACTCTCAGCGTAACATGTACCTGACCGGCTTCACTCTCTTCCTGTCTCTGATCCTCAACCGTACCTACGGCATGATCCTCGACGTCCTCCGCCTGGAAGAGAAGGTCAAGATGTACGAGGGAGACCCGCAAGCCGGTGGCAAGGAAGGAGAGAAGCTTGGAAAGCACTATCGTGCAGACCAAATCGGAGAACTGAAGAAACAACTTGAGAAGAAAGACAAGGCTTTGGAGGCGATGAAGAGCCAGGCTGAAGGCTTGCAGAAAGAGTACGACGCCCTAAGCGTCAAGTACAACCAGCTCAACCCCAGCGATGGTGACAAGAAGAGCAACTAAGGACAATGCATGCCGAAGCTGGGCTTGTGTGAACAGTTGGCGTAGAGTGGCGTTGGTGCTGCGTCACGCTAGGATGATAGATACCTTTTTTGGAAGGACGATAGGAAGGGGATGCAGTGGCGGGAGGGAGTCAGGACAAGAAGTAGGACGACTCTTTTTGGACTCGACTGAAGAGGTGTCGAGTACATGCTGTTCCAGCTCAAAATGGCAATAGATATTATTTCTGGACGATGATGCCACACCACTTGTGCCATGCGAAAGCTGTGCCAAACTTCTCCGCCGTAAACCTCGTGTCTCGGCTCATATTCAACCCGATACTTTGAGATATATTTTGTGCCGAGAGACTTCGAACCACATCTAATCAAGTAGCGAGAATGAGAAGGTGAGCACGCGCTCATATGGAGAGCCAATCACGTCCTTTCACGTCTCCCTGTCCTTTCGTTCCGACAAGGCGATAATCTTGAAGACCCTTGCATAAATGCTTCCCTCTGGCGTCTTTCCCAAGGGCGACTGCGGCGTGGGCTCATCAGTAGGTAGACCGAGTGTTGTTGAGAAATTCGCCGTCAAGACTCGGCATCTCGAATGTCTAGCCGGCTTTCTGGAAGGAGAACGTACGGAAACGTCTAGGGTCACCGTCTGCCGTGCAAAACGTGAACTGTTAGAACTGAAAGGTGTCGGCATGAACGTCATCCAACTGATCCCAACAATTACAAAATCTTGAGTTGAGAGCATCGAAAAGAAACGAGGACAGATGTCTTGGATCCTGCGCTTTCGGACTTTGACCGTCCAGTCGCTTGGCCAGCGAACCTCATGGATTGAGTCAGACTGCTCTAGCTCTTTTTCTTCAACCTCACAATTCAAGTATCTCAGACGCTCGGGCGTTCCGGCGCCTACTGTTGCAAGCTTGCTCAGGTCAAGTATCCCTCATAGACCTGGGTCCGCCGCCCCCGAATAACAGTCTCAGACTTCGTGTAAGCTGCTATGCGAATATGCGGCAGCTTCATCGCGAGGGGAAACCATTCTACACCCAGTATTGTCGCAACTGGTGCCTCGTCCACCTCGTCCAACAGTACTATGACGAATCCGGCATCCGACTGGCCGAAGTTCACAATTTATTCCCCCATATCACGGAGAGCCCGGACTACGAACGATGCCACGTTACTTGACGCCACACAGAAGAAGCAGGCAGAGGCTACAGATGCAATATGTGGCGGAGTCCTGGGGCAACCGTACCTGAATGAGACCCGATTCCGCCAGTCGCTTCACGTTGCCAGCGGGACAATTCAACAGTGCAATTAAGCATTAGCTTGTCTTGTGAATGGACGCCACATCAATGAGCTTTTTCCTTTTTCTAGAGTCCGTGTTTGAATGGGATGCAAATGACGTCCTGGAGCTCGATCTCTCTCCACAGCCTCGGCAATCAAAAAGAATCTCGTCGATCCTTGGACTATCATTCCACCCTGCTGCCGTGCACGTGCGGCAAACCTGAGGCTGTTACAGGCTCCTGTGAAACTTCATGCTTTGTCCGGATCGGACTTCCTGTGCTCAAGCCCAAGGCACCACTGCACTGCGTCGTACCCTTGCACTACCTCATCGTCTCCTCTCTGGCGAAGCTACGATCAAGAAGGCAGCTGCATTGGCATCCCAGGCCCCCGGCATGCCTAATACATGACTGTCGATTGGATGCACACCCCAGCAGCCGTAGCTTCGCAGCTACATCTCGAGCTTCCCCGGCTTCCCGCACGTCTCCCAGGACGCAGAACGTGCTCAGATCCCAGCTCAACCGGGTACTAAGGTGGGAAGCTCAAAGCTATAAGTTCCTGGGAGCAGGCCATCCCGTCAGGATTGAGAAAAGCTGAGTCGACCTTCGCTCGTGACAGTCTTCAAGATGATGCAGTCTCTCGTTTTCTTATCTTTGATAGCGGCCACATTTGCTTCGTACGGAGCAAACCTCAATTACCGTTCTCCTTCCGTGAACCACCCTGCCCTGGGCATCTCAGTCCGCAAGGTAGTCAAGCGTCACAATCCCAGGTCCGCGTTTGCAGCTGGTTCGCTCAATTTCACTCACGGTGTTGCCTCCGGTGATCCATACCCAAACAGTGTGATCCTGTGGACGAGATGTCCTCCTACTTTTGACGACGTCAACAACAACAGCACCACCTCTGGTTTCGTGCCACTGTACAACCCTGTTCCCATCTACAACGACACCGACGAGGCCAAACCGGTGTCCACTGCTCCAGTGTGCTTGAACTGGAAGATCGCCTCAGACAACAAGCTATCGTCTGTCGTTGACTCTGGCACTGTCTACACCAGCTCAGACGTCGACTACACTGTCAAGGTTGAAGCCACTCATTTGAGTCCATTCACACAATACTGGTACCAGTTTACTGTCTGCAACTCGAATCAAACGTCTATGGTCGGCCGAACCAAGACGACTCCTGCCCCAAACGATAACGTTTCGGGTATCAATCTTGCAGTCTATTCTTGCAGCAATTTCCCATTTGGCTTTTTCAATGCCTACGGTAACCCAGTCCGCAAGGACTCCGTGGACTATGTGATCCATCTAGGAGACTATATCTACGAGTACAAGAACGGTGACTACGGTTGGGGTCAGAGCATTGGTCGTGTCCCACTACCAGACAGAGAGATTTACACTCTCTACGACTACCGCAAGCGACATGCCACTTACAGGACAGATCTGGATCTGCTTGCCAGCCATCAGAATTTCCCATGGATTCCTGTTTGGGATGATCATGGTAAGTTTTGCATAACATAATACCAGGATGCAGGAACTGATAGTCAACGCAGAGGTCGCCGACAACACCTATCGAGATGGTTCGTCCGAGCTCAACAACACTGAAGCATCCTTTGTGGAAGACGGTGGTGTCTCCGTCGATCAACGCAAGATGAACGCCGTTCGTGCGTATTTCGAGTGGATTCCAATCCGCCAAGTCGAAATGGGCGACGATGTAAGCTTCAAGTCTTTTCATATACTCTCCATCAAGTTCTTACCCTGCTCTAGCTCCGCATCTGGCGAAACTTTCAAATCGGCAATCTTGTCGACCTGATCATGCTCGACACTCGACAATACGACCGATCCATCACCGACTTGTACTGGAACACGCACTACGTTCACCAGATCTCTAACGACGCCGGGCGGTCAATGATGGGCTCCCGCCAAGAAAACTGGTTCTACTCGTCTCTCATCAACTCCAAAAACCGCGGCGCGAAGTGGCGCGTCATCGGCTCCCAGACAGTCTTCAGCCGCATCAACGAGTCGCTGGCATACGGCAACGTTGATCCCCTAGACTACGATGCCTGGGATGGATACCAGGCCAACCGGAACCGGACATACCAGACGCTATATAACAACAACATCACAAATAACATCATGATTTCTGGCGATTCCCACGCGAACTGGGTGTCCGACCTCGTCTGGCTCGACCATTCGCCGTACGATCCTTCGACTGGGGCAGGGTCCATCGGTGTCGAGTTTGCGGGTTCTGCCGTGTCCTCCCCATCGCCAGCGGGTCAGAACATTTCTATCGCCGCAAGTGTGCAGGGGAGCCAGTGGCTCGTCGGGGCGAATCGCGAACTGCAATGGAGCGAGCTTTACTACAGGGGTTACTATGAGTTGCATATCACACAACAGCAGGTGCAGGCGCAGTATTTTGGCATGCCGACGCTCGTGAATCGGAACCCTGGAGAGATCTCACTCGCAAACTTCACGGTGTTGAGTGGTGAGAACAGATTGCACAGGTTCAATGGCACCGTCGTGCCTGCTCCGGTCGAGAACGGCTACGTCAAGTTCGGACAAGTCAAGCAGACCAATATCACCAACTCGACAGATACGGGCTTGTACTATATCAGCCATGACAATGTGGAGGATATCTGATGGGCGAAATCTTTGACTGTCGCAGTGCGCGGTGTGAAGTAGCCTACACATGGCTGAGAGGTGATACTAATGGCACACATACACAGTAAAATGGGCTGAATAACGCATCTAATAACAAGAGACACTTGGTCACCGCGACCATTAACGAAGTAGAAATACAGCCGAGGATTATATGTTTCCTTAGGTACTTGTGTGTAGATGGAGGCTTCAAGTCAGCCTCGCTTACTCATCGTGCACCATGCACCCACCATAGGCTCACAAGGCTGAATGCGGTGTGGCTTGGTATCATTCACTCACTAACCTCATGTCTGCGAACTCTTTCGTCTTACCAATTAAGTCGGCTACTGGCTTCAATTTCACGGGTCGAGGTTACATAGCAGCCTGAAAGGTTGATTGTCCATAAGCCTCGATGACGATGAAGTCGGAGCTAACCTAACGACTTCGCTATTCGGGTGAGTCACAGTCATATTCAATAGGCTTCGGCGGGTTTGATGCACAGCTTCCAAGGCATTATTCAATCAGCCTAACAGGGAGCCTGTACGGGGGAAAGAGGCGTTCGCACCGACGCCCAACTGGACGGATACCGTTATTGCGTGAAGATTTCAGCAAGTCTTCATTCTCGGTATCGATTTTTCTCCAGTGAAAGAGGGACAGCGAAGGGAAAAGTAGGCCATCTTGAAATCCGTCCATCACGACCGTGTCTTTTCGTTTGACTCGAATCGAGCTCTCTGGGCCTTTGCACCACTGCAACAATTCCGTGAACCACCATATCCAGTACAAGCGCGGTACCTCTTTCACAGTCGTTCTAACTCGAGAAGAGTCTGACTCTACTGTTCTGACCACGACTACATACCTTACCTCGAATCCACCAGTCTCATTCTGAGAGACCTGCCCAAGAAGGTTGCTGCATCTGGAAACAATTGCGTAACTCAGCTTCGAGTTCATCAAGCTCATCCTCTCACATCTCTTACAAGAATTCTTCTCTTCCCTCGACCACCGGAGCCACAGTTCTATTCTTCCAAAGTCCATCACCATCACCATGCCATCCGATCCAAACCTCCTCGCCTCTGCGGTCCCACGCATCGGCGTTGCAGTCTTCATCGTCCACCCCTCACCAACGCCTTCAGACCCGTCGGGCTGGAAATTCCTGGTAGGCCAGCGCCTCGGGTCCCACGGCAGCGGCACATGGGCCCTTCCGGGGGGACACTTGGAGATGGGCGAGAGCTTTGAAGATTGCGCCGCGCGCGAGGTTCTCGAAGAAACGGGCCTCGTCGTAGAACACGTTGCCTTTCTCACGGTGACGAACGATGTCTTGCCTCAACGTGAGGGCGGAAAGCACTATGCTACGATTTTCATGACTGCGAGAGTTGAAGCGGATGCAAATGGCCTTGCTCCTGCTCGACCTGAAGAGTCTGAATGCGGGACAGGACGCGGCAACGTTGGCACGGGGACGAGCGGGAGTGAGAAAGACCTCGAAATGCCAGAAGCACGAATCATGGAACCGGAAAAATGCACTAGGTGGGAGTGGGTGCAATGGGGACAATTGGAGACATGGGTTGCGGCGCAGATTGAGCGGGAGAAGGGCAGCGTGTCTGCGGACGAGGGTGATGATGATGCTCGTCCTTTGTTCTCGCCGATGGTCAATTTATTGGTGCAGCGGCCGGGGATTGTCCCTCGCCTGAGCTAGTGGCGATGGATTATGTTAACAAAGGGTTGGTAACAGCGGAGCGGGATGGTAGTGGGATGGCAGAGAGCACTACACTGAGTGAGCCGTGATGAGGTTCCGAGGACGATGGGGGAAGTGGCTGTCAACGGACCATCCGAGCTCATGTTCGGCTACAGTGGAAGCGGGCGATTTATCAATGTGGTTCAGAATGGCCTGGGTGGCGAACTTATGAAGCACGACAAGACGAAAAGAGCAAACTAGTCAGTATAAAGGCTCGAAGTTAGCAACTTGAATAAAGTCTACTGAAAGTGACGATAGATTTCGACGAAGCTAGAATGCTGATTGAAAATGGCTTCAACTCCAGTCGTGAGAAAAATCTCGATCTCTGTCTGTATGTGGTGACCTTCGGAGGAATCATTTGCATTATTCTTCGTTATTCTGGCCCCCTCTAGATCGGAATAACAATCTCTCGTCGCTTCTCTTCCATTGGCCATCGATGGCGATGTTGCGAACTTTGGTGTGGCCAGTCGTTTGGCCATTTCGTTGTTGGAAAATGCAAATCATCGAAGGAATGCAAGACCCTCAATGCGAACGCTCTTTTCGTAAGCTCCTAGGGTTTCAAGCTCCTGCGCCTCATATTACTTCCTCGTTTTTATGCCATCCGCCCCATTACATGCACCTCATATATCATCAACGCTGGTATAAACTGGTTATAGTGGGCATCAAGGCCATCAACGTCCGAAAACGGCCTGAAGACCGTTCGCTTTTTGGTCCACCCTCGGATGAATATTCCCAAGGGGGATGTTCTCGAAAGATTCATTGGTGAAAGGAAAAGTAGCAAACTGTCGCTGCTTGTCTTCCTTTCGTCGTTATCGAAACACCCTATCAGGACCCGGTGGAGCAGCATTGAATTTGGGTTCCAATGTCATAGGTAGGACGTCCGTCATGGGCACATCTTGAGCAAAAGGTTGAGGCCGTGATTGTTCGGCAATTGTTCTTATCGGTCTCGGCGACCTTTGTTGCTCTTTTACGATCAGCGGCGTGCTGGATCCCGAGCTTGTTTTGGAGTGTTCGCCATTGGTCATGGTGTTGCGGTGGTGAGGAATGGGAAGATCCTCACTGTATCCCGGGGATGGGAGGTTCTCTTGTGGACCGCTGGAACCATTGGACAGCGATGCTGGAGCATGTCTGGAGTTGAGGATGGTTCCGGGTTTCGGTGAGAACAGGGTCCTGTCTTTCCATTCTGTGAAGGTGGCTGCAGTGGGTGAATTTGGGAAGAATGAAGGGCATGGCACTCTACCAGGGTTCTTGGCGGCGGCTCTGGCAAAGGCTCGCTGGTACGCGATTTCACCGCCTGGATCTTCAAAGGTAGTTTGCGGCGAGGCTGCCAGGTCGGGTCGATATCCTCGCTCGTTCCATGGATGGTCGGGGTGGTCAAGTGGAAGCTTGAGTCTCGGATGAATTACAAACTGCTCCTTCTCTCCGTTCATGGCATACACTTTTTGCTCTTGTCTGGAACGACCAGTCGACGTTCAAACAAATGGCGATCCAGACCACTTGACAGATGGGCAGGAACCGTGAACGATGTCGATGGTGATCGGAGGATGCAGTGGACGTCCAGTCCCCAATTGCCGAGGGGTTGGTGGACGGTTCACGAATCCAACATCAAAGTGGATAAGAGGGGTCTGCCACAGTAAACTATTGCATCAAGAAACGAAATAGTGGTACTTGTACGAGTACAAGAAGGTTATGAGGTTCCTGGGCGGCTGCTGCCGTGTACCACAGTTAAGAACAATTAAGTGGATGTCGTCGCCGAGAAGGAAAAGCAAGGAAAAGGCACGAGCGGCGCGGCAGAAACATGTAAAATACTATGGCAATGCAGCTTGCAGGAGACGCACCTCAAAACGCATTGAAAACATTTTTCTGACCCTTGCAAGCGAATTCCCTCAAGCCAATTGTTGGTCAAGGGTCTTCTGCCTTGTACATACTCGTACTCGTGGCTCTTAGCAGGCTCGCAGGCCGCTGAGGGCAACACCTCTGGGCACATGAGGGCCAATAATCGGCCGTGGATGGAGGCTTCCAGGGTTACACAAGGCCTGTCACTGTCAAACATTCTCCGCCACCCAGGATCGCTCTGGCTGCTCTGTCAATGCTGCAACCTTGCCTCTGGTCGTTTCTCGGTCCCTCATGCATTATGCACATCATTTATGGAGCAATGTCACTTCCCATCTTTCCATTACATACGTGGATCGCCTCTGCTGTCTCGATCAAGTCTACGGAGTACGAAAGGTGGACGAGGTGACGAGGTGCCTCTTCCGACGGTCCAACGCAATTTCAATTTCAACGTCAAGGTCCACTGGGATCGCTATGAGTATCCCCCGGACGAACTGTTCATCAGAGATCTTGCTCGCATAACTCGCTATGGGATCGAGCATGAGATTGAGCATGTTGAGGATGCTTGCGTCGATTTATTATGTACCTCGATGCCAGTCAGTCGGTAAGTATTGAGGTGAGAAGCGTAAGAAGTCCGTCTACCGGACTCAGATAATATGGAGGGGCTGGGTGAACTTGGCCCCTACGTAAGAAGCCGATCAGGCTCTGGAGTCTGGGCGAGAGATGGTCAGGGCCTCGTGGGTACGGAGTACCTTACCTAAATGCAGTGCCAACAAAACGTCAACCAACGGGCCCATGCTTTTTCGTCGCTCGACGCCTAAGTTACTGGTCGTGTCAGTGGTAGCAGCCAAAGCCCGGTGAGCCCGCGGTGGCCCCGAGGGGTTCAACGCTCGTCAACGCTCTTAACGCCCTTTCCGACCCTCTAGTGCCTCTTCACGCCTCTTCAGGCTACTGGTGGGGGACTGGTGGCGACCGTCGAAAGATTAATCGCAGCTAGACTCGAAATAGAAGAATCTTCTTGTTTATTCTGTGCCTGCGATTGGTGGGTTGCATCTCTTATCAGCAGCCCACGCTTTCTGGCACATGTCCCCTTGCCCTCCTGGCCATTTCCCTCCGCCGCCCTTTGAAATTCGGGCTCTACCATGAGTGCCATGTTACCTTGGGATCCTCTCAACTCCAGAAAAAATCCAATGATACTTTCTCAGTGTTCTACTCTAGGAGGTTTGAAGAGCCGCTCTGGCGTTTTATTGTTGATTAGACAAAAGACGCAAGACCCCTTACTTCCTGCACTTTTATGTGAATACTAATTCCTTTATCCTCCACAACCATCCCACCTGCAGCAAGTCGACAGCCCTCGGTTGGTTTGACATCCCACCACCCACGTCCGTGACAGCCTCATCCCTCAGCTCCCATCGGGTTGCCTTTTCCATCCTGTCGGCAATCTCCCTCCGTTGGTGGCATAGAATCTCAGCCTCTGAGATCACATCCGGTGGCGCTAGACTCGTCCTACTGGCCTTCAATTGCAGGGACAGGCTGGTATCGATATACAAGTACAGCGTGATCCCATAGACACCGCATTGTGTCGTGGCGCAGTGACAGTTTGCGGAAACCAGAGCCGTTACCTGAGTCTAGCCCTTTAAACGAATCTCCATATCAACACTGGCTCGTCCTCCGACTCCTCGCTACCATCAGCCGTTGCGACTTTGGCCGCGAGCACCCTTCTACCTCGTATTGCTCTCATGATGACAACCAACTATTCAACGCAGACATATACTATACCTCAGAACCACTTCTTTGCCAGCCAGCAACCCTCGCCCGCCAGCTCGACCTCTCCCAATTCTCCGCGAATGCAAGACTATCTTCAGCAGCATGCGCCCAACCCGTACAAGCAGCTACGGCCGCTAAAGTCGCCGCTCTATGTTCCTGCGGCACTTCGACCGACCGAACACTTCTACACGCCCTCTCCCATGACGCCGCCCAAGAGTTTGCATGAATCGTTGGACACTCTGGAAACCAATGAGACACAAACTGGCAGCCCAGAGCAACAGCAACATATAGACCTCGAATCGTACGATCCGGACTGGATACAAGAGGAGGACCTTGGTGAAGTTACTGGTCCGCCCACAAAAGACCACTGGAAGGTGTGTTGCTGCAGACAAACCCCCCCGCATGCAGGATATGGTCAAATTTGAAAGGCGTTGTTCGCGGCTCAGCTGCACATGTCTCAGACGACCTCAACGTCCATGCATTTTTACAAGAAACAGTGCTAATCTATGTTCCTACAGCCCGACCAAGCTTCCCCTACGTGCGACTCACCCGAATGCCGCTCGACATTCAATCTCTTTGTCCGCAAACACCATTGCCGGCACTGCGGCCACATCTTCTGCTCGTCACATACTCCCTTCACCATCCCTCTCGACCAGTACGCCAAATTCCACCCCGACGGCGTACCCTCCAGAGCATGCGAGACATGCCACCGTCAATACCAACGTTGGGACACTGCGCGCTCGATCCAGCGCAAGAACAGCCAAAATAGCAAGGACGACATCAACAACGAGAGTGGTCCACCCACCCCGTTGGCAGGACCTACAGGCCACCGGCGCATCCTCTCGGGCGGGCTTCGTGGAGGCACACACACCGCAGAAGCTGCTAATAGCGTTCCCAAGGACTGGCATTGGTCGACATTCTGAGCCGGGAGCGAGAAAGAGAAAGATCACGTGATAGATCTGGGTCCGGGTCGGAGAACTCCACGTTCGAGATTATTGTGTGGCACCCGGCACTGACCGACCAAAATAAATTGCGGGAGCCTTGCTGACACGGGAAACACAGCCTCCAGCCATGGCACCCATGGTCAAGCTCGCAAGACCGGGCTGGACCCTGGGAAATTACCACCTTGGCCCTGGCCATCTCGGCCGGACTTGCCGTTGTTGGGTCAAGCCACTGCACCACGACCCGGAAAAAAGGCTCACGTGGCATATCCGTCTGGAGTCTGGACGGGTTAGCGGCTACATGCGGGTGTATCTACTTGATATCATCATCAACATCAGCATCGGTATCAGGCTGCCAAGATTTGCTTGAATCGAAATGGAAAACCGAGCATGACAATCTAGGTCTAGATTGAGCTGCATGACTCAAGGTCGACTCGGCATCAGATGATCAAACCTCTGCCGGTGCCTCGACTTAGGCTGCAAGGACCATGATTTAAGGAAGGCACTCGATTTCACTGCCGAGTGTGGCCGAAAGGAGCAGCTCAGGCCTGTCAAACGTGTGGTTGCACAACATGAATCTGTCACGGACTCATCACAATCATAACGTGTTGAACGGTCTTTGGATATACTCGATTTGGCTTATCGAGACACGAGCACCAGCAAATGTCACGAAGCTGGTTGCGGTCGAATGGAGCATGTAAGACTACGCAATGCAATATGCTAGTTCCAGTGCAGCTCCGAGCTTGAATGCATCTTCGGAAGTACCATGTTTGGCGACTGGACATATCAGATCGGATTCAGCGACATCCAATCAAAGTCGCTGGAAAGCTGTTTATGCATGGCGTCGGAGGTCTTTTGCTTTTTTGCGTATCTGTTCCACTGGAGGCTTGAAAGATCGTGCTTTTCTAATCTGATACAGCCTGGAAATGGAGCCATGCTGATCTGTGTCTGGCTTTGATGGCGAAGAACCGTCTTGGCGATGGGCTGTCTTTGAGTAATGTTTTATTGGGTGGCTTGCTGCGATTTCGCGAGACTGATTCGTTCCCCCTTGACGGTATAGATTTGGGAGGTATTGTTGATAGCGATCGTGTTAGCGAATTAGACCGCAGTGTTTTGTACTCTTGGTTGTCTTTGTCTTCTCTCATGGCTTGCGCTGCAGTACTGAGGATAACATCAAGTCAAACATGGAGCGGGTTGGGAATACAACCAACCTCGTGTATCTCGTTTCATGCATATATAGTCGATTTGAGGCATTCACGTGGACTGACAACGCAGACCTCCATCTTGTCCCTGACAGCAGATCAACCCATTAACTGGCCCAGATCCTCCGGCGGCCATCTTGTCTGGGCGAAGCTCAAACACCGCTTTATACTCTGGAGATACTTCCTCGTGACTTCGTCGGTCATGATATGCGCTTGTTTGCCCTCGCCACTCTCACTCAACTTTTCTCTCGCGGACCGCTCGTGGATGCCGACCATGGTCACACCGATCGGCCAGGCGGCCTTGCCAATCGAGAGCGTGAGGTACTTGTCGTTGGCCTCGACGTACCGCCTGGCTTGGGCGGACCGGACGATCTGGCAGATCGGGTCGAGCAGGTTGTGCTCGAGGTCGGCGCGCTCGAAGCGGCGGAACAACGGCGTGAGGTCTTTCAGGACCTGCAGGTAGGAATTGTGGGCGGCTTTGCCGGACGTGGAGGCCTTGACGGCCGCGTCGCGCTGCGAGAGCGCGAAGGACCATTCGCGTAGGAGCAGTGTGAAGTACGAGGCCAGTTGGCGGTAGAGGAAGGCGTGCTCGGGAGTGTTTTCGGCGGGTAGGGTCGAGGGGAGGAGCATGTCTTTCTCCGGGACGGGTTCGAGGGTCGTCGGGATGGGGCCGTCGCTGAGTTTAGGCTTGAGGGATTTGGGTGCCGTCAGGGCGTGGTAGCGTTTGAGGCGTGAGGCGTGGCTTTCGTCGTAGAGCGCCGCGGGCTCGTTGAGCGAGCGTAGCTTGGACCGCAGTTCGTCGTCGGGGATGTCTTCGAGGCTTGTAGAAGAAGATTTGTTGCCCTCTTCAATGGCGGGGTCTGGTAAATCGGGCAGGCCGAGCCTCTTGCGCCGTTTGCGCTCTTCTTCTCTTTCTTCTTCCAGGCGACGTTTTCGGGACTCTTCGGCCAGACGACGTTTCTTCTCCTCGCGGACCGCAGCGCGCTCGGCTTCTTCTTCCTCGAGTTTGCGCTTCTTGGACGCTCGTTCTTCGCGCTCCGCGTCTATCCTGGCTTGTTCTGCGGCGTAGGCTGCTTCGCGGGCTGCTTCGAGCTCGGCGCGGCGGAGGTATTTCTGCGTAGCTGACGGTGTGGATGGGTCTGGCGATTGTGATTGTGAGGGTGAGGGCGAGGGTTTGGGTTTCGACTTCGCGATTTGGCTGGCCATCAACGATTTGAAGTCCATACTGGTAGTATCAGGATGGCAAGGGCACAAGTACAAAGGTGTTGCGTAAGAAAAGAGTGATGAGTTCTCAGTTCTAGAGTACAAGGCTCTCTGGGAGGATCACTGAGGATTTCTTATGTAGAAGCAAGGCTGCGGCTTTTGGCGGGGATGCCAACGGGAGTGTTAGTCAGCACGCTGGTTACCGCTTGGTCACGTGCGTGCCTTTATCTAAGCAACATCAACCTCCTTACATCTGGAAACTACCTTAAGTCGTCCATCACAGCAGGCTGTTGCAGAGATTGACCCTGGTCTCATATATTGGCAATGCTTCGTGGCATGTGCATCAGAAATCAATAGGAGTGGTTAAATCGACTTGCTTTTTGGGCCCATCTTCAACAAGACTTTCTCAACATTTTTATCCTGGAGGGAACATTCTCCCAGCAGCAACCATAGGTGTGTGCGGCGCGCGGGGCAACTAGCGCAATAGGCGTCGCCAGAACCATGAATCCGCTACTCAAGAGACGCTTATCATCGCTTGCCGTTGTTGATTGCATTCACCGACAGCTGATATGATCAGACGCCAGTTTGAGTGCAGCCACGGTACAAGACAGCCTCGGGCAAAGTCTTGATAACGTGTTGGAGAAGCTTCTCCTGAAGCCTGCTTAGCAACAACCGCCGCTTCGGCAAGCCCTGGCTTCGCTACCCATTCCCCGTAATGATTCAAATGTCAACTGGGCATGAGCTTGTCCAAGGTGTTATTGTGTTTGAGAATATGTGCCCAGGGAAGATTTCGGTTACCTGACCGGTCTCGCGCGTCCCAGACATCTTTGACAGCTTGGCCCGCCATTTGAAACGAACGAAGTCCCGTTTGGGCTGCTTCTTGTGTGAACCAGGCCGACATCTTTTGTCGAGCTTCGTCATTCAGCGCCTCGCATGCAGCGACAAAAACAGGCCAGATCGTACTTGATGAATGGTAACCGGACTTGAGTCTCTCCCCAGCGTATACTTGTATATGTTCCATGGTCCGCTCCACAAACGGCTGCACGGTATAGGTGTCCACGATCCTGACACATCTGTAAAAGTAGATCATGAGAGCTGAGTGCACGGCCTCTCTGAAATGGTATAACAAGGCCGATGATGCTTTGCTGGATCGATCCTGGGGGAATGGTGTTTGGTTGTCGTTTGGACGTGTGATTGAGCCAGGACGAGGAATATCATTCTTCCAACCGCAAATGTCTGTTTCTAAAGCGGTGATCAACTTGGAAGTTGGATTGCTCGTCGCAAGTACGGAAGTTTCTCGTTGCCCTTCACCCTGGTCGACTAGTCCCGCGAGCTTTGTAGCACGTCCTATCAGTCTGAACAATGTTTCTGGGATTGAATAGATCTGCTCGAACATCGAAGGAGTCCATTCTCCATGGTCATGAATACCGTTGCCTGTCTGTCTGAGGTCATTTTTGTTCACGTCGGTACCGTTCAAGTCGGTACGAGATTGCAGCAATTTGGCCCAAATGCTTCCATCCTGGTCTAATGTGAACATGGCACCTGCTTCCTGCCTAGAATCTAGCAAGAGAGGAGCGTGCATCTCAGATCGGCCATTCTCGCTGAAGATACGGATGCTGCCCTGCAATGTCGTGAGATATAAGAATGTGCTATGAAGCATTCGAATGCTTTTCGACATGTGGATCCTGTCCAGTCCGTGGTGAACAATCAGTCTTTCAATGTCGCGCAGATATGCGTAAATTTCCAGCATGTCGCCACTAACTACCTAGAAATGCGCAAAGCCAGTCAGTATTGTATCCCGAGGTGCTCAAGAAGACACTTCTGACTTACGCATACAGTGACCATACTCAGTAAGGCGAGCAACATGTCCGTGTAGTCTTCCATCTGTCCTTTAGAAGACAAGCTTCGGAAGGAAGATTTTAACCGCTCCTTTGCTCTGCATCTAAATCTCTGGCCGAGTACTTTCCAGGGAATGGTCGAGTCCTCTTTTGATTCTTCAGGGCCAAGAGCGTCAACATGATATGCAGCTGCGCTCAGCACCGCAAAGAAGAGGGCCACTCTGGGATTCCCTGCATCGCCTCTGACCAGGACTTCTCCAAGCGTTTCATGGACTTTCGGGATGTGTAGTATCTGCCAAGGAGATTTGGGATAGACTTGGGCTGGCGTCAATGCGGGCACAAGCTTTTGTTGGTAGCAGTCAAGTAAGAGTCGGATGGTGGCAGCATCGATGTCACCAAGATCAGCACCATAAGTGAAAGACACCGACACAGGTGAATAGTTAAGATACGGAGTCTCATAAGTCGGTGCACTGGGCGTCTGTGGCTGTACGACCTCTGAGAAGAGATCCAAAGAATCATCACTCAGTCCGAGGCACAAGTCGAAGTTATCACTTGGCTCAAATCGCGTTTCTGCGCCGTCAGGGCATGTCGGATACATATCGCAGAGAACGGTGTCTGCGACGAAGTGTTCCATTGGGAAATCCTCCCAGCCAGCAGTTATCGAATCGATCTCGCAGTCTTCGGGGGCTTCCATTGCCGGTATCCCAGAACGCTGGAGTCGGGCGACACCAAATGGCCCGATGCAAAATGTCTCATCGTGCTCAAGCAAGTCGACCTGGGCGTCTAGGTCGTTCAGCAGTTTTTCCACCGATTCGGAGTTGGTTGAGGACAAGATCGTGTCAACTTGTTGCACTCGCTGGAGCTCTACAGACCTCACAGAGAATTAGCATCAAGGAACTGCGCCATTGTTCGATACTGGCCAGCAAGGGGCAGGCATGCCTGTGAATAGCAAAGGACCGCGGACACCAGATTCAACGACCGCGATCCCCTGCTGGACAGCTTCGTTGACGGTGCTTGAAGGCCAAGTGATCTCAGGAGTCCATGCTGGGGCCGAGCATGTTTGGTTCAATCGTTGACAGGTGGAACACCTCGGAACATGGGGGAGATTGAGATCGCATTTTACCTTCCTCTTGCGACAAGTCAAACAGGCATTGCTGCGAGGCATGATCTGGCGGGTTTCTGGGGAAGGTGAGTTTCGAAAGAGGTGCATACCTAGGTAAGAACCAATCTACTCAGCCAACAGACTTGGCGTCTCCCCGGAACACTCTCCTCTTGCACGCCTATATGCGTATCATATTGCCTAGATAGGTCGGGATAACCATACACCCCACTCACACACAGCTTATCCTATCTCGTACCACCCAAGGACGGCAAGCAGAATAGCTCACCGGCAGGACAAAAGCGTGGCGGAAGCTGGGTCGATGTTCTAGGAAAGGGGTCGCCGAAGTCCGCTGCTGCTGTTACTTATCCGCACAGACCAGGCCTTATCTCAAACATCCTCCATGGTCCTCCTGGCATGAGGGTCCACTGTCAAAGGGCGGCGATGATGAAAGGGACGTGAAGTCGGAATGCTGGCGTTTCCGAGTTCTACAGGTGATTCCGAGTCGTATTTACAGACACATCGTCGCAAGGCACCGTGTTGCCCGACTGATATTGTCTGAATACTCGAGCACCCTACTCATTAATCATGGCAATCACTTATCCCCCTGTTCACACTGTCGAACGCATCGATCGATCAGACATCGATGGAATAATCAAAGCCATTGCCCATAACGGTTGCTGCATTGTAAAAAACTTTACCGATGCTGCGACTGTAGCAAAAGTCAACGAGGAGACACGCCCGTATCTTGATGCTGACAAGCCATGGAAGGTGAGCATCTGCGAACAAGCCCCGGCGCATAAGCCGGCATCAAGGGTGCTCGCTCATATCGCTTTAGGGAGATCTGTTCCCACCAGAGACCCGAAGATGTGCCAACCTGGCCGGACGAAGCAGGACGGCGCGAGAGAAGTGGCTCGTGGATCCCTTACTCCGGGCATGTAACTCCAAGTTTGTCGACAAGACGACGTCCAACTATTATGGTGAGACCGAGCACACGTACACGAGCCAAGCTGTGTGCACAATTGCTGTCACTTTTGAGATTGGTCCTGGCGGAAAGGCTCAGAGGCTCCACCGCGACGACAAGAATTACCATATGTATCACCCAGACCAGACCAAAACGGGTTATCAATTTGGGACCGATGTCGAAATGGCCTTTCTGATTCCGGGAGTGAAAACCACCAGGGAGAACGGGGCGACATTGGCTATTCCTGGCAGTCACCTTTGGGATTCCCGCCGAGTCCCGAAGATTGATGAATCGGTTACTTACGCGGAAATGGAAGTCGGGGATTGTTGGATCATGCTGGGTGGGCTATATCATGCAGGAGGTGCCAACATCACCCAGGCCGAGAGAAGAAGCGTCCACGGCCTGTTCTTCTCGACGGGCTATCTCCGCCAGGAAGAGAACATTTACCTGGCCAACTCGGCTGAGGAGGTGTTGTCTTGGAGCCCAGAGGCACAAAAGGCCCTTGGATACTCGCTGTCCAGTCCAAACATCGGCTTTGTGGAATTCATACATCCTTTGCAATATCTCAGAGGTGTCTGTCCGGAAGATGGTCTGGGAGATTTCGATCCATCACAGGAGAAGCATCAGTGATTGCAAGATCTTTCATATAGCAGGCTTGGGTAGAAATGTCAAAAAGCATGACCATACCGTATGGACATAGAGGACATAGAGGACAAGCACCCATTACTCTACCACGTTTCTAAGCGGATACCCCGTGGCTACTGACGCGTGTGCTCTCTGTACCCCAGGTTTCGATCCACTATGGCTGCGGCAACTATCCCACTGCTTTCTTCCACGAGACTTCGGCATGGATGAAGAAAAAGAATTGCGTGATCGTACTAGCCTCAACAGCCTGGGGAGATTGTACCCTTTGGGCGTCGGTGGAAATTCATATCATCCTATAATTCAGGATCAAAGCGGATCTTAAACTTCATTTTTTTTTGTGCTATCCTAAAGTGTAAATGATTCGGTATATGCTACATAACTGGAATTCTTCCCATTGACACGCCGTTTCAGGTTGTCCGTCCAAATCATACTCCCCCCGTATTTTGCGTCAAGCTGCATCACACCAGTGTAAGATTGAGCAGTGAACACTCTGCCCGCACTCTCCACATTGTCCTCTCAACCACCATATGATACAACGCACGGCGGCAAGTGAATCACCAAAGAGAGAGGTAAGTTGCGATGCGACGCCAGAGAGGACGCCGATAGTACGCATCAAGCATCGCAAGTTCATCGTCGTTGATGATGTGACGACCAGTGACGAGGTCCGCGGTATCGGCACTCTGCCACTTCGTCCGCAGAATGACTTTGTATCCCGCCGTGAACAAGATGATGACGAGGAATCCGATGGTGTATTGGAAGAAATTGTTCGCGGTAAACCCGCCCCCGCCCTATCAGAAAAGCACAAAGAAGTCAACAACTGTTATTCCGAGATTTTGCTCTTCGGCCTCTCGAGCATCCAAGCACAGAGCCAGCGGAATCGGAATCAGCCATAAGATAAAGGAGTCGGCACTTACAAGGGGAGTGACGGCTGCGTAAAGAAGACACACGGTCAACATCAGGCAGACGAGCAGCAACCAAACAGGGGCCAATGGCCATGCTATGGACCGCCAGGGGTATGTTTGCTCAAAGAGCTTGTCCTTCTGGACCCGGAGTGCTTGATGGAATCGGAGATTGGTGACGGCAATGATTGCCCAATTCGAGAAGAACGAAGCAGAAGTGATGGAAATGAACCAATTCAAAACAGTCAAGCCGTCGGCTGTGAAAAGCAAGGAGAAAATTGGAATCAGCATAGTTTCAACAAGGGGTTCGGGAATAGGACGTAATGCTCACCACTCAGACTCATGTAAGTCATAGCGACGCCTACCACGGAGGTAATAGCGAGGGCCCATCGCGGCCGTCCCTGAACATCACAGTGTCCGATCCAGCTCGGAATCAGGCCTTGGATTGCCATTGTTCGCAGCATCCGCGATGGCAGGTAGATCGATTCCAGCGCAATGGCGACAATCCCAATGATCATGCAGGCGTTGATGAGGTCCGGGATGCCCTTGATACCGGCTTCCTGCACTGAAAGAACAAAGGGTGAAGCTGCCGCACCCGAAGCGCCGAAAAGTCTTGGGTTATCCGGGCTGATGAGGATGCCCACCAGGACGACGAGGACCATGTACATGAAACCGACTCGAAGCGGAACTAGCGTTGCGGCATGGGCCATCGAGAATCGAGGCGATTTCGACTCCCCTCCGACAACACCAATAAAGACCTGGTCCCCTACGGCCCAAATAGCGAGGAGGCAACAGTTTGCGAAGCCCTGAACCAAGAATTAGCATATACCTTCGTCTTCAGGGGATTGCACATACACCGAACCCGTTCCTGAATCCAGAGCCACCGGTCCATGAGCTACCGTCGTGTACTGAACCGGTGGGCCCTGCACCTCCAATGAGTGCCAAAGAGAGAATGACAATCAGAATGAAGAGGAGGATCTTGACCATAGAGCCGAAGCATTGGAGCCACGCGAAGGCTTTGTTCGGAAGTATGAATACAACCAGACAAAGGACCAAGAAGATGGACACTAATAGTGATTAGCTTCGCGACGACGTATTGAAGTACCAGGCTTCTTACGCCAAGCGGCCATCGGTACGGCACCGGCGGTCCAGTAGTCCACCAGGACGACGAAGAAGTCTGCTTCGGCCGCAAATACAGCTGTCCAACCTAGAGAGCGTCAGTCGAGCGAAGAATGTGCCATGCGCTCATTATCTCACCTAGCCATTCCGCGAAACCAGCACCAAAGGCGAGGGCAGGATCTACCCATCTTCCAGCGTAGTCGACATAGTTGCCAGAGGTTGGGAATGCAATTGTCATTTCACCCAAAGTCTGGAGATTGGCCCAGACACCCGAGCAGACCATCAAATAAGCCAGGAACATGGTGCCGGGGCCTCCATTTGCCAGAGCCTTGCCTGTGGCGATGAAGAGACCGCTTCCGACGTTTGAGCCGAGGGAAATGATCTGTCGCAAGCAAGTCTTGGTCAGTGTACTATTGTGGGAGGGTGCAGCATTCCGAGACGTACATGGACCTGCCGCGGCGTGAATGAGCGATGCAAATCCCCAAAGGCCTTCTCTTCGGAGACAATCTGTGCATTGCCATGATCGATCACAGTAGACTGCAAGGGTGCTGACTTCTCGTCCGCCTTCTCGGGGTAGGGAGTGTCTGCGGTCGACATCTCTTTGGAAGTGTGATCGTCTAGCCACGCACGTAGTCAATCCGATGTATAAGCAAGTGCAAGAGGCCGAGGAGTCGATGATTCAGTGCCGTGCAAGCTCGTCTCTTACATATAGGTCACTCTCTCGTCTCACACAGGCAGCCATAGACCTTGGCACGGACATAGCCTCATAGCCACTCCTGCGTTCCATATTGCTCAGCATCACTATCGTATCTTCCATCGCACTTCTTCGCGCTATACACGATATCTTGTCTCCTTATCGTACCCAAGGTGTTGTGGAGAAGCACAATCAACGTTGATGATCGGCCGGACTTGTCGGGATCCACATGCCTGATCAAGAATGATCCTATCGCAATCTCTCACATCGTCACGGAAAGCTGCATTTTGCTGACCGAGCATTACCCTGATAACCTGTGAAGAAAGGAAGGGCAGGTCCTATGAAGACAGAGTACGCCAAGTTCCATAGCATGGACGTCCCAGCCACACGTTCAGCACGGATTAAGAGGCAATAGAGTGCAGCGACGAACAAGACTTTCATAGGAATCCCGAAATGTTCCCAACTCCAAATTGATACATGTAAATGGAGTTAGACAGTCGATCTCATTCATGCTGCCCTTCTCCTGCATCTCCGCCTCCGATTATGACAGTAAACAGCGTGGCGTCAGCGGCGTGGACTTCGCCAGACTGATCCGCGCCACCTGTTGGTTGGACATCGTCGTATGGGAAAGCATAGCCCTTTCTATCCGTGTTGACTTCGTGCATGATGCGTGAGTAGTGGTTCGTGATCTCGTCCTGGTAATGTAGATCCTCCGCCTCAGGAAATTCATGCGTCAGTGTCAGCGTCGACCGGTTGAAGGCGGCCGCTAATCGGGGGATGAGCGCATCCTTGTCGGCGCCCTGGCCGGTCTGGAACGGGCCCGAATCGCACATCAAGACATCCTTGGTCTCTGGCTTGGTGAATGAGGCTTTATGGGCTCCGTCTTCACTATTGAGTTGTAGTTGGTCGCCCTGGACGTAGCCGCTCATTTTCCCGGCAGCGGCTTGCGTGTCGATGGTGATTGTGTTGTTTGGGTCCGACAGATGCTGCCAGGCCTGGTCAATGTAGTGGTCGTAGTATTGCCCGAAATCGATGCCGGATTTGCTGGCGAGGTTGGGGGAAAGAATGCGAAGTGGTTGGCCGTGCTCGTCGTTGATAATTAGGTGGTCCCAAGGTTGGCCGTCCTTTTGCGCTTGCTCGTGGATCTCTTGACAGACATGTTCGAAGCCATCCGCCGCCATGCCGGAGACGGTTTGCCTTTGGCCACTTGCGGTATCGAGAGCGAGGCCGAGTGGAATGCGACCGACAAAATCCACATAACTGATGTTCGCGTACAGTTGATCGGAGTTGAATGTGTACTCCACAAACCCCCAGTCGATCATGTAGTTCGGATCACCCTGGGCGTTGGCAGCGGGTTCCACTAGTGCTGGACCGGGGTTGATGGTGAAGTCTAGTTCGTGTTGCATGGAGAAGTAAATCCGTCCGCCAGCAACATGCGGGATTGTTATGATCTTCGACTCGCCTTGCTGCACGGTGATGGCGACATCTTGCTGGAGTTTCGCACCGGCTGCTGAGGGCGCAGGGACAAAGTAAGGCGTCTTACCATCCGCCGAGAGGATGAAGAGGCTGTTGTTGTGGTCGATTGCCTGACCCGTGACGTAAGCATAAATCGTCTCGGCTTGCTCGAATGTATTCTGTAACTTGATGTTTAGTGTCGGCCCGCCGCGTTGAGACATTTCGTCTGGATTTGCATGATCGTTGTGGTCCCCATGCTGATCTGGGGCGTTGTGATCGGGCTGCTGGTGAGGATCTTGGGCGTGAGGATCTTGGGCGTGAGGATCTTGGGCGTGAGGATCTTGGGCGTGAGGATCTTGGGCGTGAGGATCTTGGG